TCAATATCGAGTTGTTCAGTGTGTTGTGTTATGCTCATTTTTATTTGTTGTTATATACTTTAAACAATCGCTCTTTTTTTTCTCGTGGGAGGCTACCAATATAAATAAAAAAATTCAATTTTTATTATTTTTATTGTAAATCATTAATTAATTCAGCCACTGATGGTTATACCGATCATAGTAATTCTATTATCTACATTACAGCTAGTAGATTATAATTGGTTAGACAACTAATAGTAGGACGCCAAACTACTAATACAAAACTCAAATCAAGCAAAAAGGAAACCTGAGCTGGGGGAAGTTGCTGTGGCAATTCTTAGCGCGCACAGAACGCGAGTAAGCAGCTCCACCACTACTCCTACTACCTCCTTTGCCGCCGCCGCAAGCTCCACTACTACTTCAACCTCATCCGCAGATATTCCAGAAAAACTGAGCGTAGAGGATAAGAAGAAAGTCGCAGATCTGTACGCGTCTTTCCAGAAGAACAAGATGTGGAAGTTGAAGAGTGGGAAGTTTGTTGATGAGCAAATGGCGAAGTTGGTAACGAAAGCCGAATTCGAACAGTAAGTCTACACGGCAATCAATGACTGTACACCAGATTGATATTAATCTCTGTCTTGTATGTCCTTTGAAAGTCCTGTTCACTTGGTGATCTTTGATCCCTCGGACATCGCGTAGAAAGAATATTTTGACGACGATGAACTCAAGGAAATCCGCGGATTTCGTGCTCCAAAGGTGCCATCTCTGAGCATTGTTGAACCTTAAAAAAATTCGTAAGTTCTTAACTTACGAAGTGCTTCTTTTTATGGTTCTTTTCAAAGAAGAAAAAGGTTATGAATTCTCAACCAAAATTTTAATTTTGGGTATTGCAGAATTCATAGATAATTGTTTTTCCATAATAAAATTTTTTAATTTTTTGTCTTGGCAAAAACTATTATCCGAAAAAAATGATTATTTTTTTCAAAGAAATTAAAAATTAATTAATCAATTTTTAATTTCGAAATGATATATCTTTTTAAAAAATTAACTTTAAAGATTTTTATTTATTAATGATGCTCTCTACCTGCAGAACTTGAAGAATTCGCTGTATCATTTGGAGAAAAAGTGAGGAAATTTTGTCACAGTACCCCGAATCAGAATATTGAATTAACCTTTTTCCTTTTCTCTTGCTTTTACTAGAACAACTTACGTGATATTTACGATTATGCCAACTCGTACAAAGTCGACTTACAGCAGGCAGACCTTTGTTAGATACGGTTATCAACAATGCTGTCAGTGCGTTTACTATTCCACAAATATTTTGACAAAGAGCATTCAGAGTCTGATCTCCTGAAGCATGCGTGGGAGTTTTTAGACAGCTGCTTTGATGCATCTGAGTTTATTACTGCTATCAGGTATACATAAAAACATCTAGACTAAAAATAATCAGGAAGACATTTTCAAAACAATCAATAGTGGGGGAAAGGCCAGCAAAGCGACATCAAAAGCTCAGAACTAAGAGCACTTAATTGGTTCCGTGGAAGCCACTTCACGTAAAAAAGTTGGCACAAAAGTTGACCTTTTGTACAAAGCACTGCTGATGGAGTTGGGCGCCATCGAAGTTGGTGCGTTTAATGATCGAAGCAGCACTAAATCAATTATGGAGTTGGGCATAAAATGCCTGGAAAACATTGAAGGATATACTGGTCGATCTTGAGTGCACCAACTTCACTCAGCTACGTAACATGTGGACTTGTGGCTACATCCTTTCTGGTAGGTACAAACTAGTGGTGTAGCGAAATTCAAATAAGGTGGTTAAGGTCTGTTGCCTAGTTTGTTGGATAATATGCTTACATACATCTCTTCGAAACAAAATTGATAGGCCTTTATATGCAGTTTCTAATTGCCGATTGTCCAGAAGGATATGTATGCAGACTGACCAAGCTTGAGGACTGGGCACCATACCCCACTTGCGGAGAGAATTTTGTTTGTGACTTTTTTTATTTGCTGGAATTAGCGTGGGCCCGCAAAAGTATAATGGAAGAAACTAGAGTTGCTGCAGTAACAAAGACAAACCGAAAGCACGGATCGTTTCATCCATCAACCATCCAACCAATTCTAAGCCATTCCTTCTACCATACCAAAAAGACGAACGCGAAAAAAAGAAAAGTCGATAGCGAACTCACCCTTGACGATCAACCCGCAACAGTTACAGATTAAGCCATACATAGGTTTTCTGTACATATTGGAATATTATATAATAACTGTATAGCGTATATCTGTGTCAAATCCTAACCCCAATTAGCATCAAAGTACCTCAAAATGATATTCCATAAAATTTTAGTAATAATGTTTAGCTCATGGAATATGCACTCATTTGGCTATACTCATATCTACAGTTGATTCTGCAAATTGTGGATGATGCACAGCAGCCAGCCTTTTTTACATATCGTTTATGAGCACTTGCTGCAAAGTGAATAAGGTGTATGTGATGAAAATGATATTCTCCTTCAAAGAACGATAATCATACGTTGGAAAGTCCTAGACCTAGTATAGGTATTGTGATGAAGCACTTCACATACAGAACTAGCTAAATACTATCCCCCGTTTGATGCGCCAATAAAACGAAAATGTACGGAACCCATAATATTACAAAACAATGTATCTGCTGTTATATCACAGACGTCGGACCTGACATTGGGTAGCTACATACATTGTACAGTACTTATTCTCTCTCTTTATATATATATATCACAAGGTACTTGGCAGATCAGGCACTAAAGATAGCGTTACAACGTGTCTGTAACTCATTGTATGAGTGTGATGTATGTATCCTGCATGCATACGCTTGACAGCGCTTACTACTAGAAGTGCAGTTAAAATCCCGCCTTTTTTTAAGCTACATATGCGTGCAGCGTCTTATCCGCGATACTGTAAGTTTATCGGCCACAGTTGTCCCCCGTTTTTGCAGTACTGTAGTGGTTTTCCATACGAGAGTCTGCAAAAAGTGAGGACCTGTAAAAGACGAGGACGGCTTTAAGTGTGTTTAACTAAGTTTACCAGCAACGGGATTGCTTCCAAAAAAGCTGCAAAAAGTGTGGATGAAAATAAAGAAACAGGATTGACTGTATAATAAGTATACATTTGCCACTGTTTGCAGTAAGCTCATGTTTCTCACATCAAACTTTGGCATGTGCGGATCAGCTGCATTTGCAAGTACAGTGGTCCCCCGCTTTTTGCAGCAGCGGTTTCTGGTGGAAAAAACTGCAAAAAGTGGGGAACTGCAAAAAGTGAGGATGAGTATGAGATGTTACACAGACTGAGTCTATTATGTTAATCAAGTGTCAATGATAGTAAACCAATTGAAAGTGTCGGTGTTGTACTGAGGCTACTTATTATAAATCAACTCTTATATAAAAGGCTGTCGTCTAATTCTTGATGTTTATATACTGCACTATCGACACCTCCACACCACTATGGTAAAAGCAAAATACCCAAAGCTTACTGACGAGCAAAAGGACGCTATCTATCAACATTACATGTAGATGTCACTGGTTCAAGACTCTGTGTCCTAGGCTCTCGAGTTAATAGCGGAAAATTGCAGGTCCCCATTTTTGGCCTGCAAAATGCAAAAAGTGAGGAAACTGCAATTTTACTAAGTGATGAGCGGGTATGCTCCAAAAAAATCTGCAAAAATTGAGGATCTGCAAAAAGTGGGGCTGCAAAAAGCGGGGGACCACTGTAAGAGAAAGAAAAATCCAAAATCATAAACATAGAAACTACAAAGCACAGGTGTAAAGGATTCATTGTTTTCGTTTATTATTTACTAAGAGCATGGCGTCATGCCTTTTTCCCAAATACAAAATGCTTTTTATAGAAAGGAATGTTACCTTATGTCTTGTGTCTTCTAGCTATGAGTTCTCCAATTGATTTCGACACGCAACGACACAATTGCATTCGTCTCGCTCGTCCCAGCTGGGACATCCTCAAAAAAAGTGCTTGATAGTCACAAAGAGAAGCATACTGCCAAATGGGACTTATAACTTCTCTTCTCCAACCAGCACATTAGCCTGTTGAGGTTCATGTCAATCAAGAAGTAGAAGATGGCGAGCACACAACATCCAATGGTATGGAAAATAAGAACGCTAAGGATGCCATTATTGAAAAAGCGCTCTAAAACGTACAATCGAACTAGAGGACTATACTCTAGAGCCAAGCAACGATGATAGCGATACTGACTCGGTTGCTGATGATGACGACGATAACGAAAGTAGCATACATGGAGCCGATAGCGTACAACAAAACCAAAATGGCCTTACGGTATCTGAACTAGATCAAGAAAGCCGTGTGTTCGGTGAACAAGTGCTGCATACTCTTCCGCAGCATCCACGCAACGGTCCAGAATACATGGCTACAAGGGTTCTAAAGGATGCATTCCATCTCATGGACCAGATAAAGCTACCGCGCAGATATGGTCTAGCAAACGACTTCTAAAGACGATTTCGTGACGCACTCTTTGTTGTTGATGAAGAGGACATAAAACGTGTTAAGGAAGTTTTGCAGAAACAAGGAACGACATGGGAATACAAACTCATCAAAAAGCCATGATGGGTGTTCAGGCGTGTTAAGCGTAAGCATATCATACAAATGAACTTTGACGCACCGCTACATAGGCTTACATTGTTTTTTAAAAAAAGGTATTATACCCCCTCCCACTGTACTGTATCCTGACATCAAACAACTCTTTGACACATACGGGCCAATGAAATGTGCTAGGTCGGGACGTACTTTGTTCGACAACGAAGCATGGAGACAATCAAAGAATGCTCTCCGATCAATCCATGAAGGGCATGTGTCTGATCCCCCTAACATTTCATTCTATTACAAAATTGGGATTGATCGAGATGGATTACCACTTTACCGTTGCTGCCGTGAGACAAACTCCCTGGAGGGAGGAATCCATCAGATGCTATCCGTAAATTTGGCTCATTCGGTGCTCTCCTCAATTGGCGGATGCTATGATGGCTGATTATCGTCTACGCCATAACATAGATGTAAGTAACAGATTATCTTGTGCAATAATAATTGTATTATTTCACATTAGCTATGGTGTTTCCCATTAGGTTGGATCTGTTAATCGTTACGGAAAGGTGCACAAAGGCCATTATGAACCATGGCTGACTCAGCATATCAATGATTTACGTGCATTTTTCGGTCTTCATTTTACGTATCAGGAACCAGGTGTTCATGAGCACGCTACGACTCATGTTGCATCCTTTGGCGAGAAGTTCGGTATTTCTCCTCTTCCAAGCGAAATGATGGCCTCTTATGGTATTGAAAAATATCAACGTGGTACTACGACGGATACAACTTGAAGTGCTTCATTATCGGATTTAGCCACCCTAATCGTGCTGAGAGAATCCACACTACAGCAAGCAGGGAATCAATACAAATATATAGCTCGATGTCAGGGTGCAGCACACGCAATTCTTCCTGTACACACTAAGGAAGAGATCACAGAATTTGACAAGCTACTACGCGAACATTTTAGATTACAAGTGAACAATAATCAACAACCCAATTACAAAAATGTGGTCGAAGCTAGTCAACGGTATCACCATTTTCTACAAAACACCTGAGCACCTCAGAAGCTACTATAATACATGGAAAGAATACGAAAACATAAAAAACACAGAAAAAAATTACAAAAACATACTCCAGCCCTTGGAAACACAATACAGATCGGCAGACAGAAAGCGACACATACCAGATGCCCAGACACCTTCTCCGCTAAAGGTTCCTCGCTTGCAAATGGCTTCCAACATCGACTACCAGCATCAGCAAAACATCATAGCAACGACCATATCATCAGCTTCAATACCTGGGGAGACAGCCATGTTTGATTTTGCCAGTGTTTTCTAACCAATGGCAGCAACAAGCAATCATCAATATAGAAAGATCACAGCAACAGGAGCCAGAAACAAAACTAGCACCAGCAGAAGCACTACCAGGAAGCATCCTTGACGGTCTTCCGGCATCAAGGCGCTTAAACGGCGTTGTAAAACTTGCAAATCATCCGAATGTAGTGGCAAAAACAATCGCGCTAGATGTCCACAGAACAGTCAGCAAAGTATCATTGAATAGATCATTTCAGAATTACACATGCCCTTAAAACCGAATTAATACAGTTGGATTGATAAATTTGAGACTTCTGGGTATCAAAAAGTGGCAAAAGACCCAAAGCTATGATACGCTTTGGGCCATTTTGGGAAAAATAATCCTGTCGGCCCACCTATGATACGCGGGCCAAGTTTTCTATATAATATCCTCTTTATCCTTTTTTATACTGTTTGTTTGACAGTATCAAACGGCAATTAATGTAGAAAAGAGCCAGTACTTACTAATATATGGCTACAGGTTAAGGGGGCACTTCATTATTCATACCAATGAATAGTAATACTTTCAGCAGCATAAGCGAACAAGAGCACGTTAGCGATGAGAAGAACTACGTATGCAGTATCAAATTTTATTACTTTACTTGTCAAGAGACAACTCATTTGTTCAGACGAGTACAGATAATGGTAACTCTTGTAACATAAACAGAAGACTACCACTGTGAAAAAATTCTGGTTTCATAGATTAGGCTGATGCTCTATTTTTGGTTGGGAGAAAAACCCCACCGCTGGTTATATCTGGTTGTTTCTGGATTTTCCTTGTTAAGTTATATAAAAAAGTTCTCTCTAAGACAGTCCTTTTGAAATGTCGGTTGTGTGTGTGTGTGTGATGGGACTAAGTGAGTACGTGGGACTTCAAATAGATTTTTTATTCCGAAAGAGAATAAAGAGCACATTGTATTACTGCTCTTGTTGTGTATATATAACCGACTAATCGGAGTGATGTGTGATTAATTGAGTAGTGCGGGACTATTGTTCCAGACATGACACCTTCATCTTTGAAGGTTATATCTCGTTGAGTGAAAAGCCGTGTTGCTTATATCTAATTGTTTCTGGTCTTTTCTGGTTAGTGGTACACCAAAAAAAAATCTATTGAAGACAATTATTCTATCTCTGTAAATTATACATGGTCATTCCTGGTTCAATTGAGCTACAACACACAAAATTTCATATTGAGGTTCGTGAAAAGAACCTAGTAGAGACTGCTTGTATTGTACACCAAGGATTCGAACGTAATGTACTACGAAGCGTTATACAGTAGTAGTACTTACATTGTTTCTTATTGAGGCTGGCATTATTACAATCGTCGACATGCATGACATCGATGATATTTTCATTACTGGTTAAATCTTGTCTTGCTGGTTTGTATCGCCAAGAGATATGTCATCAGTTTGCGACAAAGCGGCAGCTGTTGTGTTTGCATGAATTCGTAATGTTCAGCGTAGTTTTTCTTTACATTAAAAAAAAAAAAGAACAGTGTAAGATGTTTCGTTCACTTGTCAAAAGTATCTTCTTATCATACTAATAAGAACGATTTCAAGGTGCGCTTGTCTTATTTTAGGTTCAATTACATTCCACACTTATGCTTAATTCAACGTCCTTTCCTTTGTTTTTCTTTGCTTCTTCCCTCCTACACATACTCCCTCCCTATCAGCATCATTCTGACGCTACCAACTATGGCAAACAACGTATATGCAGAAGGCTATTACAGCGATGGCAGCATCGATAACGAAATGGACGCTTATACAGTATCATCTAATCGTATTGACAGTCTAGATGAACGGCAACTGCGCATAGAGACGATCTGTGCTCAGATAGCTCGGAATTCCCAAGCGCGTGAGCAGGCTAACCAGGAAGAAACCAGCAGCATTATCTATGATGCTATGCCTGTGGAGCACTTGATACCGCCCCCATCCGTACTCAGCAAGAAGGAGATAGTGAATCGCGTGATGATCGAGGCATGTGGCCTAGAGGGAGAAAGCTCAGTACGGCAGACGAGGTCCTCACCAAACATGTAATGAAAGTAGCCGTATCCCGCCTGAAGAAAAAAGTTGCTCCTAACCAGGGCCGAAGCAAAGAAGGTGGGACGGACTATTTGTCACAAACGCTCATCGATGACACCATCGCGAAAATTGAGAATATGGCGATGCAGCATGCGCAAATACCATTGTTCGATGTATTAGCCATCACAACCGCAAAAATAAAAGTTATAAGATATTAATTTCAGTGAACCTCCCTGCTTTCCTCTTAATGTAATTGCTTTTTCTGTGAATTGCAGTCGTCATAGGCATTAACAGATAATTTCTATTTAAAAATGTGGACAAAATCTGTTGTTTTCTTTGAGTGTAAGTGAATTGTTTAAAATATGTGATTTTCTATGAGAGCGAAGGAAAACCTGTAAATAAACATTTGTTATTTTCTATGAAAAAATATTGCTTTGTGTATGATATGCATCTCTATTAATGATTGTTAATTTATCGGTATATATGTGGAAATCTATGAGAAACTGTGAATGTCATAAAATAACGATTGATAAGACAAGAGGCTTTTCGAACTTTAAGAAAAAGTTGGCTTCCGACCACGCAGTGAATCAGGAATGGGGCGTTCTGTACGCACAAAGAATTATTAACGAAAAAAGAAGTGATCAAATCGCGTGCGAACGGATTAATGTTCGATGTAAAAGCTGTCTAGAATTGAGATATGGGATCTTTGAAACTATTGACTGCGGTGTACTCATGGTGAAGAAGAACGTATCGAAAGAAGAGGTCCAATATTATTGACTGTGTCCGTCTTGGTGGACCAATAATTGCAAGTCACTCTAGGACAAAGTAGGTTGAGAGTGCTTTTTGATGTAGTAAGGGTCGTTGCGTAGGCGTAAGCTTTTGCAAGGTGATTTTGCGAGGAATTACTGGCACGCTAAGTAAACAATTAGACTGTGAGAGTTATGCAAAGAAGAAAAACTGAAATAGTGATTTACAAGTAGGTTTTTGAAATTGACTCTTTTTTTGGAAGGTCGAATTCGTCCTATGTAAAGAAAGTTAAAGATGGTTCTTGCACAAGTCGATAATGGCAATAATTTTTTACTACTGCGGTAATTAGGTTTCTTATGTCTGTTAAAGCGTTTTTTCGGGAACATTGCAGTTTGAGAAAGAGGAAGAAGACATATGGAAAATGAAAATATTGGGAAGTCGAACTTTAATAGATATTCTATTGAACGGTTTTATTTTTATGATGTTTGGAAGATTGAGCGAAAGAGATAGAAATGACAAGGGTTTTCAGTGAGAGAATAATTACATGAATGGTGTACTATTGGAGCTGTAAGTTAATTTGGTTGAAACAACGATAAGCACGCATAAAGTGCAAATATGTTGATGGCACTAGCTAGTGTAGATAGGGTTACATATCAATTCACTGTAATTTTGATTAGAAGAAGTTCAGCGAGAAAAACGGTAAATGATGAGTGAATTACGACATATATGTGCCAGCGTTTAATATTGTGATAGAAAGGGAAACGAAAATTTGGTCGCGTTTGACAGTGAAACAGTAGCAAAGGAAACCAAAAGTACGTCGTGAAGGGTTGAAACAGCGTCAATGTTCCACTGGTTACCATGCAACAAGCGTGACAGGATACGGACAGCATGTATGCAATAGGGCGTTTCACGCTCCGACTGATGTCGTCGCTAGCTTCGTACAGAACGCCCTAATAACTGCTGCACTCATATCTTTTTCATTGCTTCATATGTGAGATGGGTTTCCGAGTTTTAAATGATTCCTCTATTTTACCACTCACTATCCTAATCATTCTTTTTGGCGAGTCAATTTTTACAGCAGACTAGTTATTATTGCTGACTAGCAATAGCAGACTCATAAGAAAAATCTTTAGCGAGTCTATTATCAAAGTCTGTCAATTTTGACAGACAATATGTCCGACAATAGCTATCCTATTATTTTATAAATTCTTAGTTCTTTTGGCGAGTCTGCTGGAGTGTTAACTAGCTATTATTTTCCATTAAATTTAGGATATTTAATATTAACAACTAAAGCTGTTATATTTAATTAATTCTGCATATAAGTATGGACCACCCCCCAGTCCATATCTTACATCTCTAAATCTCATTGTTAAGTTACATTTCGTCGTAAACTCCTCATGTAAGGCTATAAAAGAACCTTCGTTGCTTTTATTATCTACATTTAATTATAAACCTAAAGGCTTATAATGAACCTTTTTAATGCAATACATATAAATTCTACATTTGCTAAGCCAACGTTGTTCGCGTAAAATAACTTACAGCGTGACCCGTATTCGATCTCACATCCCCTGAGCCAAAAAGGGCACACGATCTTTTTACGCGCCATCGCCGGTATAGTCTATATTGTATATATGCTGATGCCATTATTCAGAACGGACATGGTGGCGCCGTGCAACGCTGCATTCACTAAGCCGTAATCTCTAGAAGACCGATTTACACGTATTCGATGCTGTTTATTGGTGAAGCAAAAATTTATGTAGCATTATGTCTCAGGCGTATCCTACTTTTCATAGCTGTGAGTGCGCTGATGGATTGTATGATGTAGACTGGTGGCACTGCAGCAGCTGATACTTGGTTAGCTCTTGAGAGCACTTTCTCAATCCAGGGTCGTGATGACCATTTATTGAACATGAGGACTGTGTGTGCAATCATCAAGCCTTTCACGTGCCCTGAAAGACCTAGCAAAAGGCATCTGTAAAAATTGTGGCACATAGCACCTGCTGTTGACACTTTTCACATGTGCGACTACTGACACTGGGTCAGTGGGTTTTTCTTCGTTCGCTCCCAAATTTGTGAAACGTTAACGCACGACACTACTTTTTGCTATTGTATACTTTTCTGGATGGTGTGTCGGTACAACATCATCCGGTTAGCGACTGTCGGTGGTCATCGATAATATTCATATATCCTCTATGTATTAAGAAATTGACAAGGTTGAAATTGCTGCGGTGATCAAAATTACATAAACACACGTTAATGTCCATTCTTCAGGGCGCATCCCAACTTTTGAAGCTTCTTTCGGATCCATACACAAACAAATGATTGCCCATCGCATAAAAAACGATTACCGAGCATTACTAAAAGCTGGTTATGCAGCTGTAAAACATGAACGGAAAAACAAGATACAGATCCGTCAACGCATTCGTAACCGCTTCGAGGATTCATCATCTTCGCTGGCTGTCAATGACCAGAAAAGTAATAATAAACTATTCAGGACGATCTCCACCATTTTCATACCGCAGTGGGCTACAAACGCGTCTCCATACTAAGTTGCGATGTGTCTTTTTTCGTATAGTACAAAACACAATTGAATTTTTAAAGTCGGCGGCAAAACGACGAGGGTTAGAGCATGATATTGTGCGCAATATATGCAATCTGGATCGATATCGCGCCGAATACGACATCAGGTCTGTGAAGACAACTGTTTTATAACATTTATCAAATCAATTGATTTTAGGTTTTTTGTATATGTAGGCCACCGATGTATAGTAAAAAGTTTTCAAAGGAGGTTCGGCAACTTCATCAAAGCAGTTACGAAGAATTGGATTTGTTGATAAAGATGCTAAATGACGACCTACAGATCTGTCTATGAGAAGGTACTGCTATAAATCCTCTACGATTGGCTAATCAATCACACCGGGACAATATAGCAATAGATACACACACACACACACCCTTCGGGTCTTCCTTCTCTCCATGATTATATACCCAACCACCACATACAGATGTTCACACCCTCAAGTGTACTACAAAAGAAGAAGTATTGTGTGATGTGCTCCCAATAATAGGAAAAAAAGAAAAAGTGTATTTAGATATGCTTGTGGGTTGTCGTGCAAGAAAGAGAGAAAAAGACAAAGGGGAAAAAGAGACATTTTATAAGCAAAGGGATAAGAGAGAGAGGGAAGAAGAATTTATATACAGCCCTCTTCTTGACTTTTTGTTAGCTTTTCACCTTTCTTTTCATGTGTGTGTGCGTGTGTTATATCAGGTTCAATCATTCATTGTATTCGTCGTCATCGTCTTCTGGTTCATCGTCGTCCTCCGGTTCCTCCTCTTCATCGTAATCTGTTGTCGCTGCTGCATGCTGTTTTCGTTGATGTTGGGCTTTGTGGGTCTTAAAGTTTTTGGCTGTAGGCATCGTATTTGAGCTCATAGTAGGATGAGTTGCAGCATGAATAGGTACGTTGGTATTATGACTGTTGTTCGTTTTATACACTCCGGGCATCTGTGCGGCGACGGCAGCACCTTGCTGAAGTTGCTGCTGCTGCTGACCTTCAGGCGACGGTAGTGGAGGTAGTTGACCGTAAGGACAGAGTTCGGCAAGTTTGGCATCGAATATTTTCTATTATCATAAAGGTTAATCATCGTGTTCATGTGTAACCCAGTTCCTTTTTCTTTAGCATCTCTTCCTGCAACAAACAAATGCAACCATTTGTTTTTACCTGCATTTCGTCTGCATCCTCGTATACGATCGAACCTTCCTCGTTAAACGTCCTTGCATTGTCAAACATCAGGTGGAAATCATTCCGGAATTGCGCAACGTTCCGGTAATACGGGGAATGGATTCGCTTTTTGATCATTTTCATTGCGATAGGGCTCTTGATCATGGTATAGTAGATGGGATAGTCGCGCTTGCTGACAAGATCCATAAACAGCGTGCATCGTTTACGGTAGGTCCTAAAATGATGTCATCCTAGTTTTAAAATGTGTCCCTACACCCTTCACATTTCCCCATGAAAAATCCATCTTACTCTTCATCCTCCTCGGTCGATTCCTCGACTGCCTTGTAACATGCGTCAAATATCCGAGTAAGTTGTTGTCTGAGTGGTGGCGACAAAGGATCCGAAGCAGATTTGTCGTCCTTCTTTTGCCGACTTTTCTTCTTGCTACTACTGCTGCTGCTGTAATCTGGTTCTCCCTTCTTTGGCCGACCCCGTTTCTTGTTTAATGACGCCGAATCTTCCAAAGGAGGCAACCCAGCCGCTTTACGTCGCCGTGCTTCCTTTCTTGCAATCAGGTCATCCAAGTCGATATTTTCATCCTCGAGCGCATTCACCCATTGTTCTTCGGTCAATCCATCATCATAACGAACTGTGTCTCGGACACGTTGACCACGACCATATTCAAGTAATGGCGAAACGTCTTCAGCGAAAGCATCTTCATAACGATACACTTCTGGTAATTCGTCTTCCTGTATTAAACGATCGTGTTTGCGACCACGACGACCTTTTTGTCGATAATAGTCGGCTTCAGCTCGTTCGCGCTCCGCATCGATTCGATTAAAGATGACTAGTTCTTGATCAGACCGCTTCAGCATTTCGTTCAGTTCTTCATCGTCTATTTCTTCTTGAACGTCGTCTTCGTCGTCATGTTCGTCACTTTTATCTTCCAGTAAAGTTCGCTATATTGTATATGAGATCCATGTTCAATTAAGCATCACAGACCACTGTATCTTCGCAATAGCTATAATTTTACTTACCAAGAAGGCTTCACGATCTTCATCCGTACTACGGTTATCGAATTTACCCGCCTGAATGACTTTGCCATCAATATCCAGCTTATAGTTTGCTCGAGCCAAGATATTTTCCTCAATAGAGTTGGCCGAGATCAAACGGAAAATGCGAACTTCTTTGGTTTGGCCAATTCGATGAGCACGGTCCTGGGCTTGTAAATCTTGATGAGGGTTCCAGTCCGAGTCAAAGATAATAACCGTGTCGGCTGTCTGCAGGTTGAGACCCAAACCACCAGCGCGGGTACTCAATAAAAAGACAAAGTAGGGTGAGTCGGGTGAGTTAAAGACTTGTAGTAATTGCGATCGATCATCGGCCTAAATATACACCCAAGTTGTTTGTTAGCGCGTCAGTCATATAATAGCCCCACAGCATCTTTTTTAAATTGTGTAATTTTTTTACCTTGGTAGAGCCATCCAAGCGCAAGTAACGGTATCCTCGATAATTCATAAAGTCTTCCATGATGGACATGACTTGGGTCATTTGGAAGAAAATTAACACCTGAACATAAGGAGATTATGTGATCAGTAAAGCAGACATAGATAATCCTGTGTCCTTACATAATCCCTCTCCAACCAAACAGCCACTATTCTCCTCTCTAATTAGCCAACAAAAAAAAAACTAACCCTATGTCCAGTTTCTCGTAATTTTGGCAATGTTCTGTCCAATAGCTCGAATTTGCCGGATACGCGATAGAGGAACTCGTTCGACAGTCCACTCGGGTTGATCGTGTTTTCCACCTCCTCATACACAAACGGATGGTTACAGATCTTACGTAATTGCATGATTGTGTTATTGAGACCCTTGACTCCCATTTTTCTACGAAAACACATCATGTTAGCAGCTCATCTTTTCTTTTATAGCCTAAAAATTAAAAGAGGATGTTACCCTTTCTCATTGATTGATGTGTACATGCGACCATTCTTCTTCATTTGGTGATACAGCTTGGCCTGAAGAGCCGACAACTTGCACTTGATCACGCGTTCGACCTTGTCGGGCAATTCCGACTCGACATCCTTCTTTAGACGACGCAACAAGAATGGACGCAAGACTTTGTGAAGACGTTTGATGATCAGAAGCTGTTCTTCTTCGTTCAGATCAATCTTGTCCGAGACGCCTTGATATGAAAACGGTGTGTTGAACCATTCTTCAAATGTCTTTACACTTTTGAAAATTTTGGGTAGGATAAAGTTCAACAAGGCCCATAATTCTGGTAGATTGTTCTATATAAAACATCATACAAAACGTGAGTAAGTGAGTGTGTGAGTGTGTGTGAGTGTGTATGTGATTGAATGAATGTGTGATAACAAACACTTTGATATTTACCTGAAGAGGAGTGCCGGTTAGAATGATACGATAGCGTGTATTGTAGTACTGTCGCAGGACTACTGTCAATTTAGAATTGACGTTCTTCATACGATGACCTTCGTCAATAATCATATGCAACCACTTGGTCTTGCTCAACAATGGTCGATCCTTGATGATGTAATCAAACGTCGTCAACAAGACCTGAAAATCGCCACGACGGATATCCATTTGCAATTCTCGACGCACGGGTGGCGTGCCCTTGTATACAATCGTTTTAACAGAAGGCGCCCATTTGTCAAATTCCAGCGACCAGTTTGTCAATGTGCTATGGTATATGATATATTAGTCAATCATTACTAGTCACACACCGCTAAACCATTCCAAACTTACGACAGTGGTACAATGATCAGAAAAGGACCATTCTGCCGTTTCCGTTCAATAAGATAGGTGATCAGACTGATCGTCTGGATTGTTTTGCCAAGACCCATTTCATCAGCAAGAATACCATTCAAGTGGTTATTGAACAAGGAGACCATCCATTGCAAACCCTTGATCTGATAATCTTTCAAAGTTCCGCCCACCAAAAGGTTAGGCTGTGATACTTCTTCCTTGACGCGATGTGTGACTTTAAAATAATCAACCTTGGAATCCTTGTCCTGAACAGATTGAAAAACGTTGTGTGAGTCTCCATATAATTTGACTCTTTTTTGGCTTGTAATATTCACACAAAAGAACAACATAACTACCTCAGTATCATCTTGAACAAGATATTCATTTTCTCGTTGGGACGCATCATTCTGCTGATCCACCACTGCCTGCGTAAGCGATCCCAAGAAGTTGTCTGTCTGTTTCAACAACTGGGTCAACCGCGTATCCTTGGCCGTGTCAATCAATTTCATGTACGCCTCTTCATCATCGTTCCTTAAGGCCCGCATACGCTCCTTTGAGATCCTTTCAATCCGCTTCTGTTCCTCCCTTTCCACATGTTGATGATACTGAATAACCGCACGCCCCAGTTTCGATTGCTTGGACTGCCACGTACGTTGGGTGCTTATCAAGTTTCGCCCGTGGTCACAAATCAGTTGTAGTTGATCCAAATGTCGTTGTTTCTTTTTGTTTTCCAAGTCGATGCGTTGTTGTCGTTCGAGTTTTTCAACCATCCGTGCTTCGCGTAAGGACTGCCGTTTGAGGCGACGGTACGTGGAACGGTCCATCATGGCGGCCAGGGTTGAGGATTTTGAAATGCCTTGAACAAGTTCTTGACGCATCTGAAAGAAGAGTGTTTTGCGTGGTGTGAGTAGTTTCGAATGAATTTTCATGTTCATATGTCATATTCTATTTACGTGCGTTCGCGTTTTCCCGGCAAATTTTAGTGTCCTCCCTCCCACCGAACACTTTAACCATGCCAGCAGCCCACACACGAAGATCCTTTGTTCTTACCTGTTTCTGTTTACTAAGAAGCCTTAAACTTTTCAGTTCGATCAGCGTCTGTAACGATGTTCTTCGACGAGTAGCATCTGTCGTCGTCGTCGTCGTCGTCGATGGAGAATAGGAACCCGACAATTTGTCCATCATTGATCCTGACAGCTTTCCGAGCTGGTTCATGCGAGCTTTAATACGTGTATCGATTAATCGTTCGCGTCCCTCGGCAAACTCATAACTATCCATGCCACATGGTGTGATACTTGGAATTAATTGCCGGTGTTGACGCGACGCATGAGCGTAAGAACTTATAGGTTTCTTCATCATGCTATAAGGTGACGCGTACGCGTTATATTCTGCTTTTGTTGTTATTGTTGTTGTTGGTAGTGGTGGTGGTGGTATTGCTGCTGCAGGAGGGAATGACGGTTGCTGTTGTTGTGGATGTTGAGGATGAGAAGAAGGAGGTAGCGGCGGTCGTTGTGGAGATGCAGATCGGGTTGCTGCAGCGGCAGTAACAGCAGCATGAGTGGCAGACGCAGACGGTGATATACCTGGCGTAGCCGATGATCTGCTGGGCACCACACCAGGCGGCGCTGATGCCATGTTCGTAGCACCATTGGGAACAACAAGTTGGTGCTGCTCATCTACTGCTACTCCTGCTGCTGCATGGGGGGATGATAAGGATGACGACGATGCAATTGTTAAAGGTGATAGAACAGCTTGTTGGATATGATCTGGTAAAGGCATGTTCTTGGAAATCAGCTTGTATGCGAGGATCTGGTATTTTAATGCACCGAGTTGGCTTTGTGTGAACACCGAGTGTTGTGGCGGCACTATGTACATATCAAAAGCATGTGGTCAGTATTTGGCACACAATGACGCGAGAGTTGTGCTTTATTACCAGGAGGTACAGCACCCGCAGCAGCAACATTGGGATCCATGGCTCCTTGAGGATGAGGTGCCTGTTGCTGTTGTGCCAAGTGTTGTGGTGGCATCATGGGCTGTGGAACTGCTGGTGGTGGTCGCTGTTGCGGTTGCTGCTGTTGCTGTGAAGGTACTTGGACAGGCGACATTGGAGATTGCTGGAATGGTGACATTGCTTGTTGCTGCTGCTGTTGCTGTTGTTGCTGTAATCGGTGTTGTTGTAACTTTTGTTGTGCTTGGTAATTCCTCAGAATTTGCATAATGTGCGCAAATTCTTGACTATTTTCTTCATTGGCACCTTGGCGTTGCAGGAATGTAAGACGCTAGAAAAGTAAAGTTAGTTCTTTTGACTTGTACTTTTTTTTCGCGGTTTTCAAGGAAGTGGGGAGGGGAGGAGAAAGCGAAAAGATACCTGAACCAAACCGTTCATTCGTTCCTTGTTGAACATTCCAGGACCTGCGGCATTAGGTGGTGTTGCTTGAGGACCATTTGGCGAAGCTTGCTGTTGCTGTTGTTGCGGTAACATGCCGTTACCGAACGAATTCATAACCCTCTTCTTCTTTTTGTAGCTGGTCAGTCAGTTCACAAAGCACTCGGACCGTCGACTGAAGCTTAATAAAGGAAAAAAAAAAGAAACGCTTGACAACTTTTGGTGCGCTGAACGAGTCCGGGAACGAAGAAAGAGGTAATAGAGAGACACGAAACCAAAAGGAAAGGAAGAAAGACGACGATAAGGAAGCTACATGAGTTGGATGTAACTCGGATGAGTACTGGGTGTTATGCAAAAAGTAATAATAATAAGGCTTCTTTTGGTGTCAAAAAAAAAAGAGAGAGAGGGCGGAGAAAACTGCTTGGTTTTTTTTTTTTTGCTTGAGCGAACGAACAAAAGAAGCAGAAAAAAGAGGGAGAGGGGCGTGGTAGGGTTTTCCGACGATGTTTCAAAAGAAAGGCAAAAAGGAAAGGTGGGAGGGAATAGCAGCAGCGATGGCTCTGAGGCAAAGGGAAAAAAGAGAAGAACGAAAATAATGCAAAAAGTAGGTACGCACCTCTTCTTTTCCTTACTGTGAAATTTGATAGCAGTGGTGGTTTGCAGGAGCAAGAGGGAAAAAAGAAGGTGCGCGAGAGAGACGCCTTTTGGGGAACTGTAATCCTGATTCCTATTGGGGATGGCAGAACACGTCACACGCTCACGCTCACATTTTTTTCTTGTCTTGTCGCGTACACCGTGTTCGCATGACCATGTTCGGGCCGGACCCACTTGCGTACTCCGCCAGAGATGGGCCTGGTGGGGGAGAGAGGAGGGTTGAGGGTGAGAGAGAGAGAGATCGCAAATCGTCATCGACCAGTTCAGGCTCCCCTCACTAGAACCGAGCTGCTGAAAAAAGACTGTCTCGCTCTCTCTCTCTCTTATTACTACATCCCCAACTCCATCATTTTCTTTTTCTCCATCTTTTTGTAGGTAGCTTTCCCTCCCCCCCCTTTTTTTTTCTGAGAAGCATCTCGTTCATTGATTCTTTTCGTCTTTTTAAAAAAAATATAAGCTCACGTATATAATTCTAAAAAAAACTTTTCAAGTCTTTTCATCTTTCTTTTCATCATACAAAACTTACCACTCCTCCTCCCCGCACCTCACACACACACAAGAACATCTCTAAACAACTACACATACACGCAAAACTATGACTGCCGTTAGCTCTGTTGCCGATGTGGACGCTTGGATCGCCCAACTTTCCGACTGCAAACAATTGCCAGAGGCTGATATTAAGAAACTTTGCGATAAGGTGTGCTTTTTATTTTTTGACTTTCATAGCCAGGCTTCGTTATTTACCTGAAAAGGAGAAAGGAAAAAAAAGGAGGGGATGGAGTGGCTATTATCATCGCATAAGGGATTAAACACGATAAGCATATAACCCCGTATGCATCTTTTGTTCATTCTGATCTTGATTGTTAGGCACGCGAGATTCTTCTCGAGGAATCAAACGTCCAACCTGTCCGATGCCCGGTCACCGTATGCGGTAATTTCCTCTCTCATTTTATTTTTACAAACACGCATACACATAGTGTCCTGTCTTTTTCTTTATTACGAGTTGAAGCGATATGCTGACAAAGACATACGCGTCCACCTATTATATGTATGTATGGCACACCACCAAACAAAAAAGGCGATATCCACGGTCAATTCCACGACTTGCAAGAACTGTTCCGCATTGGCGGCAACTCTCCTGACACTAACTACTTGTTCATGGGCGACTATGTGGATCGTGGATACTACTCTGTGGAGACGGTGACGTTGCTGGTAGCGCTCAAGGTGCGATACAAGGACCGTGTGACGATCCTCCGAGGCAACCACGAGTCGCGCCAGATTACACAGGTCTATGGTTTCTATGATGAATGTTTGCGAAAGTATGGCAACGCCAACGTTTGGAAAATCTTTACCGATCTTTTCGATTATTTGCCATTGACGGCTCTCATTGAAGACCAGGTACGGCGTCATTTTCTTTCTCTTTCTTTCTCTATGCATAATCTCTGTGCATATAAAAGGGAAACGCTTCTACCAAGATAAAAGGAAGAACTAAAGAAAGAGCTGTTTGCTGAAAGTAGATCTTTTGTCTTCACGGAGGTCTCTCGCCGTCGATTGATACCCTGGACCAGGTGCGATCGCTGGATCGTATCCAAGAAGTGCCTCATGAAGGCCCCATGTGCGATTTGCTGTGGTCTGACCCAGACGACCGATGCGGTTGGGGTATCTCGCCGCGTGGCGCAGGTTATACGTTTGGACAGGATATCTCAGAGACATTCAATCACAACAATGGCTTGACCTTGGTCGCCAGAGCACATCAGTTGGTCATGGAGGTAAAAAGCCCGTTTTAGTGAGAAAGAAGTGAGAATGGGTTGGCTTAGAATGCAATGGTTGTTATGTATCTGCAGGGCTATAACTGGTGCCACGACCGCAACGTTGTGACGATCTTCAGTGCTCCCAACTACTGTTACCGTTGCGGCAACCAAGCAGCAATCATGGAGATTGACGAACACCTGAAATACTCTTTGTAAGCGCACTTCTTTTGCACTAAAACTAGAGCAACAGCAGCAACAGAAAGACTAACCATTGGTTCGTGATCACAGCCTTCAATTCGACCCTGCACCCAGGAAGGGTGAACCACATGTCAGCCGACGCACTCCCGACTACTTCTTGTAAAGAGCTTCTTTTTATATATAAACAAAATGAACTGAATATCATCAAAACAACCACAACAACAGCAACAAAAAAGACAGGGCGCCTTTTCCATGGCGAGAAGAGAAGAAAGAATAAGCAAAAGGATTCCATGTCCCACCCTCCCCACTTCTTCCTTACCCAACCACAACCACAACCATAACCACAACCATAACCATAACCAGCCCCCCACCCTGTTAATCGGATTTTCTGCATTGTATACTTCTTCTTTTCTTTACCTTCCATATCTTTTTCCTTTTCGTCGTCCTTTATTCTCTTTCTCTATTCTCTACACGATGATCTACTTCTTCTTCTTCTTTGCTTGGGATCTCCTTGCCTCTTTCTTTCTCCTAAAAATATATACATATTCACCGTATACACACACACACACACACTCATTGTCTGTGTTGCCATGGTGATTGTTTCAGATGAGAAACTGGTTGGGTGTCGGATTTGTTTCAGTATGGTTTAGTGCCTATAAAAAGCCCTGTCTGAAATTCATGCAGATCACCTTTATAATCTCTTTTTTTCTCATTCAAAAGCAACTCTAACTACTTTCGATAACCATGAACCGATTCTCTGTCACTGCTCGACGAGCGTATTCTCTTGGAGGGTAACGGAGGTTTTGCATTGGCTAAAGAGTAGTCGTATAGCAGAGGACTTACACCAACCGCATAATCCGTTTGTTGTGACATGTATAGACGTCAAGGCATGGGAGTGAACAAGCCAAGCATGAACAACTTTCCAGTGGGTAGTAAGTGTCATCTTTAATTATCCCTGTTAGACGCCTGGACGCTAAAAAGTAAGTTTTTACGCAAGATCAAACCCAAGGTGCGAATGAACAATGGACCAACGAAATGATGACCTCGGCACCAAAGTGGAATGAAAAGCTGGCCACCGAAAGCGAAGCCAACGTCAAGGCTGACCAAGAACCTGTCAACAATGTCCAAGACTTGAAGTCCAGGACTGAACACTGGTTCCGCGAGCATGAGCACGACAAGAGCTTTGAAATGGATGTCGAGTAAAACCCAGCTGTTCCCAATTCGTGCTCTTCATTCCGCTGCAACTATCCCAAAACCGTTTTACACCAGCCAGTGTATATAGTAAAAATAATAATAAAAGCGTTTGATGTACATAAAAGCTACTATGCAGTATCATTGACTGTTACGTCACATTGATAAGCTCTAACGCATATGACACATGGCCCTTTTGCTCGCTCGAAATTACATCATGTCTCTAAAAATTTGTATGTAGTTTTGAATCGTTGACCGGAAGTGATATATCAGTGTATAGCATACACTGTCACTTTAAGATTTAGTTTTGGAGCTTCATATTAATTTCTTAATACAGTACAGAGGGGATTAACCCTCTAGTGGGTCAGCATCCAGTCAACAGACGCTAACAAGAAACATCGCACATCCCTTATTCGTATCAACGTAATTGCTGGGCCTGGGGAAAGGATGCTACGTGAGTTTATGATCTGACAAATTGTTTTCACGAACTACTGATATTTTAGCTAAAGTGAGAGAAAACACAGGTTCGGATGTGTGCAATAACAGCACGTAACCCCAAATAGCATTCTTGAAGGAGCACGCTTTGATAAAAATTTAGTGCTGCTGGCTAGGATTCATTACACAAAATTTAGCTTGCACATCACACGGGTCATTGACGAATCTCCTTTGTAAACAATCTTGATACATGGGCAATAATACATAGTGAAAACCGAAATAATTGATATTCCCATCTTAGTGGCTAGAATATGAAAGAGCTTAATTTAAGATTAGACGCAGTACCATGTGTATAGTGTCATAAACTGAAGAAAAAGCAAATACAAGACGAGTATTTTTGTGTGCATGTAACAGCTATATGTACAACGAGAGAATTTATATATATATAAATATATATTTTTACAGAGCAAATCAAATGATCAAAATCATTTATACTGATTAATGTAGCATAGTGTAAAAATAACACCACTATGTGTATGTTGTCGCCGCAGCTGTAGCTGTAGTTGCTTGTGTTCGTTGGGAAAGCGAAGCTATTTGATCTGGTGTACCAAATGAAACATGACCTCGTTTTGTTGTTCCTACTGCTGGCGGCTGATCTGCTGCTGACGACGAAGAGAGGGAGGTTATTTCACCAAACTTGACATTGGTCTTTTTCGCCCTCTCGAAAATATCATTCACGCTCGCATGCGACATTCCCTTGAGTTGGCGCCGTAAAGCAGCAGTAAGTCCGGTCACCAAAAGCACCACTTGCGAATTACCACGCGAGACACCATCAGAACGATACAGTGCAAGGATCCAAACGACAACCCACCAAAACATGGGGATAAGTAGACAGAGCGACAAAGTATAATATGCAGCTGGATCGACATGATATTGAGTCGGCAAATCGTAGCATACCATGCCACCTACAGAGTATGCACCTTCCGGTCGGCCAAACACTACTATACGATCCATTCTGTAGACAAGATCCTGAAGAAAATTCTCAATGGTGTCGTTATCGCTATTCTTGACGGACCACATGGTGCTGACATCATCGTTAAACTCCTTCATGTTTTGATCGATCAAATAAGTTAGCTCAGCAACTTGTAGTCCATATGCATTCACCATGATACGGTCTTGATCGCTCAGGTTGTCCAGATTGTTCCAATGTGATGCATTCGATAGTAACGCATAGTCCATCTCAATTGGCGTAGTTTCCAGATAGTCGAGCAAACCTCCTCCTCTCTCCAAAAAGATAAAGGTCGTTCGATTGAGATACGGCACTAGTGTACATTCATGGACTGCTATTTCAGACCCTCGTACCAACCACGGGCTTGCTGTTCCGAGATGTGAGATAGCCACCAAAGTTTGCTCGCCCGCAAAAGCTGTTCCTGCTGGTGGTACTGGCTGCGGTGCAGTGGTAGAATCGTTGGTTGTTGTTGCTCCTCCTCCTCCTCCTCCTCCTCCTCCTTCTCCTCCTGCTTGAATGGCCTGTGTATAATTGCCTAGATCGTACGTTGTTCGATACTGCATGTTACCGCCATACAAAAAGTTTGGAGCATGTGGCAAAGTCTGGTAATCCTCGCCGTCCGTATAATTGTAATATTCTTGCACCGTCTTGACCGACCGGTCTTGCTCGCTGACCACCAAGGTTTCATTAAACGAGCCAGGACTGCACCTGACTACGTTGTACACTATTGGAATTGCTTCAATGGTACAGTTTGCGGCCGACGCGGGGCAGAGATCACTCATTGGGATGTTCCAGCTCTGCGCTGTTCCGGCCATCGCCATCTGTAGCAAATAGTTGGCAATTGTTCCTCGTAAGCTGCGGATATCTCTGGTATCCAAGTCCCACGATGCGATCGTCTCGTTTTGCAGCAGGTTGGTGTATCGCCCTAAAACGTCCTGATATTCGCAGTAAGACGTTGGATAGGCCGTTAGAATTTGCTGGGAGCTTGGACCCATGGCAATCAATCCTAGCTGCATTATAATGCCAGGCACTATGATCAAATCGGGTCGGATACCCATCAATACACGAATAATACCTAATAGTGCATTTGCAACAGTTAAAACACTTAGCATTAGTGCGTTTCTTTCTTCAATGGACAATGGTTTAGACCCTATGTAGCTCTCTTTTTATGTTTCGCTTACCGCCAATCCCTCTGGTAATAGCATCGTATACATCTAGAAGACTGAGCTTGGAACCATGCTCCAACTTGATCCATTTGTATTCTGATATGGCGCTGCATTGTAATCGTATTAGTCAATATCATTAACACATGATGCCATTAGTAGCCTTCACTATGTGCAAAAACTTACTATCCTATGCCACCAGCAAGGCACATTTTGATTAATGTCATTATCAATGCAACCAAAGCCTGAATAGGTATCCCACCCATTTTGTATGACAAAGGTTTGCCATCCGCAGACTGGTAGACGTGGATTAAAACGCCGATCAAGATGGCTGTTAGGATCACATTGAGGATGGGTAGGAGTGCTATACTAGCGATATCTTGGTGATCATGCTCTTTCTGTAAAAGAAGGATAAAAGGTGTAATTGTAAGAAGAGGTATGACTTAATACACGAATAGCCAGAAAGTAAAGATTTACATACTAGTAGTTCATGTTGTTGTCGCTGTTGACGAATTGAAGGGAACCGGAAAAACGTGCTACCAGTAGTACTGTTGTTGTTCCTTTCGTACTTTGGAGGAGGCGCTAAAAAAGGCGTTTGGTTACTGTCGCCATTTTCTTGATGATCTCTGTTGCCGTTGCTCATTAAATTGGCTACTGCCGCTGCGATTATAAAAAGCAGGAGAATGCAAAAGTGCCGGAAGGCTAGCAGAAGAAGAAAAGAACACAGGAAAAGAGAAGCGGGAAAAACATATCGTACTTTTTGTTGTACTGTTCAAGGTAATCTACAATTGCTGTGCCACACTTTCTTTGCATTCGACTGTCACACACATACTATGTCTACATTTCACGTTTAATATATATCTTGTTCTTGTTTACAGTTTTAAAGCTCCCAGATCATTAGTTTTCCATTTTTGAAGAGGTGCTTAGCAAATGGCATTTGGTAAAGTATTCACGAATACGCAAGATATGGCACTGTTGTATGATGGAACAACTAGAAAACCGAGAAACCGGACATATCTGTGGCATTTTTCTGGATATTGCTGCATATAGAAGCATGTTACGCAAAAAAAAAACAAAGATTCTGGTGCAGGAACAGTGGGCGCAGAAAATAATCGCTTTATTTGGAAAACTTTGAGTAGTACATCAGAGACTACTGGAGAAACACATGTGGCTGTGGCGATGTCCCCATCTATTATATGTAGTATAACGCATGGTCCATAGCTCAACCTTTCATATGACCAATAATCTTTCTTCAAGATGCTTCCTTTGTAGTCTGTCCGAGTGCTTTGTCTTGTAATTCTCAATTTTGGAACAGTAATATCAGCACACGCTTTACTGATATTTTTGAATGGGTTGATAATGAGCTCTGCGTTGTATGTACAGGTTCAAATAAGAGCTTTTGTATGTATGTATTGAAATATGCATATGCTATGTCCAAATAAAAAATGAACGATTGATATTGTAGCTACTGTAATGTTTGCTTTTGAACAACATAGTTTGAATCCACTTGTTTTAAGCGGTTGTTGCTTCTGTCGCTGGGATATTTCGTTGAAAGAGTGGGGATATTTGATCCGGCGTACCAAACGTAATGTGACCACGTCTTGTACTTTGCTGGTGGCGATGAAGATCTGTTGAGGAGGACGAGTAGGTCAATTCACCAAACTTGACATCCGTCTGTTTCGCTCGCTCGAAAATAGCACTTGCACTGGCGTGGGACATGCCTTTAAAGCGGCGTCGTAAAGCAGCAGTAAACCCGGCCACCAAAAGCAACACTTGTGAATTACCACGCGACACGCCACCCGTACGACGCAGCGCAAAGATCCACACCGAAACCCACCAAACCATGGGGACTAGTAAAGAGAGCGATAAAGTATAGTACGCCGCTGGATCGACGTGGTATTGAGTCGGTAGATTGTAGCATGCCTCGCCACCCACAGTACCGAGACGCTCTGGTCGACCAAATACGATTATCAAGTCCATTCTGGAAGCAAGATGTTTGAGGAAATTCTCAATGGTGTTTATATCACTGTTTACAAAGTACCATTCGCTGCTGACATGGTCGTTAAATTCGTCTTGGTCTTGATCGATTATAGCTCTCAGTTCAGCGACTTGCAGGGCGTAAGCATTCAACATGAGACGATCTTGTTCGGTTATGCTACTGTCGTCGCTCCAATGGGCTTCATCAGATAATAATGCATAGTCCATCTCGATTGGTGTAGTTTCTACGGCTTCACGCTTTCCATCTCTTTCAAGAAATACCAGGCTTGTCCGATTGATATAGGGCACAAATGTGCATTCGTGGACCTTCACTTCCTCTAGCGTGAGCCCCTGTACAGGTGTTGCAGTTCCATTGTAAGATAAAACCACCATTGATTGTTCGCCCGCGAACATTGTTCCGGGAGGCGGTTCTTGTGTATCATTGCTTATCGGTAGTGCTCCAGGATCATTTATTGCTGTATAGTTGTCAATATCAAACGCTGTTCGATACTGCATGTTTCCACCATAAAAAAAGTGTGGCGCATTCGGCCACGTTTCGTAACTGGTGCCGTCCGTATAATTATAAAATTCGCGCACTGTCATGACGGACCGATCCAGCTCACTGATGATCAATGTCTCGTTGAATGAACCAGGCTTGCATTCGACTTTGTTGTAGACCATAGCAACGGGATTCATCGTGCAGTTCACCGCCGAAAAGGGACAGTAGTCACCGATAGGTACGCTATAGCTGTTTCCTGCGCCGTCCAGAGCAAATTCAAGCAAATAATCGGCAATTGTGCCTTTTAGGCTGCGGATATCTTTACCTTCTGCTCTCCACGATGCCATGGTTATGGCTTCGAGGTTGGTAAAATGCCCGAGAGCGTCCATGGGCTCGCAGTGGGTTGTTGGATAGGCTGTCAAAATTTGCTGTGAGCTGGGACCCATGGCAATAAGTCCTAGCTGTAGAAGAATGGCGGGAAACAGGATGAAGTCAGGCCTGATTCCCGAAAACACACTAGTCATACCTACATTTAGTATTTACGTTATTAAAAAATGTACATCTTTGAGTATCACCAGTATAGACAAGGGAAAAAAAGTTGTATATATACAAGCAAATTTTTCTTAGTTTTTCACGACTCTTACCACCAATGCCTCGAGTGATAGCGTCGTATACGTCTAGAAGACTTAGTTGAGAGCCTCGCTCCAACTGGATCCATTTGAACTCTGAAACGGCGCTATGATGCGAATATAGTACACAAATGCAAGTATTAGCTATCATCACAAAAAAAAATAGCTCTCTATTATTATGAGCGGTGACGAAAACCACTTACTATCCAATACCACCAGCGAGACACATTTTGAGTAGTGTCATTATCAATGCAACCAAAGCTGGAAGGGGTATCCCTGCCATTCTGTAGTCCAACGGTTTGCCTTCGGCCGACTGATATATGTATATCAGAACGCCCACCAAAACGGCCGTGAATATTACATTAAGAATAGGAAGGATCGCTATATGTTTAAGATCCTGACGATCTTGTTGGCTCTAATATACAACAGGGTAAGTAAAGTATAGCAAACACATGAGCATTTGTTTTCGAGACGGCTCGTGTAAGCGTATATCTGATACACTTGTTATATTGAACGTTGAGTGGGCGAGGAAATTACCAGTTGTTGTTGACGGAATGAAGGGGAGCCAGAGATCATCGTGTCACTGCTGTTGCTCCTTTCGTATTTCGGGGGAGGGGACATTAATGGTATATCGCCGCTATCTTCCGGCAGGTTCTTATTCATGTTCATGGTTGCTGATGTTGGCTAAGAGGGTGAAAATATTGAATGACAAGAAAGAAGGGATGAATAGAAGGAATGTGAGTGGCATATAGCGAAGAGAAAGTGAAAGAGAGGGAGGAAAGCAATGAATAAAAAAAACGGAATCGCGAAACTGAACTATGATCTGTATTGCACCACCCGCAAAAGGTAACTTGCAGACAGGTGAGCCACATCTTATGTATTGTGTTACACATGTCATATTCCACCTTTACTATTTAGCATTAAGGCAACAATTTAACTTGATGTATGTGATAGGTGTATACTGCAATCTTCATTATCATTAATGTCGTTGCTCGCCGACTAAACCTACTGAAACTGCAGCTCTATAATGCTCCTTTACATAAGCTTTAGGTTTGCAGAAAATGGTATGATTACATTAGACAATGGTATCAGTGATTATATCCAGCTCACTATGTAGTCGAGAATAAGTACTTCACATTTAAATAGCTAGATAAGATGTGATTAATTGACTACATCAATAAATAGGAGCGACATGTCGCAGCAATAATCCATTGCTGCCTGCTTTCTTATCTTCAAACAAGGTTTCTATGATATTTACATCGACAGATACGCCATGCGAATAAAATAAATGGGTCGTGGATCGATGTACTTTTTACGGATTTTGGTGGTCAGAGCAAAGCCATCGGCGGAATTTCAAAACCCAAAGTTGAACGGTTTTATTGTCGTTCCTCGTCGCTAAACCAGGACTCCTTCCCTTTTGATTTTTCAGCCATGAGGTAACGCATCCATAAAATCCTCAATACGAAGATGTATAGATATGGTGGATGAATGGATGCATCCGTCCAACAATCCATTCATCCATCCATCTATCTATCGATCCATCGAACATCTGCAAAGACATCAACATCGTTTGCTTAGCACTAACATTCATGTTACTTTTCAAAACTTTACAGCAAAGTCAGTGGTTCCGCCGTCAGAGAGACTGTCAACCAGATCATTGCTGCCTCGCAAGAGAAGCAACGTAACTTCACTGAGACCATCGAGCTCCAGATTGGTCTCAAGAACTACGATCCCCAGCGTGACAAGCGTTTCTCGGGTACCATCAAGTATTTGTCGTTCTCATGTTAAAAATGTCAAATGAGCGCGACCTGCGCTCAGAAAAGGAGGGACATGTGCACAACAGTAAAAAATACAGAAAATGCTGACCCCAACCTTTTAACAATAGGCTTCCCAACATTCCCCGTCCCAACCTTTCGGTCTGTGTTTTGGGTGATGCTTTCCATTGTGACCAGGCCAAGGCTGCTGGTATGGAATTCCAGTCGGTTGAGGATTTGAAGAAGCTCAACAAGAACAAGAAGCTGATCAAGAAGTTGGCCAAGAAGTACGATGCTTTCCTTGCCTCCGAGGCTTTGATCAAGCAGATCCCCCGTCTCTTGGGTCCCGGTCTTCACAAGGTCGGCAAGTTCCCCACTGCCGTCTCGCACAACGACCCCTTGTCTGCCAAGGCTGACGAGATCCGTGCCACCATCAAGTTCCAGTTGAAGAAGGTTCTCTGCTTGGGTGTCGCCGTTGGTCACGTCAAGATGACCGAAGACCAGTTGGTTGCTAACATCATGTTGGCCATCAACTTCTTGGTCTCCTTGTTGAAGAAGAACTGGCAGAACGTCAAGTCTCTTTACTTGAAGTCCTCCATGGGCAAGCCCTACCGCTTGTTCTAAGCTTCTATTTCTCGCGTGTTCTTAAAACTCTGACGGTTTTCAACTTTACCAACTTTGCGGACCTGGGTGCCGCATTGATTTGGGAGCTCGGGAAAAAAACTTTTTAAGCAAAAATAAAATAAAATGGGAATCATCTTCTCTTTTAGTAAAAAAAAATACTGGTAGCTTTGCAAGTTGGATATAAGCGTAAAGGGAAAGATACGACATGAGTGTAGGATTATGTAATGCTGTATGAACAATAGGGGTTGGTTGGCAATATCTCCGGCTAAACGAAAGAGTGCTTTGGCTTGCAGCACTGGCATGGGGGTGTGGATAGCAGATTAGGTAGGTTCCCTTTTATGATCCAGGCTAGTGCACCCACACGGCGAAAACAGCGCACCTGCATCAGCCAGGCGGCGATGCTGTCAGATGACGGAGGGGGATGGGTACAACGTGGCACATGTTTCCAGCTAATAAGGGGAAATCAAGACGAATTCCTTTGACATAGCATTGTAGCATTGTAGCATATGGTGCTACTAGCAGCGTACTCACGGACTATATATGTACAGGGTATGTCGCGTATATATAAACAGAGTCCTTGTTTTTTCGCTGAAAAACTTGGCGGAGGTTTTTTTTTCCTGTAGTCGGTGCTGCCAAGTCTTTCCAACACACACCCATACAGCGACAGGGCAATTGAGCTGATTTCTCCAAAAGAGGACAATTCTTGGGGTGGTCTGTACTACGCTTTTTATTTGCACTCAGTCAGTGGGCTAGAAAAGTCTAATTTTTTTTTTTTTTTTTATCTTCACTCACCCACCTCCAGAGCCATAGTTTGTTTGTGGTTTCCTCTTACTTCTGCTCTCTCTTGCTGGTTTCTTTTCTTATTTCCTCCCTTTCGTTTCCACTACGCACACTTACACACCTGGTGCTCACTCCCAGACACCGTCATCAGCACACGCACGCACACACAACACATACTCGCATACTTCTGTGAGGGCCATGGGGATTTTTCGTGCGGTTTTACATCCCAAGGAGCAGCAGCAGCACAAGGAAAAGGTGCTGCAAAAGCAACAGCAACAACAGCAACAACAGCAACAGCGTAACAACATCAAGGATGATGGACCACCCACGCCCCCATCCGAACCCACATCGCCCATACTGGACAAAAGACCCGAACGGCCTTCTTTTCGCAACGTAACGTCACTTCCACCAGACTTGGTTTCCAGAACACCCTCGACGAGCTCCAGCCACTCCGTTCATACGATATCAGCACGCACGCAACATACCCAGAACCTATCACGGTTTGTCCAGCATCCAGATGGCACCCACGCGCACTGCATCAAATGCATGCCAGCCAACAAGCTGTCATCGTCACTCCACCATCTGGCTGCAGGTCTCTTGCCTGCGGCAGCAAAAGGATTCAAGATACCCGCACTCGGCAGTGGTGGCCACCACGAGAAGAAGACCAAGGAGGCAGTGCAAAAGGAGCGGGCTGCAGTGAATGCAGAGCTGAAACGCGCAGGAAACAATGACGTTTGTTTATCAGACAAGTGGGGTACATGTCAAGAAGTGATCGGAAAAGGAGCCTTTGGTGTCGTCCGAATAGTACACAAGGCTGATCCCTCGGGTCACGAATACGCTGTCAAGGTAAAGAAATTCTTTCGTTTCTTTTCCTTTCCATATACGGACTCTACGATTTGGATCTTTTGCTTCGTGGGTCGCGTAAAGACGGGGCTCTTCAAAGAGTGAAAACCACGTGCGGTTGCTGTGATGGAGTTGTGGCAGCGTAGACAACCCCCCCTTTTGCTGGACATTCTTTTACCCGTTACTAAAGAAACGGTTAATACCGCATCTGCACACAGGAATTTCGCAAAAAAGGCCTCGAGAGCACCAAGCAATATGTCAAACGGCTGACGTCAGAATTCTGCATTTCGTCTATCCTGCATCACCCCAATGTCATTGAAACCCTGGACTTGCTGCCGTTGACTGAAACCTCGGCGGTCTACTGCCAAGTGATGGAATACTGCGACGGCGGCGACCTGTTCAACCTCATCTACGACTTTGCCTCGTCCGGACTCCAAGTGCCCGAGGCCAACTGTTTCTTCAAGCAGCTCATGCGGGGCGTGAGCTACGTGCACCGGATGGGCATTGCTCACAGGGACTTGAAGCCGGAAAATTTACTGCTGACATCGAATGGCTGCCTCAAGATTTCCGACTTTGGCGGCGCCGACTGCTTCCGTCCTACACCCCAGTGCAAAGCCATGTACAGTCGCGGCGTCTGTGGATCTGAGCCCTACATTGCCCCAGAAATGTTTGTCCAGTCTGAATACGATCCTCAGCTCACGGACGTCTGGAGCTGTGCTGTCATTTACATGGCCATGCGCACCGGTAACCACATGTGGCAGGTCGCGAAAAAGGGTGATGACGATAACTACGACCGATATCTCAAGTTCCGTCGCTTTGTCGAGGAAGAACGCGAGAATGCAAAACGGGAACGCTTGGCTCAAAAGAATCTGCAGACACAACATGAACGCGAATTGTCTATTCATAGGGGTCGGGAGTCTGTGCGAAAGCGCGCCAAGGAATGCGGCATCGATATCTTTGAGGGCATGGAGCTCGGTGCAAAGCGCCTCGTCTATCGGATGTTGGATCCTAACCCAAACAAGCGGATCGGTACCAGCCAGATCATGGAGAGCGAATGGTTCAAAAATATCTACTGTTGCCAGCCATCTTCGGCCTGTTCTTCGCTATCGTCGGCATCTTCTTCTTCGTCGTCGTCATGACCTAACACGATCAATTCTTCCACTCGACACTCCTGAAAAGCAATCAATCACGCCACTTTCTTCTCTTTCGATCATATGCTTTCTCTCTAATCAGCAACCATCAATATGTCCAAGAACACTAACCAACCGACACCAACCACTATAACCCCTCCCTCCCTTTTATTGACCCTCCTTCCTTCTCCAAAATACACTACACGCATTCATATATACACATGTGAACTCGACTGTACATAATACGAATATATGCATTCATCTCTTCCGTAAACTATTGATCGTGCTATACAAATGGTGTTTATGAGTGTGATTGAGGAGGAGCAGCTGGCATGCGGAGCCATTGCATGCGAGGACCACTGACAGATTGCTCACTGACGCGAAACCCGAATATCCGACCCACATATGTCTTTGACTGCTTCATTTTGATTTCTTCTGAAAACGTCTCGACAAGCAAATGCGGAAATGTTGTGCCAAAATGAGCTCCTGTTTGTCAGATCATACTTTGGTTAGCAAATTGAATTTTTTTTGCGGGGTGCATGCATGGATGCATTTTCTTCTTTTCGTTATCTTAAAATAGTGTCACTTACCATCCACATTCGCATACTTGCCATTGCACATATAAATATCCTTGCAATTTGGACAATACAACCGGACAGGCCCTACATTGGGTTGGTCGCCTTGACCCACCGGTAGCATTGGCATCTTCTCACAAAAATACCGTGGACATGCCCCAAAGTGTCCTGAATTATATTTGTACAGCTTTTTTTTTGATATGTATAGTGTGTGTGGACGGATGAAGTGCGTGGTATGGTTTTTTTTTCAGTGAGCTTGTTGTCTCTCCCTTTCTTTCTCCACCACCCAATCCATTTCTAATTAGTCGCGCACCATTTGAGAAAGTCCGGCCTTGGTATTGATATAACGCTGATGAATCAACCCATAGAGCAACTCTGCATGCGGCTGCACTATGCTGACGTCGGGTATCGTGGAGCTCATTTCGTCTTCTTCGCGTTCCATGTCGAGAATTAGTTCTAGAGCCTCCTTGTATAAGGGCACTTGCTGCACTAGTCCAGTCAAATTGAAGCCGTCTTCAATAAAATCGTCGTCGACTTGACAGTAGTATTCATGACTAGCAAGCGAACAAAACCACTTGATCCACTATTAACAGATATATTTAAGTAAGGCGTCAAATTGCGTGTGTGTGCGATATTTTTCAGTCATAAAATAGTACCGATTGCGGTTGACTACTGGTTGTACTAGAAGAGTCGTGCATTTCCTCGTCGTCGTCCATGCTTTTATCTTTGAGATTGTCCAAGAATATGTACGTGTGTGTCGAGAGGCGACGCACGCATGACAGTGACTGTTATGGTAATTCGCGGACCAACATTAGTCCTTCCAGTGACACGTGCACTGTGATGGGCCCGGTCGTGTATGTGTTGATCCGAGCTGCTTCCGATCCGTTAATATTACGCCATCAATCTCCTATTTTGTGATTGCGATAACCCAGTGAGCCCAGGTGTATGGTTTACTGTAAGGCAAGTCACCATAACAGCGTAATATCAATACTAGTATCGCCAAGGAACCCATTTGAGTAACGCTTGTCCTGTAAAGACTATATATACAAAAGAACAGGTAGTTTTATTACTTTTCGCTTGCTGAATCGTTTACGTCAACTACGTATCTTAGTTATAAGATGTGTGGCGCTTCATGCGGTAGCTCCCCACCATACAAAAAGAAAAAAGCCAATGATTTATCGATTGGAGGATCCCATATTCATAATAAAGCAAGTTAAAAGCTTGTATTATTGACTGGGACTACATACTTATGATAACAAGCAGTTGGATATTATAAAAAAGTTCATCAAGTGTAATCTTCAGGCATACATCTTGAAAATGTACGTGTACATTTTCATTGATTTAATCAAGGAATATATATCTTCTATAAGTGTCAAAGTCAGGTGTAGCTCTACTGAAAGGAACGAAGTCCTTGCTTTAAATTGACGGAATTCTTCTAGATGGTAATCAAGCGAGTGTCATACTAATATGAAACGGAGCGTCATTAATGTGGATTATCATCATCACTGTTTCACGAGCTCGCGGCAGACTTGACACTCACGGACGACAGTTGCTGCGACCAGCTTTGAGGATTTCTTTTTACTTTTTTGGTATCAATGTTTACATAATTTCTACATAGGTAGCTGATCTTATTAGCTGAGTATCGAGTTTGGTATCAGTTGAATCCAGATAAATTAATGGACAATAAATATAAAGTGCAACCAATGTGGACATACCTTCTTGGCTATTACTACAGTGCTAAACTTTTATATGATAAACCGCCAAAACAGTCCATTTACATACTACATACTGCTACACATTACCCTGATTCCGTAGCAGAACAAAATTGGGCTAGAATCACTTTGATCATAATGGCATGGACATCCCACACCTTCAAATATGGAACCGGCTAGTTCTGCCAGTTTGTTCACGTGCTGGAGAATCCGGTATTCGATGTGAAATTTGTTTTGATCAAAAATTATGTCGCACAGATCCATTTTACTACTAAAGTTTACTTGCAGCGCAAACAATTAACAGCGTGGCACTTTTTCATACATACAGGTATAATCAGTTGCTCTGAATACTGTAAACGAGCGTTGCCACGCACTGAAATGGCCAGCAGCCTATTGACCTGATGAACTCCCTGTGATATTATTGTTTTTACTGTTCACTGTAATCCCTAGCTTAAACAAAAAGGCATTAACAATTATTCTTTAGCCCCATTTTCTGAGACAATATCTCCCTTTCTGCAGGCAGCGAAGAAGAATTATTGATGCTTTTACTATATTTGCGTATTTCTTTCGTGCCATAATATTGTACAGTCTTTTGTTCCAAGAAAGCGACAAGCATTGGGGGAGTGGGAGGTCGGTTCTTCCGTCTGAGTGTAGATTAACATTGGATGGCCATGGTCGTAGTAATACTTATGTTGATATGCAAATAAAATACGATCTGCAACCTGAATTTGATCACAACGTAAAGAGTGGGCTGACTGGAACCAAACGACGCTATCAAATAATCACTGTCGTCGGCTTTTATTGGAGAAAGGCAGAATTGCTTGTTCGACATGATTTCTGCGTACTATGTGCGTGAGTCGATAGCTGTAAATTATTTATGCAGGGCATTGACCAACGGTGGCGTTGTATACATCCTGGTAAATATATGCTGTATGTATCCCTAGTATGTCGTTGATTTCTCCTGAGCATTATGTTATGATAGACATGATCATCTGCTACACGGTCTTTGTTGTAGCCTTATTCTCAGATAAGTATTGAATACGATAGAACCGGCGAGATAAAGCAAGTGGATATAATGGGCAACAACCGGACTTTGTCTTCTTTCACTACTACCACACCACCTTGCTCACTTTGATTCTCCAGCAACACTTCTAATATCTTTACATTGCGCATATTTCTTTTTATAGCCGAAAAACATGGATGGTACATCATTGGCGCAATTACCCGCAGAAGCAAAATGTTCCTCTATTCGTTCGAAGGCAGCGGAAAAGAACATGAATGTGGCTATCATCGAAAACATTATCATAGATCCAACAGCTCATGGCTAGCAATGCAACCCTATGTGTGGCAGTATTATATGCGAGCCTGGCCTTGGTAGCTAGTATAGTGTTTCAATGCGGATTTCAAATTTAGATTGGCTGTACAATATTAAAATGTAGGTATATGTCGTTGAGAGACAGGGAGAAAGCCAATACATAGACGTCACTATCAATGACGCTAAAAGCACACCCGCTTTCCTCTATGATGGCCATCTTGATGTTCCTGGTGTGTGCACATGCATAAGAGACCTTACGGACTGCGTGTAACCCAGTCGAGCATTGATGTTCTGGTGCGAGCTGCTCTGTGCCATTCAAACAAGAAAAGAGAGACTTGATTTCTATTGCTTCCCAATCAAAACCACATTCTTCCGTCTCTTCTCCTCGTCCACATAAGGCACTTCTTTTCTCACTCCCACTTCTCCTTTGAGGAACGAACGTCACCAGCAAAGGTGACGACAAGCACTAGCAGACGCGTGACGACGGTGACATGTAAATAAGCAATGTACCAACAACACCACCAGAACAATGGCTGTAGCGTCAACAGCAGCAGCCGCAACAGCGACAAGAATGAAGAGTTCTTCTTGGACGGTCATCCTAGAGACAATGCAGATGCACCGCCAGAGTACAAAAACCCATGGACATACGGCGAGAGTCTGCTAATCTCCTGGATGTCACACGCGCCTGTACTTTCAAACGCGCGTAAGAGCACAAAGTGTAGTGGGGCTTCTGTAAGCATTGTACCGATTGCCACTTGGAATCACGGATCGCCGGTATAGCTTCCCAACAGACGATGCCCCCGTCATGCGCCATTATCGATAGTCTAGGCCTTGTGTAACCTCAGTGTCGAGTAGAAGAAAAGCGCGTCATTATACTTTAACAAGTGGAGACACTTCGTGAGAGCCATGTAGAAAGACAAGACTAGTGTGTACGTGTAGCCTGAAGTGAGCACATTGTAAAGGGGAATGTCAGTGAGGTTGCATTCCGAGTGCCTCGGGAGATGACAGACCCATAGTTCGGCGTGTCCAACACTGCTTGTCGGTGTAACATGGCATCACCTGGGCTGGCAAGTGACGCTGTCAATTAAATTTCTTTTTTTCCTTTTTTGGATCAGCTGTCCAAGCGAACAGATAAGATATAAAAGCACTGCATGGAAATGATTTCTGCTACTTTGCTCCTCTCTCTTCCTCTCTCTCTCTTTTCTTTGAATCATGAAATCATGAAAATTGTGACCAAGATTTCGAATGCAAAAAAGTACCCGTGCACAGTGTCGACGAGTATAACGATGAATCGGGATGGCCGCGTCCAAAAGTTTGTCGTCTCAGCCAGGACTACCCGTAGCAGTAGAAGCAGTGGCAGTAGCAGCAGTGGTAGCAGTGGCAGCAGTGACAGTAGCAGCAGCAGCAGTGGTAGCGGCAGTAGCAGCAGTGGTAGCAGTGGCAGCAGTGACAGTAGCATCATTGGCAGCAGCAGTGGTAGCGGCAGTAGCAGCAGTGACAGTAGCAGCAGCAGCAGTGGCAGTAGCACCAGTGGTAGCAGTGGCATTGGCAGTAGCAGTGGTAGCGGCAGTAGCAGCAGTGGCAGTAGCAGCAGCAGCAGCAGTGGCAGCAGTAGCAGCAGCGGTATCAGTGGCATCAGCAGTGGCAGTAACAGCGGTAGCAGTGGTAGCAGCAGCGGTATGTAGTAGTAGCAGTATGTAGTTTAATAAAAAGCATTGCGCTGTATAAAATCAAAAGATACGTCGTCGTTTTTCTGCTATTACGTACGCGTGTACTGTGTGTGTGTGTGTGTGTTTGAGAAACTTAAAAATCACCAGGCCTACGAGAATTATGGTGGAGACCTGAGGCAAAGGATGTGGTTATTAGACGCTAACGTCGCTTCCCAACTGTTGTGACGTGTTGACTAATGCATTCACTGTTGACAAAGACGGTTAGAGTGTCCGATGGATACAAGGGGTTATCGTGTATACACGCTGGTTTGGGCTCGTTGCGGCCAGTAGTAGATGCATCGCTCGAGAAATCATTCCGAATGTCATGTCTAAGATGCATAAAGCTTGTTGCCGTGCTTTCCACATTAATTTACATCTTACGACGCCCAGGATAAATCAAAAAATGAACGAGGAGACGCGTTTAATACCACTACTACGTACGGAATGCCACCAACTGCAAAATCTAACGCTCAGTAGTAGGGGGGGTATTAGGATACCAAAAATCCTTGCCGAGTGTTGTTTAGCACTTAGGGATTCCTCAGGCGGAAAAAGGCTACGATACCATTCGTTATACCAAAATGTCTCCGCAGCAGAAATACTCACACCGCAGGCAACAGCAATTGGTTGTCAATAAAGCAAACTCATAAGCCTTACCAAAGAAGGGTTTTCATGGAGCGCGAAAAGCGAGGACATCTTTGTTAAGGTCATTGGCTGGTACAGTACAGGTACTCGACCGCTCACGATAAAGACCAGATGTTGGAGGTCTGACGCACGTTCATTGGTAGCCTTACGTCGAAAATTCATGTTTGCTTTCTGAGATTTTTGAATGCTCTGGAAAGCTTTCCGAGGCTTTCGAAGGCTTCAAAAAGCATCAGGTTACAACCTTTTCTCTGCCGTCCCTGCTACTGCCTACATATCTGCTGCCAGTCATCCTGTATACCCTGACTGCTATTTTCAAACTTAGAACAAAAGCTAAAGCCATCCTTGCTAATTACATGCGCTAAATATATCGAGTAGTGGATGTAAGGAGCAACTCATGCCGACAAGAGCAGCCAGGTGACGACGCGCTCTAAAATTTCTTTTAACGTCACATCGACAGGTTGTCGCTCCCTGGCGGTGCTGCTGCTCTTCTTTCTACTCCTTCTGTTCATCGACATCCTGGTTGTTGCGGCTGTGTCCCTTGACCGTCACTACCACTTCTTTCTTTGACTCGGCCGTTGTGACATATTTTGATTTTGGAAGTCAAACTTACTTGGAGTGAACTTGGTAGTGATTTCCATGTTATTGAATTGGTGCATGAAATCATAAGAGATTTTTGGTGTTACACACACTTTCGGAAATGTTCCCACTCGACTCTTGCCCCTTATGCATATGGTACACCGATAAGAGGCAAGCTTCAGTGAACAGAAAAGAACGAAACTCATCGTGATCGCCAAGTAGCGAGATGGGACGAGTGTGTGCATGGAGCTTGGAGCGTCTACAATGTGCAGGTGTTATCGGTGTGAAGCATGGCCCTTGAAAGATTGTCATCCGTTGTTCGCGATCCTTGTGCAACATCGGATGGTCAAACAGGTCAAACTGTGACGCCTACAAAAGAACTGGACTCGACTGCGCATTTCCCTTTCTCTTTCTTCTTCCTCACTGTCGAAAGATCTTTTCCACCTTTTCCACTTCATTGAACGATACCCTTTTCAGCTTCTTTATTGAAGGGTTGCCTTCTGCTACTTGATCCGAGTGGATGTACGTGCAGAATCAGTATTCGTTATTGTTTTCGGCGTACATTTGCGACTTTCATTAGGATCTTTGTGGCGCAGTGCACGAGTCGCTATTGCAGCGAGCCCTACCGTGAGCGCACTACATGCCGTAAAGTTCTTTACCGCAGTGCACTCACAAAGTAAGTATACACGTAATTCCCCCCTTGACAAACTACTCTCACCCATCTTCTTCTATTTGAGGGCTGTCTTCTACTACTTGGGTCCGAGTGGGTGTACGTGCAGAATCAGTATTCGTTATTGTTTTCGGCGTACATTTGCGACTTTCATTAGGATCTTTGTGACGCAGTGCACGAGTCGCTATTGCAGCGAGCCCTATCCGTGAGCGCACTACATGCCGTAAAGTTCTTTACCGCAGTGCACTCACAAAGTAAGTATACACGTAATTCCCCCTTGACAAACTACTCTCACCCATCTTCTTCTATTTGTAGTGATTTGTTATTGGGAGGTGTAGGTTCCTTTGGAACTGAGGCTTGAGGAGACCAAGGGAGAGCAACCTCTCCTTTGAGGAACGAAGGATTCATATACAAGCCGGTCATTTGCAAGCAACAATAAATAAACGTGTCTTCTTCTGTCTTTGTGTACAATAAATTTTATTGATTTCGTTTCTACTCTCTTGAAGAAGTGTTTCTAACTATCCTGAGCATGGGCTGATCAAATAACTCTTATAATAAATGCTTTTCGAGGAGCAGCTTGCTGCAGGAAACGAGACCAGCCAATCTCTGAAAGGAAATTATGAATTGTGCATTTGCCGGTGTGGTTCCGTGGACAGAGCGATCCATTTACTAATAATACAACCAGAAGTGCGATCTCTGGCGTGCCGTGGAGATGTTCACTTTTAAAAATTTGCCGACCACAGTGTTGTATGGCTTTATAGGAGATTTGTTTGGATTTTCATGTTTAGCTCTAGGATCGGCAGCGACACTCTATCTTATCTATGATGCTGCTGTGAAATATCATCGGGGCGGTCAAATCCAAGTGTAGTTACTATCTCCACAAGTAGAAGTAAAAGAGACTTCTTTAACACACATTGCTGAACAACCAAGCATATCAATCATTGGTCACCCAGATGTCATAATATATGTTTTAGTACATAATTATGCTCGATACTGTAATTAATTGCTGTTGTTGTACTGAAATAGCATGACCTTCCTGCGAGATTGTGGACGACTCATTCTGCTAAGCAGATATTGTTTGATTCTTGATGTGTTATATGATAATATTCATGATGATGTTTTCAGTGTTTTTCCATATATATTTTCGTATGTAGTACCATCGAGTTTTGTTAATGGCAAAACCGCCGTTATCTATATTTTGCACAGCAATAAGCAGTTTATATCGATGCTTTCAATTATTTTATGCGGATTGTATGAGAACGTGTCTGGCATTATATATTTAATTTACGTTTGCTTTTTAATTCAACTTTCGTTTAAAACTTGTGTCAGAAGCAAATCAATGTTCAATGGCAATCTTGGGAGAAATATGTTCATCTTTGCACTATTGATCTAAACTTTCAATATAAATTGCATCCAACATGTCGAGTCTGCTGATGGAAACAGACATGTAGCTGACAGCAGTCAGTAACAATTCCTAGAACCAACAATACGTCTTCCATTGATAATGCCAATCATTTTTGCGCCGCCACCTCCAGTAGCGAAAGAATGAAATGTGAACTATCCATGCCTGTATTCGGTACGCGCACGGGCAGCAGCAGCAGTAGGAGTAACCGATTACAGAATAGCTACGAATCTACGGCCTCTTATAACTGCTCGACTACAACAGCAACAACGCTAGCAATAGCATTGGTCCGTTTATAATTACAACAACCAATCTATCATACGCTGAATCCCATTCATCTACCGTTAACATCATCATCTACGCCATTGCCGCTCAAAAATTACATACTATGATGGTGGCACTGACAATTCAGACTTTGCACATTGCTTCTTTTTTGGAGCCTACTGCTATAGTGGCACCGAAGTAGTAGTAGGGCAGGAGGACGATTTACAGTATTCAATTTTGCTAAACGGCCAACGAGAGAACTCTATCACCAATGATGAAGCATCTCTGGGAATCTCGCCAACAATTCTCCAACCTAGTTAACATTATCATCACGAGGTAACAGAAGGAAGAAGAGTCAGAATCAGGGCTTTGCTCTCATCATCACCTAATGCGGATTACTATCTTGGTCAGTCTCGGGTATGTGTATATCAAATATGAGGAAAAAATCCGGCAGATAATCCTGATCAATGTTCTCTTACATCATGAACAGCAACAGCAACAATTACATGTAAACTCGGTGGTAGGCACACCATCGTCAGTGCACGTCGTAGTCAAGAAACAACAAGTGCAGCAAGAACAACAATGTATTTTCTATATCCAAATTACTGCGTTTATCCAAGCCCATCAATGGGTGCTACCGTGTCAACGAAACTGCGAAGCGGAAACCGAGCAAACGGTGATGGTGAGACTTCACGTGCGTTTGGCAGCTCATCTTTGCCGATGGATTTTCGCTGCGCCGCTGTGTCTGGCGATTATCATACAAGACTTAACCCAGCCCTACCAGTGCTGATGCGCAAAGCATTTTCTTTGATGGTGGCGGCGGCACTTTCAGTAAGACAAGGAATGCGACGTTTGATGCAGCTGATTTACGTATTATATATAATAATAAAGCAGCGCATTACGCATTTACATATTCCTACTAGTGGTACACATCATTGGCAACAGTCGGCTATATTACTAGGGGCAACAAAACGATCTAGAACTTCTGTGGTACAATCATCAATTACAGCAGTGGCATCGGACGACCCCGAAAGAAGAAGTAGGAAGAATGAGCCTTTGAGAGAGCGGGATCATGGACGACATGGAGACACGGTGCATCTTTGCTTAAAGATCCATACATGCGTTGGATGCGGGCTGTCCTTTCCACGCAAATATACCTTGCTTGCAGCGGCATGAGCGAACAAAGAAGAGCCGTAGTTGCACCACTACTACATAGCACCATCCTTTTTCACTTTCAAGTGCCAGGTGTCACATACTGCATACACATAGCAGTGCCGGTTTGTTTTTTACTATTTGTAAATCAAAATGTAGTATAAAATTTGACATCTAGTTTGTTATTTTGGTTGTACTTTCCTCATCAATCTCCGTCACTTTTACATTGATCATTTTGAATGAACATATGACTAATATAACTAGCCGAATGAGTGAAAACATTGTAAATAAACAAAGGGCATAGATGGTCCCAAACATTTGCCTGTTTCAAACAGGACAAATATCATTTAAAAGCAGTCAGTTTATTAGATCTTGGTTGTGTTAGCTCACGAATGAAGTGAACCACTGAACTACCTTCTTTCTCCATGGCTTGGTATTCCGTACGAGAGTTACGGTGTAATAGTAGCATTGTCGATAGCTAAAATAAAAGAGGACGGATATTGCTCAGAAAATCAGTGTCATTGATAAAGTTGCGAGATACGGGTGGTCTCTACGAAATCTTTTTTTTTATCAATTCATATATACTCCATGAAGAAGGGGCCCGATCCCGGAATCAATGCGATATATCAGCAGTTAGAGATTCTATCACTCTTTATTAGAATAAGAAGCCTACTATCAAAATATTACCGCGATATGCACATACACATCATAGTAGATACAGCAGCGATAAGTAGTAGCGTGAGGCAAGGGGGAGTGAAAATAGGAACTATGTGTATGAGAGATTGTTACTTCTTCACTGCAAAACTTAACTTCTATTGGACAAGTTTTGCTCTCCCAAAAAAAAAAGGATTCGCGTTTCATATTTCCTCTTCAGCCTCTTCTTCCTCTTGTTGAAGCGAGGATGCATCGACAAAGCCAACAGCAGCCACAACAGCATCAGCAACAAAGGCGGCCGCTAAGCCATAAGTATTTGAAGTTTCATATGCTAACTAATTATCTGTCGCTCTGTGACGGTGCGCTACAAAAACAATTGTCGTGGTGATATGCGCAAGAAAGATTTGGAAGCAACTAAACACTTTTTTTGGGTGGCAGGCGGACGTCCCACTTTTAAAACTTTGCAATGCGTCTTTTGCAAGGAGGTACTTTCTAATGCTCAATTCGATGAGATGTTCAAGAATTTTAAAAGTTTAAAGTAACGCGAAGAAATTTAAAATAAGGAAAAACCACTTGAGGAGTTCAGCGAAATGCAAGTTGCAAAGGTAACATTACTGTTGTTGTTAATACTAGTGTGTATTCGCGTATAGCTCAACATTAAGATTAAAAGAAACGCGACTTATAACAATAGCTACTGTTGTATAGGCCACTTTTGACTGTATGTCGTGCTACATGAATTCGACGGAACCTTAATTAGCGCAAGGGAAAAAAGCTTAAAATAACAATAATTGTATTTTAGTGCACGCGCCGGCATTGACGAATGTTGATGTTAAGCTTATTTCCTGTCTAAAATGCACGGCACCACCACGCGAAACGTTGACCTGCTGCAAATGCTCAAAGACTAAACCGTTGGACCAGTTTGCACGGGTAAAATGGTTGAGCCAAGAAAGGAGAATGACGCTCTATGATGATGAAAAAAAAAGAACAAGGATATTCACAGAATGTATGGTACACAATAGGTACAGCGACGTAACGCGGAACGTCCGCGTTGCTTAAAATGCATGAAAAAGCATAGAGACGAGGATGTGAACGACTCGGACCCGGACTACTCTTCGGATGGAAGCTCACTGTCAGAGACATGGGACGATTACTCGTGATTTGTTCTTTTTTTTTTTACCACCAACTGCTTTATAAACTTATGCTTCTTTAATAAAAAAAAGGAGCACATGAAGTGCGGCTTGCAAAACCGTCTCGTACATATACTCGTGGACACCATCGAGATGAGAAGGATGCTGCAACAGTGTGGAAAGAGGACCCATTTTTTACGGCGATGCTTTGAAGATCTATGGATGCGTGCTATGGGATAGATACTGTAAGTAGTTTAAGAATCATCTTACTTTTATACTGTTCCTTTCGCGCATGTACGAAAACATCGGTCCAAGAGTTTTTTGGTCGTGCTGCCATGGCAATGATTAGTTTAACGTTAGTTGTCAAGGCAACGCCAAGAAAATTCTTCAAAAGAAGAAGAATCCCGGGTAATTAGTTGTCGGGCGGTAGTGCCGCTTATGCTCCCGCAGGAACAGCGAAAGTAGCAGTGAATGGTAACAATTTGTGCCGATGTAACATAGCATTGTAGTAAAAAGAGAAATCGTCTATGAATAGTACATTGACGGCTGCTGCTATTTTCTTTCGGCTCTCTTTCTCTTGCTCTATTGCTGAGAATCTGCCACTATCCTCTCTGTATCTATGATTTCTGTTACCCGGTATGTTGCGCTAGTCAGGTCACGCATTTGAAGTAGAAGAAGATCGATTACGGTAAAAATCACTAAACAAAGAGAAGGATAGTGTACGTGAAAGTCATATGCATTCCAGTGAACGATTCCGTAAATAGCATTTACTGTATAAGAATAGTGGAAGCAAACGACTCCGATTTCCTTCTTAATGATGCGATTTCCGCGTTTCTAATCCGAAAGGGGTTGGGAAAGCAGAAAGAAGAAAGGGGGCGGATAAGTCATCCTGGCCACTGGCAAGAGTCGTCTCGTTCTGCTGACATGTACAAATGAGCTTTTTTTCTGAATGCGTGACGTTATCCCACGTATAGCACCCTAATCCAAACCTTGGTTTTCGACAGTGGACGAATCTTGGACAAGCATCCGGTGAACGTGACACGAGCTGCGGTGGGCGAAGCACCCAGCTCCACCAGACGTGGCAAACCGGAATCTGAAATTTGAAGTCCTTATGGGGTCAATTTTCATTTTGTGCGTCGTTCTGTTTATAGATGTACTGTACTGGCCAGCCCTTGGATAAAATATAGTATGTGAGAGAGAGAGAGAGAGAGAGAGAGAGAGATAAAGTATAAAGTACGCCTTATCGTAAATCACAGCTGCAATTCCACAAGGCTGATTCGATAGATAGAAGGCTGCACACATAGACACAGAGAGAGCCGACAGTCAGCTCTTGGGAAAACTTTAATAGAAGTTTCCTAGATACGGCTGGATTTGGCTAACCGCCAAAAGGTACCGTTTACTTTTATACTCTAGCGGCTTTTTTTTTTTTGCTGGACATCTTCTAACATTGACAAGTGCGCTTGCGAGTTTGAGAAAATATTGACACTACTTACCAGCAACAACAATCAACAGCAAGGCCAAAGAGGTGTGTGTTTCGCTTCTTGCTTGTCAGGACCAAGAACTACTTAATTTGAACAATACGATCGCCCATGATTGTCTAAAAACGAGCAAAACTGTGGCTCGTAAAATACTAAAAATAGGCATTTGTACGCCCACTTTGTGCACCCAACCCTCATCTTTATTTCGTACAAACTTTTACAGTTGCTGTAGATCCCCTTCTCTCTCTCTCTCTCTCTCTTCTCTCTCTTCTCTACACTTTTTCTATCCCCTGTAGGCTTCTTCCCCTAGATCCTCTACCTCTCTTTTGATCCTCACCCCGTAATTCACTTCCCTCTTTCCCTCTTTCTCTCTCTCTCTCTCTCTCTTTCTTTTCTCTCTAATACAATTTTGTAACCGTGAGGTGAGAGATCCTTATTCAACCAAGAAGAAGTAAAGATACCCAACAGCAAAACAGCACACCTATATACAACAACAACAACAACAAATGGCCAGCCACGAAATGGGGCACCTGCCTCTCCCACCTCAAAACACAGCACACCAACGACTGTCGTCTGAACCCAACTCACCTTGGGATTCCGTGGAGGATCTTCCAGAACCGGTCTTGCCATGGATGAAATCGGAATCTCGTCAATCGTTTGGCGCCAGCTCTCGCAGCTCTGTTGAATCAGGCAGTCTACACGTAGTAAAGCGATACCAACCTGATCCTGATGCAAAGAAGCGACAAATTTGGACTGCTCGCAAATGGTGGATTTTATTCTCTAATACACTGGTAAAACTAACATCATATGTCTTTTACCTAACAGTGACAGTGGACTAAGAGATGAATTACTGACTTTTTTTTTGCTATTCATGATTCTGATGATTAGCTGTTTTGCTATGGCCTCGGTATCTTGCTGTTGGCACTTTTGACATTCTTTAAACGTAAGCAAGCTACACAGCAATCACCATCGTATTTTGTTTAATAGAAAGCAGCACCAATAAGCGGCTTTCATCAGTTTTTTGAGACTTATGCATGCATGTTGTAAAATATAGTTTATCAACGTGCTGATGTCGTGATTGTGGGTGAACGAATGATCCTTAATCGTAAGCAAACCACCCATCGCTGGACTCTCTGTCATCAAACCGTGTATATCAAGCATACTTAGCAGATCTTTTGACATTCTTCTGTAGTAATCACTTCTACTGGAGCCATCTGCTTGTTCTCTGCGTTGCTTGGCTACATCGGTATCATGCTCAACAACCGAGCCATTCTCACAATCTACAACCTCTTCTTGTGGGTTTGCTTTGGTATGATTGCCGCTATTGGTTATGTCGCCTACCGTAAGAACAAGTGGAACATTGAGGTAAAGAACCGTTTGCTTACTATAGAAAGCGAAGTCCCGTTGTATGTACAAACTAATCCTTTCGTGTGTGCGTGAGTAGGGCAAATTGTCGTACCAATGGCATTATGATCTTACGTCCGATGGAAGATCAAGAGTCCAGGCTAATGTAAGCTAATATCCAGTCAAGCCCATGTATTGCCATGGTGTTTTCTAACCTGCCAAATCGAAATAATTGCTTTAGCTTCATTGCTGTGGATACAAGGCATTCACCGACTTCCATGAACGATCCAACAAGTGCTTCCCGCGTACGCTTTTGCCTGGCTGCAAGTTCAAGTACCAGAACTTTGTTGTCGAGACGTTAAAAATCACGTGGATTGTGGCCTTTTCTCTGATCCCGCTCCATATCTTTGTGCTCGTCTCGGCCCTTCTCTGCTCCAACCACATCAACCGCAAGTTCGGCAAGAACTTGCCTCCCAAGATCTATCGTCTGGATTACCAAGGCATTGTTGCTGGCACGCCTACGGGCAGCTCCGTCAATCTCCACAGGGATGGTTTGCAACAGAGAAACGTGTAAAAGAGAAAAAGAAAAAAAGTTAATATCGAAGGGCTGTTGTGGTCATCGTCGCACAAAACAAATTTCGACTGTCTATCTCACACTCCATTACCACCAGCACCACGTACCGCTCACCTGCTCATTCACCCAACCACTCACATCCACACGCACTTTTTATATAAGATTGTTATACGCCTACCAGCCTATTCTTTTTTTAAATTGCAATTTCCCTTTCACATCATACAGCGTGGCTTAGTATAATCATCACCATTCCAACTTTCTCAGACACACCCGCAGACCGTCTCTCGAATCCATCATGATGATAGTGATTCGGATGGAAGAGGAGGTCTTCTTTCCTATCTTTTATTTTCTTTTGTTCTATATTCTCTTTCAAAATATATATACACGATATTTATTTATACATAGCCTACTACAACCCACTCCACAAGAAGCATTTCTGTTGTTTTTACGTTTCCCAAATCGAGCAAGTGCAACAACAACAATCAGCGTCATTTGCATGAAAAAGAAAAAAGATGACAAGCTGTCCGTTATATCTCTCTTTCTCTCTTTACTTTTAGTAATCCTTCTTGAAGCAATATGCGTTTTATATCTCGAACAAAAGTCGAAAACATCCTCAGTCTAACATTGAATGGAATCAATGTTTCCTTCTGTCTTCTTGTCATTGCTGGGTGCATCTACAAATCAATACAGTCTGGGTTCTCCGAGATAGTAATATGCATTTATGGAGGGTAAACCACTGAATATATTGAGCTAGGCTACGAAACTACTTCTCTTTGGTAACCAATGCAATTTCTCATTAGTATCATAGCAGCACTACTGGTGGTCAATGAAGTCAAAGCTAGTGAGATTTCATTAACATATGCCTATTTCCTGGCTACTTACCGTGGTCGAAGCATGGTCTTTATCTTGTAAGTTTCACCTCGCAATTCGTTTCCAGCAACAATAAAATAACAGTAAAAAACAACTAGCTTTGGATGCCTTGTTCTCGATACAGCCGTCCTGAATATCGTGGCTGGAACTTTAAACTTGGCACTGGGCCTGGTGTACATGGTCATGTCATTTATCATTCCATCATTTCCACCTCCTAATCCCATATCAATCAACTGGCAAAATTGGAAAGACTTTTCAGCTGAAGGACTGGATTTGGCAAGGCCAAAACATGTTTCTGTCGAGGTAATGTACCGTTCACTGCTAAGAGCAGCAACAACAACTAGTACAATGCATCAAATATTCACACAAGATTTGAATAGAGTCACGTAGCCATCCGACTGAAATCACCTCCGCCCCCACAACCACCCCAACATCATAATAACATTCCCGATGATGATGCCACTAGCAGTAGCACCACGGTCGGTCCGTTCCGAAACCCGTATTAATCCGTTATTTCCTCCAGTTCTTCCGCAAGAATAAGAACGCTGAAATTTGTTGTTGAGTGTGTATATATTAGAAAGAAAAGAGAATAAAAGAACAAAACTTGTAGAAATACAAAAATAGGGTGATGCGGGAATATACATAGATAGATGAGGGATGTTATAGAAGGAGGACTGTTGTCTATTTGTTATGCTGCTGCGATTTTTCGCCATAATTTGTAACCTGATAAGGTTCCGCTAAAGAAACCAGACCATGCTTGGACACCACTCGCAAATGATGGTTGCCAAATGTCGCATGCTACCGAGAAACAGAAGAAAACCATTACTATCACCATTGTGTACCATATATGCTACTCCCCCTTGCATTCGCGCAAAAAGAACTTACCACAAAATACGCCATCCATGGACAATTTCACAATGGAGAGTTGTGTATTAAACATTTTCTCATCATCCACGACTTGTTTCTGGCGCAGTTGCCGAAGAGTCATCCAATTCTCGTGTACATCATGGAGAATACCGGCGAACCAACAATAACAAGCAACGACTTCGGCCTGTTTACCGAGTTTGCTCGAGACCAGACCCAGTTTATATAAGCAAAAGATATCATCGGCCACAGTGTTACCCAATTCGTTTAACAAGAAACAGCTCGCCACCAGGTCTGTCTTGTTGTTATCATAGAGGAGTTGTCGAGCAGGCGCTATAAACAGACCGAGTCGCAAGATCTTGCGCGTCATTGAGAATTGGCTGACCATGGGTGACCACGTTTTGGCATGCACGAGTTTGTAGTGAAGCAGAATCTTGAACAGGTATTGGAAAAACTTAATGCTCTTGTCTCGGCCGTCGAGTTCTTTGAGGAATTTTTGTAAGGTTTGAATAAACCGATTGAAACGTCGCGACTTTGAAAGTTGAATAGTGATACTCGTAGTAGTGGTGTCGAGTGGCATGACGAAAGGTTTCTCATTAGTCATGGTTGTAGGTGACACGCTGCGTGGTGGCGATGCAGCCGGGGTAGGGATCGAATCAAGAGGTGACAAGGTGGACATTAAGGAGAGGAGGAAAGAGAGACAAACAATGAGAAGAAGAACGAGTGGAAAGGTGTTGTTGTTGTTGTTGTTGTTGTTGGTCGTTTTGATAAACGATGGTTGTAGTTGTTGATGCTCATGTTCCGCGGAATTGGACCAATTTGTTTCGTTTAGTGCGGTGCCAATCTCGGCTGTGGCACGTTCGTCAACCGCGGGGCAACTGCAGTAGGAGCACAGAACAAGAATTGTCCAGGTGATATCTTGCTTTTGCATAATGCGCATTTCAATGTTTATTTCGTAAAAATAAAAACAAGAAGGCAGTGGTTTATCATCGTCATAAAACATGATACGATTGACTCTATATTGTTGGTCGCTGTAGTAGTAGTAATGGTGCTCTTATAGTCACTGATAAAAAAAATCTGCTGTTCCCGTTGTCATCAACAATGTTACATTCCACTTGCTCCCCCAGTAGCGAGTTCTAAAAAAAAGTGTAAATCGCACGTGGAATCACTCCGATGCTCTTGTTAAGGCAAATCAGTACAATCTATTGTCCGACAAGCGGACCACATACCATCTACGGCATGGCCTTGTGTGTATAAATGGGCTTAGGGTCCCACAAACGCGATGGAAGATGTGGATCTTTTATTGCTGTTGTGCATATGACGTTTTGTATGTCTGATTTATTAATAGATCTGTCAAGGAACAAGGAGAGCTGGCTACGTATCTTCTTCATTATTATTTACTCTCGATTACTGTAAATGCATTACTCGACTAGGATAATGAAGCCCTGTCTATATGGTGGCCCCAGATTCCAATATAACATTCACAACTCGTGATACGCTTTGATCGATATAGACCCATGTATAGAGTATCCAAACGCATATATAGCACATACACTCTCTCTACCTCAGATCTGGCTTATTGACAAATTGTCAAAACATTGTATAAAGCAGTGGTATAGTCAGCATCATACTCTCCTTAGGTAGTACGATATTATGATAATGTAACATTTTGAAGTAATTATGCACCGTCCAGGTTACATCACGCCGCGTTAAACCAAAGACCTAAACTTGCATAAATACCCATCCGGGGGCGAGAACTTTGGAGAGAAAATGAATCTGTTGATTAGTGTGACCATGAATAGGAAATCATCAGTAAGTTAAGCATGTACCTGTGAGATGGTTAAATTTGGAATTCGCGCATAGGAATTAAAGTATTGCACTCTGTATACGGTACTAGTTGTGATGCGAGTGGAACAGAGTCTATATCAGTAAGACTCATCATGCTGTGAAAGTTGGATGGGTAGAGTAACTACTTAGAAGTCGTTTTGTATAATAAAAACCACCTTTCCTTCGATTTTCTCGTTTGTGCCGGTCAGTACAACATAATGAAGGATGATCTCGCTTGAACTACATTGAGCGCAAACATAAATCATAACGATTTTATTAGCCATCACAAATATCATATATATCGCATTTAACAATTATATTGATTACTAGCGGTCCTTCCTCGCTTCGCTCGGATGAATGAGCCCCTCCGCTTCGCTCCGTGTCGTTCAACGGAAACGCGTCGCAAGGGGTTTCCCCCCAAACACCCCTGTGGAGCGAGGTTGGATCAGTGTTTTGGTATTAAATGCTTATTGTCTGTTTTTAAAAACAAAAGCAAGATCAATTTGCAGTGAGAAGTAGTCTATCATAGGAAGTCGTCAAAGTTGGATACTTAACTACCTCCAGTTTAAATGCAACGCGAAAAGAAGTGTAGAAAAAGATAATGTAGTGATATTTATAAGAAGGTAAAAGAAATTAGACGACAAAAAGAATTAGAGAAAAACTTCATGGAAAACAACGTTTCGGGTGTTTTGGCCTTGCTGACCCGCGATACTTGAGTTCTCGGGATCTAACATGATTCTAATAGATGGTGGGGTGTGGACGCGTGCCATGGCTACATAAAGTAGACCATGGGTGAAAGGAGGTATAGGCAAGTAGAGGCCAACAATGTTAAAAATTTGACCTGTGCCTTATTGATGGTCATTGCATTCAGAAGCTCTGGTGGGTATGTGATTTGATCTTCTGCATCATCCACTGTATCAGCGCTCTGGAATTCGTGTACCGTGCCTGGGAAATGGTAGAGTATCAAATCATTGATTGCTGTAACGTCGACATTCTTTGGAGTCATGATAGAGCGACTGATGCGCTAATTTGATCCACGTGTGGTGCGTTGAGGTTGCCTTAATGGCTTCTATGAGCTCGTACGTGTTGTAATGTGGCATGAGCATTCGATCTGGAAGCCGGACTCTGTCATCAGTGGTTGACACCAACAGCTCAGCACCATCACCAATGCGAAGTAAATATTGCGCAAATTGGCGAAGCTCGTTTGCGTCATTGGTGTTGGCAGCTTGTTGGACGGGCATGTTGGTTTCAAGGCCGTGGACGGTGACACTGGACCAAATTGATGAACGATTTAGGCACTGCTGTACGATTTGCGAGCGCGACGCATTCGGCATCATAGGAAGGACCTATTATCAAATATTTTACTGTGAGTACTACCGCTTAATAGTAAGAGAATGCAAAGTAGAAGAGAGGTACAATGTTTCATACCTGGCGAAAGTCAACACCAAAAATCATGATTTTTCCGCGGGATCGTCATGTCTCATGAGATTTCGGATACTCCTGTATACATACAGTATTGAATACGTTGATACTTGTACTGATACTTGTATTCAGCGTGTTTAAAAGCGATGACACTTCTCAGATGATGAAGAGGTGAGCTTCATACCGTGTTGGTGACGGTTATCCCCTTGGCAGAGCAGTGAGGATGTTTATATGGAGCAATGCAACAGGCGAATCTATACAGTTTATTCCGCTGAAAAGTTTTCCGATACCTCCAGGACATAAGTCCGGAACAGATTTAATGTCAAAAACAATGCTTGAGGATGAAAGAGTAATGAACTTCATCTTGTCGACAGTCGTTGGTAAGTTGTAGACCCATGTACTTAACTTTAACCATGAAAACTGCGAAGCTGTCATCACTCTTCGTCCTCGAGCATTGTTTTTAACATCAGATCTGTTCCCGGTTTATGTTATGGAGGCATTGAATAGCTGCAAAGATTGTAAGCGGCTAGTAAGAAAGGCTTATTTTTACCTATCTCAGTGGTACTCATAGAGAAATCGGTAATGTAAAAGATGTATTAATGTTACCAGGGCCAACAACGCTTACAAAATCACATAGTTTCATGCTATTACAGCTATACCGGGTCATCAACATTTACTTCTCTAGGAACGTGTTACGTTTGCTTTAATCTGAACCATTGACCCAAATTGCTCAAATGAACTGAGCTCAGGACGAAGGCTAGTAAGCGCAGCGAAAACCGCGAGATTCTACGTATTTGGCTATATTTTCTGACGTGTGGATAGGAACATCATTCATCACCTTTCATGTGCGGATACTGGTTCATTTCATCCAATCGTTGTTTTCAGAAAGCTGTCATAGCGTCCTGTAACCGTTCCTTTGCTCATATACCCAACAACATTATCTCCCCGTTTTCTCTTTTTACTGAATGGAGGCTGAAGAAGTCTGAGGCTACATCATTTAATTAGACCTTCAGCAGAATGTTGTTGTTGCTCGTGTTTTGGGAACTGTGACCACTGCTGGTGTACGAATTTTGTATTCGCCATCAGGCGAATTGATTTTTTCATTTAAACATTTTTCGTACAACATGAATTTAGTTTTTGCCATTGGGCGAGATACTTCTGGAAAGAGAAGGTCTAGACGAGAACCGTAAATATTTATGTTGCTTATGATCGGAAATCCATCTTTCTTTCCTTAAATATAAGCGTATTAAAATATAAGAGAAAAGAAACTATATAGAACATGATTATGTTTATATATATACAAAGTTGAGACAAAAATAAATTCATTAGCCCCATCTGTCTCCTGCAGCTGCAACAAGTCGGTTGAAACAATCATCACGCTTGATTACATTGTCAAAATGAAGTTCCTAATTTGTATAAGCAAGTTGTTAGTAACCGATCCATCAGGCTGTTCTGGCTCGAAGTAAACTTTTTCGGAAAGATTTTTATATACCTCGCCATCCACAGTAGTGATATCCAATCCATTCGTATGCCATACGAAAATATCGATACTCTTAGACTTGCGTACACTGACAATGTCTCTCCAGTAATAGTATACGAGAATTCTGGCACCTGTTACTCGCGAAGTCCTGAACTGAAGACCTTGGGTTGTTAAAACGATGCGACCCGGAATACTGCCTCTGTATACACATCCGTATGCTATTATTCCGTATGTATTATTCAGTCAGTTGATCCACCGTTTTGTTTAATGGCGATATTGGGTTGAAACGGAACAACTAGGTTCTAAACTTACTTTCAATGACTTCCGATCCAGTCTCAGTAGTATTGATACTTGCCAGGCTGCCTTTCCGCTCAAACAAATTGTTGCTACTCCTGGACTTTTTCAACGAGGTGCTATGCCCTGTCGTCGCAGTATCGCTAGTAGCACTACCAGCGCTATCACTGTTATCATTCTGCTCTTGCTGATGGTGTACTCTTGACCTCTCGAACTGTTCATCAAGTGCATGTTTAACTTGTCCTGCTGCCGCACCAGCAACCATGATAGCCAAAGTAGCCGCAGTTGATGTCGCTGCTTGGTGTTTTTCTTCAGTTTCTGGTTCGCTAATCTCGCCACTATCACTGCGATGAGGGAGAAGATGGTGATGATTCCGTTCTTCTCGTCCTCCTCCTACTCCACCTCCTGAACGTCTCCATCGTCGTTTGGCTGATTTGGGACTCGACACTTCCTCTTCTTCCCGATGCAAACGAAGCACTTCCATGGCATATTCTGCATCATTAGGTACACCCCATAGTAGCCAATCGATGATGTTGAACAGTCTTCGATGTCGTGGATAATGTGACCGTAGTGATTGTAGAACGAAGAATTCGGTGCCGAGCCATAGGAAGACCAGTTTTGTCATGTAGCGCGTTGGGAGAAATGTCAAGGTGACTGCGCTGGCTACCAGTAACCATAGCAACATGCGTGTCTTTTCTGGTCGTTTCCATGTGAGAAGACTGATAGTAAAATAAGAAGTTGCTAAGTCCACTTTTGTTCATATCGCTTCCCTTCTTATCTTTTCTCTTTTGCGATGGTTACTTTTTCACTCGTTCCAAACGATCCAGAATATCCATAAACTAAGTAACAATAATTCACCATGTGAGAAATATGTTGCGTCAGTAAGCAGCAACAAACAAAGCGTCATCATCCACTTATATCTAGCCTAAAAAGCGGTTGCACTTCTTACCAAGAGTTGTCCTCGGGGTCCATATCTTTTCATAATATCACTCCTCCATTCGTTCATGGACTTTGTCTCCAATGCAGTAAACCCGTAATTCAATTCCGTGGATCCCAAATCATGCTTCAACCGTTTCCAGAACTGTTTCGTATGCTTGTTTTCTGATTTGCGATTCTTTCCGTCCTCATTTTTGCTGCCATCATTCTCTTGTTCTTCCTTGGTATTGTTATCTGCAGCTGTCGCCAACGCTTCAACGCCAAATTGAGCCAGTAGATCCAACCGAATCGACACGATATAGGCAATACATGCAGCAAAGAAAAATGGAACCAACAGATCGAGGTACCACAGTATCAAATAACCCTAAAGAATGGTTTGCGTTATCTACACCATATTTACTCCAGATGATTGGGATATCTGGTACATTACTTGATGCTATTCCTTACCAGGGCTAAAGTTCCGGTCAGCCATCGGTTTTCCCACCGATAGATTCTGCGAGCTGTCATTGCTGGGGCTTTGAGTGGTGCTACCATGCCATATAAACGGTCGACTCCACTTTTTACCACTTTGAGTGAAAACGGTTCCAACTTGTCATCCACTTGCCCACTTGCAAAAGAGCTGATGATGTATTGAACCCACTATAACACGACAGCGCAAATGCATATCATTGTTGCACAAAACAGAATGTGAGCATTAATATTGGTATACTATAAAACATACACCTCACCCCTTGCCAGAAATGTCTAAATCACTTACTGCTTCCAAATATTCTTTCCAATTGACCTGAACCGATCCGTCTTCATTCCGAGTTTCGTAATTCTGACGGAGGGGTTTTGCCAAACCTGCGACACTAGCCCGTTTCATTTCCCGTACATGACGTTCCAAGTAGGCTGTAGCCATGGCGTCAGCACTGCCGCCTCCACTGGAGCGTTTACTTTTATTGTTGTTGCTACTGTTGCTGGTGCTAGTGTTAGGTCCTTCAGGCACAACGGAAGTCGTCGTTGCGGGGTTGGCTGAAGCTATCGTAGCAGCCGCAACACTATTACTACTACTGCTGCTGCTAGCTGCATCGTCGTCAATGGAATTGCCGTCGACGGCAAGTGGGGTACCGCCATTACGAAGAGAAACGTCAAAGTTTGAAAAACGGACTGCGGTGGTATCTGAAGTGGAACGTGGACGTGTGTTGTTATTTACAGAAGAATAGGAACTGGTACGTGGTGGCAGAGTGGGTGGAGCCAAATTGTCGCTGGAAAAGGCATTACGTGGTGGAAGCGGTGGAGGGCCAACGTTGTCGCTGTTCATACTGCTTTTTTTGAAAGTAGTTGTTTCAAAAGCAGTGTGGAGTGCGTATTTGTTGTTGGCGTCGTATGCGAAAGTATATGGCAGAGAGAGTGTGAGAGAGAAAGAGATTAGGAAAGTGAATAAACAAAATTAATGTAGGCTAATAGGAAAAAAAAACAGATGTTATTGTTTTGGTTTGATTGGTGTTCAGGATCGACCACAACGTGCGCTAAGAAAAAAAAATGCGTGTTATGCTGTCGTGTGCAAATCAGTATAAGTCTTGGGGATAGCTCATTTCCACGCGTCATTTATTTTAGCCAGCTCTTCTTGCTTCGCTCGCTCTTGTTCCTGCTGCTTGGCTCTGTAATCCTCGTCCACATCATCCGGCCAAGGCAGGAACAAGTTTGCTTTTTCTACGGAAGGATTATCTTGCTGCTGTTGAGAAGGTGGGTAACGGTGGACTTGGGGTGGGTCATTTGAGAAGTGCACAGTTTGAGGCCGGGGGATCGTGGTAGCATCGAGTAATGGCATTCCGCGTGGCTGCGTAGCAGCACAAGAAGTTGGCAAGCTGCTCGGCCGACGATGGATTAGGATGCTTTTCGACGGGTGGTCGTCTGGTCTTGGTGTGATTGTGCATTCCACTGAGTCTTCTTCCCCTCTTTCGCTGTCTTTGATGTCGTTATTGTCGTCGTTGTCACTACTGCTACTGTCGTCGCTGCTAAGCCAACTGCTAGTCTTTGTTTTTCCTTCACAGTTGTTCCGTTGCTGGGTCAAGTGGTCTACATGCTGTTGCAGTAGCTCAAAGCTGCTAGGCGACTGTCCTTCTCCCACGTGCTGGTTGCGTGGCCATAATGATGACGGTACTGCTATTGGTTTAGACCGTGGCACAGGTTGAGCAATGGGCGTTGTTTGTTGTCTTCGTTGTTGTGTCATTGCTCCTTCTGGTGGCAGTGGTGATATCTTCTCGTCATTGCTACTTGGTGCCATATCACATAAAAGAGTGGAAAGGATTGTTGGAATTCTTTGCACACCATATTATTTTATAATCCCTGTGAAACAACTGGATTTTTATGCAGCAATAAGAATTGGCTGAGATTGATCGACATGGGTCACTGGTATTATAAATTATTGTAACACTGACGTTGAAGCAATATGACCTTGCTGCTGCTGAGCGTTTTGCTTGGGAGGTTGCTGGGTAACACTCGTTCACAAAGCCAGCTACAATGGTATCGACTACTGCTTAATCTCTTCAGCCACACATGCTTAAAGTTTAATATCATTCAGTGCTTTGTAGCACGTGTGCATTGTGTATGCACAGACTTTACTATATTAGCAAACTTACTAGATTTATCCGGGGTGAGATAGAGAGAGTAGCACCAAGCATGATTATACGTGAGACGCAAGAGGATTACTTTGCATTGATCTAAATACTGGATGGTGAATATCATATTTCAAAAAAAGAATTGGCATACATCAATTTTTCGTACTGTAAAAGTACCGATATGGGACATTCAATGAGCACCGCATAGGCGAAATTGGCTGACAGCATTCTTAACAGCTGTGCTGTCACTGATATTATGTTACATACAATATATAGCATAGACCGCTTTTTGCTACATACTAACTAGTTGAAAAGTATGCAAGTTATTGTGGAAGACTTATAAACCTTCCCCTATAGGGATATGGTCACTTGCGGTACGTATGACTGGGAATATAGTGTGGTCTCGCGCCATGTCTGAAACCCCCTATTGGGAAAAAGACAGGCCTGTGTGGTAATAATATCTATGTACAATTAGGGAATAGATGCGTAGAGGTAACGCTCTAGGAGTGATGGGTGGTTTCCTTCTGTTGTTGATGCGCTGCCGTGTAAGATTTCTTTGGGCGCTGGTGTGTCAGCGTCGTACTCCTCATCCTTATGGCTCAGCCGGTCCATCTTTCGGAGAACATGTGGTAGTGCTGCTGGTCATGTATTTTTCCATTCACCATAGATCAGACCAGTGTCGGAACGTGGCAGGTGTTCAGGATGTAGTCGTGTTATTGTTCCTCGTTTCGCAGGTCAGGTATCATTCTAAATGCATTGAGTAGCTCTTGTCGTAAAGTTCACAACGCTGGGCAGGTGGCGTAGTGTTCTTTAGAGGCCGTGACAGCACCACATTCACAGTCCTTCAACGGGTATGACGGTGGCCAATGCATTCGTAATTGATCGTCCGGTGCCGATCCTCCGAGGAGGCCGCTAGGTATAGCACCGGGCTCACCGCACGCTGTGGTCGGAGACGCCGGATGGTCTTAAACTTAGAACAGCGGGAGGCAAGCTCGTCGACCCGGATCTTGTCGATTGCCTTGGCGACGGTGGGTTCTGGTGGGTTCTGCCCATTCCGTAGCTTTTTATACTCGTGGTGGAGGGGATTGATTGCTGCTAATCGCCGCCATCGGGAGTCGCTTCGTTTCCCATTGTCTCCAAGTATGGTAAGTTCCGCTGCACGGTCCATGGTGCACACCAGTGGCGATCGGAGCCGCGTGCCGAACTTGAGTTGCGCAATACACGGGCACGTATCTGCATCGAGGGCAGATAGGCCAATAAAATAGGAATTATGATTGGAACTTGGTCGATTTGCTGCTTTTGAGTGTCATTTCGATACATCCGATCTGAGCTATATGCAGCCTTTTTATAGCTGGCTGGCGGAGACAGCTGTGATGGCAAGCCATAATCGAGGATTGGTAGAACAAAAGAGCGATACATTCCATATTGGTGGTTTCCGAGCTGTCGTAACTAGGTCATGCTATCGGTTTCCTTCTCGGTGATACGCTGGTTGATGAGCATATTAGCATCAATGCCCTGGTATGTAAATGGGAGCCCCAGGAAGCTGTCTACTTTGCGGATCGGTGTATTGTATATCGTACTCACATGTGCTGTATTTAAACGCGGCTGCTATGTGGACTATTTGCTAGCGATGCTGCTGCTAATGGTGTAGAAGGTTCAATTATTGCACTTTTGTCCAGGTCCATCGATATCCATAATCTAGTGAGTGCTGTTCTGCAATGCCAAAAGATGTATTATGCAGTTTGAAAAACCTAGTAGCGCAAAATCGTCGGCATAAAGTAATGCGGATACAGTTTATGAGCAGTATCTGGACAGCGTTGCGCTTGGCGACCATTTTGGTCTCTAGAATAAAGTAGTGTTTGTGCAGTTGCTTCCACATTTGTTGGTGACGGTGTAGTGCGTAGTATGTAGTAGCGGTTGCTTCCCAGAATGTACGTAAGAATACATAGTCGACTTGGAAGTGTATCGATGATTGAGCATATAACAATGGGCTGAGGATGGAGCCTTGTAGTACGCCGCGTGCGGGATGGATATATCGTAATTGGTGGCTTTGCAATATTAGCGAGATACGTACGTCGTCGAACAAGTGGCGGATAAGATGGAACAGTGTGCTCGGCAGGTATACCTGAAACGCTGACCATATCATATCTCGTGAGCTTGAATCGTACGCCTGCTTGATACCAAGGAAATTCTTGTACCGGTGGCTCGCCGTATTGACGGGTGTATTGTCGTACTAGCAAAGGCTTGGTTGAGGGCACTCCGCTTGTGCCTAAAGCCTCCTTGCGCTATATCCAGAGCGATGGCATAGCTTCGAGGACTATGGTAGACATCGCTCTAATAGTTTTCGGAGTACGCTTGTTAGGCTGATGGGTCTGTATTTGCCAGCTTTTGTCGCATCGCCTTTCTTGTATATTGGGACCTCCTGGCTATACAGGGACATATTACCAGTGCCAGCAGACCGCTAGAAACTCACTTTGAGTTTTTGATAGAGACTTCGCGATGGACTATAGCATTGCGCCAGTAAGATGATTATCGCCTGGTATTTTTTATGGCGTCATGTTGCGTATGATATGCTTGATTTGAGCAGCAGGAAACGAGTTGTCTTCTGGCTCAGTCTTAGTGTTTAAGGCCAATAAGATCGTATGTCTCTTCGGGGTTCCTCTCGCCCCCAAACACTGTTGATAGATGATCTGCCATCACCTCTGTTGCTTTACGCGAGAACGTGTGTGCTGACTGGTGCTTCCGTCGCATACGTTTGATGATGGAGTTCGCCTCTTCACCTACATACTGACAACATACAAAGTTAGAAAAAAGCGTAAATTTGTGCATATTCCGGGTGTGACTGTACATACAACCATCAAGTGGCCTGTCACAATGAGAATCTACCACACATGAAGGCACTGCTCTTGCTCGTACCAAGGTACTTTCTACGGCATTGTCAATCAATTAAGCACTAATCTGGGAGCACGTGTTTTTCTGATCAGCATGTCTCAACACTGCTCTGATGTGATAACGTATATGACGCCCCAGAATGTTTAAGCACTAATGGAAGCTCCCCACCCCACCCCGCACAAGTCTCAAAGCATAATTACTACTGTCAGCAATACTGTCGGTGAGCCATCACGGCAACAGTCTCTTTCAGTCTGACGATCGAAAGATGTTTGTGGGCAGAAGTGGCCATCCAGACAACACAAGCAGCAGCAGTTAACAAATGAGCTGGAGTGACAGCCACGAGTGGTTAAAACAATAGATAATCATTTCGACTTATAATATGTCCTTTGCTGTAAAAAAAGCACGAGGATCTTGTCTAACTAGCTCGCATTACTTTACGAATTTGAATACTGACTAGTGGAAAGGTTGTTGAGGAAGCAAATCAATGAAGATATCCAGGTTTAGAATATATGTATAATGTCAGCAAAAGGTTACACAGTCCTTCGTCACGAAAAATCCTAGTTAGATAGATGGCCAAGATACACGGGCCGCTTTCAATGCTCTCACATGATGCGCGTCCTCGGCCACTAGGTACATCGCCAACTTAGTAAGCTATTATGTAGTTACGATACTTCAAAAAATGGTTTGAGAGCATGAGAATGGCACTTTTGTCCTCGGATGTTGTTGTACTTTGTGGGAAACGTCATTACCTAGCAACAAGTACTGTTCTTTTTTTTTGTAATCTCCTTAGAAGAGCTGAGTCCAGTTTGGCTATGTATCGGTGTGTCTCATTTTTTGCTGACACCATTCTAAACTCCAGGCCGAAACTACTAATAACTATGGTATTATGATATGTGCTGTATGCTAGGTGACATGGCCTTTCAAATACGTCAGCAGAATAGACAACAAACCATTTTTTTCTTTTATTAAATGTACTAGTTTCTCAAACATGGCTGGCACAATTACCTGTTTGTATTTTTAATCTATTAATACTACGGCTCGACTTTTATGCATAATGGCTATAAGACTTTCGGGGCTGTCCTCTTCGAAGAAAGCTCTTATGCCCTTTTTATCCTTTTTTGGGGGCTGGTCTAGTGGTGCCCTCCATTTACACATCATGGCTAATCAAAAGGTCTTTATAATCCGGATTTGGGGTCGCTTGCATCATGCTTGTCACAATAATCATTTAATGTTCTTGTTATACCACAGGCCAGCCGTACTTACAGACAACGGTTTATTACAGCTGTTCGAGCAATATGATACATAGAGAATATGTTGGTGAATAGGCACTACAAATATTTTCTCTCTTGTTTCTTTTTTCATTTTCAGCGCACAATATGCATACTCTGCTGCAGCATATATCTGCTCTAATTTCTTACCCCTTTCTCGAAAAAAGATAGTAGACACGCTTTCTTATACATAAACTCCCCTCAGAAGGCAGTAGTTAAAGTGCCCGGGGGAAATGCACGTGCATCAGCATATCACTTTCCGCCTGCATAATACAGCAGCGTGCAGCATGGAAAAAGAAGAAATCAGATTGTGCGGTTGTGGCAACTCGGTTGGGTTTAAAATAAAGAAGGTTACAGCATACACACTACTATGTACTGCTCTTGCTGCTCGATGCTATTGCGCTGGTTGCATACTGGAGGGCACAAATTCGCTAGAAAAACCGGAAGCTTGAAATAAAGGAAGGGGTTATGATGTCTGCAAAGCAGGCTGGATGATCAAGAAGATGAGCATGCCGTACCACTAGTACGTCGTATAGAATATCATATGAATGAAGACAAGTGTAGTGTTAGTAATGCTTCTAGACCATGGTTATATTTTGGACATATCAAGTCACATCATCATTCACCTCTTTAACAAAAATTGTAGTCTGTCGTCGTTCTGATGATCGCATACTGTAGTCATTCCAAACTATTGTAAAGTAGTATTGTGAAAACCTGCGGTATACTACAACTGTGGCGTTGTACAATGCGACTCCTTACCTAGTTCAATATGCCGGCATCATGTGTACGTATTTTGTTCCTGGATCTATTTTTTATCCCAGCATAGGGTGATAGGAGGGGGCTTGCTGATAAATGCTGTCTTTGTAAACACAAGGATAATGAGCAGTAGTTGCTTTATGGATTAGAAAAGAGGAGAACGCATCATCGCCGTTTGCTTAAATTCATTATGAAGAATTTCTTCTTTTTTTACGTTTCAAGGAGGTTGTCTTTTTTCTCTTTTTCTCGAAAGGTTAAACAAGCATGCGTTCACAAAGTAGATCAAGTCCGTCTTTCTCGAGTATATACAAAAAACGAGAGGATGAAAAAGCGACTAAAACAGCGCGTTTAGGGAGCTTGGCGAAACTACCAGGTATAAGGGGTGTCGGTTCCAACATAATATTAATAATAGCATTAGTAGCTTTTGCTAATGACGATTCGCTTCCGAGCTTATAATAATCAAAAGAAAGAGGCAGGGAGAGGACCCCGTCATCTGAGGATGTTCGGGGAACGAGAAAGGTGAGGGGAAGGATTGACATTGACAAGTACATATATAAAGCCAACATATGCCACATCATTTTCTTTACCTTCTTTTTACTCGATAAAAGCAAAAGCTAATACTACACAATGAAATACTCGACCGTTCTCGTTACTCTTGCCGCCTTTGCATTGACCGTCTCGGCTGTCCCTGTTCCTGGCACTGAAGCTGACACTGGCGCTGGCACTGACACTGGCGCTGGCACTGGCACTGGCACTGGCACTGGCACTCAAGATGCAAGTGGAAATGGCAGCACAGGTCCCGTAAATGGTGTCGTACGTATCCATCAGCATATTTCTCTCTCTCTCTCTCAACTTTGTTTTGTACCAATTCGTAGCACACACACTGATATACCTTTTTTCGTAAAATGTTAGCTTAACAACCCTTTGAAGGGTGGTATTCTTAACAAGAGCAAGCAGGAAATCATCATCTACCAGTGCGCCCAGGCAAACAGTCAAACGGCCAATGACAATGGCTCCACAGACTCTGTCGACGGTATTGTAAGTAGCAGTGGTTGTCTTTTTCTTTTAAGTGATCAACATTCGAGCATACCGTTAAATTTCTCTTCGTGAATTGTATTAGCTTAACAACCTTGCAGAGAAAGGTGTTCTGAACGATACGGAATACACCATCAAGATTGTCCAGGGCTGCCCTAGTGACGTTATGGCAGCCAATGGCAATGGAGCAGCCAATTGCAATGGTGAAGGCTCTGAAGATGAAGCCAACTAGACTCAAGGAACAGCAAATTCCTCCCACACATCCTACAAAGCAAACCAACATGTGAACGAGTAGTAATAAGATAACATCCTACCGAATCCCCAATAATGATGAAAGACTATATAAACAACATTTTGAAGGAGTAATTTTTATGTGTATGTTTGTTACGGTTGCTGCTACTACTGCTGGATGGGAAGTGCGCGGTGTGTATGTGTGGAATATATTAGAAGTATAGATGACGAAAGGAAGAAGGACAAATTATTATAGGGAAAAGAAAAGGGAGATTATTATTAAAGGATGTTGTGGAACATAATAAGAAAGATAAAGGAAAAACACTTTTAGCTTTTAGTTTCGGACCAAAGGTACGGCATGATTGTCACGCAGGCAGCATACAGTACAGTAAAGATGCGCAAGATATTAAGCGGGGCTTGACTCCAGCCGCCACGTTTGAACTCGCAAAAGATGGCGTAGAAGGCGACGGCAAAGAAGTGGTAGACAAGCACAAAAGGTCGTTGGATCAATCCAGATAATAAACCCACCGGTCCATCCACACAGGCGCCGCCCAACTTGAAGTATTCAAAACAACCACGCTGCAATACAGCAAGGTTCTCATCTATCACATACATGCCAATCAATATATATGCTTTTTTTCTAGATAGCAACCCCCACCTAATACGCTTACCTTCTGCTGCAAAAAGACGGTACAAGGCCATGGCCAACACATTGATGGCTGTGCAATACCGTTTCCGTGCCCAGTGGAACGCATCCATTTGTTGGACGACCACATCCGCTTCTGTGAGTGAGGGTATACTTTCGGGTGAAAGGTAATCTTTTAGGAGCACTACGTCGTTGAGTGCAACGGTCATGCCACCTAAGATATAGAATCGTCAGCATGCTTGGGCACTCACATCTTCCCATCTGTGATCCGTACCTCCAGTTAAAGGATGGCGCATGTTCATTGCATCGCCCAAGACAATAAGGCCACAGCTTTGATTTGATGACGGTGGTAAGAAACTGTTTGGCATGGATCGTAATCGTTCTGTCTCCAAGGCTCCGATGAATTTCTCCTAATGATGTGATGGGTTTAAGCTTGGTTTGAACACATATCACCCTCATCCTAACATCCAATGATCGTTTACCCGAAGACTTTCTGGGATTCCCGGTGCAACCACTTCTTGCATATACTTTTTGAGCTCTCCAGTGGATACGGAAGGAAGTTGTCCCGGTACATCCACAAGCACACGGGTCTCGTGAGTGCCGATCTGATACATAAGCACTGGTGCAGGTTTGGCCAAAATGACATGACCATGGTTTGGCATAGGCAGTGTCAGATCCTTAATTTCGAAACTATTGTCCATGCAAAATAAGATAACGGACATTCAGATTAGTGAAGATGCTCCTCCTGCATTTTTTTTCTACACACACAATCCCTTTCCAAATTTTTAATGGAAGCATTGATACACAAAAGGCATCCACCCCAAATGTTACCCAACAAAATGAGACCGGACGTCAGGTGTTTTCTCTGTAAATTCTTTGCGGAACCTTGAGAACAAGCCATCGCATACAATGGTGAGCGGTGCGAAATGCTATATGAGACAAATCAAGAAGACCACTTAGCACTCGTTGCCAAGACACAGAGTATACTCTTTCCTTTTCTCGAAAACCCTTTTGAAAGCAAACCTTCTCTTCATCTGCTCCTCCTTTAGCCACAACGCCAATCACTCGATCATCGTCTTCGTCCCTGATAAGTGTCGTAACAGTAGCTTCTCTCACTGTAACACTAAGAAACGAAAGAACGAATGAGCCTTCTCCTTATGATATCGTACATAAATATAAGAATGTTTGGTAATCTACTTTTTCGTGTTGGTTGCTGCTGCTCGTAGTTTCTGAATGAATTTGCCGTGATGGAACGACTTGCCCATAGCCTGCTTGCCCGTTCCTTCATCCGTCGGATATGGAATATGCACTACCTCCTCATTGCGGAATACACCATAGCCATAGCACGGAATGCCATCAATATCCTCAATACAGTCTAAGTTTCAATCGAAAAGGAAAGGATGACCTTTTGTAAATGCATATATTTTTCTGTAGATGCATTGCACTCCCTTCCCGGTCCTCTTCTTTTTTAATGGAAAGCCTCTCTCCCCTCTCCCTCGAGATAGAAAAAGAAAAAAGAGCAAATTCAAACCTTCTAATCCGAGTTCGATAAGGGAATTGACGCCACCAGGTTGTAAGAGTTCACCCACAATGCGATCGGGTTCAGATAAATCGCGTTCAAGAAGCAATACACGGCGTCCACTACTACCGAATGCCTTTGCAGCAGCAGTGCCAACGACACCTGCTCCAACGATGATTATATCGTACTCTTCGATAGAATGTATTGCCGCGGGCATTATTATGCTTTATTTCACAAGATGAGAGAGAGAATAAGAAACGCAGTGGGGGAGAAAGAGAGAGACGGAGAGTGAAGAAGAAGAGACGGGTCTGATGCTGGAATGGGAAGTGATCCGGAGGTTGTGACAGATAAGTTTGAACGGACTGAGGTTTTTTTTTCTGTTTCACCAAGCGCTGCCTTTGAAGTTACTCTATTTTTTATCACGTGTTGCTTTAAAACTGTTCCAGGTACAACCAACCCTACGTTCCATGTATGATATATGCAGCGCACAGTAACATATCGCGCACAGCTTTGAGTGCTAATATGAAGCAAGATACTGGAGAATCGCTTTATGTATTGAATATGTGAGGAACAGACACACATTATGACTATGGCAAAATTTGATATAAGAAGGATTCGTGCATACAAAAATAAGCAAGGTATTAAAAGGACAAAAAAAAATCGGACGATCCGAATAGAAATTGCTGAGTTCAAAGAGGGTTATCCGACCCTTGAAATGTATAAGATGGAAGGGGGGGAGGAGGAAGTAGTATAACTTGGGCCAACAGAAACGGTAATGCTGTGGAGTTGAAGATGACTGATGCAATTTACATGTGAAAAATAGGACTTCTTCTAGATGCATGTTTGGGCTATATCACCTTCTTTTCACGCATATGGCAAGAAACTCCATGCTGTCCCCACTGCCGCCATGCTTATGGCTATCGCAAGGATGCCTATATTAAGACAGGATCGGGCATTCGAAATGCTGTGCGTATAAAGGCGTTCGTAACACATCAAGGGGAAAATCACTGAAATGCCAAAACTGAACAGTGCGCCCAAGAGTGACATGACCCGATCGAATCCCGGAAATATAAGGGCAATGTAGACCAGGATTGTGGTAACAGATAGACGGACGATGGTGGTGAATAGAGCTTGGCGAAGCCAGGAGGAGCAGGACAGCCATGCGTCGATACGAGGACGTGCTTGCAACCATAATTCACAGGCAACATTGAGTGGATTCATGATCAATGCGAATTTGGCGATAGGCGTAATCACCACTAGCCAGAGGGCCACGCTGTTGAAAATCTTGTAGTATCCATCGGTAACGGCCAAGTTTTGTGTGATCTATTTTTGTATGTTTCCAAAGTCAGTACTACTGCTTAGCGAAACCTTCTTATTATTGCTGCTACTATGGTACCAGCATAGCAATTCAAGTATTGCTAGCGCGGCCGTACAGCAGCAATACTATTGTTGTTGATGCCACAGTACTTAGCAAATTAGGGTTGTTTGTTATTTCTTTACCTCTTGCATAGTTTCCGATCCAAACATTAGGTAGCCCGACACAGCCATGAGCGCATACACAAAAATTGTCAAGACGTAAGTGATGTCGACCATCTGATCGTACTTTTTGGGATTCTCCATGTCGCGGTAAATGGCCGGAAACACTGCATGACCAGCAAAGCCCGCCATCATCAGTCCAAAGCTCAGGGGGATCCGTGACGGATCCGATGGCAGCAGCTCAGTTTCCTGTATTAGATATAGTTAGTTACACAGCCCATACATCAACATGAAGCAATCCAGGAGATTTTTTGAGGGCGGGCAAGTGATAATAGTAGATACTAGTGTTGATCATGCAATGGTGACTGGTGAAGCTGGTAGTATAGCATTGAACAAGTTGGAAAAAAGAGAGAGGGAGTCTAATCAAGAACGTACCATGGGGTCCCAAAGACTTCCGGGTTGTGTCGTTTTGGAAAGTCCGTCAAAAAGAACAATGACCATGAGCAAGACACAGCTGATGATACCAAACAAGCTTGCCACAGACAGCTTGCGCAGTGATAGGAATTCAAACGGTGCCATTAAGCAGAAACACAGTATCCGTGAAGTCACAAAGTCCAAAGATGGATAAAGTGCCTGGAGACCATCGCCTAGCAAGGTCACCATCGCTACACTGAAAAATTAAATATGGTAAGTCTTTCACACGCCAAAGGAAAAGGGAAACGGAGACGCACAGGATATGCGTTTGATACAATATCACAGATCTGTTTTTCTTTGTCTTTATCCATATCAATAACATATCTACAGCAAATAATAACAATAGACATATTTACCCCATGGTGGCTAGTTCTACATAAAACAGCCCTCCAATAAATGCACGTCCGCGCTCTCCGAATGCAGCATTACCCATGTCGCCGTAGGTCGATGCACCCGGCGCTGCATCTAGACTGCGCGCTAGCATTTTGGCTGTGTAGTTGGTACCGATGGCACAAAAGATAAAAATCGCTGAACCGATCAGCCATCCAGCGTATCGAAACGCCAGAGGAAAAGCTAGGATGCCGACACCAATAAGCACATTCATGGCGTTAAATACTGACTGTACAAATGTGGATTTCGTGTGCTGTTCGTCGTGTGGTGGTGGGAGTTTGAGCTGTTCTGATATCACAGAGGCGACTGTTGCATGTCGGGACAATGGGGCTGTCGTGCCTAATAAGTGGTCCATCGAAGGCGGTGCAGTGCGTTGTGAAAGTGTCTTGTAGATACCGGTGTTGCTGTCATAATCCCTAGGAAAAACGTGTTGCATTTGTTGGTGGTGGCTGCATATACGTAAAGTAGCAAGCGAGCAATTTAATTAGTGTACATAATGCGGTGCACAAGCAAGGGAAACGCCTCATATGCAACTAGTAGCAGTAGTTTATTACTCATAATACCTTGATTTAGGCTCAAGTGGATCAACAGTGGTTTCTTCGTCGTCAATGAAGCGAATACTGCGATCGTCTCGATGATATCCGGAGGAGGATAAATTTTCAGCGATATAAATCATGGAGGAGCGAGAATAGGATTCTGCAAAGGAACCAAGGGTGTCTCTTAACGACCGTGGTCGAGAAGTAGTATTGCCGAGGAGTTGGCCTAGATCTTCAGTAGGACTGAAATAAATTGTCTCTGCCAACGAAGATTCTGCTGGTGGTCGTTGTATTGATCCATAGTAGTTCGGGCGCGCGTTGTTTGGCATGCGAATATCGACAGGTGACGCTGGCATGTCATCACTGACAGATGAAGTTGAATTAGAGGCCATGGCAGAATAACAGTATCAATTATATATCAGTACGACAAGTTCAGTAGGGATATACTGCTAGAGGACGAGAAGAGGGGAGAGGAGAAGCAGGCTTTTCTTTTCTCTTATTGCTCTCCCTCACCTTGGGGGGAATTTATATAACGTCGAGCAATTTAAATATTTGTGTTGCTTCAAAGGATGAAACACTCCCTGCGTGTGGATACCGACATTACAAAAGTTTTTTTTTAATTTTGTCCTGGTGATTTCCCTCCAACAAGTCAATGATAAAACGTCAATAGAAAAAGCACTCCTTCTCTCCCCCCACAGAAGCTATATCTATTATGTGTCCACGTAGTACATACACTTAACATACATACACCCCCACAGCATCGCGAATCCATTATCCGACTGTTTACTATTTTTCCCAGGCCATATGTAATAGATAAATAGATAAAGCACGAGAGAGGGATGCACTCATAGACAAGTCCTTGCTCAAATCACAAGACAACCTAAAAAGGTCTAGAAAGTTGGAAAGAACTGGAGGCAGGATGCATAATCTTAGTTACTTATCAAAGACTGAAAGTAAATTCAGTCGTACGCTACTGTGCTACTAGTACGGATGGTGAAATATGGTCGTGCATTTTGCGTATATGTTTTTTGCGCGGAGTGTTATATTCACGACAAGAAGAACCCATCTTGGTATGTATTGTGGCTGCGGGGTGTCACTAAAAATGGTGCACCGCTGAAATGGTGCACCGAGATTTGTGACTCGGAAAATATGCTTTTTTCTCTTCGGTTCCTGAAAGAACGCTTTGAACTACATTCCAAGCATAATCTACTGTTCACAATATAACAATGTATAAATACATTACCAATTTTCGAAGAAGATTTGTTAAGGATTCATATGAAGAGGAGGCTCCCGCATATTTTGACTCCAAAAGCAAAAAGTACTATTCTCGACAAAGCATCTAGTCCTTCACGACACTCAATCAAACTTACTCAAAACTTCTCGATTTTTGACAGGTACGTAAAATTGAATTTGGACATTGGATGGTCTATGCGCAAGGTTTATGGTCCTCGAAAACAAAAGTTCAATATCCATCGCTACAAGAAGAAATGCAATGGTTTTGTGCGCTGCAAATTCTATGGCAAACATTTGCGCCCGCGCTGCGATTTTGAACAAATTCATAAACAATGCCAGCTTGGGTGTATGCGCTGCGGAGGCGATTTAGAGCACGTTGACACTTGTAAAACAGAGGCGTTCTACTATTTCGACGGCAATAAATGCACTGTTAAGCAGATCGGCACACATGACCACGAACAATATACTGCGAAGCATCTATCGGAAGTAGAGAAGGAAACACTGGCAGAGAGAATTGGAAGTGATCCAACGGTGACACCCAAGGCAGCAATTTATGGCAACAACAAGCGAACTGGGGAAATCGTTGAATCGATCATTAAGATCAACCCAATTCTTGGCACGAGGGACAGAGCCGAGTATGAAATCAACAAAGTACGCGAGGAACGAGATATTCCAAGAAAAGGTGAATTTTTCGGCGACTTAGGGCAAGATTATGAATGAGTTCCCTGGGTACTTCCTCCACGCCCACGTTCTGCCAGGCTCATTCTTTTTGGCGTATCGGTCACCGGCTCTTAAAGAATATGTTCACTTTCAAGATTTTCCGGCTGTTACCGATGTCACTTTCAAGGCATTTGAGAAAGGATACTATCTCTGCTCAACAGTGATCTATGTTCCTGAGCTGAAAAAACACACAGTGATCTTCCAAGCTGTCCTGGATGGCCTTTCACAAACCTACTTTGCCCAATACTTCTTTGCATTCTTCACAGAGTACAACGTTAAGTTTGAAGGCAACAATTCCTTTCTCGGTATGATGATGGATTTCTCTTTGGCACAAAGGAATGGATTTCTGCAAGCCTACACACAGTACACCAGAAAGGATGACGGCATGCGGTTCCTAAAAGGGTGCTATATGCACTGGATGCAATCCGTTCAACGTCTCAACAGCAATCACAGCATCGTTCTACCCGAATCCAGCGAACGATTTCGTGAACTGACCTGCATCATTCAGACAACTGAAGATGCTGATGAATTTTGCCGTAGTTGTAAGGAACTGGTGACAAATTTCAAGCATACTTTCAAATGGCTCAAATGGTGGCTACAACCATCTATAAGCAGCATGATTTTTCGACATCGCTCCAGCATGAATGACGCCCTCCGCAGCCACCCTTATCGTACCACAATTGCAGTGGAAGCGTTCCATAGAGATTTATACCGAGATACTGTACACAACTTGCCTATATCTCTAGCGCTTCCACAAACGTTGAATTATATCCGCTCAGATGAATTGACACTGAAAAACTATGAACAAAATGCGGTGCCTGCTTCATACAACAGAGCACCACGACAAACTCGAAAACGATCAAAGAAAAACTTTGACAATGATGGACGTGCTCCGGATGTTTTCGGTAAACTTGTTAATGATGTTACCACCGATCAACAGCCACTGGACCATTTTCTTTATGAAGATCAAGCTGAAAGCAAGACACTATCACAAGCAGAAAAAGCCACCAACAAGAGCACCATGCCCTTCGCCAAAAGACTTTCGAAAGAGGATATCAAAGCAGTATCACAGCAAGATATCTTGGATAAGATTGATGAACGCGCCCTGCACCTTTTGGATATGGAAGTCGATCCGTTCACGTTGAAGGAAATTGAGACAATGGCTGAGAACTTGGAGACAGGGTCAGACGAAATGATGCAATATATCATGGGTGGCGAGATGAAGAATGAAAAGAAGAAGCAAGAAGTGAAGGAGAAAAATGCAATGAGCAAGACCAAAGAAAAGATGAAGACGGAGAAGAAAACAGAGAAAACGATGGACAAGAAAACTGAAAACAAGCAGAAGAAAACTGAAAACAAGCAGAAGAAACGAAAACACACGGAAAATCAAGCTGAGGACTTATGGCCAAGTAACAGGAACTTCGAAGAGAACCATGGTAATATTAATAGATTATTGGAAGCGATTGGCAGTATAACTGATTTCAATTTAATAGTTTCGTGTCCATCGAGAGATCCCGCTCGATTGCTCGTTGGGAATTAAGCAAATCAAAGCTGACGGATGGTGTGGATATCGTGCCCTTGCTCTCCAACTTCATGGTGACCAAGATCAATATATTAAGGTCAAACAAGCAATTCTTGATCAGCTTTTTGCGAACTATGATTTCTATCGCGATACTCTATAAAACGGACGTGAGGTCATAATGCAAAATGCGATCAAACGAATGGAATATGGTATCACACCAGAAACAGCACAATACCAGAAGTACACTTGCAGTTCGGATTATTGGTTCAATGCGATAATAGATGCCCAAATTGCTGCAGATGCATATACTGTGCCGATTGCAGTATATGATGATCGCTTGGATTGGAACAGTGTTTTGTACTTGCCTTTTACTATCCCAAAGGGAACCAATCGGCAACCGCAGCCAATAACTCTTTTTCTTAGCTCAAATCACTTCAACGCAATCGACCTCGTTCCATCCAGAGCACGACATATGGAGTGGCCACCCGTCAGACCTTATCATGAGATAGGTTGGCATCGTCTTGGACTTAAGGCAGATTACAAGACTACATGGCGGTATCTTCATAGAAGGCGCTTGACCGAAAACGAGAAACAATTTTTCATAGACATTGGCACAAGTGTCATATAAAAACAGCAGAATAGAATTTATTAAATATTACTAAATATCATAAATTTCGGTTTACACAGTGCCAGAGCTAAAGTGAAGTTTGGAAGAGAAATTAGCGTATGGGATGCATATACGAAGGTAGAAACCGCAGGAGAGAAAGGAATGATGGGTGCACTTTTCTGACACTTTGTCGGTGCACTTTTTCTGTGCGCCTCGAACCACTGTCACATCGCTGTCACAAGTCTCGGTGCACCATTTCGGCGGTGCACCATTTTTCGTGTCTCTCGTGGCTGCGTACTTATACTGTTACTGAGAGCCCCATTTGTTATTGTTATTGTTATTGTTTAATATATACTTCTCTCTCCTCCCCTTCAATGTGTTTGGGTGGAACAGCAAATGCGTACTTTGTCTTACGTTTGTTGCTACCTGAATTATTGTTTGATATTGCGCAATCCACTGTTTTTTTTCATACTTTTACACATAACAAAACGAGCGGTAGAGACGCCTCCTACCTCCACCAAGCTGACGGTTTTTTTCTCTTCCTTTTCGAGTCGCGCAACAAGTTCCGATGGATTTCAACTTCCGCAGAAACAAGGCTTAAAAATTTTTTTCGTCGCGTTCAAGATAGTTGTGTGGCTCTTTCGCGTAAGGTATAGTATTCATATTTTCCCATTATTGCTTTGTTTCGTCATTGAAAAGACTGTTCAAAGGCTCTTTCGAAGCTTTCTGAGAAATCATCACATGTCTCAGGAAGTCAAAAAGTAGCCAAGATCCAACCACCTACACAGTCTATCAGTGATGACAAGGAAAAAAGTCTAGTTTCTCATGTTTTACTGATCAGAGTTTGTTTCCCATACTACATAGGTCCGTTATGCTTACAAGTCGACTCTTTATTGCTATCAAACAATTCTTTTATAATAAAAACACATTTTCATAAAACGTTAAACCAGTGGGGCTTTCGTCTCGACATATGAGACCTTTTTGTTCAGTTATCTAGAAAAAGGCATTTTTTGTTAGTCTTTTTTGATGCAATGGAGGGGGTTCATTCGAGAGCAGAATAAGCGTTACCAGGAGCTGCTCTGTTGCCAAGGCCAGAGCAAAGTTTTCCATTTCTGCCAGTCGCAATGCTGTGATGTGACCGCCTTGTTGTTTGACGTGCTGTAGGATACGCCTGGCTGCCCTGTCGTCATCCATGTATTGGGTTTGTACTACGAGTAAACCACTCGGAAATTTCCGTAGCCGGAACGGCAGCTTCAGTTCTTCAAATTGCTGGGCTGCTTTGTATATATCCTCGGGAGATATAAGTGCTAAAGACATAAGACATGGTGTTTGTTTTGTTGGTAAAAATGAGTTCCTTCAAAAAACTTGTCTACTATTGTTACAGGGAGAAAAAGGAGTGCAAGCTTACCGACACCGCGCGCTCGATTAAAAATACAATATAAATCCGTGAGTGATTTCATGCTATCCTGTTCGTTAAAGATTTTGCTCAAAAACTCTCCCAGTTCTCGTGCAAGTTCTTGGTGATAGATAGAACCAGCCGAACCACTGGATAGAAGTACCCAGTTAGCAAAGCATTCTTCTCTTAAACCATCATCTATCAGTATCATCATTAGAAGGGATGAAACTCAACCTACCGAGTTACTGGATCAGATATACCCAGTTCTAAAAGGTATGTACGTAGCGTCGATAGATCGCCTTCCGTATTATTGGTATCTCTGTTCATTTTTTGTGAAATGGATTCTGCTAGTTTGACCATTTCTGTTGCTTTTCCCATCAGTCGATCCAGGTCTTGGAAGGCATCCGTCATTGTCTCGCTTGCTTCAGCTGTATTTTTTTCAATTCTATCCTGGATAGCACCTATATAGGTACCATTTAAAGCGTGTCCAAATAGAATAAACCATCCCCTCCCGCTATAGCTAGAACGTACTGATGCCAGCACCGCGAGATTTAGATATGGATGTCCGTTCAACGGGTGACTCTATCGGCTGTGAAACAACAACATTGCATATAAGACCATCATCCTTCACATTTCCTCTAAGCCTGTTTTTCTTTTTCAAAGAATCACCTTATCCCACGCTTTCGCTTCAAGTGCACTCTTGAGCTTGCCAAGAAAACCTGATTGACCTCCATGACGAAAAGCGAGACGAACATGTGCATTATCCTCGAGCTGTACCGTCGCCACGGATTCAGATATACTGGAAGGTGTGGATACCGTCGGTGAAGGTAGAGGGACAGTCGCCAAATCCGTACCACACATCTCACACTGCATCATGCTTGGATGATTGATAAACGTGCATGCTCGACAAGATACATCACCATTGTTCGATGATGGAGGTGGATCAGTAGGTGGTGTTGGCATGGTAGGTGTAGTAGGAGTAATAGCTTCTTCAGCTCGCTTGACTCCGCACAATTGACATTTTTCGAGCGTGCCTGCGTTCGCGAAGGAACAGATAGGACATACCCACGTCGGCAGAGTCATTTGAGGCATGCTTCTTCGAGAAGGACTAGATACCGTTTTTTTCTCCAAGTGTAAAATGATTTTGGGGGATGCTCGTAGGAAACCGCCCTTTTTCTACCAATTAGTCCAGCGCACAAGCTCGATATATTCAGCAGCACCATCTTTTATAGCAGATAGGTTATAAAACTTACATAGCTGTCAGCTTCTTTGATATCTCCAAGTGACAGTTCAACAGCTTTTTCAGCAGGTCGCGCATTGTCCACGTAAATGATGCGATGTGATGTCAAGTAACACACGCCGTCCTGGTAATCATCAATCTTGTTCTTGCTGTTTTCGTGTGCGTGCATCCAAATTAGCAAACGTTTTAAAAATATTTTTTTTTGGTTATTTGTATATACCTTACCGCTCATATAGACCAACATTGCCTTGCTGTATAATAAGTGATTCGTTGGGTAGTAACACAGGTCGTCGAGAAGAAGACAATTCGGTCCGCTCAAAGTATTTCATTTCGCACAGGATAACGGACGGCGGACAGCAGCGGACATGCGACGAAGAGTAAAACGCATAAGATATACGTGACTGAGCAACATGAAGCATAATTTTTTTTGCCACTTTCCTTATATAATTTTACAGTATGTGATGATTCCCAAGTATGCATGCGATAGATTTGAGAACGAGCTTGGGTACTAGTTGTCTGTATAGTTGATATTGCTTGCAGTAAACAACATGAAATTTATCCAATAATAACAAGACAAAATGAAATATGTTAAATAACTGTGGTTGTATAACAAGCAGTATACAACAATTAAACAGATTTACAGGTCTTCAGGGTCAGTACTATTATCTTTGCTAGTAAGGGATGATCGTGAGGAGAATACATTAAATTACTTGAAGGTTTTGGATGAGGTAAGGAAGGGCAAGTAAAAGTACAAGTGTACCGTATATAACATGGAGAACGTTATTAACGATTCTATCCCATTGTCTTTGGAAATGTTAAGATAAACCACTCGATTAAGTTACTGGCTGTTTCCTCACCAACTTGGTAACTGGGGTCCCGTTCGTATTTCCTCGCGTGTCCTTGAATAACGTGACGGTGCCATCACGTTTAGTCGATAAATAGATTAGTAGGGAATACACCGACATCTCCGGTCGCAAACGTCGAACGATCGCTTGTCAAGTATTAACCGGTGAAGTTTGATCATGCTTGTCGCCAAAGTAATCGTACAATTGCTCCAAATTTTCTGCGTCGCGCGATTTCTTCTTGATATTTTTTCTGTTGTCCTCCTTGTAGCCCTCGTCAAGAAAGCGTATGTCCAGTAAAGATACGTATTGCATTCGAGCAGCTTTGGCGCAGGGTGAAGAGGTAGGATTACAGTGCTCAACTTGGATATATCTCAACACAACATACCCCATGATCTAAGGATCTTGAGCTTCTCTTTGCTGCATATGCTCTGTAACAATAAATGCATCAGCAGAATGATCCAAGTATAATGTAAGCTATATAACTCGTATAAGAGAAGAAGTAGCTTCTGAAAACCCTTTGTCTAGACCCTTTGGCTACAATCCTTGTTTTGACAATATCTTCAATTCATTTGACAGCTGCGTTGTGAAGATGACATGAAGGTTTTAGGTAGAAATCGAATTCAGCGTTATGAATCCACCTTGTCTGATTAGCGAGCAGGGCAATTACGAGTAAATTTATTCAAAAGGCGCCAAGATGGTAGTCATGCCGCCTGCGCGATTTTTCCCTCTTCTGCTTTCACGCAGTAGCATTTTCGTTAATATTACCATAAATGAGGGTAAACACAGTGGACAAGTACCCGGCGTCAATGATTATGCATTTTGCTAATCATGTACAATAGCTGATAAATAAAACGCTAGAAAAAGATTCCTCGGGTCATGTTACTCTCTACCCGGAAGAACTCGAAGACATGTGGCATGTTTACAACTTGATTTCCAAAGAAGATCAAATCAAAGCAACGACGATCCGGTACAGATGTCAATAAACTTTTACTTTCTCCATTCCATTTTGATCTTACAGTAAAAGATAACTGGTTATTCGTTTAACGTGATAACATAGACGCCTACAAGCGGAAAGTTCGACGGGATCAACGACGAGCCAACGTACACGAATGGTGCTCACCATTACCGTAGCAACTGTTGACTTTGATCCTCAAGTCGGTCTTTTGCGTATCAATGGTCGTGTCACAAGCGAAAATCCTTACGTGAAGGTTGGTCCTGCCTCAATATTTATGGATGTGTAGTTTATTTACAAGTCTTTGTTTCGTTCTTCCTACATCGCAGTTGGGTAGCTTCCATACCATCGATCTAGAATTGAACAGAAACTTCACCTTACTCAAGCCAGAATGGGATGTAATAGCTTTGGAGCGTGTTGAGGATGCATGTGATGTTACCAAACAAGCCGACGTCGCTGCTATTGTCTGTCAGGAAGGATTAGCAAATATCTGCTTCTTAACACAACATATGACTGTTGTAAAGCAACGTATAGAAACACCTATTCCACGGAAAAGAAAGGGATCAGTGACAAATCATGAAAAGGTGAGTTTTGGGACTAATAGCAGTAGATGGGTATCAAACAAAGCCTATCGCTGGTAAATATGCTAATGAATGAATCGACGCGACCAAAAAATAGGGCCTTCAAAAGTTCTACGATCAGATCTATCAAGCAATTCTGCGATTACTCCACTTTGATATCATCAAAGCTGTCATTATTGCTAGTCCTGGATTTGTTCGGGTATGTGACGCACTTGATCTCACAATCCCTATGTTTACTTACAATGTTGGAGAAATTGCTAATGTTTGGGTGACTACAATAGGAGCAAGTATACCAATACATTTTTGACCAGGCTGTGGTAATGAACACAACAAGGGGAGGAGAATAAGGACGAAGCTTACTGAATGTTTCTGCGATTTTAGAAAACCGACAACAAAGTCCTGATGGAAAATCGCTCCAAGTTTGTTCTTATCCACAGCTCCAGTGGCCACAAGCATTCGTTAAACGAAGTGATGCAGGATCCTGCAATTCAATCCAAATTGGCCGATACCAAAGCAGCACGGGAAGTCCAAGCCTTGGAACAATTTTACGCCATGCTTAACACCGATCCAGACCGGGCATTTTATGGCATTAGTCACGTATTAAAAGCAAACGAACATGGTGCCATAGGCACTCTACTTGTTACAGACGAATTATTTCGGTAATAACCGATTACTGTAAAGTGCTGGCACAAAAGAAAGATGCTAAAATATGTAATTTCTCAATTAGATCCGCGGATATCACAACGCGGCGGAAATATGTTGATTTAGTGGAATCTGTCCGGAATACGGGAGGAGACGTCCGTGTATTTTCTAGTATGCATGTCTCTGGCGAACGTAAATATATTATCTAGATCTATTAGAAATTCAGGATGAAAGTGGTTGCGAGGTTCTTCCTTACTAACTTGACCACCTTTTAAACAATAATAGAGCTCAATCTGCTCAGTGGCGTTGCAGCAATCCTTACTTATCCATTGCCAGATATAGAATTGGAGGATACAGAAGAAGGAGAACAGATAGAAGAAAACAGCCATAGAAAAAGTGACTACGTGTAATTTAATTATGGAGATGTGTCTATAAAATCTTTGTGTGAATGTGTATATATACATTTGCGTTGGTTTCGAAAAATGAGTAAGGGAGAGTGTGTATGTGAAAGATATGCGAGGACAGGAGAACAAGGTCATCATTATTGTTTAAGCACTTCATCTCCAAACAATGCAGCTGCTGCTTGAGCAACAACAGCTTGTGCGGCGGCCTGCGCAGCAGCATAATTCATTGCCAGAATTGCATCGATAGCAGCCAAAATATCCGCTTCCCACCATCCCATCTCGTAATCGACCAATCCATATCGTTCAAGTTTATCAGCCCAAGCGACCACCATTTCACGTAAGCCGTACAGATGCTGGTCCGTTAATCGTTCGATTTCTGAGCTTGGTTCGTGTCGCTGGGCTAATGCATACAGCCAGCAATTATTGAGACCTGCCCAAAATTGCTCGCGATCAATAGCATTGTATGGATGATCGTCTGATGTCAAACCTAGATAGCAGGGTTACTTGTAAATGATAGGTTTCGTAAAAGCATAAACTTCGACATTATTTATTACCAAGTTGTTCACAATGATCGACCACTGCACTCGTTGCTTTGCTAAGTGTTTGAAAACCGCTGACCATATTCCGTTGCTCCACATGGTCAAGAGTGGCTTTTAGTTGTTTCTGTATCTCTTCAAAAGTGGTAGTTGATGTAGGGGGTGGCGGCTGCAGGGTGGCAGGTGCTACTTCTGCTGTTGTTGCTGTTGCTGTTGCTGTTGGAACAGCAGTCGTTGTGTTGGTATCAGTTGTTGTTGTTGCTATTGCTGTCTCAGCAGCAGGCGCTAGAGCCACTGGGGTTATGGGTGTTACTGATGTTACGGGTGTTGTTGGTGCTGATGTAGGTTCCTGCTTTTGTTCTTCAGTTTTAACGATGACTTCGATGTTGCCAACTGACTCCATTTTTACGGTAGATTCCGTTGTGGTGGGAGTGCTAGTAGTGGTTGCAGCGGAGGCAATTGTTGTTGTTGTTGCTGCTGCTGCAGTGGCTGTTGGTGCAGTCGATTCTAGACTGACAGCGGGTTCGACTTTAACTGTAGTTTTTGTTGGAGACGATGTCTCAAGATCGGGCATGCTGGTATCTTCATCTAGACTGCTTAATGGGCTGCTTGACGTAACTGATTGTAGAGAAGGTGAATCGGCACTAGCTTGCATATTATTTTACTTTCCAAAGATGTTTGTGCTGAAACTTTATCCGGTAGCTAATTTTTGCGAATTCTCGGATCGTTTCGCCTTTTCTCCGCAAAAGATGAGCCAGTGCCTAATGGTGATTCATTTCTATTCCGAAGGTATTCATATATCCTCGTGAGGGTACGTCTATTTCATTGAAAGAATTTCTCCAACTTGGTGATGCGCTAGTAAGTTGGGGATTGACGCAGCTAGGCGGTAGCGCAAAAAAGGACAATAGATCTATCCGAGAGAAAACGTTACATACATCAGCCTTCACTGGGCTACCTCAAGTTTATAAAACTATACATAGATGTACATCTTCTTATTTACAACACTTCTGATGCGACCAACTCCATGCTGTAGTAGACTCTTTTCAATAGTGTACATAGCCAAAATCTGTGACGGGCAGACCTTTTGTCCTCTATATACTTTTGAAAGCGTAAATTCCGAACGTTTGACAATTTAGGATTGGTGTACATATGACTGATTCCTTGTTTGATTTAGCATATGAAATGCTTGCATGAACGCAGTGAAACGATTGTTGTCAATGTTCTATAAGCTACGAGATTGAGAATTGACAGACCCGTTGTTGCTTTCTATAAATCCTAATATCTGTTACATCCACGGCTTGCATATGAATGGAATTATCTCTGTGTAATTCCGAGAAACGGGTGCATATTCAGGTACAAATATTGGCTATGCATACCTTGTTTCAAAGAACATGATCATCTTGTAATGGATGAAATAATTAAGTGCTAAATTGGATATATTAAAGAAGCAATGTCACTGAAGAGGCTTCCTGGAGCCTTTTGCGTGCATGCACCAGCTCACTCAATAGTACTGTACATAGCCACGTTTATGTACTAGTAGTAGCACAAATGTGATGTGACGGAAGATTCTGCATAAAATGGATCATTCATGAGAAAATATACCAGCGACGTTCTGCAAGGATCCAGGTTTACTCGTTTTGAACACAGGGACCCTGAAATTAGTCATTACGGTAAACGCAAGGAATACAATGACCATACAATAGTGTAAATGACAATGGTTGATTACATAGCAATGTAAGCCTTCAAGTAAAGGAACATCTCCTTCATAATTGTGCTGTCAAGTTGTGTATTACATAGTCGAAACACATTGTTTAATGAGAATAGGGGAGAACTTGTTACTACAAAGATGAATTGTTTTTTATAAAGGACAAAGACCGAACATCTGTAGGACACTCTTGTGTCATGTAGTTGCTCGTCCGAATGTAATATGAATGTCGGTATAAACTTGTCATTTTTATTGCTACTGCATGCCATTGTTATTTTTTCTCAAAGAAAGAGTTTGCTACGACTTTATAGTGTATATAAGCATTGAAGTAAAAGTGTGTAGGTTTTATTTTTTCTTGGATCATCATCATGAACGACCAGCTACAGCACGAAGACTACTCATCAGAAGAACTGGCATCAAGCGTTGATGATTTCAACACTACTGAAATTATTGGATCCTTGCCTCAGTCATTACTACCTACGCCACCGTCGCAATACATCGATGACTCGGCTTCTTTTCTCCAGCCATCCGAAATGCTCCTTTTCCAGAGCTTCGATGTAGAATCAGCATTACAAACTAGTACTGGTGAAACGCTGCCATCATATACGTCGCTAACAGCAAGCGCGCCGCCATTTCCATTAAATACAATAACAACAACTATACCAACGTTGGCCGACGAGATTTCGCATCAGGTCAGAGTGCAGAAGAACGGCGAACACGATCAATCAAATATCGTTGATACGTAAGAAACAATAAAATACCAAACACATGCACACATCAATAAGAAAAGACGACACCATGCATAAACACTCACATAAGCGTTATTTAATGAACTTGGCAAACTATTTTTCTCTACTATAGTGGGCTTATACATGGATATCTACAGTTAATCGTTCACGAATGCAAATGCATGTTTGCACATTTTGAACAAGCACGGAAACATAGGGCGGTGGCAGTCTTTCGACAATTGGTAGAAGCGCAACAGTTCGGATTTGACAGCACTGGACGCTATTATTCACTCCCAGAGGTTCCAAATGAGATTTCCCTTGAGGTCTCTCTTGTTTCCGAGAGCCATGCCGTCACCCTTCACAAAGACCAACCTATTCACAGTAGTAAAAGACCAGCAGGAGAAACAGCTGCGATGACTGAGGGCGATAACAATAGCAGACGCGTCTACCAGCTTGTAATAACTCTCGACTCTAAACCTACTAGTACTACTGCTAGTAGTAGTAGTGATAACGGCGATGATGTTCAGATGGGTCAGACCTCCACACCATCACTACCACAGCAATACGAGGAACAGCAACGACATGTTCACCAGCCGTCCCCGCAACAGGAAGAAACACTACGTAAACGAATCTTGGAGATTGATATACAAGGCTATGCTCCCTGCCCCGAATCCTCTCATCAACATTCAATTGCTGAGCTCGATGCGCTCAGGTACATAAAATTGTATTCTTTGACTATTGCTTTCAGCATTTATTATTACTATGTCCGTTTCATCGGTGATAGTATAGAAAATGCATAGAATATACTTAATTTCATATTTCTTCAATAGCTCAACCCGGGATATCAGTATGCAAGCTCGCCAAGAAATACGTTGGTTCAATGAACATTTTGCGCGCGTAAAATATTATCAGCAAGCTCTTCTTCAGATTTACTACGGTGTGTAGATTAGGATTGAAATCGAAAGATCATGGTGATACACAGCTTTTGCGTTTAAACTGTCCCTTGTATTTATTCTCCTTATCTATTTCAACCAATACCCCCGGCACGATGCCAATCTTTATGTCTGATCCTGATATTAAATTGGTGCTCAAACAAAGCTTTTACAATATTGTTCTGGGAAAAAGGTTAAGTGAGCGCTTTTCACGCATTTTTTTTGGAAGACACATCAACTTCATGTTATATACAATGATACAGAGAACAGCTAATCTTTTTCATTATGAAATGTTTCTAAGGAAGGCACAACTTACCATCAAATTGACCACTAAGAGCTGGAACCAACTAAAAGTTGTACTGCAGTGGTGGTGCTATACTAAGCTAAATGAAGAGAGTGCCGAAGTCTCGGCCAACAGATGGTGTGGTCGCTCTCTCTTTTTAGCAATATCTAAATCCATAAAGACTTAACAATACTTCTTGGGAGTTTTGTTCCGCGGAATTGGATTTAAAATAGCTTGGAGAATATATATACCAATGAACTCATGTGACGCCCGATAAGGTTTGATGTTATGCTGCGCAAGACTTGAACAAAATACTAGCCGTCATCCAAGCACCATCTATATTCTGAGAGAAATCATACACGTTTTGATAGGGATCCACACAAGGAATGCGCTAATTCCAATATTCAGCTCTATATCTGACTAATACAAATGCATTGTCAATCTTTAGAGTAAATCGTTTAAAAAGCCAAACCTGCCGCAGCAGTATCTGATGGATCAATAAAGAAGCCCCCAGTTAAATGACATATACGCAAAATCGGCTAGTGGATCTCAGAATGAACTTTATTGGCAAAACTGTATCTTTTTTAACTGCGGGCCTTGTGGGTATATTTTTTTGGGCGAGGATGGGGTCACATGAGTACGTGTGACACCTTGGGGGTGGTGAAAGGGTCTTACTGAGAAGATACAATCGACAAGCAAATAGACAAGCATGATAGTAATAACAATAGCCAGCGAATCAGTATCGATGCTGCTGTTGTTGGTGCGCACTGACCCCTCTCTTTATCTCTATTATGATACTGTGTTGCAAGGATGTGTGTCCTCCAAAAATCACGATTGTTCCCCACCTTTCACATTGTTATTGGCTGCGCTGTTGGAATCGGCCGGGTATAATTTTTTACAGCGCTTGATTGTTATACAGTCTAAATTTTGTGCTTTCTTGTGTCTTGTAGAAAGGAAGAGTGGTTCCTTATTGTTGACGCCATACTCCGTCCAAATTACAAACGACATATAAAGAAGTGATGAGGTGGCAATCCGAGGTGATGAGGTGGCTATCCGAGGGCACGGACACGTTGAGGAGCGTGTATTTGTAGTACGTGGGAAAGGACACAGCATAATAGACCGTGCCTGAAGAGCAGCCGAGGGCTCGGACGGGGGCTCGGTGCAAGTCAGCGGCTCATGTTTAGTAGAGTAACGGCAAGAGGAGGGGGCTGGGCGGAGGAACGGCTTCTTCCGTTCGTTAGTTCCGATGGAGGGCTATATTTTTGCAAGATATGACTATGACCTCTGGGGTATACTTTCATCGTGATTGGAGCGGAGACCTTGAAAATATATAAAGCCGATCCAACCCCAGCCCAGCCTTCCCTTTTTCTTTTTCTTCACAATCACTTTTGTACCTTTATCTCACTCTTCCCTTCACTCGCTTGTTTGTTTATCTCGAAAAATGGTCTATCAACGCATTCCACATGAAGATCTCGCCAAGTCCGCTTTGGCCAAGTTGACTGGTACGTATCCTTTTGCTCTGTTTACTTTTCATTGCGCATTTTATCATGCTCACCCATGCATTTCTCAACGACACACACAGATGTCGCCAGCGCTGCTCTCGGCAGCACCATCATCGAGGTCACTGACGAGTTCTTCGCCGCCGCCACCAACATGATCAACCCTGCCCCACCAATCCACGCCCCCGGCAAGTTCGTCTCGACCGGTGCCTGGATGGACGGTTGGGAAACCAAGCGTCACAACCCTACCTACGACTGGGCCATCATCAAGCTCGGTTTCGCTGGCTCGATCCGCGGTTTCGATGTCGACACCAGCTACTTCACCGGCAACCAGGCTCCTGCTGCCTCTGTTGAAGCCGCCTTCGCTCCCGATGGCAACTTGAAGGATGCCAAGTGGGTCGAGATCTTGCCCAAGGTCGACTTGCCCCCTTCGTGCCACAACGTCTTTGTTTTGGACAAGGAAACCGAAGTCTACACTCACTTGCGTGTCAACAACATCCCTGATGGTGGTATTGCTCGCTTCCGTGCCTACGGTACCGTTCATGCTATCTTCCCTGAGGACAAGTCGTATGTATACTTTGCTGGATGGAAGGTTAAGGAAAGGAAAGGAAAGGAAAACTGTATATGCTAATGGCGGGAATTGTAAACTCCATCTTGTAGCACCGTGTTGGATTTGGCTTTTGTTGGTAACGGTGGCCACACTGTCTTCTGCACCAACGAGCACTACACTCCTTCCAGCAACTTGTTGTTGCCTGGCCGTGGTCAGAACATGGGCGATGGTTGGGAGACCAAGCGCTCGCGTATCCCCGGCTACAGTGACCACACCGTCATCAAGTTGGGTGCCAAGGGTCACTTGCTCAAGGCTGTCCTCGACACCACCCACTACAAGGGCAACTATCCCAACAAGATCACCTTGGAAGCTACCTCGACCGAGCAAGAAGTTCCAGAAGAGTCTGCTGCTTGGACCTCTTTGATCGAACCTTCCTCCGTTGGTGCCCACGGCTTGTACTACTTTGACTTGCCCTCCACTGACAAGGCTTTCACCCACGCCCGTTTCACCATCTATCCCGGTAAGCGCTCTTTCTGTGTTGTGGTTCGACTATTGGATTTAACATAGGTATACTAAATGCTGGTCGGTTTATATTTCATAGATGGTGGTGCCAAGCGTTTGCGCTTGTACGGTATCCGTGAAGGTGGCAAGCTTCCCCAGCTTCCTATTGCCAACCCTCAATTCGAAAAGTTCGATGACGAAGTCAACGGCAACGCCAACTAAGGAAATTGAAATTATCTAGTAAGACTTCTTATAGCTGTAAAGCTCTAGTAGCATACCAAAATTTACCCTTTCTTCTCTCCTCTTAACCATCTCACCCCCATATATATGATGTGAAAAGCAACTTAGTTTTTGTCCTAAAAATGTTAAAAAAATATGTAAATACATTAAAAACTTGTACACACTCATAAACATCACCTTCATCTACACACATCCATTACTAATTCCTCGCACGTGCTACTTACGCACCATGTACACACATCAACTATTCACACTACTGCTGTCAGTATATATATATATATATATCCACATACAGATTTATTCATACAAGTCTGTAGTACCGCATCAAGAGAGTGGATGCTACACAAAATACAGCAATTGCAAACAATATCGACATGAACCAAGTCAGATCGTGCCTGTCCTGGCCCGGCACCAATACGTTCATGCCCCAGAGACCCGTCACCAGATTCATAGGGACTAAGATGCTACCGAGTGCCGTTAATTTAGATAATACATCGTTCATTTCGTTATTCGTTTGGGTCATTTCAATGGATATCTGGGCCAAGTAATTCGAATGCGACCGTGACGAGATCTTTTCATAGTGGGTCAAGGATTGTAACATGGTGATGATATGGTCTTGTACATCCCCCAAGTACAGGGATACTTCGCTGCTCAAAACAGGCTGGAAGGCATTAATGTTGATCTCTTCGTTTTTGTTATTCGGATGCTGGTATTGATGATGCTGCTGCTGTTGTTGCTGTTGTATATCGCCACGTTTCACTAATGTCTTCACCACGTCTACTTTGCCCGATAATAAGCGCATCATGCTCATCATTTTTTTGCGGCAGTATCCAATCCGTCGCAGCATGTCAGATTGTTCAGATTCTTTCAGGATAAGCACCAGCTCGTCGATGGAATCCACTTCGAATTCAATGGATCGGATCATGGGTGCAAATGAGTCAGTGATATCGTCGAGCAGACCATAACATATCCAATCTATCATAGATAAGAGGGGTGCTTGTTTAGCTTTCATGAGATCTCTCTATCCTCGTATTTATCTCTCTTTTACCCGGTGACACGCTAATATAATCCCTCAATTGTTTGATGCGCTTGCGCACGTTGTGCGGATGCGGCGTGTGTCGAAAATGAAACTATGCATGTTATACAACAATAGCATATTAGCTTATGCGTGTTGGATGTCAGGTAATGTAGATTTAGCCCGATGCGGATACATATAAAAAAACACATACCGAAAGCACGCCCTCTTTTAACACAATAATGTACAGCGCCAATGGTTGCAAATAATTGACGGAGGATTGATTCTGCTCAAAACTGCGAAAACATATGAAATAGTAATTCTTGTAGATTTCGCACTTTTCGCGTTGCTCCTCCATGCTGATATCCTCGACTGTCAACGGATGAATATGGAACGTTTTGCTGAGCACTTTCATCTCGGCGTCTGTGGGACTGAGTATATCCAGCCAAAAGCAGCCCCTTTTTAACAAATCGCTCAACTGACTGCTGGTATCGGTTCCAACCCCTTCAACTTGCTGTGCAGCGAGTGGTATCTCGTCAAGGGATCGCACATGGATCGATTGTGGCTCGGCCACTGAAAACAAGGTGACACGACCGTCTGCTGCTTGGTCTTGCTTTTCGAATTGTGGATGCCGATTTCTGTCGCCGTATAAACTATATCGCCGAAAATTGGCAGCAGCAGCAGAGGATGATCGACGCCTTTGCCGAGGAGGCGCTGGTGGTGCTTCCAAGTGCTGATTACTGCTCCGTTGATCCCGAACATAGTCATCGAGCTCCTTGTAGTTGACGTCTTCTTCGTCGTCTTTTTTGTCGTTGGGGAAACATACGTCCTCTTCAAGTTCGGATGCGGGTCTGCTGGATTCGTCTGCAGACGTGTCGGAGGATGTTCCGTAAAAGGGTTGTTGCTGCTGCTGCTGCATATCAATAGCTAGATTATGATGGTTGGATGGTTCAATGACTTCGTCCGGGGATGTGCTGAACACTACGCCTCCTTCTCGCTCCTAACATTTTATCAAGACAAAAGAGAGAAATCTCTTCATATGAGCTTAAACACTTGTCCCAAAATAAGTTGAGATAAGAACAATTCACCTCGGCTTCCGGAATGGAGCCATATTGTCGCGATCGATTAAAAAATAGATTGAGCGGACCAAAAGTCGATCCTTGACGTTCTTGATGGGCAGCTAATGGCGGATCGCCATTTAAAAGGTGTTGCCGTTGCTCTTCTTGTTCTTCTTGTTGCTGTCGCTGAGAAGACGCTGTAGACCGTTGAGTTCGTTTTGGTCGTCGCGAACGGGCCATTCGTGTATGTGTGTGAAGCGTGTGTAGTAGTGGATGAGTACCAAAAAGAAGTTGAGAAAAAAAGCTGCGTCGTGCACGTTTTTTGTCTTCAGTTCGTGTGAGCGTAGCCGTTTAAGCTGTCAAAACCATGTACGTCAAGTGTTGGACAGGAAAAGAATGATGAGTGCTTTTGTGCTACAGCCAAAAAGGAAAAAGAGAGTCGATTGGCATTTTTTTCCGTGTTTCGCATATTCATTTGTTCATTCATCGTATACGTATCACTGTCGCATGGCTAGCTGCCAGCCACTCCCTATTAAGCGCTCAGCGTAGACTGGGGCACTCTCTCCTATTCGCGTCTCTATAGCTGCAGATTGCAGCATGCTCATCCATTCATTTTCCGTTGTCTTCTCCCCTTCAACGTACTTTTTATCTTCTCTGGTCTCGACGCAGCACTCCATCTAGGCCTCAGTAAGAGTTTATCTATCTTCGCACTGTGTCCATTCTAGTAGATATACAATACCAGCTGTACACAGAAGATGGAATATACATCGGATGCAAAAGCTGGTATGATCCATTACGTGTATATTTCGTCATGAATTATTTGAGGCGATATCTTGACAACAGCGATACAAATTAGAGCAATGACACCCAAGATGTCAAGATAACTGAACATACTGTAATAATTTTAAAGTTATACAGCAGTATACGCTTGCTCTACTACTACGAAGATGATCTTTAAAACAGCACATCTGATGTGCCGATTCTTTACATTGACAGCACGTTGCCGTGACTCGAAGCTAGCATGTCTCTTAATAAAGTACTGTATCATGCCGATATAGTGCTCTTGAAATAAAAGCTTAAGGTGCGATGAAGAAGTCTGGCAGCAAACTTTGGATGTAAAGTAGCCATTTGAAGAATACGCAAGGAACTGGGTTGGGGGGGGGAATTCGGTTTTCAAAGTGGATGCTAGGACTCTCCATGGTGTCGTTAAAAATATACACCTAGTCCATTAGAAATTTGAGTGGCCCGCGCTTCAAGTCAATTTTATGAAGCGTACCAAGCTATGCTCAATAATTCAAAAAAGAAGATACCACATAGGCCACTACTCGTGCACCTTTTTCTCGTAGCATATGTTTCGTTCCAGCGTAAAAGGTGTGTTCAACTGAACAAGTGCCCAGGACAGCTGCTCATCGTAGCAAAAATACATAATAGTTCAAGACACCCGTCCTTCATTCTGTCATAAGCATAGACTACTCTATTTGGACTACCTAGATACATCGATCAAAGCAGCAGCTTGCCGTGGTGAGGTTTAGAACGAGCAGTAATCACTGTAATATGACAGGTTATCATGTAAACATATCTATCGTCTAGTCATCGGAAAACTTCTACATTTTTTCGGTATCCAATCGAAGCACATGTGATCTTTGGGATCTAAGCATTTTATGTACCGTAGATCGTCTTTAACTATTTTCACACCACATGATATCAGATAAGGTGCTCAACTTTGGCTGAAGCAGTATGCTATAAAGATGACGGAATTTATTATATTAAAATCACAGGCGTAAATCAAAACCGCAGCTCTTATGACATCTCACTTTTAGCTGTCCATATCTCATTCGAGTGCCAGTACTGTTGTATTCCCACTCCATATGTACGATCCGTTTGGCCAATGATGAATATTCCAGAAAGGCAAATGTAGGATACTATGGGCAGCAAACAGAAGTAGTAGGACGTTCTTGACATTGCAAACGTTGCTATTATGTATATTTTTTTCTTCCATATGGACCGGTGCACGTATTGGTAGCTTGCCATTACGATTGAGAAGCGAGCATTCATTTTCTTCACAAGAAAAATAAGAAAGATCAAGAAGAAATTGAAGTGCAGAAAAATGAAGGTCTCTAACCTATCCAACTGACTAAACTTTAGGCGACGACTCGCCACCTTCCGCTAGTAAATCCAGCGCTATCATGCTTTATGGAATTCTCTTGATGAGGTGCCATATTTAACTATTGAGCTTATCAAACAGTTAATATAAAAAAAAGAGCTTTTCGCTATTGCATATGATTGGATCTTGCTTCTGCCATTTCATCCTACTGTACTATCTGACCATTTCGGCTCCCTCGGGATTTGTTGTGTGAAGTATAGTTGCAACATCATCTTTCTTGTTGTGCTATAGTAAACAAGGAGACTTACCCTCTTTAAACTGAACGATTAGATCATATATTTAAAGAGATGAAAACAAGTGCGATATGGACGGAATTGCCGTTTTTGTTTTATGTACTGCCACGTTCACCTCTGCACATCTATGAATCGATCGACGAATATTTTTTCGGTCTATAAAACTATCTGACAGGAGCATGAGTTCTGCTGGCTTGTTGTATATATATCAACAAATCAGACGGTGATCAATAATATTGGATATGGACAAGGCAAATGGTTGCTGGAAGAATTGTAATATTGTAAAGGCCTACTGATGAAGGAACTCTTTGAACAAGATGTCATTGATGTCTTTGCAGCCTTGACCACCTTGACGCACCTGTTTATCAACAGTTACTTTAACAGAATGGTACCATCGCCATCTGACGACGAGGACGAGATGATGCTCAGCACATTATTCAATAAATGCCATGGCGACCAATTCATCTATATTCGCATCAAGCGGAAATCAACATATGACTCCAAGAACATAGACAAAAGATACAAGCAATTATCGTAGCAGTAAAACAATTCTATCAAACAAAAGTCAAACTATAAGAAAAAAGTGCACCTATGCTGTGCCAACTTAAACACTTAAAATGCCTTTATTAAAACGCAATGCACATCTACTATAAATTTGCTGTCGCTTATTCTCCTGTGCTCATAACACACACAGCTATAACACAGCGATCGAGCGAACATTTTGGGCTTTTCTTTTTACTCAAAAAGTACTTTATCGACAAAAAAGGCTTCATTTTGTTTCAAAGTGGTACCACATTACTTTGTAATAACTCAACTATTTACGATGATGGTCGTACGCACGCTCTATATAACACATGGAAACGTGCCATTGTCACACGTCGACTTTTCAATTATCAATTAATTATTGAAGATGTAGATGCGTTTTTTAAGTACTAGTAGGTATTTCTAGAAAGATTTACACATATGCGTGACCTAGCTCTGGGACAGCTTTGTTTTCGACCACATAAGTAAAGCCGGTCAGAACCGAACTATTAGGCAAGCGCAGGAGGAAGAAACAATATATAAACGCGACAGACGACGACGGAGTCAGATGATTCACGCGGTATGTGTATCACAGCATCTTTGACCAGTCTCTCCCTTCATTGCATAAAAAAAAGGCTTGGTGATCTGGAACCGACCTGCGGGCGGGGAGATAAAGGCGGGGCGACAGTCTTTATTTCAGATACAGTCGACCCCCGTTAACATCAACCCTAGGGTACCAGCAAAAGTGTTGACGATTTCGAGGGTTGACGACCACCGGGGGTAGAGAATAGGCAAAATCTTTAACTGCTCTATTTGAAAGGGTACGAGCGAATCGGTTGACGCTATCGGGGGTTGACGTTAACGGGGGTTGACTGTAAGCATTCATGCACCCGTAGACATAATAGCAGAAGAGAGAAATATAGAATGTTTTGATCAATCGCTTATCTGACATCTGACAAATACAGTCAATACAGATGCATATAAACAGAAGATTTGGCGATGGTCTTTGTATGTACGAGACGGAACGGTGGTGACTCCCTCCGTCAGGGAACATAGCTAGAAACTAGGGCTACAATACTACTCGTATACTTCTGTTAACTCGCCATCTTAGCATCAGTGCAAAATCATCTTGATGATAATTGTTGCAGCAGATCTTATTTTTTTGCTGCAACAAACCCTCAAAAAGTACCATAGGGATCAAGAAGTAAGCCTCAATAGAATCGAATCCTCTTGTGTGGATAAACATGGATGCTCAACTTTGTATCCATTGGGGACCGGGATGATAGAAATAGAGCCGAAGAAGGCGGTTAGAACAATAAGAATTTATCGTGGTACAATCTGCAAGAGGGAGTCTATATGTGTCCTGGTGCTGATGCGCACAAAACTCTAGCTCGGTATGTCACAGGCTACTGGATAATAGTTCTGCAGATCAAGCTTACAACAACAACGAGCGGCGATCATCATCATCTCGCCTACAGAAATCGCTTTAATTCTATATAGAGTACATATTCATCTTGACAGCAAAAAATCTGCACTTACGTAACATGAGTAGGAGAAATTCTATAGTAAGGATTAGCTTCATTAGACTCGCTAATTTTTTGACAAAATTTAATAAAGACCGTATATATGCTATTGTTTTGAAAAAGCAAGTTGCACAGGACAGGGATTTGTATTTGACGGCACATGGGTCAGGCGTAAATGCGGGTGTATTTTTAGTAGTAAAAGTTAGACTAACAAAGAACTTAGGCTATACCTCATTGGAAAATATCAAGACCAGCACAGCGACAACTGTGCGGGAGGGGAACCGATCACTTTGGTTTTATGTGTTGAGTTTTGACTTAGTGAGACAGAGAGGAAGCATTAACACGTTTTCGGAAAATGCGCGTCAAATGGCGCTTAAATTTGTTGGATATGGTAAAGCTTGCAGTAGCAGCATGTTGGCGCCCGTTGCTGTTGTTGACGACTATCAAATAACCCAACCGTTGACTAAGGAAACAGCAGCACGCGGAAAAAGCAAAGTTAAAGTTTCACCACGGCAACGCGTTTTTTTGCTTGGCAACCCTCCATTCATTTTTGTAATTCACCATTGAGCATTCCCAGGGGATAAAAAAGGTTCTGGCGAGGAAGCTCTACAGGTATAGCACAGCCGCACCCGGAATCCAGCACTACAAACCCGGAGAACCTGTAAAAGACAGTAGATTTTGTTTGGATATAGTTATATATGCACACACACTCAAGGGGTAAGTGGAAGATAAACACATTAGATCGGAAGCAAGGGGTGGGGAGGCGAGTTATCACCACCGGCTTTTACTTGTTCTGCCAAGTTGAGCTAATTAACAAGATCAGGGCACTTTCTTTATAAGCATAAAATGAAAATATTACAGTGGAATCGACTCTTTGCCGAAGCTTGTGAGGCATTCTTTGCTCTGATACTGCTGCTAATATGTATGTGCTGTATCCAAAAATTATCAAAAAATTTATTATAAAGGTCCTGTGTTCGATCCAAGACTTTCTGGCCAGAACCAACAAGAATGGTAGTCTATCAATCAAAAAAGAGCAAGAGCGGATAGCGTGCCGCTCGACCGGGAAACACGAAGGTACCACCATACACCCTCGAAAGATTCCGATGGTCACACACATACACGCGCACACATGCACCGTTCATCATTCTCGTACAATTTCATGGAGCATTCTAGTAACTGGAAAACCCTCTTCCTTCCTTACTTGCAGCGGCAGCCATCCCGATTGGAAGAAGAAGAATAGATGCAGGGACCCTTTTTTACATAATGAAAAATTCGTTTGTTTGAGAAAGAGGGAGAAATCAAAAGCAGATCAGAAACACAATCGTTTTCGGTGCCAGTGGCAAAAAAAAGTGTGTGCATTATTTAGCGGCTAACTAGTGAGCGAGTTAGAGAGAGAATGTGTGTGTATAAAAATAGCGTTGGGTGGGCGGGAACAATTCTGGTTAATGAGCTACAGCGTTGATTGGACGTCGTTAATGAAGTACGGAAATCGAAATTGTGTGCACTGTACATGGTAACTCAGACCTCTTTTTTGGCGAGGTTAGCAGTCGAGAACTCGTTTCTTATAATTCCATGCTGTACTATCTGATACTAATACTACTATTAGTACGTATTTGTAATAGCTACAACGTCTCTCTATCTATTGCCCGTGTGTTTGCGTGTATGGTTTGCTGTCGTACCATCTCTACCCGTCTAGTATAGCCAATTGGAAGGTAACAAAAGAGGAGTTTTTATTAGTAGTTAGCAGGACCATGTTCTCGCCTAGATTTTTTTTTATTTTCGATCTCCTCTCCCCCCATCAACTTCACGTCTCACCACCTCCCTAATTTCGCTTTTTTTACGGTGCACAAAGCGAACCTACTACAGTAGTGCCCACCCTCCCTCCTCTTTTTCTTTCTTTCTGTTTCTTTTCTTTCCCTTCTCCTTTAGCGCAAATCTCTTCTCCAAGGCAGCCCCAAGTCCTTTCTTTACGTTCTTTCTCCCCCTTTTCCTCATTTTTCTCGCTCACCCTTCTCGTCGCCCACTTCCTTTCATTTCCACCTCTCTTCCTTTCTCTCGCTTCATTTTCTTGTTTTGTCACCCAGCATTTGTTTGCTTTGCTGATAACAACCATCATTCTATATACCTTTTGAGCGAGCAGTAAAAAACATACGAAACGACGATCTATCACACAATATAAATAAAACAACAACAGCATCCCATGATTGGCGTCACCTACCTCTTGCTAGGTCTGCTGTCGGCAGCCTCGCTGACACAGGCGTACTTTTACGTTCCAAATTTCATGAGCACGCTGCCCTTCCAGAGCGGCAGTGCTTATGCAACACGCGGCAACTCACTCATCATGTTTGGCGGTGAAAATGCAACGACGTCCTACACCAACAACCTGTACCAACTTACCCAGACCTCGACTTCGTACACATGGCAAGAGCTGCCACAGACCAACCCACCACCGGGCGCCCTTTATGGCGAGGCCATGGTCTCGAACACCGGCAATACCTTGATCATCATGGGCGGTATGGCCGAAACGACTGTCAACCAGGAGCTGCCTTTGCAAATGTACTCGTATGATTTTGGCACTGGCGCCTGGGCCGCTGCCCCGACCAACGTCAATGCCACCACCGCCGTCCCTTACAACCGTCAGCTCTTTAGTGCTACCTACGACAACTCGTCGACCGTCTACATTTACGGTGGTGCGCTCAACAATACGGCCATCTTCTCTGACTTTTATGCATTGAACACTCAGACCTTGGCATTCACCCCGTTGCCTACCCCGGGTGTGTCACGCTATGGCCATACTGCTTCGCTCTTGAGGTAAGAAAGAACTTCTGTAACATAGTGAGAGAGAGAGAGCTACCCAAAAATAACAATTCGTTCCACGTGCTGCAACGAATTTTATTTCTCAAAATTTATTTATCATCATTCAATATTTGACTTTTTTTTACTCTCCCCCTCCCCTTATTCGCTCCTCCTCCTCCTCTATGTCTATATAGTGATGGCAAACTGGTCGTCATTGGCGGTGTCGTTTTGCAGCAAGTCGAAGGCGGCGTTGCTAGCGCATTGGCCTCTATGGAGGAGGTCTATATCTTTGATACCACGTCCAACCAATGGTCTGTTCAGGCTACACAAGCTTCTTCGGGTGGCAGTTTCCCCTCTACTCGTTCGGCTCACAATGCTGTCGTCAGTAAGTAGTAAATCTTCACAGAGACACACAACAAAGTTTGCTAACAGGAACATTTCAAAAATTAACTAATAGCCAAGGACGACAAGATCATTATCTTTGGAGGTAACTGACAAAGAAAGAAAAACGAAACAATGAGACCCAAAAAAAAGACAAATAAATACTAATTGACAAAACAAATAATAATTTATTAATAAAAATCAGGTGATAATGGTGCCTCGCAGCGTGATCGCATGTACCTGAACGCTGTGGCTATTCTCGATACCAAAACCTGGACCTGGGAAGTTCCAACCGCTGGTGGCATCCCTCCTTCGCGTCGTTCCTATGCCGCCGCCGGTATGCTCGATGGCGAACACTTGACTGTTGCTTTCGGTGCTGCGTTGAACACCCAGTACAACGATATCAACGTCTACAGTTTGTCTGATTCCGAATGGTTGCAGTCGTTCACTGATGATGACAGCGATTCAGGCTCTGGTGTCTCGGCTGGTTTGATTGCTGGTGTCACTATTGCCGGTGTAGTCTTGCTTGCCATCATCTTGTTCTTGCTGTGGCGCTTCCAGTCTTACGTTCGCTGGTTGGCCGCTCGCATTCACCACGATATCTGGAAGCCTCGGTATGTACTCTCTAACTGCTAGTGATAGATTGGACAGTACCTTTTTTCAAAGAAAAAGTGCAACTAACCCAGCTAACTTGTAATAGTGCTGGTGAACCTGTCTGGGCTGAAACCACCCGTATCATCTCGCAGATCTTCTTGCTGTTCTTGTTCATCTGCTTCTTGGTTTTTATAATCCGCCAAGCAGTTAATAGCCCCAATGTTACACAAAGAATTGAAGAATCAGCAGCGGAGGTTGATGTGCCAGGTACATATCATTCGCAGCACACTTGTGCTTTATTCGGTGTTCTCGGCCCTCGATCTCATATTTTAATGATCCCCTTTCCTTTTCGTTAGATGTCCGATTCTGCTTTGATGGCTACCCCACCTATGCAGCCGGCGACGCACGCAATCCTGGCGTTGTCTGCCAGACTGACACCGGTTACTCGTGCTCTGACTATATCCAGCCATTGAACATGAGCATCTTCACCCCCACCTTCGCCTCCAACTTGGGTGCCGTCAACTGCTTCTTGTTCCGTGGCGACTCGAACCTCAAGATGACCTCCACCTCTGGCCAGAACAACGGTTCGCGCTTGCTGTTCTCTTTGTTTGGCGACCAGACAGCCTCATATGCGCGCGTGCACGTCTCGGTGTACCCCAAGGAGATGGATCCCAACGTGAAGGTGTACAACATCAACGATGATATCCCCGTGATCATGTCTGACTTTGACGTGTTAACATGGCAAAATAACGAACGCAACGATATCCAGACCACCAACATTTTCGATGTCGAGCCCTACACGTACAGCGCCATGAGCTACAATCTGATCGATCATCGCTACTTGCAGGCTGTCGGCTGGAACTACGTCGGCTTTGCACCCATCACCAACTCGACTCCCGAAGTAGAGACCAACTTCCGTGCCGAGGCACCAAACCCCAACTACACCTTGACCCATGCCGACGTTGGCTTTATCGCCATGTACCCTGACGCGTTTGCCGAATTCACTGATCGTGAGGTCAAGATGTACACCTTGCTCAACGCCCTCGGTTTCGTCGGTGGTATCTTTGGCTTGTTGATCGGTGTGCAGGCCTGGCTGTTTGGCTTCCGTCCACGCTCGCCTTGGGGTGTCGTGCACCGTTGGTCAGTCGGTGACATGAAGCGCTCATTGCTTCGTGGCTTGCAATCCAACTTTAAGACCACCGACTCTTCGGTGCCGTTGGTGCATCCTTTGCACCCACGCTTCAGCATGAACAACTTGGCCGATCTGGGCTACGAGTCCGAGGGTCAGCGCATTTCGCGTGTCGAGGAGCGTATGCAGGTGCTCGAGTTGTTGTTTAAGGCGTACTATGTCGACGACGAAATCTTCCGGTCTCTGGACAACGCTTCCAAGTCGGTGCCTGCTGGTCAGGGCGAGCAGCCCGCAAACCCGCTCTTCCCGTCTGAAAAGGGAGGCAGTGACATGGCCCGAAGCAACACTGGTGGTTTCTCGCACATGTTCAACAATCGACAAAGCGTCGCCAGCGTGAGCAGTGATACCCACTCGCAGCAGAACCTGAATGATCATCGTGTATAACTAATGTCCTATTTACCCCCACCACACACCCCTTCCTCAACACACACACTCTCTTACTAACTCTTTAACTCGTCCTCCACAACTTCCTTCAGCAACATCAACAACAAACATTAGCAAACCCAACCATTTCTTATTTTCTTTTCTGGAAGGAGAAAAAAAAAACAAAATTCTTTGTTCACCACGCTTTTTTTTTTCGCCCTCCACTTTTTCTTTTTCCCCACATCATTTCTTTCGTAATATATAAACAATTCTCACGCAAGCTCACACTTATCAAGTCGCGCGCTGGTCCCTTCTTCTCTTTGAATGATGTATTAGAATCTCTTTTTTTCTCCCATTCTCTATATATTAAAAAGAAAAACCAACCAACCCATAGTCTACTATCACCACCATCATTCTTTAAGTGAACTCACGTATCAGCCAAATAACTGGCCAACAAACAAAGAACAACACAATGGCGATGGCAATCTCCTTGTTCTCGACGCTTCATTCAATCCTCCCACACAAGCCCACACAGCACTCATTGATGCCACAATTCAGCATTTCCCTCCATCAACCTTTGAAAGCTGCTTACTCTTATTCACCACCAACAATGTCGACAAGCAACTTGTCGGTGCTTCTGCATCCCAACGTCTCGACATGATGACACTAGTAGCACAACGACGTAACAACGAGCACCAACAAACAATACCGACAGCCGTTGGCGTGACAACGCATGGACGATTCATCGACAAGGCAACCGCACTCCAGTCACTATGGCCACGAAAGACATTCTACTTTATCGTCGGATACGATACCGTGATTCGATTATTGGACCCAGCCTATTATCCAGAAAAGTCAGTGGATGAAGCACTGGCGCCCTTTTTCGAACATTGCAAGCTCGTATCTGTCGATCGTGCAGGATATGGCGACATGGAGAGCTTCTGGGCTTCTAAAAGTGCGCACGGGATTGAACGCGTCGTGCTAAAGGATGAAAAGGTTGCTGCACTGTCGAGTACCCTGGCGCGTTCGATGGATCGCGGCCAATTAGAAACGGCCGTGGATGCGGATGTGGCAGAGTATATTCGTAAACATGCATTGTATCTCTAAAAACGAAAAAATAAAGAGTTTATTATTATGAAGAATGCTATTTTGTGTGTGTATGAATGTGCGTGTGCGTTATTAGTTGGTTGCATGTGTGGAGAGAACGGGAAGATGATTTTGAGTTTTATATAAAGAGGAGACGCACGTTGTTTATATAGTAAGGGAGGGTGCGCGCGTGTGTGTACGAGGTGTGACGATGGTGTATACTTGACAAAGAGAGAGAGAGGGGAAAGAGGTATGTCATGACAAGAGGATGAACAAGAAAAAACAAAAATAAAAACAAGAAACACACAAATAAAAAGTCTATTAGATCTTTTTGCTCTTCTTGACCGTGGCAGCAGCAGCAGCAGCAGCAGCATTCTTCTTGTTCTTGTTGGCATTATAGGTCATACGGTAAAAGTTGATGAACAAAACCAAGTAAGAAGACAGGATAGCACAGCCGAACCAAGCAGCTCCTTCACCACCGGAGCACGTGCCAAAGTTGGGCAACTGGAGAGCGTACTTGTTAGCATAGAACGTGTAGGTGCAGCTGTAGATCACAAACAAATCAATAACGAACTGAATGATTTGCATCGTCGTCAAGTACTTCTTCCACCAGATCTTGGCGCCCGAGGCTGTGCGGAAGTAGTAGTAGTACATCAAAACGTGCACGGTCAAGTTCAACACAATAGGAACCCACGACTATTAAAACACATAGAGGAGATAAGTCTTTTTCAGTATATACGACCAAAAAGAATACCCCCGACCATAATGATAACTCGCCCGTCCTTTCTCTTCCGCAATCATCCCGATCCTTTTTGATCCCCAAAGGGAGATATCCCAGAACCTTACCACAGTGGTACGACCAACGAGCTGAGTGTAGCAAAGCACCATGGTCATACTGTGATGGAAGACGTGCAAGAATTCTATTCGTTTGCACAATTTTTTGTATCAGTTACATGACAGATAAAAGTTACCCTTTCTCGCTCTGTTTGCCCTATACTAAATCCATCGGCTCGTTCCTTTTCATCACCACCTAACGATTTAACGTTTGCTGTAACGAGCCCGATCCAGACATTAGTCCATACCAACAACTTACCCAACTTCTTCTTCTTGACCACCAAGAACACGGTATCAATCAGTTCCCAATACTTGACGAGATAGTTCAAGTAGTACAAGAGCTCATGCTTCTGGGTCCACGCGTCAAAGGAGCAGATAGTCCAGTACAAGCCATGACGGACCAACTGAGGCACCAATTGTTCAATAAGCAGCAGCAGGATAGCGAGTGAGACCAACGTCAACAGCAAGTTGTGGACCTGGAAAATGAACTTGGGACGCAATGGCATCGAATCGCGCAAAATGTACTGACCGCCAAAGATCACCATGAGGTAGGTCACACAACCAACAACCACTGTATTGAAGTTACACGCGTACATACGCACACACACACACACACACACATAAATATATGTAAGCGCGCCAGGTCGTAGATGTTGATGAGATTCTAAGCCGGTTCAATGAAGGAAAGCTTTCGGTATTACCTTCAGGAATGGTGGAGAAAGGCGTCTCGCCTTCGACAAACGCAAAGTCGTTGGCCGACTTGCCAAGGACAGCAGTGAAGGCTTGGTCAAAGTAGTCCCAGAGATAGATACCAAAGGGTCTGTCGATGCTGAACTCGACACCAGACATGATATAAAGGGGAGGGTGGAAGTGTATAAAGGATGAAGAAGAAGGAAAAAAGCGGGAAACCAACCGTTCACAAAAACAAAGTAGTGTTCCTCCCAAATTTTTACGCCGGCTGAAATATTGTGCCGTCGTTTCGGACAGGCTTGCAGACCTTTTTCTTTCGTTTCTGTTTATTGTGATACAACTAACATTGTTCTTTTCTGTTCTCAAAGGATGAAAGATATTGTGGTGAAATTCTGTACCTTTGAGACTCTTGCATATGAAATTTGTTCCCAGTAACTATAATGTCATCCTATCAGTAAGCTGTTGCTCTATACAATAGATGCCTAATATGCTGTGTATTAAATAAAAGGACGAGGTACGAATGTTTGTTTGTTTATTCTTGCTATTATCAATACGTACGCACACATTACACTATGGACTTATTGCACGTGAAGTACCCTTCCGTTCTGCATTTCACATGAATTCGTAACTTTCGTCTTCTCTTTTCATCTTGGCAGACGGCATGTTTAACCAAAAAAAAAAAAAACATGTTTTTCCGAACTGACAGCAAGGCAAATTTATCCGTAATTCGCAGAGCGCCTTTTTTCCCTTCTTTCCCGCTCTCTCATTGATGTTTATGACTTTCTTCGAAGGTTCCATTGAGTACGTTTAAGCTGAGCCTTCTGGATACGATGGGATATCAGACCGTCTATGCCGTAAGTAAGAGATATGGGCATACCTATTCAGTAACTTGGTAGTTTTTGCCCTGAACATGGGAAAATGGGAACGGAATTTTCATCGACTCCGCCCTACTACTAACTGAATAACTTGCAGGGTTCCACCCCATCACAACTGCATGCACATAAACATAACTAAACACGCCTGCTCATTACAAAAAAGAAACCAAGTGATAAGATGAATGCATCTTTTTCTTTAACTCTGTTTAGTAATTGGGAAGAAAGAGCCCGACATGTGTTTTTTGGACGAATCGGCGTCTGCCAGCAGCAATTGACTACCACTGGGTTGACAAAGTTCCGTTTATACTCAAAGTACTGGTGATACAAACTAACAGAAAGTGTTACGTGAACCGTGTGTTGTGGTTATATAATAATAAGACTGGTTGCACGTCCCTTTTACCTTTCTTTCTAGGAGATAAAACAAGCTCCTTCATATCGTTCAGCATCTATATATGTATATGACGGCATTATATAGTGGTTGATATAGAATGTTAACTGTATATAAGAAAGGACTGGTAATTGTAATTGTATCATATGCTCTAATACACATTGCATATGCTACAGCTGCAGCGCACATTGTTGGGGCAGAATTGTTTTTTAATGTCGTACTTGGATCTTCTCGAATTAAAAGATATTACCATAAAGAGATGCCCTCTTTGTTGACGGAGAGAAACAAGAAGCTCTATTGCTTACTCCATTCTTAAACAAAAGTTGAGCTGTCTGCTTTTTCGTAGGCAGTGGATACTAATAGATCCTTTAACGGAAAAGAAAGGATTTCATCAGTTTTGATGAGTACACATATCAGCAAGAAAAGTTGTATTTGCTCTTGAAGAAGAATGCTTACATACCACAATATATATGCATTTAAGAATTTTTTGTTTTTCAAAAACAGTAGTGTACATAACATTTGTTCCGAACGACCTAGCTTTGCAGGAACTGGCTTCCCGAACCAATTGACCATTTCCTATCGATTGTACAAAGAGTTATAGCGATTTGATACGTGTATCAATAATAGAATGTGATGATAGTCAGGGACAGTATTACAATTATCAATGAAGAGGAAAAGCTATTCAGTATATAAGAGTATAAAAATTGCTGATCATGGTCGCACTGTGCAATACCCAAGGTAATTTACGCACTTTTGATCACTCAACATCACAGATCACTTAAACGGCGGCCTCAACAGAAAGAGGACCATATGCTGGGAGGGATCTACGTATCATCAGGTTTTGTTGGATAGCGCGAAAAAAAAAAGGAAGTTCTTGATTTGAGTCTATGTGCTATTCGATGCATAAATAAGTATGGGCTGGCGCAGTAAAATAAGACGCGACCGCAATGAAGAACCTGAAGTATTGACGCATCTCTTTTAATAGAATTTGAATGTCTTTGTTCTCGATTGCTTTTTAAATACAATATTTCATCATGAACATTTATCGAGTACACATACTAACTTGGCAAAGTATAGTATGCGGTATTATTACACGTATTACCACATATTCAGGGCATCCCAGAAACCCTAACCTTTCTGTAGCCATTGTGTATTAGAAGGGATATGTATATATACAGAACAAGTTTAAGCGGAAAGATACAAAGGCAAATGATCGGTTATCCGTTGAGACTTTCAACCATAGCCCGTCGAGTTGTCACAAGCCGATCAATAATTTCTACGTAAAAAAACAACAACCAAATATACTTCAGTATTCACCTTCTCAAATGAATAAAAAAAAGTTGCTCGCTTTCCATTTCTTACCTGGAAATTTCATTTTTTCACAGCCGGATATTGAGTCTCTCATTTTGTAGTATGTTTTTCTGGCAGTTTCCTTGTTGCTATAACAACAGCGACAACAAAAACGCAAGTCAACACCAAGACGAATTTTTCACTATGGTGATATCAAACTTACATTTTAAACTTGTCCGTGTTGACCTTGTTGTAATCGATAGCATTTTCAGAACGCCATCCCATGTTTTGCATCCTAGAACGTTTCTTAGCTTTCGGGATATCTACTACTACTACTACTACTACTACTACTACTACTACTTGCAAAAAAAAAAAAAAGGCATATGATCAAAACTCACTGTTCAAATAGCATGAGCTGTGCCTGTACAGTCACATCTTTTCTGGTTCGCACAATAACCACGTCGGCTGCTGATGGTTCATGAGCTTCATGGGAGGTATGTTGCATGCTATCCCTGTTTTTTGAAAAGAGGCATGTGGTTACGATACGCTATCTACATGTGACAGCATGGAACAGGAGAAAAGGAAAGTGCAGTGCATCGTTTACCATTTCTTTCGAATCTGCAACTGATTGCGTTCTCCATCAAAGTATGTCTTTGCGATATACTCCCAAGAAATATCCTTCCCATGCTTTTGTGTATACTCCTTGACAGCCTTATCCAGTTTTTCCATTTCGTCCTTTGTCCAGCCTCTGCGTCTTGTGGATTTGTTTTTCAGCGTCCGGTATCGGTCATGGCATGCCTTTCTCGTTCGATCCATTTCTTTTGCGATTTTGCTAAAGTGGTTATCGTATTGTTTGACGAGCCTATACATATACACTACGTTAATAAAGATATGCCGTATTCAACGCTAGCGTTATGCATAGTGTGTACCTCTGTGTGTAGTGTCCGGACTTACTCTAATAACTTTTCATCCTCTTCCTTTGTCCACTGAACCTTGTATGCATCTACATGGTAGCACTCCTTGGTATGATTGTAAATCTGTGTCAATGATCGATCCGGGAATACTTTTACTATAAGATGTTGGAGGGCGAGGATTTATTTGAGTATAACAACAAACATGAACAAGAGAAAATGTCTCTTACCATCAACCCCACATCTTTCAACGTACCAATCCTATGCCAAAACTTTGAGTTTGCTTTGAAGTTTTCTGCCAATATCGTTTCACGAAGTTGTTCCAACGTCAAATTTTCACGCTGTCAAAAAAAAAAAAGCGTTAGCATCCCATATCACATATGCGTACTGACAACAAAAAACTTGTTCTTTAAATGGTACTCACCCTGCCAATCTTTTTAATCCGTTTCTCGAGTTTTATCAATTCTTCGATAGTGAATCTTCCCATCTTGACTTTCCATTCACCACTATCCACTTTCGCCTTGAGTTGTTTCCGATCCGTCATTTTTTCATGCCATGGGTATTCTGGACTACCATCGTCGTCCGAATCCGACTCTTCGTCCGAATCCGAAATATAATAATCGCGATTCACTTTGACAGTGGCAATAACCATACGACGGTCCTTGATCTGCGTTTTCATGTCCACACCATCATCATAGACATAATGCAATGTAGGGAGGATTCGGTTATGTGTAAGCGTTGCATCTTTCCTTTTCGCTTTTGTTGTTGTCGTTGTTCTTGTATGGGAAGCAGCAGCAGGTGTACTAGATGCAATGTTGTTGCTACTATTGTCGTCCTCATCATCGCTATCGCTTGCACTGTCGTAGGTTTGAATATCCGTTGCTGCTGTTGTTGCTTTTTTCTCGTTAGCAGGTTTCGTGGTAGTACTGGCGGTAGTAGTAGTAGTAGTAGTAGTAGAAGTAGTTGCAGCCGAAGGAGTAGGTACTTGAACATTTTTAATGGTATCGTCGTCACTGATCGTGGGTATTTTTTGTTCTTTTCTTCCCTTGTCAATTAAATCTTTGATTTTACGTTTCTTCTTGCTGCTAGATCGATCGTTTTGCCCATGACGGTGCTTGCGTTTCTTTGACTTGTCGTAGTCGTCATTACTATCCTTCTTTGACTTTTTTTTTGTATGTTTAGTGTCGTCATGTTTAAGTCTCTTGGTTTGTGATTTGTGGTGATTTGCCTTTTGCAAATTGGGTACTACTGCTTCGGTGGCATCCATTTTTTTATTTTTTGGCAGAAAGAAAGGTTTTCTAGTTTCTCAAAAATCTTTCTTTTTGTGCATTGTGGCCTGACTGAAACTCAGACAAATTCAATATGTAAGTTAGTAACAAACAAAATTCTGTGGCATAAAAAAATGTATAAATAACAAAAAGAGAGGAATGGATAATGTACAGAAAAAATTAGAGAGGGTATGATATGGAAAGGGAGCATCTAGTAGAAAATACATCATTTAGTAAGGGATTTTCACTTGACATGCCACGCATATCTTTGAAAGGTGTTGCTTACCTGGCCCAAAATGCTTATACAAGAAAAGAGTCTATAGTAAAGAAATGCTGTAGTCGGTGAGGAAGGGAAGGGGTAGATATGTATACAGAGTAGTGCTAGTGGCGGCAGATAAGGTATATAAGAGTAAACACGCAGTTTTCACTGGATGGAACAATGGCAAAGGGCTGCTGCTGCTGCTCCTTTACGTCGATTGCTGGTCATTGTTGACGGTGTTGTTGCATTTGTTGCTAGTGGATGATGATAGTCTACGACACGAGGATCGTCATCATCCAGCGATGCATGTGTATTATACGCACAAGCGTTTTTTGTTAAAGGAGTCGATGCTATGTGATACGGTGCGATTTTGATGTCCTGCTTTGCAGCTGGAGTGGTGTCGTCGTTGTTGTCTTCTATTGCTATAATTGTTCGTGTGTTGAGAGATCAATGTTGACACTTGAAGTATAACGTTTTCTATATATGAAAACCTACTTTTCTGTTCGCCATGGTCTTCTTCTTCCTCTTCATCGTCGTCGACGTCCGTATTTGGTTCGGATCGTCCAACGCCAGAATCAAGAGCCTGGTTATTCTCCCAAGTGTCTATATTTTCATTGATAAAGTCTAAACAAAACTTCATGCCTGTGTGGTGATCCATTATGTTGGTAAATTTTTGGCCATCAATGATCCTCCTGCATTTGTATAAAGTCATCGTGTACGGTTACCTGGAAGCACGCGTGCAACGGCATTATAGAGCTTCAATGCAATTTTTCTTTCAAACGTCAGCTGGAACTCCTCAAGCGAAACCTTGCCGCGCTCATTGATCGGCAAAACTTGCAGCCCTAGTTCTTTTTCAAGATCTCCTTGTCGCGCAAACTCCTCTGTCAAAATCTCAGCCCACTTTTTGGCTAGCGGAAACGGCCGTGCCTATAAATGTGTTATAGTATGGGTTGCGCAGTTCAGAAAAATGATCATTGACTGCAGCGTGGGCTGATCACGACACTCAACTACTACGTACACAGTTGCCGATATCCGCACATTTGATCAGTGCGCCGCACACAGTTAACCGTTCCTGCTCCACGGCGCTTTCATTGTCTAAATCAATGCCATGGTTGCGCAGACGGTCCGCTTGATGCTCTATCCGCTGAACATAGTCGTCGTGCATGCTCATGTCTGTGGCAAGAATGCTCTGGACAACGAACTTGCGGAAGTCTACATACCACCGTCACAGTATAGGATGACGATGAGTAAGCCCCATATAAGACACATACAATTACGTACGCGATATCTAAACTTACGTTGGGACCCGGGATTTTGCTTGACGTCGATCAGTTTGCGGAAACAACTCTGGCCCAACAAGTGGAAAAATGCCATCGAATGATAACTTTCCAGGACCGATCGGTCATTGTACAAAACTGCCAAAGGCGTGCCCGATTGAACCTGTGATTTGACGATATCCGTGACGCAACAACGAGGTTTAATGCTTGCAACCTTCTTTTTGTTTTCTCTTTTCTGATCTGAGAGGAGAAAACCTTACCATAAACATATTGGTGACACCCGGATGACCGACATCGTGACCTAAGCTAGCCATGAGGAGTGCAAGTATGTCCATGGGCTTCAGGAGATCCTGCATAAGAAGTTTGTCCGCCACCGCGACCTCATGGTTACTACTCGCTTTCCTGCTACTACCACTGCTTGCGGCGGAAGCAGCAGCGGCAGAGTCAGATGGTGAAAGCGAAGAATTATTATAATGATGTGCTGTTCCTTCTGCCGTCGCCGCCGATGCCGCTGCTGCTGCTGCTGCTGATGAGGAACGCTTCCGTTCGGATGTGGGCGTATATCCAGCGCCTCCACGGGTCATTGAAAACGCAGCATAGGCTTGGTTGTCCATTGGCATCAACACGCCCATCTTGCACAAGAAATAATAGGTGGACTGCATGACGTCGACAGCATGGCGAAAGTTGTGGTAAGGGTTGTTGTTGTGGTACGAGTTGCAGATGTCAAATACGAAAGCGTACATATCATCTAAAAGAATCACAAAACAAACAAACACACGACCCGGACAAACAAACAAGCCAAGTCAGTCAGTCAAGAGTTGTTGTTGTTACAGTTCCACAGCGCCCGAGTGCACAGAACACATCCGATTCACAACAACAACAACAACAACAACAACAACGTGAGTCCACGTGGAGTGGAAGAGAGAAAGGAAAAGCTTCTTTTGTGTTCTGCCGCTCCCCCTTGTTTGTGGTAGTACTTGAACACAGAAGGCAACATTTACCGTCGGAAACACGAAAGTCGGCTAGATCGGGATGGTCTAAAACTTGTTGCAGGATAAGACATACGCTTTTCACCAAGTCCTTCTCCTCGACGTCGAGTGGCAAGAAGTCCCAGCTGCAGATGCGTGATCGTAGGTACATGGTTTTCTCACTATGATGATTGATGCTTAGGTGAGCACGTGCTGTAGGAGACACATTACTACAAGCAGCTTTGAGCTGCGCAGTATCATTCGTGCACCTTGACATGGATGACATGGATGACCGTCGAACCGAAGGCTCTGGTGCGTAGTAGTTGTATATCGTGTTTTGAAGCCTTCAATTTACAGAGCATGAGCCATGATGGGTTGAGATACTTCTTGCCCTCTCTCCTCCTCTCCGCAAAATGGCTAGCACCCCACTCACCAATTCTCGTTCATGAAAACACTTTTCAGTCGATCTTGGAAAAAGGGCCAGACCTTTCCCGGGTCCTGTGCTGGCGGAGACGTAACAGTCATGGATGGCGGGACAGTTCCTGTTCGAGCACTGCTGATCCGATACCGATAGACATTCTATTTACAGAGTCGTGTCAGCCTGGTGTTTTTTTTTCTTTTTTAGAAAGGGAGGGATAGGGACGTGCGGATAGTAGCTGGAAAGTAAGGGTCGATGAAGTCAGGACACTACCAAAAACAAGGTTTTAATGACTTGCGATTCTAACGGTTTGACGATGTAGTCTGCTGCACCATTACGTAGACACTCGAGCATAAACTCGGGATCTTCGCTGCAGGAGCACACTATTTTTTATTTTATTTTTTTAGTACATACACACACACATCATGGTCTGTGAGTTTCTCTCTCTCACAAGTAAAAGTAACAGCAAGTTACCTATGGGAATTGCGTCATGCAGACTGCCTTGCTTCAACTCGTTGGTGACGGTCTTTATCAACCCAAGACATTCTTTGGCCTTCGAGCTGACGTTAATATTCCGGTCTATATTTTCAACGTCAATGAGCAGCAAGGTTGGCTTCTTGAATTGTCCTTTCTTCTGACGACTGTGCAACGCAGTCAATGCATCGTATCCCGTCGACACGATCTCCACTATGGATAGTCATAAAAGAGAAATAAAAAAGAGGTTAAATGTTTCACTTTGATACAATCATGATATCATCGTACCATCGCCATGGAGTTGATTCAGCGTCGATATCGTAGCGTCTTGATGTGTGGTGCAGCCATCCACAAGTATTATGGAGCACTGTCTGGGATTCATAGACGATTATTTGTGTTTTACTATTTCGGACAATATCTAAAATGACCGCGTATATGCGTAGCTGGCTCTTTAGTCTCGTTTATTCTAGTTCGCAATGAATGGCCGGAAAGATAAAAAAAGAAAAGAGAGAGATTTCTGTGAATCGTTCATGTTTCGAAATGAATTCGCAATACCTGATTCAAACAGGCCTTTTCGTCGAGCGTCACAAAAGAGAAATATACAGAGAGAGAGAGAGAGAGAGAGAGAGAGGTTGAATAAAGAAAGTGGAAAGGAAAGAAGGGATAAAAAAAAAGAGCAGAGACAATTGGTTCGCGAAAGAGCCGATCCGATGCCCTATTGTCAAGGTTGCAAAAAGTAGCGTTTTCCTTTTACGGCCTTTTGTTTCTGTTCTGAGTTTTAGCCACGCGACACTTTGTACATGATCACCAAGGATCCTGCTTTTCTCCTCACTTTCTTTCTCCGCTGTGGCCAGCGCCACCATGACAACTCTCTCTCTCTCTCTCTCTCTCTCTTCTCTTTATAGAGCTTAATTCTTCATCGTCACTCGAGATTGGGTTGAGTACCAAGAACAGCAACAACAACTTTTGAGTGTACCCCCCCAGCATGCTTCTAGAAATCTTTAAAGCTAAACACCGCCATGCGTCATTATAGAAAAAAGTCCCGTTCCGTTCCGCGGGGATTCCTCCCTGCCTAGCTATCTGTCGTAAGATCATGCGTTACAACTAGACAGTTGTTTGATTTATCCCAGAACAAGTATGTCATAAATAGGTCATGGGGAGCTGTGCGTAAAACAAGATCAAGGGAGATCGTTGCTGGATAAAAGAAGGAAGGAATCTGCAATCAAACGATAATGCTATGAGACACTATTATTATGTCCACCAGCCTTTAACGTACGGTATTACTACTGGTGCAGATTTCCCTAATTGGGCGACTGAAACGATCATTAATGCTGGAAAGTAAACTCGGTAATACATCATTGGCTTGAGGTTCAGCTCCGTGCCGCCACCACAGAAGAGCTGGACTCGGATGACATTTAGACCCCCTTTGACGTTGAAATTATACGGGGAACACTGTACATATACCATTAAATCCTAAAAACCACATACCAAAGAGGCACTGGGAATAGCGTGCATGCATTTTCGTAGATCCTCCGCTGCTAGTTTTTCATTAAAAGAAAATATAGGACGCACCCACACATTATTACACTTCCTAATACATCATAATAATGAGAAACTCGGTTAAACACCAATAGCATACACAGATAATTATACACTATGGCAATCGGCCAGACAATTCACTATGATTATGTAAAACCTGGAAATAAATCTTTCCGGTGATTCAGCTTATGTAAATGGGGCAATGGGCCTATCAACAGGTACACCAGGTAGCGCCAGTATTAAAGAGGGGTCGCGATATATATAGCGACTTCTACACAAGTTCTGACAAGACTTTGATCAGTCATCATAGCATGGTACTAAGTAGTAGAGATGGGCAACCGATCCAGGACAAGAGGAACCGATAGCTTAAATACACGCTTCCCATGACGTTGGAGACTTTTAATAAAGCTAGATTAATCATTATTACATATCCACGCTCAAAACAGTTTAAGACCTTTGTCCTAATCGACACCATCGCTCACTTTGCACTTTTTACAATGTTTTAAAGAAAAAGAAAGTTCTGATAGTATGTCTGTTTGTTAATGTATGTGTTTCATTCTACCACTTTAATATACATATAATAAACAAGATGAATGTATCGTGTAAAAACTAGGACAATCGGGACCTAGACCCAGTAGGGGGTTTCAAACTCCTGGCCAGCTGGCCAATTTTCGCCGGATAGACCCAATTTTGCCGGATAGAACCAAATTTTGCCAGCTGGGATGCTATCCGGTCATTTCTATCCTGCGTCTCTGGAGGTGCAGGATAGAGCATCGAGCTGTTCCTGTCTTCTTGTCCAAATCCACATATTTTTAATTTTTGTCTCGACAAATTGTAATCTCACCTAATGCCCAAAACATCCGACCGCCAATGGACTCTGTCTCAAGTAGACACTGCAATAATGTTCTGCATGGCGCGTAAAATGCAATTCCGCTGGGACACAAAGGAAGAAAAAGCTGCACGTAAACGCCTACGAGAACTGGCGAACATCAAGGCTGGCATCCTCTGCCACCAAAATTTGAACCCTTCGAGAAGTATTCCCAAGCTCCTGGAGAACCGCAACTTTTTTTTCAAACGGTCTACCAAAGAGTTTAGAAAGATTGTTCGGATGAACAAGAAATCATTTCGCAAGTTAGAAGCACTGGTGACGGATACACCTGCTTTCCGTGAGAGGTTGAGTCAACAAACGCCTGTATGGATTCAGCTTGCTGTTGCTCTAGAGTATTTAGCTCACAGTGGTACGGGTGCCTCGGTTGCCCAACTTGCGCGTGAATGGGGGGTTTCTGCCGGAACTATACCCTTGTTCAATGACAGAATCTATGAGGCCATCGACTATTTGGCACCGAGATTTATTAGGTGGCCAGACACAGAAGAGCGTCGAGCCATGTCAGCACGGATCCAAGAGTTGCATGGCTTCCCCCATGTTGTTGGGTTTGTCGATGGTACGCATGCTATCTTTTTGCAAATGCCTGCTATTGATGATCCTCGTATTTTACTCGCAAGTGCACCTAAGCGCTGAACGTACAGGCTATATGTGATGATCGCCGATTCATTTGGTTTCTTCAAACAGGATGGCCCGGCTCCGTTAGTGACTCTGCGGCATTCAAGGACACTTCTGTTGTGGCTCAAGAGCAAGACTATTTCACCAATGATGATATTTGATTGGTGATGCTGGATATGCTTTGAGCATGGGGTTGCCCACACCTTACAGACAGCTGGACACCGAAGGAAACGAACAAAATACAATGTTTAATGAAGATATTGCTTCAGCGCGCGTTGTTATCGAAAACACCTTTGGTATTCTGAAAAACCGCTGGCAATGCTTAAAAAGAATGCATTTTCAAGTCAAAAAGAACGAAGACATGCCGAGAGTGATAAGGGCTATTGGTGTCACCGTGTGTCTTCACAATTTTTTGCTTGAAGAAAATGACGAGTGGCCTGCTGGCCAAGCAGCGGATGATACTAGAGTGGAGCGCATCGAACTATCAGTGAACGATGATACACCAGCATCACTATGGAGAGAAAGGATTAATGATTTCATTTCGTGTCAAAGAGATTGATAGCATTTGTAGTATACAGATGTAGCGCATTGATTTTATATATGATTAAAGTTCGTTCTGAAAAAACTCATCCAAGAGATCACGGATCTTATCTTTGTGTATTCCACCAAGAGCCAAGTCGCGAACGAAGTTTGCTTTGGTGTTAAGCTTCAATTTGTCCCAGTCGAAATCGAGACGAGCTTGCAAATGAGCTCTCTCCATTGAAAGTTTCTCATTTTCCAACTGGAGACGCCTCTTAAGCTTCAAATGCTCTCGTTCCGTTTCGGCGTAGGTGGCTGCAAAGTCCCGTTTCTTGGTGCGCTTTGGGGGCTCATCATCATCTTCTTCTTCTGACACGGGAAGCGATGATTCTCGAGAAGGAGCAAGCGCAGGAGCAGAGGTCGAAAGAGCACGCGATTGTCTGCGCGTCAGACTCGAGACAGGACTTGGTGTACGATTGGCGAAATCATCCATGTCCTGCAAGATTTGATCGAGATCCTCTGGCTGCAGTCTGTAACTTCGTTCGGGCTCGTTATCTTCTTGTTCGAAAGCTGGTGTACCTGGAACGGTCGAGGTTTCAGGTACCAAGGTAGATGCTGAGACGCCACCAAACTCTCTCACAAGGATCGGATTGACGTTATGCTTCTTGCCAAACAAAGCATCCATCCGCGCAAAGCAAGGACATTCGTACTCCTTGCGCTCATCAATCGTCTTTAATCCGGCCTTGATGTGCTTTGGCTCAAGACCATATCCCGTGGCATTTCTCGATGCTCTTTCTTCTGCCTTATACTTGTCTTTAAAAGTTGAGAACCGGCCTTTGGCCGATTTTCCAGTCCAAAGTTGAAGATGGTTGGGGATATTGACATGTTTGTTGACATATCCCATGAGAAGTTCAAATCCGGTTTTGGGCTTCAACTTCTTACCATCAACCGGCTTGCCTTTAGCAGCATTACCTGTCACTAGGTCAAAGTTCCCCGGTTTCTCAAGCCAATCAACCATTGCTTCGTAGTGCTCTTTGGTTGTGCGCTTGTAAGCAATAGGTTTTTCTTGGCCTTGTGCATTACCACCCATCTCTCCTTCGTCTTCTGTTTCACCTTCGCTTTCTTTCTCTTCTTCTTCTTCAAGGTCTTGATTCTCTTCTTCAATTCCAGAGACATCGCGCGAATCGGACACCACATCGGTGGGATTAGTTGCGGCAACGCGAACCCTGCGTTTGGCTGCGGGGGCAACAGGTGCATTGGAGCTACTTCCAGCTGTCAAGTTGCCACTGTCAGTGTTTCTTTTTCTTTTCCCAGTTGCATTCACAGAGCTGATTCTTCTCATTGCAGGTTTGGAGATGGAAGAGGTAGATTTGGGTGTAGTCATGTTGATTAGAATAGAAAAAAAGAAGCGTATGTGTGTTCTGTACAGCCTATCTGGTGAAACTCGATCCCAGCTGGCAAAATTTGGTTCTATCCGGCAAAATTGGGTCTATCCGGCGAAAATTGGCCAGCTGGCCAGGAGTTTGAAACCCCCTAGTAAAACATCAAGCACGCGTATGAAAATCCAAGATGGTACTTTATTGTTTATAAAAGCCTTCAGAAGACTTTGAAGGCTTTTCCACAGCGTTTGAAGATTGTTATAAACATTTATTTTTTGACGACGTGGAAGCATTAAGTATTAAGCGCCTACATTATCAATGAATAGTCAATCACTTCTGATTTCACAATAAGGAACATGTTAGCCCACATTACCCCGCACCCCATCCACTACTCGGCACACACGCTCACTTTAACGACACGGATTTAGTTAGCCCCGCGCTCGCCAGCATGGCGGCCCAGTACACATCAACTTTTCGCTGTCCAGCCAAACGTAACACTTGTCGAAAGGTGCGGTTCCTGCTACTACAAGAAAAAGAGAAAACCACGCAAGCGTAATTTTTGTCTAATTAGCATATCATCCCACTCCATCCACCCTCTCCATTTTCCATGATACCTGCTCTCTTCATTGATAAGTCCACCAGACAACAGCCCTCGCAGTTAAAGACGCGCCGCTGCTCGGGACCGCGTCATCGTTGAAGAAGAAGAGGGTGTAGAAAAAAGGTGAATGTAATAAATAAAGATCGCAGAGAGAGTTCCTAACTGAGAGGCAAGCCCTTCCCCAGTGTCCACAAACCCACTTGGGAGTACACAACTGCGCGAGTGACTCAAACAGCAGAAGGTTCCCTTGATGGTGTAATAATGCCCCAGGAGCAGCCAGCCACGGTCAGAGATGCAGGACTAGCTACACTTGGAGCTCTTGGAAAATAGATATAAAGAAAGGCTTCGCAGCCACTGGTCGCCGGACAAGTAGGGATTCGTCCTCGCTTACTCTGAATACTCGCAGAGGGCATATACTTGGTGCCGGTTACGGTTTAGGACCACTAGGCATGCTCATATCAGCCCGCCATGCACAGCAGGTCCAAAGGCGGCCAACCCTCAAACCCGCACGCTCGCTGCACACTTTGGGCAGTCTGCTGACATGAGATGCCCTAAAAGAAAAAGTAAAAGGGAGAGAAGAAGTGATCCCAAGCAGCATCGCGTGCCTGCAATTATGAAAAAGAAAAAAAATAATAATAATTAAGAACATGTTATCAGAAGTTTTCCAGAAATTAAGATTGAAGAGAAAACAACCATTCAAAAGTGTTCTGTGTCTCTTACCTAACGTTTTTTACCGTTAATCAGGGGCAGTTTGAGTCGTACCCCAGACTTTCGGAAGGCTCTTGTGTGAAGCAAAGCTCAGTGGCAATGTTTCGAGCAAACCGGGCTTCTTTCGCAAGAAAGCCACTTGTAAATGCTTGAAAATGAAAGTAAATGCCCTAATAATTAACGTTTGTTTCTATTTCAAAAGGATTTCTCCGTCCTCTGATCTCGCCTGCAAACCGGTTGTGACCAACACCGTTGAACGCCAGACTGGACAGCCCAAAGCAGGGACCTGTTGTAGGCAGCCAGGGACCACGGGAAAAAAGCTGAGACCAGGACCGACAGAGGCAAAGACCAGGACCGACAGAGGCAGGACCAGGACCAAGGGAAGAGCCAAGAGAAAGACCAGGACCAAGGGAAGAGCCAAGAGGAAGACCAGGAGGATCCAAGGGAGTGAAGGAAATAGAAAAATGAAGGAAAGAAAGAGTGAAGAGAAAAAACGAAATGGCCTGAAAAATATGGGCGTATTTATGCTTTTTGGATTGGCCCGCCGCTTAAGAAAACACGTCACGTGACTTGTGATTCGTTATTCAAAATAACGTCACGTGACTTGTAATTCGTCATTCAATCAGCAGGTGGGAAAGTAAAATGGCAGGGAAGATACCATGTGAAGTAGAGGTGTTGAAGAGACACGGTCAAGCTGTCAAGAAGAAGGCGTATGTGGTCTGCGTGTTTTGATAGTCCTACGAAATATGTTTCACCGGTATCATGCAGGGCGTGCCCCGACAGTGTCGCCGCCTGTCGGGCCACAAGGCGCACAGACACGGTTTACAGTGTTTCAGCAACAAGATCTCAGAGAAAAAGTAAATGGCAGGTGCCGGGAATGGTTGACATTGTAGAAAATAAAAATTACTGATATTGTAACAAGAAGCTCACATAAATAGAAGCCATATACACCTAGAAATAATGGCGCAGAAGTTTGACGACCGTGAAGTACGCGTGATGCAAAGCAAAGTGTATACCAAGGACAAGTGGTGAAGCTCGGTAACGGTAGAATGAGAGTGTCTTTGAAGCCCTTCTATTTGTTAATAGCCTTTTACAATTAAAGCTGGGTTAGTGCTGGCTGTCTCGCATAGAGCGTTCGCCATCTCTGCCAGACATCTCTCCCATAGAGTGTTTGCCATTGCTCGCACAGAGTGTTTGCCAATTCTCCCATAGAGCGTTTGCCATTTTTCCCATAGAGTGTTTGCCATCTCTGGCCATAAAGTGTTTGCCATCTCTGGCCATAAAGTGTTTGCCATCTCTGGCCATAAAGTGTTTGCCATCTCTGGCCATAAAGTGTTTGCCATCTCTGGCCATAAAGTGTTTGCCATCTCTCCCATAGAGTGTTTGCCATCTCTCCCATAGAGCGTTTTCCATCGCTCCCATAGAGCGTTCTAAATGTCGACTCCACTGTTCCCGAACCCCAACACTGTTATCATTATCACTTTGTCGACGATCTCGTGGCAACTATATTGCTCGTTGCAAAAGTCTCCACTGTGCAATCAGGAGCGAGAATGACGACTCTCGCTCGTATATGAAGAAGTATAACCACAATATAAAACACGCACAAACAAGTTCAACGAACGGGAAGAGAAAAAAAACATTTTTATTTGATACTTTATACTACTAATCAATTAAAGGGTGTCGATGTCTTCTTAGCTTCCCTGTTCTTAGGCAGGTACTGACAGGAGCAACCACAGGATGGTACATCGACATCTGCTCCCATAACCCTCTACCTCAAAGCTAGGGTCTTGTCTTGGTTGCTTTGTGGATCATCGAAGGTCGATTGGTATTGAGATGCCCAGTCCCGTCTCACCAATCGCGACCACTTGCCTGCAATCACTTACCTGCAATCACTTACCTGCGCCACCTACCTTAGTCGACCCGTGCCTACAGAACAAGCATCATCACCCACCCACGACCTACAAAAACCCGCGTTAGGTCCACAAAAAGAAGAAAGTACCTGATCGTGAAAAAGAGAAAAAGCGAGGAAGCAACACGCTGCGGAAAATGACTGCCTTTATATGCATCCCGCTTCCCTTTTTTCTCTGCTAAATAGGTTTAAATACCTCCACAGGTCCAGGCTAACAATGCGGGGAACAATGACAGATCTTCTGTATTGTAGCCGACAGTAACACGATCACAACGCGCTTTATCACACTTTGGTGCGCGCTTTTCACCTTTCTCTTTTTTACATTTCTGTGGTCGCGTAGTTCTGCTCGCGAAAATAATCGAAAGGAAGTATTTGTTGGGAGGCTATGCACACCAGCAACAACGGTGCTTAAGGCAAGCTGTTCTAAGCTGAGAGAACCGGTTTAATGGTATGTTTCGCTTGCCACGCCCCTTTCAACCCCTTGATTAACCAAAAATATTGTTGGCACAACTTTCACATAGAACATGAGAGTACATGTAAGACGAACTCATGTGCTCAGAAGCAAGGCTTAGATTATGCATGCTTGACTCTCGTACGAGCCGACCATCCTGCTTTTTTTTGTATTTTGTTTTTTTCCCACATATATCGTACATCACCCACACATACGCCGATGAAGTCAAACACGCCTGATTGACTTTGTATCGCTGCTGCTCAGGCAGGTGGTAGATAAAACGAGTAAACCAAACAACAGTATCAACCTGAAGAAGCAGCTTGTATAAATGATTTAGTAGTAGTTCCAGGATGACGCACATACGATGTTGAAAACAGCCATGCTGCTCTATAATCTGCTCTTGACAATCTATTTTAAGCTGCCCCATCCATCATTGCGGGCTTGGAGGATCGGCAATCGCTGATTGCCGTGTGCATATGCTCGTATAAGAGAGCGTTTTTTATTTTTGTTACACACGCCACCACAGTTGATACAACAATGGCCGAGACTTTCTACAATGTTTCACTGGATCCCATGAAGACGCTGGGTGCGGCGTTCAGCGCATATTTACTCCAACCCAACCCAATACACGCTCAGTCATCCTGGTGATAAGATATTAAACAATTTGCATAACGCTATCCGCTATCATACCCCAATCCCCTCCTTTCTAGATATTTTTCCTTTTTTTTTGGATTTTAATTCGCGAATATAACTTGTGGTGACAAGACATCCATTCTGAGTGCATCATCAGCCGCCCTTTGCTTGGTAAGTAATCGTTTAAAGGATTTAAGAGATCACAAATGACATACGTCTATGCATCATATCGCGTCAGTCCATATCAGGTTATAGCCTTACATAAGCTGGATCATCCGAGTATAATGTTTACAATTCGCTTGGATTGTCTCTATGCTACAGTGCTTAGCTGGTTGCCGTGGTAATTGCTGTGTATGCTTTTAAAAGCTGATGATGTTTCAGGCACTGTAATAATGTGTTTTTTACCACAGTGCAATTATATATATGTTTGCGCGGGCCTCAGTAAATTTGCAGTACTGCAATTGCAGTAATCTTTTGCAGTACTTGCCGGACTTTATGCAGTATTAAATACTTCACGATCCCTTAGTTAAACAGTAGCATCTATCCGCGTCACGATGAAAACTGCTCCTACAACAGCTGATTTACATGCCACTTTACTCTCTTCTTTTTCGTCTATTCTTTGTTTTACCAATAGAGCAATTAACCTTATAATGTAGATGATGTTAAACAAGACAGTAGGTTTAAGGCCTGACACAGACTCGATCGTTCATTACTTATTAGAGTGATATCATATCAGTTCCCTCATAGTGATGATCCTTCTCATTTCTCCATCCAGTCCCCAACAACATGTTTTGACGAAAGCAGAAAGTTTCATTGGGACGCGAGCTTTGTTTATTGATGATGATGATATTACTGGATCTAATTCCACATAAGATACTATATATTCTTCTAATAAAAATCGATTAGCCCTTACGTTATTGTACAAAAAAGGAAATAGTTGTGGCTGGCGTTGGTATCTATTGCCCAGCTTACTTTTTTTGTTATGTGAAATCGAAACCCTGCCTCGATATTCTCTTACTCATCAGCTACTATACGTAAAGGTCCAGATAGCATTATGTAATACTTGATATACTTTGGATCTTAATGTACGAAGCTCTTCTGCTAGCGCAAATAGGAGCTAAACAAACAATGTATATAATTAGCAATGTCTACTTACTCACTGGTAGCGGCTACATGAGCAGTGTATAAACAGAGAAGATCTGCTGGAATAGGTGCACTTTAGAGTGTGTCATAAGATCATAGGATGTTGAGAATCAAAGATCGATGGGTATATGTACTGCTCCTCTATATAGTTAGTGAAGAATACGTCTCCAAAACAGGATCATCAGATCACTCTATAACCTAGTACCTTCTGCAGCCCGAAAGATGACCGCTTGAAGATGCTTTTTAGGATGGCATGAACAAAGAGATATAATTTATTACGAAGTTGATAGAATAAGCCAGTATGTTTTTTATATACAGCGAGAGAGAAAGAGAGAGAGAGGGTATGTGTGTGTATAACCCAAGACAAAGAGAAAAAGATTCTCTCTCTCTTGCTGGAAAAACGCTGGTTGATATGGAGCTCGGGAGGTTGTAGTGGGATCAAAAGTTTATGCGGATTGAAATGGCAACAGGGAAAATGACGATATTTTGCGGTTGACATAACTTTTTTATAAAACATTATTAATTTTTAACTTTTGGAATATGTAATAACAATGGTTTTTTTTACCTATGTTATTCAGGTGTAAAGCCACAAAAGCAATATTGCTGCATGTAGCAGACAGGCGTAAGTTTTACTCCGACACCTTTTTCTGCGTCGCGACATTTCTGTTCACAGTCAGCCTTGATATTCTGAGGACATTGGAGACAGGGTTGGGTCTCTACACCACGTCTATCGATTGTAGCACCATTGACTGTGACAATGGAAGCAGCAGCAGAGAGCAGTGCAAGAGTGGCGATCCAAGTTCCGTAAAGCATTTTCTGTAGTTTAAGTTATACTCAAAATGAAAAGAAAGAGTTGCGACACAAAGGAAGGAAGCGTGTAACTTTATATCTTTGCTTTATTCGCAGCATAGTCTCATATGTGTAATCAGGAGGATGAGGAGTAACCAAAGAATGTATGGAGAGGCATATGTAATGGGATCAACGAGAAGGAGGCTACAGGGCAAAAGGACAAACGGGATACATATCAGGTGTAGTCGATAGTACTAATGCTCATGAAGTATGCTAGCCTATTTCACTCTTAGCAAATGAGAGTGCAAGGTGAAAATACATAATACGCTCTGCTAAAATAATCACCTAGTGGCACTATATAGGAACAGGAGAGTCAAGCTGGATACTGGTGTGTATGCGATAGCAGGAACCGGACAAAATATAACGTGAGAGGCAGTAGAAGGATTAAGCAGCAGTGCATCGAAACAGAATACAGCCATAAGGAGACAGAACGCAGAGGGACAAGGGCCAGCAAAAAAAAAGGGAGCTCTCTTTCGTTCATGGACGAAGACATAATTGAGGAAACCCTATTTTGTGCATATTTTACGGTGTGCATACGTATAGCAGTAACAGGGGCACCTTTTTACGGAGTGTTTGTTGTATGTGGTATGTATGTGAATAATACAAACAACATTATGTGATACTTTGAATAGAACTCCTCCCATCGTACATCTTACATGAAGGAAACTTCTGTTATCATATACACTCACAGTACAAGGTGAATAAATAGTATGATATTAGCCGATAACTTGGTACTTGTAATCAGCAAGATCATCCACACAGGTTCAATTACAAGTTCTGTTCCACTGTCACTTTATACAGAGAAGCCTTCCAAAAGGCCAAAAGGTGTGTTTTGATTCGCAAAAGGCAAACAAAAAAAAAACAGATAATATACGTACACAAAAAAGAAAGCAGAGAGTGTGTGTATGTGTGAATTGGTGGTTGGGTATACAAAAGGTTGATTGGAGTAGTGAGTAATAAGAGAAATAGTAATAATAACAGTATAGTATAGTAAAGATGAACAGTCTGTGTGGGTACTAGTGAATGAGCAGTGTAAAAGTACTAGTAGTAGTAGTAGTAGTGGTTGTTTCGTTGTGGTAATAGTAATGACAATAATATAAAACAAAGACATTAAACTTTTTTTTTCCTCCGCCCTCTCTCCTTCCACTTCCATCATAACATAAACATCGTCAGTAGACCCCGAGTAATGGTGGTTTAACCTTGAGAATGTCTCCGTGATGGCAACATTGCTTCTGGTAACGCATATAACGGGGGAGCGCTAGGTGTATATGCTGGTGGAGGTAATTCTGGCGAATCGATAGATGCATGGTGGTGGTGGTGATGATGATGATGAAGGTGATGATGTTCACAATGCGAACATGGTACTGCTGTTGTTGCAGCAGCAGCAGCAGCACCAGCACCAGCAGCAGCTGAAGATGAGTTTGAAGGACGAAGCGGAGGAAGAGGGTGATGATGAGAAGGGTTTGAAAGAGAAGTAGTGTCACTGCTGTCGTGTACTGCAGCAGCATTGGATTTACCATCCGGACGACGGTGACGGTGATTACTACTGCTACCAGCAGCAACAGCAGCAGAAACAAGAGAGTCACCATGATGCGCATGATCAGCCGCCGCGTCCAATTCCTTGGCAGTTGGGGCTGAAGGAGCGGGCGCCGCGTTTTGTGATGCGACCATGGAAATGATGTTCCGTCGACGCGGGTGGTGGTCCAATGAAGCAAGGAACGGCGGCGCAGGAGGAGCTGAAGGGGTCGGCAAATCGTCGTCGTTGTGATGTGGTCTTTCGGATGCTTCCAGCGCACCCACCAGAGATGACGATGATGCTGATGATGGTAATAAACTGGGTCGTCGCCGTTGCCTTCGTCTTTGTCGTCGTGGATCGTCGTCTTGTGCCAAAGCGTCAATCGATGATGTCAAAGAAGATGCCGATGAATCGGTCCGTTGTCGTCGAGACCTACTGTTGCTAGCCGCGGTTGCGTGATCATCATCATCGTCATTGTTGTAATCGTCGTTACTACTACTGTTATTGTCTCGCATTTCAGCCTCTTCAAGCTCCAATTCTCGTTGGTTTCGTTTCTTGACGCGCAACCGAGTGAAGATAACAATCGTCGCAACTACCGCAATCGCACCAACACCACCAACAACGGACAAAATGGTCACCATGCGTTTCAGTGCCGCTTGGTCTTGTTCCAATTGTTCGGCAATCGTGTCATTGTCTTTATTCGGGTCGTCGACATTGCCATTATCATGGTTTTTCCCATTGGAATTATCTTGCTGTTGCGCAAACGTGTCATTGTCGTGTACAACCCGGTTCGGATCAGGACTGGGTGCAATGACAACTGTAGTAATGTTTACAATGATTGTTTTCCCAGCTGCATTGGTGGTTGTGGTTGAGCCACTAGGCTTCTTGTTGTAATTGTTACTGGACGATTCACCACTTTGGTTGTCTTGTTCGCTTTTCGGTGGTGCAAGTAGTGTTATTGCTGTATCGTCAGCGTCGTTGTCGCCTGTATATCGGGCCGGATCGTCTCTTTTAGCATGGGTTTGTTGTAGTGGCAGTGGTTGCCGAGCAGGGGCCGTGGTGGGTCGGCTCGGACGAGAATCTTTATCACTATCACTATCACTCGTCGTCGTCGTGGGCAGAGGAAAGGGCGACGGTGTTGACAGAGGCAGTCTACTCGGCGAAGAGGCGTACAAAGGTTGTTGTTGCTGTTGTTGTCGACATTGTAATTGTGGTAGTGATGAGGGAGGAGGATGATTAGGGGGAGCTGGAGCCAGACCTGCTGTTGCTACAGCTACGAGTACCAACGCACAATAACACGAGACTAAAACGAATGTGGAGAGACCTCTTTTTCGCATGTAAAAAAAGGGGGGAAGGGCGAGAGAAAGAGAGAGAGAGAAAGAGAGAGAAAGCAAGGGTTTGATTCTTTAATGAGAAAAGGAAGAAATAGCAGCAGCAAGCAGAAGTAAGAGGAAAGAGGAAAGAGGAAAGAGGGTGAAGGGGCGAGGGTTGGTTGCAAGGAACAAGGAGTAAGAAAAATGGGTAACCGTATTTGGAGAGAAAAGAGAAGGGTGTCGGGCGGATTTACCAGGTATATTGCACGTTTCTTTGTATTCTCTCAAACACGCATCGCTCTCGCTCTCTCAGAGTTATAGTACATGCAGTCTTTGTGTGTGCGGTGCAACCAACAATAGACTTTTGATTGGGCCAGGGGCCCCACATCTTGGATTCATCTGTGTTCAAGGAACATTTCCATAACGGAAAGAGAGGGTTTTGGGATCAAAGAATACCTATGGCTCCTTCTCACCGACATGTTAGGTTTGCTGCTGCTGCTGCTGCTGATGCTGCTGCTGCTGATGATGATGGTCATGATGATACGGGTTAAATGCTGTGTAATAGTGGCTGGTGGATACAATCTAGCGTGCGCCCTTACTACATATAACTCAGTATGTACGGCTGTGTAACCGCTATGGTGGAAATGCGTGTGTGAATGAGAGGCAGAAGGTAAACTATTTTGTTCGTATCACACATAAACAAAAAGATCGTGCAGGCAGACAAAAGCTCTGCTCAGCCTATATATTCAAAAGTTGTAGTCTTTCGTCAACCAGCCTGCGCGTTGGGCGAGCTGATGATGGTACAACTGCCCAATATCCAATAAAGAAACTTCGAATGAGAGGAGGACATGACCAATGATGGAAGAGACACCGAGCCGGACCAACGATCTAGCAGCAACAAAGCTTCTGCACAAATGAAAAAGCTTGGTGGCGGCCGTGCTGGAGAAGAATTAGCAGTCCAATTCTCGCTTTCGTTTGGTTGGGCGCTGCTTGAAAAAAAAAATTGTTTTTTTTTTCTGTTGCGGAATTCTCTTTTAAGAGGTACACACGCTTGTCAACTGTTTTGTTTCCTCCTCTTCCTCCTTCTCTTTAAAAACTTTTTACAGTTTCCGTCATGTCTGCCGAATACGAGGGTGCCATTGGTATCGATTTGGGTACAACGTAAGTACTGTCCTCTGTAGCACCACCAAAGCGGCCTTGATCATGTATCGGCTGCTAAAGGGATATCACAGGAACTAATAACATATTACAACGATGATCCATACGAAATCTATAGCTACTCCTGCGTTGGTGTTTGGGAATCCGAGCGTGTTGAAATCATTGCCAACGAACAGGGTAACCGCACCACCCCTTCGTACGTTGCTTTCTCTGAGACCGAACGCTTGGTCGGTGATGCCGCCAAGAACCAGGCTGCCATGAACCCCAAGAACACCGTCTTCGATGCCAAGCGTCTCATCGGCCGTCGTTTCGACGACCAGGAGGTCAAGGCCGATATGGTCAACTGGCCCTTCACCCTTATCGACGATGGCAACGGCAACCCCAAGATCCAGGTCGACTCTGAGGGTGAGACCAAGAGCTTCACTCCCCAAGGTAAGAAGGAATTTTCTGACGATAAAATTTTTTTCTCGTTGCCCGCCGTATTGTTTTTTTTCGGACCGGAGTTTCTTTTCTCTGTGTGGATTATACTCCAGTGGGGCAAATTATAGTCGAACAAGCATGCGATGAAAGGATTTCAGTTTTGCTGATGATATTTGTGTGGGGGGATTCATAACACATAGAAATCTCGTCCATGGTCTTGATCAAGATGAAGGAAATCGCTGAAGCTAAGCTCGGCAAGAAGGTCTCCAAGGCCGTCGTCACTGTCCCTGCCTACTTCAACGACTCGCAGCGTCAGGCCACCAAGGATGCCGGTACCATTGCTGGTTTGGAGGTCCTCCGTATCATCAACGAGCCCACCGCTGCTGCCATTGCCTACGGTTTGGATGCCAACGACAAGAAGGAAAAGAACGTCCTGATCTTCGATTTGGGTGGCGGTACCTTCGATGTCTCGCTCTTGACCATCTCCGGTGGTGTCTTTGCCGTCAAGGCCACCGCTGGTAACACTCACTTGGGTGGTGAAGATTTCGACAACACCCTCGTCAACCACTTTGTCCAGGAAATCAAGCGTAAGCACAAGAAGGACATCTCTGGCGATGCCCGTGCCCTCCGTCGTCTCCGCTCGGCCTCCGAGCGTGCTAAGCGCACCTTGTCTTCGTTGACCCAGACCACCGTCGAAGTCGACTCGTTGTTCGAGGGCGTTGACTTCCAGTCCAACATCACCCGTGCCAAGTTTGAGGAAATCAACTCGACCCACTTCCAGAACACCGTCGAGCCCGTCGAGCGCGTCTTGAAGGATGCCAAGATCGACAAGAAGGCCATTGACGAGGTCGTCCTTGTCGGTGGTTCCACCCGTATCCCCAAGATCCAGTCGCTCTTGACCGATCTCTTCGATGGCAAGGAGTTGAACAAGTCCATCAACCCCGATGAGGCTGTCGCCTACGGTGCTGCTGTCCAGGCCGCCGTCTTGACCAACCAGGCCGGTAACGAAAAGACCCAGGACTTGTTGTTGTTGGACGTTGTCCCCTTGTCCCTTGGTGTTGAGATGCAGGGCGGTATCATGGCCGTTGTTGTCCCCCGCAACACCCCCATCCCTTGCCAGAAGTCCAAGGTCTTCACCACCTCCGGTGACAACCAGACCACCGTCACCTTCCCCGTCTACGAAGGTGAGCGTTTGATGACCAAGGAAAACAACATGCTCGGTGAGTTCTCTTTGAACGGCCTTGTCCCCGCTCCCCGCGGTACCCCCGAATTGCTCTGCACCTTCGACTTGGATGCCAACGGTATCTTAAAGGTCACTGCTCAGGACAAGACCACCGGTCGCAAGGCTGATGTCACCATCTCCAACTCGACCCGTCTCTCCGCTGCTGACATCGACCGCATGGTTGAGGATGCTGCTAAGAACGCCGAGTCCGACAAGCAGCGTGAAGCCGTCGTCCAGGCTAAGCAAGACTTGGAGTCCTACGTCTACCAGGTCGAGAACAACATCTCGGATCCCAACGTCAGCATGAAGTTGCGTCGTGGTGACCGTGAGTCCATCGAAACCGCCTTGGCCGAAGCCATGGAATTCATGGACATCTCTGCCGAGGAAGCCTCCGCCGATGACATCAAGGGCGCTCAGACCAAGCTCAAGCGCGCTGCCACCCGTGCTTTCGCCCACGTCTACTCCACCCGCCGTTAAAATAAAAAACACAACTTCTTTTTCCTCAACCTCCTATATATTTTAACGGTTCGCTGCTGACACAACACTGAATCAAATTTTTTTCTCATTTTCTGCATCTTCCTTTTTTACCTAATTCCTTTCTATAAATTTGCATCGTCGGAAACTTGTAAAAAACAAAACGAACAAAAGTTTGTCCTTTTCTCTTGTTTATCTCCATGCTTTTTTGTTTGTTGTGTATAGATATTTTTATAAAAAGTTATTCTGTTTATGAGAAAGATCCTCCTCGTGTTGATTGCTGTGTTTGCTTGCTTGCTGCTTGTTGTCGTGATGAATCCTACTGCCTCTTGATGGCAATGACATAGTGATTGTCGCGGTCATACCCCGACGTCTCAATTGTTACTCCTCCCAACTGCTGTGTAAACAGTCCGTCCAGCTCGCCCTTCTGGAACAAGTGGTAGTAACGATTGTACACCTCCCCCGTTGACTTGAGCATCCACGGCACAAACACGTCTTGCTTGCCCGGTTCAAAGTTGCGTTTGGTGAATTTGGTTTGCTCTAATGCCCAAACAAACACCAGTACTTTGCCTCCCGGTCGCGTTATCCGTAACAATTCCTCAATGGCTTCCTTCCGTCGCTCAGGCGTCGAGAAATGATGGATCACCGCAATGGATACTACAAAGTCCTGTTATACACCTTGTCTTTTAGTCTTCTAAACCCGCTGCCACTGCTGAACGCATCGCCGCAATCGAACTTACGAAAGCATTGTCACGGTAAGGCAGGTTTAAACCATCGGCTACCATCCCTTCAAAACCACGTTCGCATACAATCTCAATCAAATTGGCACTCCTGCATGGTATATCTATTAGCCTCTCTTCATAAGCCCCCCTCTTTCCCAACTTTTCCTCTTACCGATCAGATCCAAGCATCATCACGTTGGGATTCACGCCCAAATATTTGCCATTGCCACAGCCGACATCAGCTCCTAGACTTCCCTTGGGCAAGCCATTCAAGAACGTTTCCACTACCGGCCATGGCTTCATAGCACAAATTTTTAGTTTCTGTCGTTATTGCTGCATTACCTGATCAGAATCATACCACACACACACACACACACACATACCTTGTAACGCGTTTCACTAAAATGAGAGGCGATCTCTTGGTATACTTGATGCACATTGGCTTCTTCATATTTATCTTCGTTGTGTGTTGGTGTCTCGACGGCGATCGGCTGTGGTTTACTACTACTACTACTACTGTTATTATTGCCGTCGGTAATATTATTTGCTGCCATTTGAAAAGGAAAAAAAGAAGAAGCTCGAGACAAAGATGATTTCGGAGGCCAAAGAATCAAAAAAAAGTACAAGACGCCCATTTTATTTCTTTTCTTCATGAGATTGTTGTGGTAATGGAGATTTTGCTGCTGGTTCTGATTCTGTCTTGTCACGCCATGATTTGATTCTTTGTTCGTCACCTGGTCGCATCCAAGTGCCTTGCGTCTCACTTTAGGTTGGCAAAATGTCAAAAATAAATATTTAGCGAAAAGAACGTAAAAAACGGAGAGCTGCTGCTTACCTTTGGTATTCTTGTAATAATGGTTGGAACACATAGACACCCGTACCAACACCAACGCCGACGGCGAGCAGGACATTAGCTAATCGACCCGAAATCATAGTTTATGGTTGTATTTTAAGTTGTTGTTGTGGAAACACAGCAAAGGAAGCTGAATTGAAACCAAAATTAAGCTTTCTATGCCTTGCCAATTTTGGGGGCTATCCGTTGCATATCGCATGACAATAAAATTTAAGTCAAAACAGCAGCAAAGTCTTCATATACAAATAGGCATTGGAGCAGCATCTTGTTACGCCGTCTATTGCATTTGTTTATTTTTTATTCTTCTTCTATTACTATGAGAGCGGCAGACGTAAATCTTGTAAAAAATAAAGACATACATACTAGTGTATGCCATTGACTCCAGTTCCTCAAGTCCACCAGTGCTTTGAAACAAGCACAACGTGATTTGAACAATGACCCCTGGTGAGCTACAGCATCCATGCATATCCTGAAAATAGGAAAAAAAACCTGTTCTTACTCGTATTGGCTATTCACAACAACCTGGCAAGCTAGTAAAAGGCTTAAATAGGTGACAAGAAGCTAATATGAGTGAAAAATGCATTTTCATATTCACGAGCTGCGAAGAGCATAATAGGCTATGGCGAGCTAGCAAGGACGATGACTCTCGAGCAAAAGGATATCATGTCTGTCAAACCAGTATACTAAGCGCTCCAAGGAAGGTGTTGTGGTATGAAAACCGACAATGCGTCACGATTTTCCCGGCACACAACTGGGGAAACGAATGCACTGATCAAATATTACATCTTAAGCCATGTTAGTACAGTTACAGAATATGGGAAAAAAGAGCGCTTAAGCTGGCCTACACAAATAAGCTGCCACAACAGAATGAGAAGTATTTGGTTAAACTGTCGAACTGAAAGTGTTAGCACTGCTGCTAATTGCACATGATATGTAATATACAGCTTGATGGGAATAAACCGTCAGCGAGTGTCACGCTTTCTTCACTCATTCTTCTCTCATATGTACATTCTCTTCTTCCATTGATGCTTTTCTCAGAACTTCATAGAAGCGTGGCATAAACTGCTGCTCTGCGTCATACTCCTCCCCTATTGCATAGGAACACCTTGACCATGCGATAAACGGTTGCTGAGATAATCAGCCTCCATGCAAAAGGCAGATTGTTTACGAGCTGCTTTCTCAAATGCTCCGTAAAAGCGAAGCTGCTTTTCCAAAAAAAGGCCTGGCAGTCAACACAACCATTTGGATCTTAAAAATTGCTTTTTCAAGTCGGCGACTTTGATGGCACATAATACATGGAACGACACAACTGTCTTGGTTAAGAAAACTTAAAGAGTGATATAGTAAATAACTGCCAACTAACTTGGCTACTATGATACCAAGATGTCTTCCTCTGCTTCATGCTTTGTAGACAATATAAAATTGCTTCTTCTTATGAAGGACTGTTACCGATCAAAAAAAGTTACGACTGGTTGTTATTTAGGTAATAAGTGCGGGAACACTTGACGTTATCTACAGAGTTTTGTATTGCTTTGTTCGTTTTTTTTTCTTTTACAAATATACAACGGAGCCATGCTAATGATATGTCTGGAAAATAGAAGAGTGCTTTACGCAAGTCGTTTTGACAATTCAGGTGATGAAAGAGCAACATAAAATGCTCTAAATAATAGTGATTTCGCCATGAGCGATCAATCTTCGGAGAATCGTCCGTATCGTCACCGGTTAGACATATCATCGTCAGAGAAAGAGAATCGTTTCATTGCGGGATATAGGACATACGATACCACTGATTCATAGTGTTCTATAATTCAAATAATTCATTCTTTTCCTCATTACTGTATTACTTCTTTTATAAGAAATGAGAGACAGGATTTATAATCTGACTTGATGAAGCAGAAAAAAGAAATGCTTTTGAAGAAGAAGAACAATTTTTGGAAATCGATGAAGTCGAGTTACTACGTACCGTTGGATCATTTTTACTGACAATTAGTCTGTTTTTCCACCATACTGTACTTCTAGCCAGTACTATAAGAATCTAAATCTTCCTCAAAGAGTGTCCATATGAAACTCTTGACTCTTTATACTTAAATTTATACTGAGTGCTTTAATGGAAATTCATCAAGAAAGAAACGATAAACGTGGTTTTTATGTGAAAGTCTGCCTCAGTAAAACTCTGAAATGACACATTGGCCGCTGCCGGCAGTACAAACTGAAAAATAGCACTTTATGCTGATCCTTAAGTCATCAGCTATGCGGAATGAAGTACGAGGGTCATCCAAAGCGGAAGCTAAAACATTTACGAGAAGGTGGTTCTTTAACTTGGTGAATAGCAAGACTCCAAGCTCCAAGAAATTTAATTCCAAACGACATAGATTCCATGATTTCATTTTTGAGTATAAGCTTTCATGTCGAGCTATCAGTAGCAGATCTGATTAAGGTGTAGTAATTGATGATAAAAAAAATTTCGGGTGATTCAGTTGGTCACGTAATACAGTATAACACTCGTGTTCTGGGTGTGCATACCAAAAACGGTAATGTCAGACGTAAAACCGTTGTCATAATTCGTAGATCCTTGCCTGAATTAAAATTAGATAATAACCCTTCTTCCTTTTTCTTTCTTTAAGCATTTTTTGCACACATCTTAACTGTTTTGTTAATTACCAAACGTGAATGGCAGCAGCAACAGCAACAGCGGCACCAACAAAACCGCCAATGGGCCCGAGGCCACCGACGACAATGGATACAAATACATTGAACTCGGCTGATGCAGCCGCGGAATCCATGTGGTGCCACCAACAGGAAAAGGCGAGTCCAACTAGCCGTAAGAAATTCAGTTTACCTTTCCAAAAGAAAAATTCCCAAGATCAAAACATGCTCCAGGAGGAGGAAGGTAAAAACATTGTTCATGGTCGTTTACAATACAAATACAAAACCACAGGGAACATTGGAAATTGAGATGGAGAAAACGATAACATTTTCATTTGATAGAAACGCCATCAGTGGCAAGTAACCGCCAACAATCACGATTCCGGAGCCATATGAAAAGCGCTGCAGGCATACTACCAGGCCAAGTGACGGCCTTTCCGGGCAACGTCAAGAACGTAGCTGGAGCACTGCCCGGCCAAGTCACCTCATTACCAGGCAACGTCATTAATGCTGCAGGACAGGTTACATCTCTTTCAGGAAATGTTTTTAACACATTCACAAGCGGATTCAGAGGCAGCAAATCTGAAGAACAGGAAGCGGAAGACGAGGACGAACAAATGCCGTCCAAATGTTTCAAGCTCCAGTTCCCACAACCCTTGCGACCCGCCAAACCAGGCCAGCTCGTCAAGGGACTTGAACTGAATGCGCTCAAATATTTGTTCTTTACCTCATTTGCTTGCTACTTCTTTGGACGATTACACGTTGGTTATTTTCTGGGTCTGGTGTCTATTCTGTTAGGCGCTATGACGTATTGGGTACTTGGGACAGAGACCGAGGAAGGATTGAATTGGCAATTGGAAAAACAGGAAGGTGCTAAGACGGTGAGTTGTTAATCTAGGTCCCTTACAACGACTAAAAATAATAGAAAATAGGAAAACATATTACTCAACATTGTTGGAAACAATAGCTTTATGATACACGAGGCGAGACAGTCGAGTGGATGAACTACTTTGTCCAAAAGATCTGGCGCAGCATTGATCCAAATGTGTTTGTCAGCGTCGAGGATATTCTTGAAGACACATTGCAAAGCATTGCTCCAGCCGTCATTGTAAGTTCTTTCTATAGTTTAGGGATAATGAAGAAGAAAGCAAAGAACATTACAATGTTATACAATTTCCGTGTCTAACGGTGATGGTTTTCACAAATTGTTTTTTGTCGCATGTATATAGAAAGCTGTAAAAGTGACCGATCTTGATATTGGCGTTCATGCACCACGCATTCGAAAGTAAGCGTGCAGCTTTATCGTTGTCATTCAATAGCTGTATCAAGAAACCTTGATTGTGGACCGTATATATACTTGTTGTATTCATAATAATTTGCATAGGATTCGCATTTTCCCGCCGATGCCAGGTCAACCTGAAGAAGCGATGGTAAATTAATAAGCCAGAATTGAGTTATTCTATAATATAAAGAAGAAACACTAACGTAAACCGTCATTGCATATTGCATACATAAGTTTGGCGAGGCGTCGTTTGACTTTCAAGCAAATTCGTCCGGTAATAGCCGAAATGTCACTTCAGCGCCACCTGGCATTGCTATACGATTCAAGACAGGATTAAAGGCACCCATTGATATCAAGGCGGAACTGACCAAATTGCAAGGCAGCTTGCGGTTCAAGATCTTAACATCGCCGGACATGCCATTTGTATCCAAGGTCACTATTTCATTTGTCAGTGTACCCAACATTGATACTGGTGTTATGCCCATGTCCAAACATATGAACGTCATGAAGGTAATACCGACGAGGTGCCAATGATCCTCTTCGGAAAAGAAGATAAGAAAATGATATCATCTATTATCATAATAACTTGATTTTTATTTTTATGATTATCACAGGTGCCAATGATGAAAACACTGGTGAACGAAGCCGTCAAGCTTGGATTCGCTGATCTCGTCGATCCCAAGTCCATGACATTGGATATCAAAGAGCTGATGGGTGCCGCTGCTCAAGATACTTCCTCCATTGGTGTCGTCAAGGTTGAAGTACGGCAGGCTAAGCGTACTTCTACAATCAATCTGCAAGATATGGAGGATGCCTATGCAACCATCTCCCTTAGTACCCAAGAAGGCAAGAACGCACCTAGCACGCGAGTTTTGACCAACGACGAGGATCCACGATGGAATGAGAATTTGTATATTCTAGTGCACCAAGGTAATCTTGCTAGGAGCGATTGGTGGAAATGACATAGTAGAAAATCACATTCTTGATATTGCAAAACTAATGGTACTTTTGTGTTGCTTGTTACAACAAAACATTTATACAGAGGAAATTGTCAACGAAGCTACCGTGGATATCAAGGTTTGGGATGCAGACAAGGTCAAAACAGATGATGCTTGGGGTTGTGCTTCGGTTCCTGTCAAAGATATTGTGTGCGGCAAAGTCGACAAGTTGGGCAATGTCACGGATTGGTGCAAAGAAGAAAGGGTCGTGTTTGACGGGTAAGTATTCTTTTTTCATGCTTCGTATTTTTCGGTGAAGTTAATGGAGAATAATGACACGAGGCGATATACCATATGTTATCGTTTAGTTGGGCTCCTATGGACGGCAAAGCCAGCTTGGAGGAATCTGAAGTCAAGCTGGACTTCCGAATGACTTACCATCCGAAATACATTGCTCCACCACTACCAGGTCTAATGACAGCTTTGAACAAGAACAAGAAGAGCAAGAGACAAGAGGAATTGGAGCAAGAAGAGTGTAACCCAATGCACAAGAGCGGTATCTTGTCCGTAATGGTTACCGAAGCAGCCGATTTGGAAATTGGTGACCCGGAAATGATTACCGCCGACGAGTTTAAACATCCGTACAGCCCTAATCAAATCGTTAATCCGTATGCTGTGAATTATCTTAACGATAACAAAGTCTACGAAACCCGTGCCAAGCTACGCAATCCGGCTCCGGTACGTAGTAAGACTTATCACTTTACAATTAGTATAGAGGAAAAAAAAGGTATACGCTAATCGTATTGAAAACGTGTACAAACATAGCACTGGAACGCGGAATGCGAACATTTGGTCAAGGACTATGATTCGGCCTTCGTACGAGTTTCTGTCAAGACATCCATGGATCTGGAGCGCGATCCAGTGCTGGGAACACGATTGTTCTTTTTAAAGGACGTGTTTGGAGATCAACAAGGCAAATTCAAAGAAGCCGAACGCTGGGTTGCCTTGGCCAACGGTATTGGATTTGGCAAGGTGTTATTGAACCTAAAATACAAGCCTGTCAAGCTTACTTTACCACGTGAACTACGTGGTTCTGATGTCGGTACCATGATCATCGACCGTGTGAATTTCAAGCTCAAGCATCCGTTTTCATCACGCAATGTTCGATCCACCAAAGCTACGCTGGCACTCAACATAGATCCAACGATCCTGAAGCGTCTTAAGAGTCGCGACCTATCCACATCTACACAAACCAACAGTAGCGAGGATGTGATTGTATGGCAAAAATCTCGTCCCATGTATTTCCCACTGACAATGCGATATCGCACAGCGTTGTATGTTCATGTCAATCAAGGCAGCTTATCGACAACTAAGGCCGTTGGTCGACTATGGTTGAAAAAAGTATGCGACGGCAGTTGGCAAGAAGCCACCATTGGTCTTTATGAACCTGTCAGTGGATCTGAGTGTAACAAGAATGAGGATGATTGGAGTCCAGATGATGGCGAGTTTGGTCAGGTGGTGGTCCGATTCAAGATAGTGCCTGGACTGTCGCCCGTGCACACTCACTTGCGCTCCTTCCAACTCGACATGTTGGGTGCCGATCCGTTCCAAGACGATACTTTGAAGAGTAAAGTGGAACAGTGGGTAAAAGAGGCAGAGGACCAAGAAGAAGCTGCTCAAAGGCGCCGTGAGTCAGCCATAACCGAAGCATCTGAAGTGTACGGCCAAGAGGAAGAGATGGCGGACAAGGAGTTCTTGGAAGACTTGCAGACGTACACTCGAAGCCATAAGATTCCTCGCCTGTTTGTCTTCCGTAAGATTGCAAGAGGCACAGATATTGTACGTCACCGGGTGGAAACTATGCGTGATGGATTTAATTCAGAGAATCGTGCTAGTCGTGCTGTAACCAAAGAATAAAAAAAATAGCTTGCATAGTTGTTTCAAATGGTCGTCGGTTGTCATGGTTTCTCTTCTTGATGTATGGTTACAATAGCTACAGTACTCTAAAATAAGTGATTTTTAAGTGCTATCACTTACACCAAGTACCAGCACTTACGTTAACATGACAAGCTTCTTAAATCGAGTGCGTTCGATAGTTTGTTCAGAAAGCCACACCTGGTTTTAGCCGATCTGCATTGCACCCAATCACACATCACAGAGAAAGTATTACGCGATTATTTGAATCTCAGGTGCCGATAAACCAATCGTTATTTTTCCACTGTTTCCTCCTCATCCTTGTTTCCTTATTTTTCTATAATAAACAATGTTGGCAGCACGTTCCCGATTCGCCGCAACTGCAAAGCGCACTTTTGCTTCTCAAGCTGAGGCTGCTGCTTCCACTGCTGCAGCTCCCGACAAAAAGTACAAGGTTGTCGTTGTTGGTGGCGGACCCGGTGGTTTGTCAGGTATAGCAGTACGAAAACAAAAAGAAACGGGCAAGCGCGGTGGTGTTTGTTGTAGTACACATATAATATGAGACTGACCATGAGCCATGTCAAAATTTCAAAATTATAGTTTCCTCCACTTTGTCCAAGATGCTCGGCAAGGATCAAGTCGCCGTCATTGACCCTGCTAGCCACCATTATGTAAGCGCTTGAGTATTTTTGACAAGGGTTGCGGGACTGAAGAGAAGGAGAAGGCGGTTATTAAGGCGGAAGCGAGTGATATATACGAAGCTTAGCAACAACAAAAACTTATTGGGGCGTATTTCTTGCTTTTTTATCAACGGAACCGCCGTATCTCTGTCTGTCTGTATGCGTGTACAATTAGTATCAACCCTTGTGGACCTACGTCGGTGGTGGTTTGAAGGACTTTAGAGAATCCGTGCGCCCCATGGAATCGGTTGTTCCCGAAAAGGCTGAATGGATCAAGGATCGCGTCACAAAGTTGGATCCTGACAACAACCAGGTCAAGTTGGGCGATGGCAAGACTGTCGGCTACGACTATCTTGTTGTTGCTGCGGGTATCCAGATTAACTGGGAGCAAATTAAGGGCTTGAAGGAAACCTTGGGCAAGAATGGTGTCACCTCCAACTACTCGGCTGACAGCGTTCAGAAGACTTACAAGTTCATTCAGGACTTCAAAGGCGGTAATGCTTTGTTTAGTTTTCCCGCTGGTCCCTTGAAGGTTAGTAGTATTTGCTTGTTAAGGGTTATGGATCGACTGGAAAAAGATAATTGACATGTATTTAACAAAAAATCCTCTCAGTGCCCTGGCGCTCCCACCAAGATTGTCTTTTTGGCTGAAGAAGCTTTCCGTCTTCAGGGTGTTCGTGACAAGACCAACGTCACCTACAACACTGCATTGCCCAAGATTTTCGGTGTAGATCACTATGGCCGTGTCTTGCAGAAGCTTGCCGACGAGCGTGGCATCAACCTCAACTTCCAGCACGAACTGGTCGAAATCAAGGCCGATGACCGCAAGGCTATCTTCCGCAACAACACCAACCAGGAAATGAAGACCTTTGACTACGATTTCTTGCACGTTGCTCCTCCTCAGGGCGCTCCCACCTTCATCAAGGAAAGCAAGCTGGCTGATGCCGCTGGTTTTGTCGATGTTTCCAAGACCACTTTGCGATCCAACAAGTACAAGAACGTCTTTGCTTTGGGCGATTGCTCCAACTTGCCCACTTCCAAGACCGCTGCTGCAATCACCGCTGAATCCGGTGTCTTGAAGCACAACTTGATTGCTGATATGGAAGGCAAGACTATCCAGGAGGCCGAATATGATGGTTACACTAGCTGCCCTCTTATTGTTGGCCGCGACCAGCTTATCTTGGCTGAGTTCTCGGGTAAGATTATTCTTAATGATAAATATGGCCTTTAGGATTGAGATAGGAACAGGGATATCAAAGAGCTGGATGCTGATGCTATATCTTTCAGGTTATACCGGTCAGCCTTTGGAAACGTTCCCTGTCGACCAACGAGCAGTTACTTCGGTTGGTCAGTACCTCAACATGGAGATCATCCCTTCCATTTACTGGAATGGTTTGTTGAACGGTGTCTGGACCGGCCCTGCTGCTTTCAGAAACGCCATGTCTCCCTTCCGTTCTTCCAACTAAAAAAGCTATGGTATAAAACCAAAAGACTGCATTTGTTTTTCTTTTTCGGTTGAATGCGTGTTGATCAGGAAATATAATTTTTGTCTTTCAGGGTCTTGTATTATTGCTATATTGACACACTTACATTACACCTATATCGCACGGTGTACCTCAAAATAATTCATCTAAAGTATTAAAACAAAGACATATCCAAATATAAATTAAAGGCATTTTCTATATCATCGCATCTTTGTCGACAGCTCTATATTATTTATAATGTCATGATCAAAAAACTTTCATAATTCACGATTGACGGGGTGATTAACCGTCGTATGTTTTCAAGCTTGGTTCACTACCGGGCATTCTTGAACTAGAGATTAGAGGGACAACCACTGTTGAAGGGTCCTTAAAAGTTCTATGTCTATCACTACTGATCCAGTTCAACTTCCTACGCCCGTCACTGCAGACCTGACAAGCACGCGTTTCTTGACAAACAGCATCGGCGCGACTTGAGCAGTCAACAAACCAGATACAATGATACGATTCAACACTCGACCCAGACAATTGACTGCCTATAGAGAATGGCTGTTTGACATGATAAAAGCACGCGCTCACGCTTGGTCAATAAAGGGCAATCTCACTTAAGAGAATATCTACCTTGTACTACACTAGTGACGCTAATAGTTGCGTTTCTATGATATGTTCAGGAACTGCAGCAGTGAGGCATCGGCCGTCCCCCCCCTTCCTTCCTCAATGCAACACGACGAAGACCACGACGATGGCGCTCTCATCAGCAAAGGCTATTGTTGCTATTAACTGGGAAAACTGCAGTACAAAGCAGTAAAAAAGAAGCCTCGATCAAGCTCAGCAAAGTTATGGTGATTGCAATACTGTATCGAGGACTCTATAGGCCAAAAGTGTAAGCCAGAAATGGCATAGCTGAAGCTCGTCTAATATGCCGACTTGATTTCAATACGCAAACATTTATTGAAGTTTGCAACAATTATCAGTCGCTTACCCTTTGTGCTCTCAGCGTATATGCGACAGTAACCGCCCATGGCAGGATTGGATTCTGCAGTGCTCTTCCGGTTGCAGTAATGTCAAGTATGGGACAAAAAGAACGATTTTTCTTTTACATTAACTCGAGCGACCCGAACGTATTGAGGATCTTAATAGTGAAGTAAGGCGAGCAAATGTCAAAAAGGTGATCATAAATGCTTAGAGATAAAAACTTTCCTGAGCTTGAATCATTGAAAATACATATTAATGAGAGAAAGTGTCAATCATATTAATACCCATCATGTATCTTGCTTTCTCTCAGCACACTTTCATATCAATACTTGTCGTTTCAAAGTTTGTCTCGAGGCTTTTTCATTCAGTTTGCAGAGATAACCAAAAAATACACAAAAATACGAGTTGCGAAAAAGATATACATAAGAAATAAGAAAGCGGAGAAGAACAAGGATATCGTAAATCGCAGAAAAATTTGGGGTAAGGGAGGAAAGGAGAAAAAAATACATAAGAGACAGAGGTTTAATAGGAAAAAGGGTGGGTGCGGATTTTGTAAGACGTTGTGATATATGGAGAAGATCGGTATATAAGTAAAGGTGTAAAGAGAGATTTAGGCGGGGGGAAACAGAGAAGAGAGAGCATAAGTATGTATACTACAGCCTGGGGGTCATTTGTTGATGGATAGGTGGGTTTAGGTAGATAGAGATAGAGTTATATAGAAGAAAAGGGGTCTGTAGTGTGTAGCAACGATATATTTATGTAAGAATAACAAAGAAAAGAGAGAGTAAGCGCAGGAGCAACTTCATCTAGGACGAAGTCGAGGTTGCAACGGTATCGAGACTACCTTCCCAAAACATTTGCATCTGTTGGATCTCTCTCGAGCTCTTGGCGTCTAAATCGTCCAGACCCCACATGATATCCTTGACGCGTTCCTGCACTTCACCCTTCTCGAGCACAACCGCATCATCATCGTCCTTTTCTTCCAGGAACTTGTTTATCCTTCGGATATCCTTGCGCACTTCATGTACCGTCTTGGCAATCGACCGCAGTCGCGAGTTCAACTCTTGCACCTGTCGCTTATTGACATACATGATCTCCTTAAGCTCCTCCAAAGACTCGGTCATGGACGACGTCTCGATATTCAGCTTGTGAATTGCTGGAAGCGGGTTTTCATACGAGTATGCCTGATCGTACAGTGTTGTCTTCATGGATGCAAACAATGCCTCGAGTTCTTTGATAGCGTCCAAAGGCATCCATGCAATCTCCTTCCGTATTGAGCTATCGAGGTTACGGAGCGAGCTCGTTTGTCGTTCTCGGTCACGGGATTTGCTTTCGACAAGATTTGCTACGGATGTGATCACCAACTCGAGCGGTGGGGTGTACTTGTTGCTGTTCTTTAAAGGATTATTCTGCTGATCATCCGCCAACAACGTATTGAAGAGCCGCTTGTGGAGCGTCTTGGTTTCCCAGACGGCCGAGTTGAGCTCTTCCAACTGCCGTTTTAAAACTTCAAAGGGGTCATCGTCTTCCTGGTCAAGTGAGGACCATGTTGAGCTAAACGAGCTGCGACGGCTGCGGCCGTAGGCCGAGGTTGAAGTGCTCATGGCATGGCTCCATTGAATGGGCGATAGGACCGGGCTCGTTTGCGACATTGGGTCACCAATGCCACCGCTGCTGCCGTTGAAATGATGGTTATTGTTGTTAAAATCGGCCAACGAACTAGACAAGCTGCGATTCATTGCCATGGAAGCCAATTTGCTGTTCCCATGGTGGCTGACGGGTGGAGACAGCGGAGGTGCAACGGTGGATGGTGGAGCAGGTCCTCCGGCGGAATGCAGCTCAGCTGCAAGTGATGAACCAAGAGGTGTTTCCATATTCATAAAATACCCCTTGCCCAGCAATTCTTCTTCGAGCGACTGGCTCGCAGCAAATGCATCGTCTTCGAACATGGAATCGGACATGGGAGCTTCAGATGCCATTAGATACCGGAAAAGAAGTAAAGGAAAAAAACACTAGTACGGGTAGATGGTCAAAAGAGGTTTATATTGTTTGTGAGAAACAGCAAAGAGGAACAAGGGAGTTGAAAAAAAGAAAGAGAGGTGGAGCAGTCGGAAGCGGAAGTGATAAGAACCAACAATTTTTTTTTTCTTCTCACTGTGCTTTACCTAGTATGCTCTATGCTCCATATGTACGCTGCGTACCGAGAGAAATTAAGAAAGAGAGAGAGAGAGAGAGAGAACACGGGAGGTGCACGCTCATTGGATGACAAGCCTTGTGGTTAACCAAAAGAATTTCAGTGCGTGCGCACACTGCTAATTAGTTTGCTCAAAGTTTTTGGTCGTTGCTCTTGCTGCTGCTGCTGCTGCTGCTGCTGCTTGCATATGCTCAACATCATCTCTCCTTAATGAATGGGTGGCTCTCACTCTCACACAAATTCGGGTGTCAAGAAAACGTGGCCCTATTGACGAAATTGGGAACAGGCACTCAATATTTACTGCCACGAGTTTCGATGCATATGCATATTACATATTATATTGCTTCCTAACTATAAGGTGTGTTGTGTAGAGAGTTAAGCTCTAAGTTTGTGCAAAACCGGCTTTTGTCATTATTGATGCTGTCTAATGTGGCGCACCCCTTCTCTCCCTCAAAATAACATAGCAGCGATCTCGATGGTTACAAAGTTCTCTCAGTATCCATGCCTACACTCTCTACCGACGTATTCCATCAAACGATATTACCAATTACAAGTGTTGCTTCTGCAAGATCTACGCGTCGTTGTAAACTTTTTATTATAAATGTCAAAATGGTGTTATGGTTTATATCTACAAAGAGGAGTGTGGGTGTACGTGTATGTGTGTAATAATAAGAAGAGAGAAAGTTGGATAGGGATGATGATGATGCCAAGTAGGGAGTTATGTGATCTTTTTATCTAGTGAACGATTTGAATACCAACGCTCTTTGCCACACCAATCACACTACCGCAGATACTTTCCAACGACAAGTGCTTGAGGTTAGCGTCCGTCTGCTTGATTTTCGCAATTTCGTAAACGTGCTTCAACGACAATTTGGCCACAGTTTCCGAGCCGGGTTTCTGCGCTCCCTTGTGAATGCCAGCAGCCCGTTTCAACAAAAATGTCGTTGGTGGCGTTTTTGTGACAAACGTAAACGTGCGGTCGGGTTTAATCGTAATGACGGTGGGAATGGGTGTTTCGGGTACGATGTGCTTGGTCTTGTCGTTGAATTGTTTACAAAAGTCCATGGACTTGACACCTCGTGCACCAAGAGCAGGACCGACGGGGGGTGAAGGCGATGCTTTTCCAGCAGATACCAGAATGCGAACGAGTGCTTCAGCTGCTTGTGGTTTTTTTGACATTGTATCGTGTTGTGTAGTGTGTTTCAAGGTGGAGCACAAAGTTTTTTTTCTCTGTTGCCCGCCCTGTAATAGCGGCAGGGTGACTGCTGAGAATGAAAACTCTCATTATTGCGCCCTGGAGGATTTCTTCTCTTAGAGTTACATCAATGACTAAAACATACTGTAAAATACAAGCTTGTGCGTTTTTCAACAGCTACTCATTGAAACAGATTCTATCATTCAAAGGAAAGTATCGTTTTACGTATCTTGACATCGAATACAAAACAATGGGCTTAGAATAACAGCTCTCACCAATCAACCCACGTAGTTTGGCTATTTCTCTATCCTGTCTTCTACACTAGTGCATATTTATCCTTTTCATACATATCTCTATAGCTTAACACAGAACAAACATATAATGTAAACCATTCCACCAGATTTGAAAGTCTATGTACGAGTCGTAACTCTTATCACCTTTTTTATGTCTGGTAAGATGTATGCGATGCCCCTGGAAGCAGTATCATATGTACATGCCAACAATGAAAATTAAGAACATCAGCTATACGTGACCTGACGTACTAAGCCCAGAGGATTTTCCATTACTGCCTTGAAACGGCCAACAAAAATGTCCCATATGCTTCCATTTCCGATGACAACAAAAGAGGGTGCGACAGGGAGGTAATTATCATTAGCAGTAGTATAGTAGGTGTGTGATTTTTTCTGTACGATCTCACATGAAACTTTGCAATCCACTTCGCTTTTATCTTTACAAGGGAGGCTACCATACTCTTTCGCATCAATATTGGCTGCGAGTGGCAACGTCGTATCCATCCAGATCTTAACCACCGCTTGTAGTCATGATCGTTGTTGTTAGCGTACTATAACGACCGTGGTCCCGTAGTTACAGCCTGTATGAGGGAGCGCTGGTACAAGATGTCGTTGGGAAAGCTTAGAAGATCAGTTGACAACAAATTTTAAAGAAGCACGGCGACAGTTCCCACTGTGTGCCTGCGGTTCTGATTCTACACCATACTGTAACCAAAATATTTTGAAGAAGGGCGATAGTGTAGCATTGAAAATCGAGTTTGCTTCCTGTAAATCTACCATGCATCATTAAACAACCGAGCATTTCTCCTATATAACGATCGTTACTACGTATCGTATATCCAACAACCCAAGTTAAACACATTGATTATCTACAAAACGACAACTACATGTTCTTCATTTGGTTGCCAGCTCATGTCCTGTCCGGTTTACGTTTTTTCAAATCGTATTTACTGACGAACAAAGTAGCTTTGACTAAGAGAGTATGTATCATATTTTGTTACCAATAATGCGAGATTTATAAGTTGTTTGATACTATGATTATCAAAATCAACTTACAGCGCCTTCTATTGTTCATCCAAACTATGACAAAATAAGCACCCTTTGACGATTGGAGAAGAACTATTGAGAGCCTGGGTTTTGATAGAACCTAGTATGTTGCGAGACGTTCCGGACCAGCAACGGGAGTATCGCGACCAACTACCGCTGCATATTGTTGTTTGCACCAGACAACAGTTTTGGAGGCGACTGAATGCTTGATGGGGTTTTAGTAAGTACTGCTAGTCGTGGTGAGGAGCTCTTTTCAACCATTTGTTCTCTATTAAAAATTGCATTGGTGTCGATTTACACCTTGCAGCACAGTCAACCGTATCCATGCGATGCTACGCCGTTGATTACATAGCGCATTATGCTCAAGCAAAGAAAGCTCTACACAAATCCAGTTGTTCTCCGGTGATTTTATGATACACGAATTCGACGCTTTTAATATCGAGGTGCAGATGTTAATTACGATCTTTGGAGAAATACCCATTGCTGCCATAATACTCTACATGATAGAGTTAACTACTTGCTACTATTTATACCTGGCCAATGTGTCCTTTCGCGAATGTTTAGGATATGTGCTCCTGAATCAGACATGCGACGCTATCTGGTCGGAAGCAAGTTATGCAAAGTTCGAACGACCAGGATTGACAAACCGCAGGCATCTTGTCTGCCACTGGTTCATATGAGCTGTAAACGAACTAGTCCAACGGTAGCTCGAGAAGTGCATATACAGCAGCTTGGCCACACTAGCGTGTATCTGTCCTAGGGCTCATACAGACTTGTTCATGCAACATGTTTATACCCCTCGACCAGCAGTGAGCCGCCGCATATGATAACTCGAAGCTCTGCGAGAAGGTCCAGGTATCAGAACTGAGGCCAATGCTGCCGGAATGCTCCACGCCCTGACACAAACGTACATGAACGAACGAGACCGTGCTATCCTATATATTCGACATAATATCTTAGGGTATGACCATAACAGATACGTGTCCTCCGCGAAACCGATCGGTTCAGCCCCATTCTAGGTAGTACGTGCGAAGGCAAGGAGTCTGATCCTTTAATAACGCATCTATAATGCGGCATTGCAACAATAGCATAATATTCTTATTCTTGGCATTTTAATTTTTTACCCGTTTCACCTATACCACCGTGTTGTCTCGTGTGTCTTTTTTCTCAGTTATGGATTCATATCAGTCCTAGTATATATGATCTCTTTCCCTCTTTTTGTAACGCAACGAAGCGATCAACTGCTAAGTAATTACACATGGCATTCTGTCTTTCACAATAAAACGATAATTTTTAAACTAAAATGTATTTAGCTGCAACGCAATAGAATATACTTAATTACCCTATTTACCATCAAAATCAGTATCCAACACAGGCAGCGCTCTGCAAACATTTATATATTTTTTTAGTTAGATGTGCTATGATATCCTACTTCCCGATTTCCACTAGTAATTTGTATGCAGTATAGCTTTGTTACCCTTCAAGTTATCGCTTCTATTACCGTACGTAGCTAATTAGTCTCATATAAGCTTGCATCTCGGGTTTTTCTGCCCTTTTCAGATGAACCTGAAGAAAGGGCTGATTTATTGGCGTATACGTTGATAGCGAAGAAGGGAAGGACTGCTGATATTTTTGATACCGGTTGTTAGTAAAAGTCGGTGTTGTTCATTATTAAGCTCATAGGTGAATTGGCAGGACTTACTACGAAAAAAGATTGATGAGTTAGTGTTAGACCAATCATTTGCTTTATCATACTTAATCGCGCTGACACATCTTCAGCCAGTTGCAATAATAGACCTTCAATGCATAATATACATTGGTTCTTGCTGACAAGTCATGTCTCTCTTTAGCTAAAAAGATGTGAAATATTCTTATTCATTGACAAATGGTCCATCAAAAGCGAAGGCGCTACGTACAATTAAATACGCAAAAAACAGTGTGCATATAGATGAATGGGACCCATATTAGGGAGACCCTTTATTTAAGCTCAAAATGTGGCGGGAAACGTAACCGTTCTCTTTTACGCATACGCATAAAAATTATGTCAGAGAACCCCACTGATAAAGAACCCGAGCTCACCGATGAGCAGATTCTTGAGTTGGAACAACGCATCAAGGACGAAGAGGCACTCAAAGTAAAGTGATTCGGATAATACTGCTCTTTCTTTTCACATTGTACGTTGTTCATCACTATAGGAAAGTAATAGAAAAGTAACTCACCACTTTTTTTGCTGCATAAAACACTTTATTACCCAACCTCAAAGATTCCTCTCGTTTGCCAAGATGAGTCAATCACTACGTTGGAGGAAGAATTCAAAGGCAACGAACCATTTCTGCGCAAGGTCAAAGTACGTTTATAGGTTCACTGATAGTAGAAGGAGGAAGAAAACGAAAGAGGAATTCCATTTACAAGCTAGTATATGGGGTGTTGTAGAATCTAGGCGAATCGTCAGATAGGATACGTAAATGTCGTGGCGATGGTAAGTGGTTTTTTCAAATACTAGTTGATAGCAAGAATTATCAAAAAAGCATTGTTGTTTCTAACTTGCTTTTGTTACTTGTTACATAGGCAACTGCTTTTTCCGAGGTAAGTTTGGAATATAAAGAAAAAGGGCCCATAGAACAAAAGCAGGAGGGAAGGGATTTACTCAAATTTATTGTTATAAAACGAACAGCATTTTCATTCGCTTGGTTTGAGAGCTTGATGCGTGCCGATCAAGCAACCTATCAAGCTGCTTTAGCCAAACTCAAAACAACGCCAGATTTACTCGAACGCGCAGGATTTCAAAAACTCGCATTTGAGGATTTTTATGAGGTGACGCTCGAACAGTTTGAATTGCTCCCACAACGCGATCCAGACATGTTATTGGCAAGTTTTCAATCCGAAGAAATCAGTAATGCCATTGTGATGCACTTGCGTTTTGTGGCATCTGCCTATCTTCGTATCCATTCAGCCGAGTATGAGCCGTTCTTGGTGGTAGAGATGATATCGATTGACGAGTTCTGCGCAATGCATGTGGAGGCCTTTGGCCGCGAGTCGGATCATTTGCAGATCATTGCCTTGAGCAAGGCGCTAGAGGTGCCCGTGCAGATCGTTTATCTCGATGGCAGTGCGGATCAGCAAGCAGCTGTGCATGATTTCTTCCCAGATGAATCGTCAGATCCTGCTAAACCCTTGCGGCTGATTTACAGACCAGGTACTAAATAGACATGGATTGGTAGTATAGCATGTGTGGATATGTCTTGAAGAAGTGCTGATCATTCAAATCTAATGAACCTTATTTAGGTCACTATGATATCCTTTACGAAAAACGTTAAATAACACAACCATTTTCCTCATATCATATTCCCTTCTTCATTATTACAACATCTGGCAAAAGAAGTGGTTGGGGCATGTTGTGTATGTGAGAAACACGAGTATTATGCACACATAGTTGTGATCATATTGTAGGATACAAGGACGCCTGTGTAAAGGACAGTAATGGATACGTAAAGTAATCATTTAAAAAGTGCTTCTGAACTTTTTTATTTCCACCATGACGGTTTGAACCCCCACAGGCTGAACACCACTAATGCCACGCTGTTCTAGAATATCTAAGAATTTGGTATAGTACACAATAAGCTGGCCCAACACTGCGTGTAGCACCATCGTTCCGTTTTTGAAATTGGAAAAGTATTGGATCACGGATGAATTGATTGACGTCAGACTCTGTCGCCAAGTTTGTGCGAATTCGTGTGATATCCGTTGCATTTCACCTATTCATAGGACAGATACCAGAAGTGAGTTTCTATCTCCATTTTTTTTAAAGTCTGTAGAATTTGAAAGCTCCCTCTTTTTGTTTACCTTTTTCTGGTTGAGCCATGTTCTTGGATTGCTCTGACCGTTTTACACAATCAACCATACTGCCAAAGAATGGCTTTAATTGTTCATCCACGAACGCCCCAGTGTGAATGGATAGTAACTGTCGAACGTGCTCTAGCTCGCTTTCTAGTGCTCGATTATGCGCTTCCTATAGTCGTTTTAACATCACTTCAATAAGCTAACCTGTATCACTAATTTCTACTTGCTTTTTAAAAAATTAAAGGTTACCTGGAAGACGGAGACGATCACATCATAATTGTTTATCAAAAATGCTATCCGTCGTGTAGGTTCTGAAAACTCGTTGGACATTCTTGCCAATAACCCTTCAAACTCGTTTCGCATTTTTTGGACACTTTTGGGAAAACCAATAATATTGTTAGCTGCTTCTCAAAGAAATTATTATAATACGTTTTTAATTTGATTACCTATTGATCAATATGGCATCGTCATATCCTTCATTCAATACTAGTAATGAAGCCGCAAATTCGGCATATCGTCGAGTGATCTAAGCAGGGGCCAACATTTTTAAGTTAGTGTTAGCTCTTTAAACCATTTTTTTAACGCTCTGGTACAACAAACTTACATAATGTGGATGAATGTCTTTGACAGCACTAATGACGGATTTGGTAGCTGCCATCCGTTTCAAACTCTCCACATGCAGGGTCATAACATGTTGAAATCGTGGCCATAGCGTCATATTTGTTGAATTGGTATATCCTTCCAATGCAGGTACGCGTCTTCGTTGCAATTCTAATGCCAGCTGGGTATTGATACGAATACATAGAAGTATACCCACTGCATCATATGAATTTTCGATATAACCTTTGGTAAATGTCTGTGTTTTGCATCAGAATGTGTGTTAGCCTCAATCTCTCAAAATTATGTGCTCGTGGATGATGAGACAGAAGCTCGTATATTAAGCACCAACTTACCAATCCGACTTTTTCAGTAGGATCAAATATTTGTTGGAATACAGATTTCGCTGTATCAGCAGACTTTTTGGTATCTCTGGACGAGAAGAACTCGTAAATGAACAGATATTCTGAGCTGGCATTGTCAATAAGAGTCAGATTGAAGCTTCTGAACAGCTGTTCAAATTGGAATTTCTATAGATAATGCGTTCAAGTTGTCAGGTCTTTTTCTTTCTCAAATAGCACTATAACCTGCTATTTACGGCAACAATGGCTCCATCCTAGCTACTGATAAGTTGAACAATGCAAACCTGATCTTTATCCTCTGCAACATGCACAAGGATGACACCTTGATCTGTCATCTTTAAAGCATCAATACGATCACCGAGAGCAAACACATTGGTTTTGTCTTTTAGCGCCACCTTAGTACTACTAAAGAGACCTAAATGCAAATATCACTATTAACAACGTTTTTTCCGTATCTTATATCTTGCCCTTTCCATTTTTTCTTTTCGCACCTTTTCTTCCATGTTCCTCAACGCCAATCAAATCAGATTTGTCAGCTGTGATTGTCTATATATAACATAACACATCATGTCAGCAAATTCCATTGCATGAATTTCTTTCTCTTTATTGTCCCACGTTTCACTCCTTGCCTGAAGTTTGGTTAATCCTTTGCTGTATCGCTCAAAATGGTTATTAAAATACCATTTGAGCGCATTCACATAAGTTTGCCGTATTTCTGTCGCTGCATCGTGATGTCGTTCAATTACAAACTGGTGAAGCTCCTTGTACTTCAGAAACACGGATTGCTGCATAATTTGTACGTTTGTGTTGGGCACAAGTAATGCATTGATCCGCTCAATAAAGAAATCGCGAATAGTGGATGCTGCCTTGAGTCGTAACTTTTCTAATTCGGGTCCAACGTTACGGAGCGCCTTGATCGGTTTGTTCTGGTTTGCTTTGACAAATCGCATTTGCTGATTGATCGCAAGCAAGTATTGTAGCCATACTTCATCCACTTCGCCTTCGGTAATCTTTCTATGGTTGGTTTTACTTAAGTTTAACTGCGACTAGGTCTACCTGTCGTCGTTTCACCTCTTCGACCCCAGAAAAATTCGCTTACTTGATACTGTAAGGAGGAATCACCATGCCCTGCAATGCCTTGCTCAATTTTGTTTCAACACCCTATTCACGCATCTCTCTTCCATCAGCGCTATGTTTTGTACTGTACGATACGATTTTTACTGGATAAATGAGCTCACCTTGCGGTTCCGTAATTTGACGCTCATGCGAGAAGACCGTTCCTGCAGACTCTTAATTTCTCCGCTGATATTGCCCAAATCACTCTGAAATACGCTCAAAAGCTCCTCCATCCTTCCAAGCACTTCGTCACAGCTCTATAATTTATGATAACATCCTTGAGTCAATAAGGGTTTGTTGAATTACTCCCTTCTATGCGTACCTGAACTTCGGAGTGTAACTCCACAAACGACCGGATCTGCTGAACATCTGATGCAAATACAATCCGCCACCTCTTCAGTCACACGTACATACCTATTTCACGGCTTCTTAATTACTCTTCAATTATGCTCTTACATACTTACAGTCATTTTCAAGATCCCTTTGTACAGACTCTCGTTCCTCCTCGATTTGTAATGCATATTCGCGTAAATCCATGCCTTTTTCCAAAGCTTCTCGAACAAATGCATCCTCCTGAAACGCGGATATACGATCTATATACTCTTTTATAAGTACCAGTACATCACACACATCCACTTCATTATATAATAGTCACCATCCACTTCGTCAAATGTAATCTGATCGAAATCATCGTCTAAAAAATCATCCTCCAACGACGCGTTGTCCTATAATATTTTTTGGTGTGTCCTCTATCCTGTTAATACCACTCCCATACACGATATATCCACACAGAGGCAGCCATAAGGTATAAACACAAAAGAGCCAGGGCTTTTTTTTTCATTCTTCACCCCTTCCTTTTACGATTTAATAATAGATTGTCGAACCTTGTCCGCTGGATCTTCTTCTTCGAACAGCCATTCGAGTTCTTTTAAAGTTGTTGATGGCCCGTCTGCTGTTGATGTTCCTGATACTGCTGGCCGTAAAGGCTTGTCGTCATCGGAATCGTCATCTTCTACGGCGGCGGGTTTATTAGTGTTGCTTAAATCTTCGTCAGACGATGGAACCGAAGGTAGAGCTTTGTCTATGCTCCTCCGTAATTCTTCATTTTGTCGAGTGATGAGATTGTCGTTGCTGTTGTTGGTAGTGGTGTTGCTGCCTGCAGCGTCCATAAGGGGTGCTATGTTGTTTTAAAAGGACAAGAAAATTATTAAAGGTTGCTTTGGATTATTTTAGGTATTACTGCAACGAGTATTAAAAAAGCGGCCCTTTTGCTGCAACCCGCTCGAAGGTGTATAAGCTTTTCTTTCCCGACGCACGGTGCGAAGCTGACCTTTATTTCGCAACATTTCATGATAGGGTTTCGCATAAGTTTTTCGTGCTGACATATGCATTTCTCGTTCAATGACTCTTGCGTATCACCTATGCTACAACAGTGAAAGCCATCCAACATAAAATACATAATACTTTCCTTCAATGAAGTACTATTTTACCTCCGTAGAAACAGGTCGCGGAGTTCCTGTGTCGTCTATCTAATGACATGAACTATATTTTGTTGCAGGTACAACCATCGGACACGGCAGTGTGGTACTTTGCAGCCTTCATGGAAAGACGAGTCAAGACATTATGATCGTTGCTGATCAACGGAACTGCATGATTTACTATTCAAACCTTAAATGCAAGCACCCAGGCGAAGTATATATCTCAGAAAAGAGTAGTGATACCAATGACCCACCTGCTTTGTAGCGAATCCTGATGAAACATGAGCTATCATAGTGCATTATCGGAAACTAGACAATAACCCAACGGAAAATAGGGAAAGATGAACAATAAATAAGCGATTATTATTTGGTTGCTTTGGTTCCTTGGCATTTCCACAACGTACACATATCATATGGGTGGTTTCCACAAATTTCTTAAAACAACGGTCCAAGCTTTCGAGCAACTCAATCTTGAAGTGAATAACCATTTGCAACAACAACAACAAAGTCATGCTCAATCGTCGTCAGGAGCTCCTACATCACAACAAACGCCTGCTGTACCAGCACGGCCACCCAACTACCCTGCACCAGCAGCGGCTCAACAGCAACACTACTACGATCAGGCACCTTTTTCTCGTTTAGTTTATCCAGGCCCCGATGGTAAACTTGTATATCCTTCATACAATGAAAAAGGCGATCGTATACTCGACTTTTCGTCAGCCGGCTACAATGAAGGTTGGACAGGATTACCGGAAGGTATTCAAGTTGTCATGTCATTGGAACCCTCTGGTGGACAAGATGACGATTCTGCACGCATTCAACTAGCGCTTGACCAACTCGGTACCATGCCTCCCTTTCAAGGCGGAAGTCCGTTTCGAGGTGCACTACAGCTTAACCGCGGCTACTACAATCTTGCACAACCACTCGAGTTCCGAGTATCCGGTGTCGTGTTGCAAGGCGATCCCTCTGGTGGCACAGTTTTGGTTGGTACAAGTGACCCACTCACTACGCGTTGCTTGTTCAAGATTGTTGGCGAGACGAATGCATATACCAAACGCGTTCCCGTACAGGACGAATATGTACCTGTTGGTAGCAACATATTGACCGTGCGTGACAAGAATCACTTTAAAGTGGGCGATACCGTCATGATTGGAGTTGCGTTTAACGATGCATGGGTCAAAGCTGTGGGTATGGATGTGATCCATCCAAAAGGAAACACGAACAAAAACAATGGATGGAAAGCAGGTCGTTTTGAGCATCATCGTCGGGTGGTGCGCGTTGATAATGGTGGCACTCGGCTGACGCTGAACGAACCTTTGACTGCCAGTCTGTGCAAGCAGTATGGCGGCGGCTTTGTCACAAAATACGAAAACAAACGTGTTCAACATGTCGGCCTGCAGTTCTTTGAATGTCAATTTCCCCAAAATAAGGATCGTGGACCAGAAGAAATGATGGCGCAGCAAAAGAAGCCTGTCAAAGATTATCGATTTGCGGACGAAATGTTTGATCACTTGATGGTAGCTATGGATAGTGCTGAAAACTGTTGGATTCGTGCCGTACGCTCAGTATGGTGGCGCAACTTTGCACGACTGGGAACCAACACAGTGGCCATCACGCTGCAGGTGAGAACAAGGTTTTTAACAGGAGCCGCAACACTGGATGTCTGTTAACCACAGTGTATGACATTGCTTTCTTAGGAATGTCATCATACCTTTCCTAACCCTCCTCCGGGCCCAGATAAACGAAAACCTTTGCCTCTTACTGGACAGTTTGCATTTGAATTATCTGGCCAATTGATCCTGATTGATCGTTGCCATGTCGAATACAACTTCCATGCCTACTCGTACAAGGGTCGTGTCCCAGGCCCTAATGTGGTATACCAGAGTAGCTGCGTTGCAAAGAATGGCGATGTAGGTCCCCATATGAAGTGGTGTAAGTTTTCATACTTTTACTTTTTGACTCGTGAGCAGATATGGGTTTAGTGATCATTTGTTGACATGAATTTCTTAATATTAGCGACTGGACAGCTTTATGACAGTGAGTACATTTAACATTTCATAGACTTTTTCTATACCAAATGGTGATAGTGAGTAAACACATGAACTGATGAAAAAAAAAACATTTTATAGATTGTAATATTGAGGGCCAAATGATTATTCAAGATCGATTCGATGCTGGTTCAGGCCATGGTTGGTCCGGTGCCAATTCGGTTGTATGGAATACAGTAGCTCATGGAGGCATGGTTGTTCAAAAGCCTCCAACAGCACATAACTTCCTAAGTACGTGTCATATATTTAGAAGAAAAAATACTTGAAGAATAAGATGAGTTATACAAGATCGGATAATAATGACAGTACTAACCTTGCGCAACGCATAATTCTATTTCTTCCCTTCTATGTTTATTTTCTTTGAATATAGTCGGAAGCTCCTCCAAGCGAGGCAAAGCTCGAATGCCACAACACGAATGGGCTTGGGAAGAACATTCTGATCAGAAAGTGAACCCTCCTAGTCTGTATATGACGCAACTCAGTGAAAGACGACAGCGTCTTCAGTCCTCATAAACCCGCTGCTAGGCATACTTTTATGTTGCCATTCTAATATTTATCTTTGCTATATCTTACTAGAAAACGTGCTTTCAATGCATCGCTTCCCCTATCTCGCAATCACACTCATTGCCGTGGCAAAAAACAGCTCACAACACTACGACATTCCACCTCCAATTACTGAAAATTTTATTTCTTGTATTGTTAAATACTCTTCCAATTAAAATTGATGCCTGTATATTTACAGCTCGTAACGTTCGCTTGATTGTTCTACTGTGGTGGGAATATCAAAATGCCGTCTTCTTCCAGTCATTGGATTCGTTGTTACCATCCACAACAGTGATGTCACTAGTTATTGTAGCATACGTATCAACTGACGTTGCTCTTGCACACTTGGCACGTGAGACTTGTTTGATTTCCAAAACACAACAATGTGTAGTTAGTACCTGAAATTTCATGGGATATACTATACTGCCTTTTTTGTTCTGGCCGCCTCTTGTACTATATATCAACATCCACCTGCCTCGCTTCGCTCGGCTGAATGAGCCCCTTCGCTGCGCTCCGGGTCATTCAACGGATTGGATGTTTTCTGGGGGTTCCCCCCTTGACCCCCAAGTGAGGGGCAAGCCCCCCAAACCCCCCTGTCGAGCGAGGTTGGATCAATGTTTTGGTATTAGATGCTTATTGTCTGTTTTCAAAATCAAAAGCAAGATCATTGTGCAGTGAGAAGTAGCCTATCATAGAAAGTCGTCAAAGTTGGTTACTTAACTATCTCCAGTTTAGAATACAATGCGAAAAGAAGTGTTGACAAAGATGATGTAGTGATATTGATAAAAAGAGAATAGGCGTGAAAAAAAGAGAATAGGTGAGAAAAAAAGAGAATAGGTGATAAAAAAGAGAATAGGTGATACGTAATAAAGAGAATAGAAGATAAAAAAGAGGATAGGCGACAAAAAGAAATAGAGAAGAACTTCATGGAAAACAACATCTCGGATGCTTTGACCTTGCTGACCCGCGATACTCGAGTTCTCGGGATCTAACATGATCCTGATGGATGAAGGGGTGCGGACGCGTGACATGGCTACATAGAGTAGACCATGCGTGAAAGGAGGTTCAGGTAAGTAGAGGCCAACAGTGTTAAAAGTTTGATCCTGTGCCTTATTGAGGGTCATAGTGAATGCCAGGCGAACAGGGAATTGGATGCGTTTGAAGAGAATGGGGGAGCGTATTTGTGATGGTGTTGAAGTTATGCGAGGGATCAAGACGATGTTGCCGGTATGAGGTCCAGTGGCTATTTCAGCATCAAGTACATATCGTTGGAGAGAGCGTAACAATCAGTCGTGTCTTATTGCAGAGTCCACTATGGGTGTGCAAGTTCCGCTTGGCACCAACAGCTCGGCACCAACAGCTCGGCACCATCACCAATGCAAAGTAAATGTTGCATAGACTGGCCAAGCTCGTTTGCATCATTGGTGTTGGCAGCTTGTTGGACGCGTATGTTGGTTTCAAGGCGATGGACGGTGACACTGGGTCAAATTGATGAACGATTTAGACACTGCTGTACGATTTGCGAGCGCGATGCATTTGGTATCACAGGAAGGACCTATTACCAGGTTTGATGTAGATACTTTAACGTAAGTATTACCGCTCAATAGCAAAAGAATGCAAAGTAGAAGAGAGGATACAATGTTGAGTACCAGGCAAAAGTCAACACCAAGGACCATAATTTTTCCATCAAATGGAACATCGGCAAGCGCGGGATCGCCATGTCTCATGAGATTTTGGATACTCTTGTATACGTTGATACTTGTATTGATACTTGTATCCAGCGTGTTTAAAGCGATGACACTTCTCAGATGATGAAGGATTTGAAGTGAGCTTCATATCGTGTTTATAACGCTTATCCGCTTGAGTCTTTTCTCGATGCGATACCCGTCTATTCACATAGTCATACATTCATGTAGAATAAACTTTCTTATCTGGAGGAGCCACACACCTCGGCGCGTCATAAACGTGAGAGAGCAATCTGATTGGATAGATTGAACTGGCTCAAATGCCGTGTTCATTACTCTATATAACCGCGCGGCCGCAGCAATCATGCCGCTCCTCTTCCTCCTCGTCAACGTTTGTAAACCAAAGCTATTCAATGTGAGTATCATTGGAACGGATTAGAGGATCGAAGAGTGTATGTTTATGGTGGTGAGTGAGAAGAGCGTATGCAACCGGTTGCGAGTATCTCAAGATCCGTTTATCTCACTTTCTTTCTTTTTTGACACAGACCTTCTTCTCGTCTTAACCTGGTCCATATCCCCCTCACGTTGGCTCCCAAAGCACAGATGCAAGAGTAAGTACAATATGGAAAATGTGAAGTGTGACTTGAGGCTTTGCTTGTGGATGTGATATACGAAAGAAGATATGAATTTCGACGTGTCTAAAGAAGTGTGTGTACAGCATACAGTCGCTAATGTTATCCTCCTTTCTTCTCTGCTACTACTATAGGATTCTGACTTTTTGAAATGGTTGGTTCGGTTTGTTGTTTGCATCCCACCCTTAAACATAAGCGACAACTGTAAGTACGGTAGGGAATGAAATGTGAGGATGAGTTGGAGAGAAGTCGAGTGTCTGTTGGAGGTGCTGATGCCATGACGTGTCAGGAATAGTTGCATATTAAGAACAGCCTGCTCATGATCTTTCTTCTTTTCATTCTACTTCAGGTTTCGCTTTATGCTGGTTGGGTTAATTGTGTCCTGCGGACAAATAACAGATAGTAAGTATAAGCAAAAGGGGACTTGAACATTGGTATGATAGGTGAGTAGGATGACATGGGTGTTGGGGATGACGCGTCAAAGGTGTGCAGTGTGTACAGCAGCGTGACGGGAAAGGGCTCCTGACCATGACGTATGCAATATGGCAGTCTCTCAAAAAAGTTTTCTTCCTCTCCTCCCCTTTCTTCTCTTATTCTTTTTTCAGAATTGGTCATCCCCTTCTTGCTTTTCCTCTCTCTAACTCAAGGCTCTCTTCCTCCAAGCCAAGGATGTCATAATAGTAAGTATCGCTGTGCTTGTGTTTGTCTTTGCGTGTTTGAAGAACCAGGAAGATGTCTGCCGTGACATGTCAAAAAGTGTATGCAGCTGCTCATAGATGTTTTCTTTTTTCTAATAGAGGATGGCTCTGCGGTGATCTGTTTGGACTTGAATTGGCTTAGACCCCATCTCTCTCTGTCTATAACTTTGCTGTAAAACGACAAAACAAATGTAATTATAGCTGGATCCAGCTTGGGATGGAGGAGGATGGGCATGCCGTGTCAAAAAATAAAGATAGCACAGTGTGTAAAACCCTCTAATGATCTTTTTCTCCAGTTAGAAGAAGTGTTTTCGTCTTGGCTGCGATTCTCTGCTTCTACACTGGCCGGGTGTTCGGTTATCCTGTGTCTCATCGTAGAAGTATGGGTAAGTATAGCACGATAGAATCTTGTGTGTGTGGTTTGACAGTTTCCCATTAACTATTCGTCTCTTTTGTTTCTCGGAATGGCGGTAGTGCACAGACACCTCCAAGCTGGTCAAGATTGATGCTCCACTGTCATCCCGCTCCTAGAAGCCGACCTGTCAAGTAGTCCATAGGCTGCGGTCAAGATCTATCCATCCATCTGGACGGTGGCGTGTGCTTTTTGCTTTGAATGGACCTGAGGAAGTCGTTAAAAGCCTCATATTCTTATTGCTTATTTGTATAATTTATCCCCCTTCCCCTCTTCCCCTTGCTCTGACCTAGGAAGTCGTTAAAAGCGTCTATTGCGTTCTTTATATAGTTTATCCCCCTCCCCTTCTCCTCCCCCTTTGCTTTTCTCTCGCAGTTCCTAGTAGCCTCTGTCTCGACCCATCTTCGGATGTTGCATCGTTTCACGCGAACGGCTGTTTTTTTTACTCAGGCAGCCTCCGGGCGTAACAACAACAATATGAGCACTCTATACGTACTGTGATATTCATTCTTGCAAAGTCCATATAATCTCTTTAAAGCTTACCGTGATTAGCTGTTTCAACCTGCTCAATGACCACTGTAGTAGGTACTATTTGATCAGGTTTTGATAATTCCTTTTGCGACTGAAGAAGCTGCTACTGAATGTTTGATTCTAGATTTTCTTTACAATTCAAAGGAAGGGCGAGAGTTGGTTAGTTGCTACTTAAAGCACAGATGAAAAAAAAATCGAAGTCTATGATATGAGCCGCGGTTGTACTTATCGAATAATACATGTTTCAAAGATCGTTGACGATTCCTGAGCTGGTCGTGTCAAAATAAGATCATCGCTGTCAACTAACTTTTTAGACCTTCAACTGTGGCAAAGATTGAAGGCACGTCCTTTTGAAAGAAATCGAATGCTAATTCCGTAAATGCTGCTTGTAAAGATGACCACATTATAACTGTACTCCTGAAAGGATGAGAAAAAGGTAACGGCTTAAGGTGAGTAGGTTATCATATGAAAAGCGCGCGCCGGGAGTTGAATGATCTGCATGATTATGCTACTGTGCTCCCAGCCAGGGTTGTTTTAGACTGACAAACCTTCCAAGATCTAACGCGAGCAAGCATGTCCCTTAGGACACAGCTTTCACGCTGCCTTTAAATTTTAGGCTAAATCATTTCCGTCTACTGCGCAGCAAGATGGGGCACTTTGCTAGGACCCGCTGTATAGTTGTCAACGGCAGCAAGCATTCGGTAGCTTAATAAAGGCGGTTTAGCTTAGCAACAACCTGCATGATTTATATGCTGTGCGCGATTCCGATTGAGCTAAATGCGTGGAAAGTCTGTAAGATACTTAAAAGCTCATGATTTATACGGTATCAATCCGTTTTATATTTGCCTTACGACTACGAATACTATTATGGAGAAAACAGTCGACGATATATACTAGCTGCGTATCTTATTTGTTAACAAGCTACTGTACAAATGCGTATCGTTTAATGGCTAGTGAAGAGCTTTATCGGTTTGCGTATATTACTGAACGTAAAAAGTAGATACCGCTCTAAAGAAATTGTGCGTTAATACATATATTATTCATTTTTCAGCAAAAGAAAAGAGCAAGATTTAGGCGTTCGGATTAATACACTATTATCACCAACTCATTTTGGCGCATATTTTTTGTTGGCAATAGAAGCATAGCGAATGTGTAGTTCCATCTGTTAAACGCCTTGAAATGGACCGTCTATTGAAATTTTTTGGCATGCTAGTAGTAGCAGTCAACAAAAACAGTAAATCATACAAGTCAATTAAATTTGTCTGATGGCTAACCCATTCTTGTTCGAACCAGAATCTCAAGCACAAAAATGAACATCTGTAATAGATTAAACGTTACAACAAAAGGTATATTATGCATGGTTAGTAGTAAAATAATTATAAAAAAAGGTACTCTATTATCCCTAAAAACATTTACAATAGAAAATATAAGAGTAAAGCGGTGAGGGTGGGGATGGAGATGTCATAGAGTTGTAGCATTTCTCCTATTTAAAGTATCTATGATGATTAAGTGGTGTTGGTATCGCAAATATGGAGTCATGAGGGTATACGTTCATACACTTGTAATTTGATTGATTGGAGATATTGTTGTTGTCGTGTAGGTATAGTGTCACATTCCTCCCTCTTCCCTCTCTTTTATTTATGAGTAATAACTTCAAGAAAACTTCAGCAACTCATTCCATCTGCTTTGAATAATAAGAAAAGACACCATGCCTAGAAAGCTCAAAATAAGAAAAAAATGAGTATATAAATTTTGTACTTTGTTGAAGCACTTGGTAAATATTATCAGCTATAATGAAAATCTTTGCCCTTGCATATAATCAGGCATAGAACAAGAATGAAAAAGAAAAATAAAGACAACGAATAGGAGGAGTTTTTCAGCATATCATACAAGGAAAATGCGCTCGTCATCACCCGTCGTTATCATCGATCTAGATATATTATGCAAAGCATCGTCATTAGTTAAGAAGCTCTTCTTTGTCTTTAGAAGAGAACAATGAATTTGTCTGTGTGTATGCAAATTAGTTGATTAGATGATGTAAGGGTCTTTGATCCGAAAATCTGATAAAAGAGAATGTCTTGACAATTAACTATATTTGTAGTATGCACTATTATTATATATAAAATTGATGAAAGTGCTTGGTGTAACAATTATCGTTAGATATGCAGAATTAGTACTGTATAATCTCTAGTATCATAGTAAGTGCGAAAAGAAGGATACAACATCGATTACACATTGATCTCAAAGGCAAGGTGCATGATTATCGTTTAACTAGACACCCCCTATTCTTTTGGGGGGTCGCTTCTGCTGGTTCTACTGCTTCTACTATGCTAGTATCTTTCTTTTTTGGTTATAGTTAAAGTTTTACAGGGAACAAAGAGAGAGATAGAAGACTGCCCAAAGGGAGAACGTGAAATGATCTGATGGTGTACTTACAAGATTCGGGGCATTTTTTACTATGTTCCGTGCTTTGTGTCGTGCTTTACTTTGCGGGGCAGGCCGAATAGCTACTTTATTGAAACATCAGTTTCTGACATCCAATCTTTTACTAACTTTATCATATGTTTAGTGCATGTAACTTTGCACGGTGCGTAGTAATCTATTTGATGGTTCAAAAACCCAACAAAAATTGATGAGAGCTATCTCATTGTAGTCATGGTATATTCACCCTCCTTTCCTTTCTTGTATAAGGCACAATTTAATACTTATTGTACCATCAACATTACTGGTCACGTGTGCTAACTCTTGAGCCACTACTAGCCATTGTGGTGTCAAGATGCTCATAAACAGGGAAGAATGAATCGCTTATAGTAAACCTCCTCTTTTTATTTTGTTCTAGCCTTGGTCTAAACATACACATATTTCTAAGAATCTGATCTGTGGTGAGGCTGAGTGTCCAATGCGCAGGACTATTGTTGGAGGACGGAGAGACCAGAACGTGTAGCACACGGTTCAATAATAGCGATTACGTACTATTGGGCTTAGTAGCGCTGAAAAGGAGAGGGAGGGGGGAAGAGGCTCTGCTAAATAATAGAAAAGGTGATACAACCATTGTAAAGTATGATGACTACAATGATATCAAGGCGCGGTCATACTGACTTTTATGACGTATAATTAGCGATAGCAGCACAGTACACACAATGATAACAAATGCATGTGCACATATGTATGTATGTACGTAGAGTTAGTAATAGCAGCAGTTAAAGAAAGCTAAACCTTGTGACGCAGAATATATTATAAGATTATACAATATGCACTCGGGTGAAAGGTGAAAAGAAAGGAGGTGCTGCAGCAAGTCAGTGAGATGATCGGCGAAAAGTAAATTTGACAAACATCGTGTTCGTGTCACAGACACTCTATCACGCATATGGTAACCCGTCTTTCAACGCAACTTGAAGCCAGCAGCTTTACGTCTACTTTCGTCTACACCAGAGGGCAAGAGGCAGATGGGGTGGCTTTGATGATGACAGTTTTGCTGCTATTTACACTAATCAGTAATTTTTGTAATTAGCAGCTGCTCTCAGCTGCAAAAGAAAAACCCCACCAGTACTGTAGTGGATAAGAAGGAGCTGGGAGGCGGGGGGGGGCGTTATATACAATAGATGATCAAATACTTTGTTGTTTTCTCAAGATTGTCCTGCTCACAAAAATTTATAGTAATCATGAGATTTCGACAGTCCAGCAGAAGGCCACCATTCATTTCTTTTCTGTGGATACACTTGCTGTGTTATGAGCCGTGACAGGTACTTGTTTTTTAATATTAGTTTTATTAATAACTCGTTTTCTATAAGTTGAACTTGGCCTTACAACGAACAGCAACAACGACTACTACTGTTGCTGCTGCTGCTGCCGCTCCTGCTCCTGCTGCAAGGAAAAGCGGCGATTGGAGGGGCAGAAGGTAGTTACGGAAGGGTAAAAAAAAGGAGTATCAGTATAGAACAAACTTGACTAGAAAGTATTGTGCAACCTACTAGGCATCAACAACAACACAATAAATTATATATAGATAAGCCGGTTTCTTGAATTTACCAGTTCTACTGTAATCACGAAGAGCCGTAAATACAACCCGTCGATTAAAATAGATTACCCATATTTATTTGGACTATCACTTTAGTGATCTGTCGTTTTCAAATTCTGTTTTCAACCGAATAAGCATACTGTAGAGGTGGATATATTAAAATAGGGCATGCAAAAAGCCCACCATTATCGCGATTCGCTATCGAGGGCTGGTGTATAAAAACGCGATGATGATGGTGGTCATTATGCTAAAACTTAGGAATAGAGGAAAGAAGGGAGACAGAAGGTAAGATAGTGTAGAAAAGACATTCAATACATAGCGTCTTCTTGTCACTGCGTATAAGTACCTCTTAAAGAGCCTATGGGTATTCTTTTTCTCCATACAGTAGCTCATATACACAATGATAGCAACAGCTTTACATGATCGTATTGAAGGGAAAAAGGTACTCTGCGCAAACAGGAGTGTGTAGCAATCGCACCACCATCATCAGAAGTAACAAAAATCACAGAAAGGGAGAATAAACCCCCACAGATGTTGTGACGATCGACTAATAGCATGTACTAGCTACTCCATCGGTATGTCTGGCTAGTCGTGATGGTAAAAAAAACCCAAACATTCGTTTCCTTATACTTTCTCCGTTTGTATAGAAAAATGTGGGTTTTACAGCATATAACAGCAATGGGTTTATAAACGCCCTTTATTGGGAGAGCTAGTAGCTAGTAGCTACTGATTAGGAGTTTTAGTGCAAACAGGCATTTCGTATCGGTTTTTCTTTGAAACCGGTCATCGAGTAATAGTACCACGCGCGAAAAAAAAAAAAAAGCGGTTCCGATAATTGAAGAAAAAGAGAACAAAAGATCGAGCAGCTTTTTATTCTCTCCTGCATTATCACACTACTGCAGTCATTGACGAATGAAAAGAAGAGTGTATGAAACAAGCAAAGAATAGATGCAAATAGAAGTTGAAGGGAAACAAAAAGAAATTAAGGGAGCAATAGCAGCATCATCCTCAAAACAATAGCTACATTTAAAAAGGATGGCTTGCCGTTTAAAGCAAACCGGATGAAGAGACCTAGCCAAAGAGAAAGTTATTCGAAGGGGCCACTCCCTGATGTGATGGATTGTTTGAAAAGGGTAAAAACAAATGGTGGGGTTCTGTTTGTGATTGCTTATGGGAAGCGTTATCATATAAAATATATAATAAAGCCCCCCAATTTCTTAGCATGAGTCTCGTTCTTGTTAGGGTTCACACGCACTTACAGGGGAAGGAGGCGCTGGCCCCGAACCAAGAACACGCACACACGCCATATATACAATTCTTTCGTATTAGGAGAGAAAGGCAGACTAACAGCTACAGCAGCAGCAGTGATAGTAGTGATAGTAGCAGCAGTAGTGGCAGTAGTAATAACAATACTAGAAAAATACCCCATTGTTCAAGTGGGTAAGGCAAGGGGAGGGAGTCAAATGTGCGTGTGCAAAAAAAGGCAACCGAGCAAATTTTTATAAGCTTTAAGGAACACAAAAAAAAGGGGTCATGGGCTGCACACACGCATCACGCAAACATGCGAGCACACACTTACACGCACGGCATATCACACATCCTACCAGCAGAACAGCGCACCGTCAAGGTCGTAAGGCGGATGATCTTCATAAATTGGGTACACCATCGTATTTTTTGACGCGACCTAATTATTCTCTTTTCTCTTCTTTCTTCCTTTTATTTCTTTTACAACTTCTATTAAAGTCATTTAACAAGAACCCTGTCCAATCGTTCTCTTTCACTCTCTGCTACTCTTTTTCTTCCTTCTCCTGGCCCCAATCAACCATTCCTTCCCCATCATCTTATACTTTTTGATATATGGCACCATCTAACTACAACAACAATCGGTTGACGCAGCAGCGCGTTGCTATTATTCCATCTAAGAATATGGCTTTTTTTGATGATGACGACGAGGACGACGACATCAGCAGCATGGGATACTCCCACACCAGCTCTATCCACACTAACGCAACCTCCAGCGACACATTTGCATTAGCAGAATTCTTATCTACCACCAGTCCCGACGAGTTCGCTAAACCTTCTTCCACCAGCAACAGAAAAAAACTCCAGCAACGTCGTGCATCCCGTTTGCTCAGCAAGCTACGAAAACGTCCTACCACAGCGAGTCTTACAGCAACAGTAACAGACATCTCCTCTATCAATAGCAGCAGCACTCATGATAACGCAGCATCTACTACTACTTCCAACAGCATCAACAACACCCAGCGGAAGCATATACCATTACCAGAGTATCATCCTCCTCCACCACCCACCATTGCACCACCGGTGCCTACTCTTCCTCAACAAATCATGAATGCTCCCACTTCTTCTTACCCTCCACCGCCGCCTTTTTCTACAGCATCCATGCGTGATTCTGGTGTCTACAGTGAAGTGTCTGACAAGGATTATATCCCTCCGCCGCCGCCAGTACCACCACCGCCAGTTCCGTCCTTAGATCTCTTCCCCATGCCACCGCCATCTATTCCCGCCAAATCCCGCGCACGTCCACGCCGACCCGCACCGTTGCCTGCAGATGTAGCATCTGCTGCCATTCACGCTGCACTACGTAGTGTGCCTGAAGCTGCCCTCCGACGGCGATCTGTTGTGCGCAGTGGTGCTACTAGTCAGCGTACCAGTAATAGTCATCAACAAGAAGAGCATCATCAGAAGCAGCGTACCACGACTTCTGCTACCACATGTCCACATTGCCGGCAACATATCAACGCAGGAGACCACAAAGATGACAGCCGACGGCTGTCATGCCCACCAGCATTAGCAACTGGTAATATGCTGGCGAAAGAGCAAAGTGGTAATAATGAATCCACACTGCGCCAGATGATTCTCCAGCTAGAAAAACAGCTAGCAGATGAACGCAAGTCGCGCAAGAAGCTGGAGCAAGTAGTCATGTCTCGGCACCAACAAGCTATAGCACTCAAACGGGAAGAGGTTGCAGAAGAACGGGATCGATGGAACGACGATATTCAATGGATGCAAGACCGCATTTCTTCATCATTACCAGAGTAGCTTCTTTCTTCTTCGAAGTTAATCTGCCCCTCATCTTCTCCTTCTAGTAGTATAACTTTTATTTTTTGTAACTCTATTTTTTGAATCAAATGCTTATTATTACTATTACTTATATTACTATTATTATCTCGCAACCATACATTACAGCTACCCGTACAAGTGAACTATATACTACAGAATTTTCTCTTTTTGATATGATCGTTTTTGTTAGAGGGTTGATAAGATGAGGAGAGGGCTGCTACTATAAAACATGTGTATATATCATAAATCGACCAGCTGAAATGAATCACCGATTTTCATGAAACGAATGAGCGAATTTATCTCTGCTCTTCTCTTCTTCCCTTTCGGCTTTACTAAAGAAATATGAACAACAATACACCACGACGGTCGCCTCGATTGTGCCGGTCATCCACTCGATTCGACCCCATATCCCGTCGCAGTGGACGATCTCGACGTCGTGGCAACCAGGAGCAACAAGAACAAGAGCCACTAGTACCTCCCAGCAGTTCTACCGGTGCTGGTGAAACAATACCATCTCGGCCCTTACTACGCCGCAGTCGTCGATTGAACTCGCAGCAACAATTCGATCAACAACAACAACAGCAAGAACGAGAACATCGACAACGCCGTAGCGCTCGACAACCGTCTCCTTCATCCTTGCTCCGTAATGTGGTTGAAGTACCTGCGAATATGACAGGCCCTGCCATGTTGGCCGATGTTATTACCCAAGCTGTGGTCAATGCTTATCGTGAACGTCGCAATAACAGCAACAGCAGCAGCAACAGCGATGACGATCCCGATCATTATGCATCAACGACCTCTTCTGCTGCTGCCCCGGTACCAACAGAAACAACAACAACAGGAGCAGCAGGAGCAGGAGCGGCAGTATTCGACCCTTCGTCATTATTTTTGGACAGTGCATTACCACCCGAAGCGAATTCTGAAGAAAACAGCTTTTTTCGCATCGTTCGAATGCCTTTGGTTGTGCCAAGCGATGCTTCTGCCACTGTTACCTCGTCTTCGCCTGAGGTAGTCATGCCCATGTACATTGTCGGGTATAGGACACAGCAAGAAGTCACCTCGACCCCGCCCGACCATTTCCAGCAAGCTGCTCCTGCACCAACACCGGTATCTCCGGCAGCATCGCCCGCATCATCGCCAGAAGCCCAACAAGCTGCAACAGCAGATGGTGTACGACGCAGTCAACGTATACGGGACCTTCAACAAAGGCAGCAACAGGAAGAGGATGAAAGACGAAGGAACCAACGGTCAGAGACGGATAATAGACGATACACGGTCAGCCGATGGATTATCTACTTTATCAGCGGGATGGACAACAACAATCCAAGCTATGATGATTTGGTTGCAGCATGGCAGGCAGAACATCGAAATACTGGGCTGACCGTAGAGCAGATCAACAGTTGCGCGCCGCAGCAACTATTTACCCCTCAAGTCGCCGCATCCATCGTAGGTGGAAACGAACAATGTCATGTCTGTCTGGAAAAGTTTGAACTCCTGGAGAACGTGCGCGTGCTAACATGTCAACACGGATTCCATCAAGAGTGTATTGATAAATGGCTCATTGAAGCTCAAAACCGGTGTCCCCTTTGTCGAGAAACTGCCGTACCGCCATCACTATCATCCTAGTACAATAGCAGTAAAAATACATCATCAATCTATCCATCCATCAATATCGCATACAGAACCACACACAACTTCTGGTAAGCTTCTTACTTGTCTCCTGGCCTCTCAATGCCTTTCTCTCCCCCTTCATTTCCCTCCCTCCCCCCTAAAACGGATAACGGAAGAAAGAAAATACGAGGAAGTATGATCGACTTATTTAGATGGATTTGTATATATTATCTATTCATTTATTTATTTATATAATCAAGGCCCCACACACGTCATTACAAGTGCATTTATATTGTATTATACCGTATACCAAATCTTCCACTCTCCAGCTCCCTTACGTTACTTACCAGTATCTAAAAAAACACAAGAAAAGCACATCCACCCTGTCCGATCTCTTTTTTTCTCACCATACTACTGCATTTCCGCCTCCCTTTCTTCTTATTCATGTTAATACAACAATTGAACCTCGTACATAAAACAATAAAAAAGATAATTTTCATAATTATAGTATATACGGAGGGGGATGATGTCTGTGCATCCTATTGCATATAATACTATCTCTGTCTGCTTTTATATTGCTTTATGAGGAGTGGGAGGGGAAAGAGTGTGGATCAACGAGTTGCAGATATATTTATACTGTACTGTACCCTGCAAAAAATACGTTTCCCCATTTACAAAATCGCCGGGTGCGCATATCTGCATTTACTATTACTCCAAACCTAGGCTTGTTAGATGAAAGATTTCGACTGACTTAGTTATTGACGACTACATGCTCGAAAAGTATCTTATTCTTCCCATTTTGATGCCATGTCGATAGCTTACGATATATCCTTGATTTCATTGAAAAAACACAGCAGTAAATGTCCCACTTTTTTCCCTATCAAACTGAGCAGCATTGCTAAGTACGGGCTGTCCTTAAATACTAGATTGAGCTTGAGATGTACTGTTTATGCGACGACACATATATTGACATCGGCGGTAAGAAGCAACATCAATGACGAGTCTCTTTCTTCTTGAGCTACTACGGCCTGCTCCCCTAACAAAATCCGTCCGAATGTAACACGTTGTATTTTGTAAAAAAAATCGTAAATAGTGCTTGACTTATACAACTCCAGTACATAACAAAGATGTGAAATGCACAGTAATGGTGAATATTGTCGATGCAACTTACCCCATGGCAATCTGATAATTCTTGGTTCTGTAAATATCACTTTAAAAAGTGTTATTTCTCGGGGCCCTCTGAAAACGTAATAAACAATAAAAAACATTGGTATATCCTTTAGGAATAAACGAAGCAATCAACAGGTAGGAGAAGAACAGAAAAAAATGATAGGAGGTATAGAGCGTCCTTCTACTACCGTCACTTTATGAACAATCTTGCCTTGCATTTGTATGTTTACATACTACTGTATACTACTGCTGCAGTAAGGAAAATATGTCGCAGCATCCACTTTTTTATCATATGAGCAATACACTTTCGCTGTAGTATGTGCAGGGGAGAATAACGGAGAGGGTTCCTTCATTCTTTACTTTCCTGCTGGAGCTGATGTGGCAAGGTTGTTGTTGTTGTTGTGCCTTTCCCTCTCTCGATTTCTCATCATTGTACAGGATGTAGCTATTAGACCAACTATCGGATCAGGGGAAGTACTATGCTCTTTATAATAGAGTAAATGTACTATCTATTCTTCATGATGACCGTATACTGCCAATCAGCTCGGGGAAGGGAAAGGAGGGCTATTATGATTATTTTTGTCTCGAGGAGACAGATAAGAATAATTTTGGGCTCGTATCATAATTAAATAGGAGGAGTAGTAAAAAAAATCAAGAACATAGAATAAATGTACTTCTCAAAACATTAAACTGTACCACTGATGCACACTACAAATCAATTGTGGGATAGGTTTAACATGACAATATAATATATAACTAAATCGCTATTAGCTATAGACAGTAAAGATTGGTATTAAACCGGTGTATAGGGGTTGCGTGATGGAGACTAAGACCTTGTCTCTTCGCATTTTATGTCATCAATAATACAATAAAGATTAAGGATGTTCAAACCCCAAATTATAGGTACTATTTTCAGTTTGCCTATATTTGAGAATGTTGATACTCTAGTCGCTTTATTACTATATGAGAAATGTGTACATAGTATTCTCCATTACCATGCAGCACTAAAAAGAATATATTGTACGACAGTAGCCAATAAAAGATTTTATTCACATCACTCGATCCTTTTTGTAGTGTTTGTTTCCTTTCAGTATATGACATATTTAAAACATCCTGTCGATTCTCGCTTCACGCAAATGTAGAAGAATTAATCACCTTGCCATTTATTCAGCAATCTGTCAAGCATATTTTGTCGTAGTCGTGAAATTCTGATGATAACGTTCTGTTCACATCATTATGGATCGACAGAAGATGTGTCAAGGTTGTTAAGGCTGCAACGGCATCAATGCCATGTTGAACGAATGTTTCTTCTTATTATGTTAAAGACCAGTTCCCGCAGGCTGGATGCATTGCTGAGATGCTCTAGAACATTGTTCGAATGCCATGGTAGATACATAAAAGTGTCGTACGAGTCCAACTTACGGAGGTTTGATTGTTGAGCAATTGTCTGTGGTAGGTCAACCAGGAACTGTTTTCCTTCGTCGCAGTTCAAGTCACCCGGTGGACCGTTCGAGTAGGATAAAGCATAAACTTGAGGTGCAACACTGAAAATGTTTTCAAACCAGACTGCTTCGGGAATAGCAATGTCGTTTGCTGCTGCCGTTGCTGCTTTTACCTCTTCTCGCTTCCTAGATATTTCTTCTTCTTATTAATTAAACGCTTCTTCGCCATCATTATTACTGTCGTCGCTTTCGTCATCAAAAGCAAATGCACATTTAACGACAGCTGATGTGAGATTTGTAATGTTTTATACCGAGTCAATGTCGCGTAGTGCATCATAGACGTGTTTGTTTCAAAAGCCAGACCCTGCAATTTGAACATGTTCAACCGATAAATAGACTGGGATTAGTGCTGAAACCGTGCCCGAGCCGATCATGTCTGGTATTTTGAAGATAAATACTAGCGTTTGCAATCGAGTAGCACTAACTTTTGAGACAAGGTATCAAACGATTCGTAGTAATTAATATTACAAGCATCGACCGCTAATTTTTCAAACTCGATTTCCAGTGTTTCGATGGTGTTGTGGTCATGCTTGCGGAAGATGGGGCACAATTTTTTTATCGATGTCATAGTTTAAAGGGTTGATCGGTCGCAGCACGAGTCTTTTGAGTACATTTATAGTTGCCGTTGCTGTGGATGATTGTTCCGGTAATCGTGTGTAAAATACAATGTTCTCGAACTCAATTTTATCTTGTACAGGTGCGAACCGAAACTCTTCAAGTGTTGGAAGGTTTTTTGCAACATGTTCCATCAGCCTTGCACAATAATCTGTGTATTTTGTGCTATCAATCGCCAGTGATTTCAGATCAGTTGGATATTTGTTAAAAATCTGGCCGAGAGCGACCTGAGCCCATCAGCGATTCAATTTCAAAGGTGGAAAGCTGCATGCCAGGTGGTAATGATGATACTGCCTTGATGTATTCCTGCGTACACTCTTCAAGCTTATAATCATTGCAGTAACGCTATTAGAGGATTCCCAAGTTGGGGCAAGTTGCTATGGCATTTTTCACGAATTTAGCCGTTTTAGAGTGGTTCTATTACGCTCCACTCAATTCTGTTGAAGATAGTTATTACTTTTCGTTGGTTCCATCTGCCAGTAGCTATAAACTTGCCAATCTCTATGATATATTTGATAAGAGAGACGTTTGCCGAGTTAGTGTATGGAATATCAAATGCCGATTTCCTCGATATCCAATAGGAAACCCTATTATGCTTACCCAAAGATGTTATTTAATTCCACTCGTGCTTGTCCACAGCATCCAGCACCGGAAGGAATGAAGTACCCACCTTTGTTCATTGTCAGTTGCACCATGCACAACCTCTTTGACATTTATTGGCCGGGATCTGTTGCATCAATTCTGTTCCGAGCACAAATAGTAAATGAAGCTGATGTATTTTAAGCACGCGCCACATTGAGTCTCATCTTTTTATGAGACAACTGTGCCAAAATCGATATGTAAAGGCCACTTGCTCGAGAGCTTTGACGGAGAGCTGTAACAGACTCTAAGAAAGTATTTATTCAGCAAGTAGCTGGATCATTCACTGATTGCGTTTGTTGACGGCGGCCATAAAAAGTTGGTTGTGTCTTTAGTGCAGTTGAGCGCATCCCAGATTTGATGCTGGCACTACAGTAGTGCCTTGCCGGTATGTCACTATGTCCCCACGCATATCGTTTTGCTATGTTTGCGAATCATTTTATTTGCCAAGTACGCGTCAGGACAGACACTTCTATTATGTGGATTGACGTCATGGCTATCCTTGAGTGTGCGAGATCGAGCTTATTCTGCCTTTCTTTAAGCAGAAGCACGATGTAGTAAGGCTGTGGACAAGCTAGCTTGCAAATTTTTAATGACATTGGTGAAGAAAGTCACTGCTTGGCCGTGGTCGCGCGCAGCATAAGTTTGTCGTCCTCGATGGAAACCGCGTCGTGTCGTAGACAAAGTCAAGATCTATCACTGTAAACAAGTCGTATGCATCACCAGGCTTGACCAACGTAGGCAACTGAAGAAGTGCTGTTTTTGCCACCTTTAGTGAGGTTGAAGAGCGTAAAGAAGCAAAAGAAGTTTGACACAGCACTTCGGGTAACGCCTAAATCTCAGGTTCGACCATGCGCACTTCTACGCCAACTGACAAAAGTTCACCTCCGAGAACCTACTGGCAAATACATAGTGTACGTTTCATAAACACATGGCTTGCACACGTCCTATGGTATGTCAATAAGCTTCTTCCATTACCGTCGAACAGAACGCAGGGTTTGTTACTTCCAATTTTGTACTAAAGCAGCTAGGGTATCAACAGTTCTTTTGCAGCTTAGTATACACACAACACATGCAATTGTTACGCATACTTTCAAGGAGGTGCCCAGCTATGATAGCCGAGTTTACGATCATGTGAAAGTGTCCCCATTTTTGTATGATTACTAGCAATGACGACGATACCCTCTTTTTAAGAAAATCATACATACATCACCCAAAAACAAAGAATATTTTCGTTTTTTATTTTTAGCCTCTGCAGACAAAGCACACCAACACACCGCTTTCGTTTCTGCTTTATACTCTCTTGTCGCGGATTCTTTTTCTCCACTGCACTCATCATGAAGGAAATCCGCGAAAGCGACGCTATCATATTAATACCTCCCAAAGACCGTGAGGATGCTGACGAATTTCCCGTGTCGAATGGCTCGACGGCAGTAGAACCATGACCAACGCTTAGCCTCTCTTTTAAAATTTTTCGGCAACCGCAGCAACTAGCAACACTGATACCATGTTGTTACTGATAATGTAGCATTTAACGAAAAGCATGGATGGTATGTATAATACTGTGCATGAGGCCACCAATGTTGTCACAATAAAGAGAAGGTTCTAGTTTTGAGGTAGTAGTACCAAACTTAAAATTGCAGACAATGAATGAAAACCGAATGAATCTGGGTGTCATCAGAACATCTCATTATGTAATCAAATGATCCTCCCACCTTGCCTTTGTGTGTGTAGCTGTTGCATGAAATAAGTGTATCATAGCACCTCCGCTGGGTGCGCCTGTTATGATTATAAATACACACTACTCTACAGCCTCTAACACCCTCATCTCCCTCCACCCGTCCCTTCTACTTTTTTTATGATGCCTAAACACCAAGGACCAACAACAATGAAATGGATCAAGCAACAACAGCATCGGCAATCTCAGATTAACAACAGCAACAATAATAGCAACATGACTGTCCGCAACCAAACTGCTACCACCACTACATCTGACTCAACAATCCACAGAAATGCTTTTGTCACTGACAATGTGCCGCCAGAAACAACTGTCACTTCGACGTCTGAACGATTTAATCTCGACAATGGCAACATTTTTGATCATTCTTTTCCATCATTCTTGACAGCACCACCGTCTCAGCAAGCGACATCAGTGGTACCAGACCCACAGATGCACACCATAAGAAGCAGAATCTTTCAGAATCATTTGAGAAATTTTCATCGGCGACTTCTTGAGCAGGAGTCGAATAGCAGCTCTCCAGTTACGCTTTTCTCAACTTTGCTTACAGAACCAAGCCCATCTTCAACAACGATGCCACTGACCACTACAGCGACAGCTCATAACGGTGACGACACTTTACGATATTCTTTACACTCCTTATGGGATCCTCATGTTCAATTTTCTTCACAGAGCCATAGTAACAACCAGGAGAACACAAACAGCAACAGAAACAATGCAGAAACACTTTATGGGTATCATCACTCTTCCGTACACCCACTTGACAACACAATGGATGCGACAACAACAACAGAGCTATCATCAGGAACCTTACAGGCATCGTCAGCGACGAATGCCGAATTGCCACCACCAGTACTACAACCTTCCATTATTCCTTTTTCTGCGATCCCACCTATTGCCACTACTGTCACCACATTGCTCCTTCCGGAAGAGTTAGTCTTGGAACAGATGTATGTATAGTCATAATTATTAGGTGGTAATAGCAGCCGTATTATAAGCCGAGCTATTAGATACTTAACATCTTACTCTAACGAAACGTCTCTTTTCATTCTTCAAAATTTAGGAAATCGATTGAAACGTCAGTGGATGGATTAATGAAAAAGGAGATACGTCGCATCAACAAAGAAATACAAGAGCGGCGACACTATAGACGACAGCTGGTAGAACGTTGCTCAAAGTTTAAAATGGACCTTGCTGAGCTACGCACGCGAGTTTCCTCTTTCCATCAACAACGATAACAACAGCACAACAGCAGAGGACAGCCTGCTCTTTAATGTTTGCATTATTGCTACTTTTTCCCTATTTGTCGAGTCAGCTTTATCAAATATTTACTTCATAGATATGTAATATTTCAGTATAGAGTAATGTGAAATGATTTTAGCTGTGTTTTTTTGTATATTACTATTACGAACAAATCCTGCTGTCTATTAGTCTTTCCTATATGATACATAGTAGCCTCATAAATCCTTTTCGCTAAAATAGCATTCATCACAGTTATATCCGAGCAGGGGAACATGGAAGTGAGCCGGACTGTCCTGGCGAGGAACCGATGAGAACCGAAAAGCCACCGCATTCGTTAATTTCGGCCTGCATCTCATTTCCGGATAACTGTATAAAGAGCGTCAACGACGGAATACGTGCTAGCACGATCCTTGCTCAAGGAGGTGACTATATCATTCAGTCGCAAAGAAAATTAAGTATCTTGAACAGAACTTCAAGGGTGGGCAATCGCCAGAGTTGCGCAAAGCCATCATTGATGCCGCTCCGCAAGGAGACAGATACCCGGAAAGTAATATGGGTAACGTGGGCTTTTGAATTATGCCACATACGATGCATAGCTGCTCTAAAGGATGTACTTCTGTATAGCTTATACTCTGTAAAGCGCAATCACGTACTTTGATTAATATCTACATGCGTATCATATAAAAATCACATGTCTTTTTTTACATCAAGCCACGCTAGTGGTGATAATATATTGTCATGGAAACGTCTTGCTTCGTCGCCTTGCTCAAAGATCATTTTACTTCAATCGTAACATATGCACCGTTAATGGTTTTGTTTACATAGCTCAATCGCTATAGAGATGAGGGTGAACGTTTTAACAAGGTTCAAAACTGTTTTCATGCAAGATGTGTCAGGCATTTATTTCCACAGCAACCCATTATTTTAAATCCAGATGTGTTACACTAATGGCTTCTTTTTCTTTTCGTAACGCGTTTCTCGTTTCAAAAGGAAAAGACACTCCTAGTAAATGCCAAAGTCGGAAATCAATAGTGATTCAACGTTTATACGAATGTTCGTAACAGGTACTAGCTATATACCAGTAGTAGATAGGTTTCCTACGAAAGAAAAGAAGGGACGAACGTTTTTTTACAAACAATAACAGTATTCAAATAGATGTCCTGAAGGGATCGTTATGGGTCTTGAAGCCCATCTTGTCTGTAGCTTTTGCTTTAATGCTACTTTTCAGTGGATTACAATATGGGTACCACTCAATGTCGGACATTGTGGTGGAAAGTGTTTGCTCAATGTCGCTGGTTCGACCCTATGTGAAAGTATGCCAGACGTCAGCCGTACCTGACTTTTCCAACTTTGTCAAGGCACAAGAAATGTTTTACGACCGGATGATTGTACAGGCAAACGGACCAGAAGCGATCTCTGCACTCGAGTTGAAAAGAGTGGAATTGGCTACACGCGATTTGCAGGTCATGGTCAAATATTCAAACTTGATGAGTGCAGACTTGCTTCAAGAGAAGCTGGGTGATTATCTTATCCGGTCTCGTCAGTTTGGCAAAGATGTACAGGTATGTAATATTAAAATACAATATATATTAGTGGCGTGTGCATGGGTTTCATCAGAAAGAAAGAAGTATGAAATGTGATTTGTTGATATAATTGGTAGAGCCTTCAAGCGCAAACCAAGGGTGTGATTGATAATCTGATCACGTACAACACCTTTACCTTACGAAAACTGACAGATGCCGAATCACGAAAGTCAAGTAGACAGGAATTGCGTGTGGTGTATGAAAGCGCCATGGCTCTCGTGGGTAAATATTTCCAAAGTGATCTGATGAATAAGTGAAAACATATTGGATACATAAACTCATGGACAGTGCTTCTTTGGTACTCAGAAAAAGAAGCACGGCGGTTAATTCTAGCTATTGAAATGGCTCAAATGTCAATGGCAGATTTGGAGCAAGACCTTCATACGGTCCATGAGATTTCAGCGCAGGAAAAGAGCTATCAACGCACAGACAAACCGCATTTCCTCGCAGATATTATCAACCTGGTCAGAGGAAAGGGGTTGCGTCGTCCGCTCGTAGAGGAAAACTTGCAATTACTGACGAATTTCGATGCCGAGCGGATAAAGGCAGCTCATCAACTTATGCGCATGCTGAATACTATGGAGGCGTTTCAAATGGATCTTGAAGAATTGCGCTCCCAAGTTGTTACACCTGTTGTTGCACCTGACGTAATCCCACTCGAAGTGCATATTGAAAACATTGGCAAGGCCATTGAACGATTGAAGCACGGAAAAGTGATTGCTTGGAAGGAACACGAAAAGGTGGAAGCTAGTAGCGGAAGTAGTGGTAGCGGTAACAGTGAAAATAGCGTATGAAGTACTTGTATCATAGCACTCCTATTGTTTTTGTACTATTTTTTCGCATTCTTTTGACATATAGCATATACATAATTTATCGTTGGGTTATTGATGGGTTATAATGGTTGTATATATATTTCGGAAAAGTAAAGGAAAACAATGCAAACAGGGATAATCGTATTTTAAAAGCTGACACTGTCGATCATGGTACCAAGTGCCATGACAATGTTGTTGCCCATCACCTTTTCCACCGACTCTTCCAAATGGCGTTTTGGATCCTGTTTACCGACATGGCGCGTCTTGAGTTGTTCGGGTGTCATTGTCAGTTCTTCTTGCACTGATTTGTTGTATGCCTCTGCGAGTGAAAGCATTTTCTATAAAAGCACCAACGTGTTAATATCTCTACGAATCCTGTGGTGCAGCCCAGCTTCACGTTTCTTTACCTTTACACTCAGTTCATTTTCTTCGGTATGCTCCGTAAAGTTCTCCAAGGTCAAGCCATGAGTCCAGTTCTTTTTGTGCAAGTTCAGCAACATCTTCTCTTCCAATTCATTTTTCCGATAATTGATAGCGAGCGAGTAATAGTGACGATTTAAGCCGTGGATTAAAGCCTACAAATATTTTAAACACATGCATTTAGCCTCTTGCCACCATTATTATTATAGCAAGTTTTGGTCCTCTTTACTTGGATTGAAGGTTTGTTCAAGTGGCCAATGTTGGATGTGGTTTGACGAGGTTCCTGGTTGAGCATGGCAGTTTGTGGGTTGATGGTTCGGAAAGCGTCAATGACAACTTTGCCCTTGACAGACTGGATAGGATCGATGACGACGGCGACAGCACGAGCGTTCAGTTGTTCAAAGCTCTATAGCAGTTGCAGCAAGATAAAAAAACATGTTACATATCAGTACCATTATCGGCGATACGTCTCGTTCATTATTTTTGCCTTGTTATCCCGCTTTACCTGCTGTGTGTTGATATCTACACTGGACAGCCAGCAGCCAAAACCAGGATGAGAATGGTACCAGCCGACAACCATTTCCGGTCGTCCAGTCTGCTTCAACATCTCCAGCATGTTTGTCTGGAAAACAGGATCAACGGCTTCGACGGAAACACCGGTACCGCTTTGTGGCATAGCAAAAACGTCAACAACGCGTACGGTATAGTCATCCACAAATTCACCCAACATGAGACCCATGACTTCCATGGGTACACCAGCACGACCTATACGATAATAGATTCCACAAGTTTGATTCAGTCATAAACTGTGTATATTCGCACTTTGTGTTGACGATTGGTGGTTGTTGGTGGTATGTGTTCTGTGTTGTTGGAAACTGAGAATCAATATTTACCGTGCTTCAACATCTATTATAAATAAGTAACAAGATGCGATCGGTTAGTATATATATCTGTTGATAAGGCACAGTCTGGTAAGGTTCAATTGCGTCTCAAGTTTGTACCTTGAGTAAAGCCAGCGATGAAATGTGAACAGTTTCAGAGTTGTCGACAATGTCGCTGTCAACACCAGGTTGTGCTGCCTATAAAAGAGGTATAAAGATAGGCATGAATAAGTATTATAAGAAGAATACATATGTATTTATATTGCACTGTACCTGACCGAAACCAGCAGCAGCAGATCCAAGCATTCGTTGTAACCGATCCATCGTAAAGCAGTGTGTTTTAAAGAGCTGAGAAAAGGTGACGAACGCGTAAGCGAAGCACAGTGATTATATCGGGTGTTATAAAACTCCGCGCGAAGTTCGGATAGCTTTATAACTTTACAAATGCGTGAATGCACTGCGCACCATACAATTTTTGACAGCACTGATATATTTATAATATTATTGTTCCTTTTTTTGCAGTATTCTCCTTTCTTTTACTATGCTAATATTGTATCTCTTGATGATTTGACCAAGCGGTCGGTTTGTGACAGAGATATAGCTTACTTTTCCGGATTGTTATAAAGATGTTCCAAGTCAATAATGCAAGAGATCCAAACAGCTGCTATACTTCAATAACACAGAGTCAGAGATGAAAAGTACTTTATAAATGTAGATACATTAAAAACATTCCATATAAACAGTGACAAGACTACACGTAAAGTATATCATATGATGATGGTAGGGATTTGATTAGGAGCGGGAGGGAAAAAGACACAAGGCAAATATGTACGTTACAGATAACGTAAAGAGCATCCTCCTTCTACAGCGAGCTCCTTGGATCCTTTACACTGAAAATTCTAAGGTTTCCAATACCGTGCTTATCATTTGGCTTTTCCTTCTCATCACCAGCATAAGCCAAATAGTAATCTCGTGGGCTCCAAGCAACCGTATTCATAGCAGCAGTGGTTTCGATATGATGTACTGACTCTCCACTTTCCACATGTGACTATATCAAATTTTAAAGAGTTAGCATTATACTGTTTTTAACTAATGGTAACCAGAGCATTACTTGTTAAGATCTTATGTAACACAGTATACTTACAATATCAAGGAAGCTATCTTCGGACGCAGATGCGATGAATTGGCCATCGTAGCTGAAACTGATTGTTCGGACCGGCCAGCTTCAGATAAAAGTTAATGTAGAAGCAAATATGTCAGTTTCCCTCTTAGATTTCAGAAAGCTGTAATCACCATCACTTAATATCATCCTTCATCCCAAAAACGTAAAAAAAATATGAGCACACACCTCAGCTCAGAGAATGATCGTACGCAGTCAAAAGTTTTCATGTCCCATAACGAGACCGAGGCATCTGCTGAACCAGCAGCCAAATATCGGCCCGTTGGATCCACTTCCACACAATAACAATTTGCTGCATGACCGCGTAATGTGTAAAGGTGTTTGAGGTCATCGAGAAAGTCGTATACGCATATAGTGCCCGACCCCGTCGTTACAAAAAACAGATTGGTGGCGTTATTCCATGCAATCTCGTTGACTTCCATATTGCTGTGTCCTTGTGTCTTGAAAATGCTGAATGTGCGTGTGTCGATAAAGCTTATGTTATCGCCCTTGTCGCCCACGGCGATATAGTTTCCGTCAGGACTCCAACAGATATTGATGTTTTCGCCACCTGTTTGGATTGTTGATGTACACTTTCCGGCTAAATCCACGCACGCATACATTTGGTAAGTCAACAGAACAAAGAATGTCACGTCGCTATTGGGCTATCCTCCCGAATACCCCTTTGCAACTCACATCGCTGATCCCATATCCTTGCAGTCCCGTCGCATGATGCTGTGGCAAGTCGATCTGGCGTGGTTGGATCCCAATCCAATTGATCTATACTTTGCGTATGGCCCTTCAACTCCATGGTATACCTGAGTTCCGGCTAGTAACAAAAATAAATGGGGTCAATTTGTTTTCTCTCAAATCTGTATAGCCGACTGTGAAAAGGTAACTCACTCGATGAGGATTCCAAACGCGTGCTGTCTTGTCTACAGATCCAGAAGCTAACCTTCGACCATCGCTATTCCAAGCAACTGTGTGTACTTTGTCTTTATGTCCTTTGTATTCTCGACTTTTATTTCGTTCAAACATGGATACCATCTAATCAAAAAAAACGCGCGCGTATTAGGAATGATGTATACGAATTGTCAATGTCGAGTTTTATATATCTATTACAATTAAAAGGGCTTAAAAAAAGATCGTGTATATGTGTATACCTCTGTTTTGGTAATTGGATCGCCACGATAGCTATAATTTTCTATTACGCCAGTGGGTGGGTTCCAGTCGTAAATGATTTTACCAGAATCTGTCAAATTCTCTTCTGTTTCTGCCATGTGTTATGCGTGGTAGTAGTAGATCGCTTTGAACGGGTTGGGCAATAGAGTATTAGAAGCGGAGCAGGAGTAGCGAATTAATCAACTGCACACGTCACAACGCAAATCGTCTGCATATCCCTCGTATCGAACGCGTCGCTAGTATACAGGCTTAGATGAAGCTACTTAACGTGGTAGAAAAGCTACATCACTTTCTTAAGCTCGTTCACAATGTGTAACGAGGAAAATCCTCATGGAAATACAAACTGTAAAACCCTTTTCATATGTAGAATATTTGAAAATTAAGAGCCGTTCATGTGCAGAATAGACCTACTACTATCGGTCGGATTCTAGAGTTTGTATTTGGTTACTTGTACATCATATCCCACTCCAATTAAGGGGAACCATGTGTACCAATTTTAGTTTACTTAGTGCTGTGCTCCTGATCTCTATGTCATTACTTTTGCAATATACTTTTAATGTCTGAATCTTATTGTATACAGTTTGGGTGATGATTTATGTATTACGATTGAAAGCATACTTCTGATAAATCTGATGCCAACATTTATTTAACGTATACATCGCTATCTGCTGTGTGTTAGCTCATGTGATATAACGGATGATTATGTTGATACTATAGCAACAGTTATATAGTGAGCTAACTTTCTTTGCCATGTTCTATAAATCTTAAAGAGAAATTAGACATGAGCTGATCAAAGAAGCAAACTTTGAATATTTATAAGATAAACTAATATGCAAGCAGCTATTTCTTGCTTCAGCAATGTCAAGATGCACAATTGAGAGCTGCTGTACATCAATTGTTACCTCATGTGATGTGTACACAAGACAAAGGTAGTATGCATGTATAATGAATGATGCATTTGAAAAGCATAATCGGCAATTCTCACGAAGCGGGAAACAGGAGGTGCTGAATTTTCATTTCAACTTTGACTGCATTAAATGATAAGATTATTCCATGAAACGTTTAAAAAAAATTCTTGTTTGTTTACTCAAGGATATTTGTGCTGTTAAAGCTTATATCAAGACAATCTGTAACACAGCTGGAATCTTCTTTCAAAAATCAAACTTGACCAGAAGTGCAGCATGATCCATGCAAAATCAGTTGCTGTACACAATGTAAAACTGGTGCTATTCAAGTTTCTGATTCACCTAATCATGATACGCGAATTCGTTTTACCAATACTTTACACTCCTCCTTCCCTCTTATACTGACCCATCAGAAGAGAAGAACACAGTGGGATTCGCAAATGCCGCCCAAAATCTGGTCTTTGATCCAGAAGACCTTCCCACTCCTCCTCCCATCTCAGTGGGCCAATTGGAAAATGGCCTCCCTGAATGTGCCTGTGTGTGCAATAGTGCTTTTACGGAAAGCTGCAATATATTAATATCTATTACCCACAGTAGGTTTATTCCAAATGTAAGAATCTCAGGACTTGTTTCTGTACAGCAATAGACCATACTTTAGTATCTGATATGATGAGCAACATTTTGCGTAAGTACAGAAAGTCGGTAATATTGCTAGCTAGCGAAAAAAAAAGTTTTCTTGATGTACGTTTCAAAAAAAAAATTATCGAAAGAAAGCTTAGTAAATTTTTCACCACCCACGTCCGTTCTTCTGGCATAGAAATAAGTGAGCAACACTGCTACAATAATCTGCGTTTATTTGTGGGAACTCGCCTCACCATAGGATGTTTTTTCCCCTGATGACCCTGAAGTAAAGATTATAGCTTAGATTTGGACTTTTTTTCAGCACATGCATATATGCGCATTTCGAGCATTAGGATCTTATACAGAGATAGAGATGAAGAATGTCCTGAGGATATTAAATCATATGTATTATAAAGTAAATAGAACTATTGCATTTGCGGTAGTGTTATGTACATAGTGCATACACATTATAATACAGGTTATACCGATTATAGAAGTACTTGGCATCAGTACCAACTTCCTCCTTATATGATGGAACATATGCCTGCGGTATGTAGATAAGATCAAAACGATGCTGTATACTTTAGAAGAGAAAAAAATATATAAACAAAATAATAGTCCTAGTCATTGAGTATATAAGCCATTATATTAATTATTACACTAATCAATAGGATTGACCATGTTCACTCTTCGTCTACCTCTCCCTTTACTTCTGTCAGGCCACCCAAAAAAGCAACTGCTACCATATCGTTGTTATGCGGATGGGGTGTGGGTGAGAATAGCCAATAAAGATGCATGGAGAAGCAGGGGCGGGAGCATCATTCTTATCAGGATATGTTTAGATAGATAAGAGGTGTGTGTTCCCAGGCGATCTCAAACAAACTAGGCATATTGTTTATATACTACATACCATTATCATCATAATCATTATCATCATCATCCACTCCCCTCATTACTACTGAGCTGTACTATAAAGCGGGTCTCTGCGACACAGCGTGTTTCATCAAGTAATTCTTGGCGAATAAATAAAGGTATTAAGTGAGAATTGCCGTCAACATTCCCACACACATCTGCATACACTTTATCCATTTACCCCCCGGTTATGTACATACGTCGTTGCCATAGTAGCAAAACAGAGCCATTATCATGATCGTTGTCATCGTTTCCACTATCATATATTCAACATGATGCAGATAAAATATGGTTTCATATTGCTGCTTTAACGCCAAACAGCACGGCATTTTAGCTACGTGAGTAAAACTATAGTGTACAGTATAGCCACAGGATATTAATACTATATAAAGAAACTTTATCCCTTGTCGGAAGTGATTCCGTACGATATTCCAGCAAATAAGATTCTAACGAATAAGGTTAAAGTTTCACTGCTAATAACTACTTTATAAACGACTTGTTGTTTGATTATCTATATGTGCTTTGTATGCACGATTTGTTTTTTTTTTTTTTTGTGGGAGTGGCAGGAGACGATCGAGAGGATCGTGGTGTGACTAATCCAACAACAAGAGCTGGTGTGCCGGGAGAGTCGGGAGCAAGCTTTTTTTTGGGGGGGTGGGGTGGAAGGATGTATTTCTGATATACAAACAACAAGAGGGTAGTCGTTCTATTAAAACGTAAAAGAGATAGCCGCTGTGGAGGCTACACGTGGGGAGGGAGGTAGGTGAGCTGATTATCGGGAAGCTCTCAATAGTCTATGTATTGCCATGTGGAGAGTCATTTTCGCCATTGAGCGTAGAAAGTGTAAGGGACCTGACTTGTGTGAGTCTACATTTGCACTTGTCAACAATAAATCAGGGTTCTCATTGACCTATCGAACTTTAGACACCTTTTGCCAATCACGATAGCTGCTTCTCTTTACTCCCCAAACCAAGAGCAGTCGCTTTCGTTGCCAAATTGCTTGCCAAGCATGCTAAAGCTAATAGTACATTGGACTTCTTTCTGGATTTTCTATGCGAGGGGTAAAGGAACAACGTAATAGCATAAGTAGAGTCGTTAGTAGAATTATTAGCTGCAGCGGGTGGGGCGCTCGTTGTAAACATTTATCCATATTGCTATGCATAATCGGATGACGAGTAAAATCAAGTGCCTCCACATTTCCTTTTTCTTAATTCCTGATTGAGATCTCGATAAGCCGATTTCGGCTATCGAGATCTTTTGATAAAACCATAAAATAGCATACGTCTAATTTAAAGTTTTGAAACCAAAATATACATTTTCTCAAACGTGGAAACACAAACAAAGTACAGCACGTAGCACGCTTGATATATTTATCAGCAACTACGCGGCCAATTAGAAAGAAAAGAAGAGCTGCCGAGAGGGTGGTATGGGTTTGTTTTGATTATTGAAACATGATAAAGAAAAGGAACGAAGAATAGAGATTTCCTCGTGCATGCACGTAGAAACTCCATCCTTTCTACTCGTCTTTCTTTTTATTGTAAATGTAAGAGCTTATGAAGAGCATATGTGGGAGAAGGGTTTAAAAGAAGACAGAATACCAGAGCAATAAGGGAGAATTAAGATTAAGGTGGATCGTCTTTTGGACGATGCTCTGCGGGTAGTGGTGGTGGTAATGACACGTAGTTGATGAATGAGGTATGATGGGGGTGTTGCTGCTGCTGCCGATGATGATGCGGATGCTGATGCTGCTGATGCTGTTGATGTGTATGTTGATGATCAGAGGATATTAGGTTGCTACTACTACTACTGCTGCTGCTGATTCCAATGGCAAGTCCAACTCTGTCTGGGGATTGAGACGAGTGTTGTTGGCGTGCTGGAGATATATCACGAACAGGGTATTCAATAACACGTGGCGGAGGCGGTGCTGCTGCAGTCGACGGCGGTGGTGGTGTAGATCGATCACTGCCACTGCGTGTATCTTCAATAGCATAGTTATGCTGAACCGTCAACGATCCTCTTCGCACTAGCTTGGAGTAATCTAATCGACAAGAGAGCTCAGCGGTTGATACACACGAAACAGATAGAAAAAAAAACGCGCAGTGCAAAGATAATGCACAACACCCCCTTCATTACCATAGGGAGAGAGAATACTAAGAAGGTCTTAAAAATTTATAAACAGAGAACTTACGGAGACCACACGCATTGCACAGTGTTCTTGCGCCGTCTGGCCCTCGGCGCCACTCGGGCGTTTCGTTAGTGTGGCAAGAATGACATCGTTGACCGATTCTATTACATGATACGTCAGTCTACAAACCATTAAATGCTATGTTCTTCCGTACACTCGTCTTTTACAAACGAGGCCTTACGTTGTCTTTTTCTGGAAGAAATGATGCAATCAAAGACCATGTTAGCGAGCAAAGAAAGGTTTGTCAGAACAGAAAGATGGAAATAGAATAAAATGGATACTTGCAGCTCGTCGTCGATAGCTTTGATGTACGTTGCCGATTGAATCCTGCAAGTTCCGTGCCCGGCGGATCATTACATATTCTGGTTGTGTTGACAGGGGTTCGCCGCGTACGGATGATGATGAAGTCGCTGCTACTGCTGATGCTGATGCTGATGTTGATGATGCGGATGTGGATGCTATTGATGATGCGGATGCTAAGTTTGCTTGCTCCTATACATTGCATTGCTTTTGAGAATCAAACCGACCGAGAGAATAACCACATGGCACACAGGCCCTAGAATGCAAGATATCTAACCTTGAACGATGATGACATGATCCCATCCTCGTCAGGCTGCGTGTCTTTTCTCAATGTATGTAAAAGCGCTTGTGCAGCCCTGGACAACTGATTCAAGTTTGTTTCTCGATCTTGCACGGTCCACTCTGTCCATCCACGTCGAAGTTGCTCTATTTCTTGGCATAAGAGTGTGCATGTCGCCACGGCCTAGGATTTGCATTCTTAGTTTCCTGTACTAATACAAACAAGCGTGACATTGTCTATACCTCGGTTAGACTTTCATTTGTGTTTGGATCGTCGGTCCCGCTGATTATGGTATGTGGTACCGTACTTGGCGTTGGCGTCATTGTTGTCGGCGTCGTCGTCGTATTAGCAACAGTATTTGTCGGCGTCGTCGCTGAAGTGAGCGGCGAAGGTGTCAGTGGAGGTAACACGACATAGTCCGCGATTTTGTTTTGTTGGAAGCTAATCGTGCCAGCACAAGCTTCTCGAATGGGTGGGAGGGGGACGGGCGGTACACTGTCATTTCGTAGTTGTTGTTGTTGTTGTGGGTGGAGCGGGTGTTGCTGCTGTTGATTACTATGGGAGGACATTGTACGTTAAGAAAGGTGAAAAGAAAGAAGCAACAGTTCTTAAAGAAGGTGCAGGAGGAGAAGAAAGGACGAAGAAGTGAAGAAGAAGAAGAAGAAGAAGCACCTTAAAGTTTCCCACCCAACATGTCCTTTGAACTCTACAATCCCTACCATTCTTTTCAACTGTACTCCCCCCATTCCACTCCACTCACGCCCTCATACACAACCCCCTTTCCCTCCTTTTTTCTTCTTTTTTTTTTTGTGCGGCTGCGGTCACACCACTTTGGGGGGAGGGGGACAGGTGTTAGACACTATATAGGAAAGAGGGGCCGCTCTTGTTGATTATTCTTTAGGCTAACACGTACCCGAAGGATTGGACATGAGGAATTGGCTGGACGTCCTCAGATGATGATGACCTGCACAACATTGAGACGTCCATTAGGCTTCTCTGTTGTATACCGTCAGGGCGGAAAAGGCTATGCACAAAGAGAAAGGCGTGGAAAGGAAAGAGGAAAGAAAACAAAAAAGAAGAGTGTGCGGGTATGGAGTACGCGTGAGAGCCGGCCTCCATCCTCGTGACTCTTACGGATGACAGAACAATTTCGATATTAAATGGAACAGCAGTAGCAGTAATAACACTGGTAATAATAGTAGTAAATATAATACACTTTACACATCAAAATTGTATTATTTCGGCCGAACCAAAAATATAAGTTTCTATCGTGACACCGGCTTCCCTCCTAGCACATCCACGATCTCTTGGTAGGATAGCGTCTCATATTCTATCAGCGCTTTCGCCAAGCGATCCAGCTCTTCCCGGTGCGTCGTGAGGATCTCCTTGGCCCTGGCTTCTGACGTTTCCACCAGATACTTGATCTCGCGTTCGATGGCTTGCTTAGTGGGCGCACTCAGCAGCTGCATATCCTCGTCATCGTGGCTGATTGGGCCAATCTTGTCGCTCATGCCATAGTTCCGCACCATCCGCTTAGCAACATCCGTCGCCTTGACAATGTCGCTGTGTGCGCCGCTCGTGACATTGTCTGCGCCAAATATCATCTCCTCCGCAACACGGCCGCCCATGCATACATCGATCTGAGCCATGTATTCCCGCTTTGTAAAAGAGTCCTGGATAGATGCGTGTGGGAGAGAAGGCACAAAACCCCATTTAAGGTTTTTATGTGAGTTATAGCAAGGTACATACATCCATTTTTATGAACATGCAAGTCCATTTCAAACCTTGTCCATTTCGGGCAGCTGGATCGTTACACCGAGTGCAGATCCTCGAGGCATGATGGTCGCCTTGTGCAATGGCATCGCGCCTAGGGTATAATAGGCAACCAGCGCATGGCCGCCTTCGTGGTAAGCAGTGACCCGCTTGCTCTCTTCCGTAATCACCGCTGAACGTCGCTCCGCACCCATCAGGATCTTGTCCTTTGCAAACTCCAGATGATGCAGTGTCACTTCCCGGCAGCTTTCGCGGGTCGCCTTAATCGCCGCTTGGTTGACTAAATTGGCCAGATCAGCTCCGCTGAACCCAGGCGTGCCACGGGCGACCACGCTGACGTCCACCGCACTGTCCACTTGTACGCTCTTCATGTGATGCTTCAGAATCTCGATACGCCCGCGAACATCTGGCAATGGGACATTCACGTGCCGATCGAACCGCCCTGGACGCACCAACGCCTTGTCAAGAAGCTCAGGGAAGTTGGTCGCTGCAATGAAAATAACCCCTTCTGTCTGCGAGAACCCGTCGAGATCCACCAGCAGCTGGTTCAATGTTTGCTTCATGTACGACTGGTCTTTCGGATTCCGCTTGGACCCGATCGCATCGATCTCGTCAATGAACACAATACTCGGTGCCTTGGCCCTTGCTGCCGCTATATATTAGCCAGCACAACCCCAACCCCCAAAGCTGTTATTAATTTGTTTGTTACCCAATCAAGATGGTCCCTCTCTTTGAACTTACCGAATAGCTCTCGCACACGCCGAGCTCCCACACCCACGTACATTTCGTCAAATTCACTGCCGCTCATAAAGAAGAATGGCACTCCGGCTTCTCCGGCTACAGCACGGGCCAACATTGTCTTGCCGGTGCCTGGGGGGCCCGTAAGCAACACACCCTTGGGGAGTTTGCCGCCTAGCTCGGTGAACTTTTGCGGGTTACGCAAGAACTGAACGAGCTCTTCCAACTCCTGCTTGGCTTCATCCACGCCCTGCACATCTTCAAATCGTACCACCTGCTGGTTGCTTGGTTCGTACTCGATCTGCGAGGACGCCGTCTTTAAAAGCCCCGAGTTTTCCAATGCCAACGAAAGCAGTGTAAGGATACACAATGCATAGGTCAACGTGATGCCCACCCACCGCAGTGCGCGCCAGAGCATGTATTTTCGTGCTAAAATTCGGAAAAATGTAGTCAGTCTCTTCTACATCTGGAAAACCTCCCGCCTGCATGATCCTCCTTTGTCCTCTATCTTTTACCTTCTTCTACAACAACGTAGATGGGGCTATCCTTGTTACCAGCACCGGGTGACAGCTTTACTCCTCCTTCAACTGATAACGTCTTGCCTGCATATCCGCGCGAAGCCGCTAGCTGCTGTAATACTTGCTTTGGTAGCACTATATGGACGGGCAACTTTCTATCAGTCCACTCATTTTCCATCTGCTAGAACTATCATTAATGTATTAATTATGATCCACTTCGATTTCTACCTTGCTGCCCTGACCCTTTTATTGCAGAAGATGATGACTCCATTGTTGCCTCCAGTTTTTGCATGATACGCGGTAAAATAGTCTCGGATTGACCTGTCTGCGCAAGTGCCGCGACATAGTACTGCCAACACTCCTCGTCATGTGCAAAGTTTCCTCGTTCAAATCGAGTAATTAACGCTTGTGGATTCTTTGCTCGTAACCATTCCTAAGGAAAACATCATTTTCTTATCAGCATGGTTACTTCGTATATGCTGGCCTGCTTAGTATCGTGATGAAGTGTGTTTACTTTGTACAAGACGGCCTGCCGTCTTGGATCGTCAGGAAACATATTTGCATCTTGCTCGAGTTTGGTCAACCGTCGATGGTTAACAAAACGGAAGGATCGGGTCCACGATGGTGATGACGAAGACGACGAAAATAATGTACGTCGTTGTTGTTGCTGCGGAAACTGGTGTCGTTGTTGTTGTTGGCACAAAACATTGGGCGAGAATTTCGTACTGCCGTGCGCTCTCAACAGTCTTGAAGAAACAGCATCAGTAACTGCTCGATCGAGCGATTTTCGGGATTCCGGAACAAGCTATATTATATGGTTTATTCTAAAATAAGTTCTCGTCTTTTCTCACCGTTTTCTACTTTTTACTTTACTTGATTTGGTCCACGTTGAGATAAAAATGTTCGATATTGATCGTGCCGATTCAACCCGTGGCGTAAAGTGGACGATCGGATTTGCTGAAATAAGTTGGATGTTTCGGCTGCTACAATCGCAAGCTAACAAAGTAAAAATGACAATGAGAGGACATGAGTTTCAAAGCGCATATTGCACGAAGGGTTGTTTGAATATTAACCTGTTTGGAGAAAACAGCTGGACCTGTAGTCATTTACGTTTAAAAGAGAAGGTCACCGAAAAAAAAAATGGTGTGTTTCCGATACCCTGGATGTTCGATTCGTTGTCCCTTTCCTTCCCTCTCTGTTGCGGGGTTCGCTTTTTTTTTTTGTTGCAGCAGGACCAATGGTCTTTGAGAGCTGTCAATTATTAACACTATTTCGTTCTTTTTGCTGGAGCAGTCTCTCACTGTGGTCACCCGCTTTAACACTCACGGTGCATTGCCCACCAGTTCTAGCTCTTTCAGTCGCAACAAATTAATATCTTGATTGCAACCGGCTTCTTATAGTCCGTGGTAGTCCGTTGTATATGCTGGTCTGAAGCCTTCCGCAATAGTCCTCGCCAAGGTTTGTTTGCAGTACCAGTAAATGTGTTCTGTTGCAAGGTAGTTAAGCTGGTATCGATATGTGAGGCATCGTCCTCCTTTCAATAAATCTACATCAAGCGCATCATACAGTATGATGCCGATGATGACGATGGCAACGGATTATGAAACAAGCGATCGAACCGTTACGAAATTTTTTCTAGAGGAAAGTAAAAATCGATGAGTGAATTCATGCGTCATTTGAACTTTGCAAATTAGCATGGGTGAGGGATGAATTTCTGACCTCATGTCGCACAAATAGCACAATCACTCTCATATATAAAAACCCCCACCTCACCACAAACTTTCCCGTCACTCGTTTTCTTCCAAATCTTCAACTAACAACAATAACGACGACAATCTAAAATGCTTCCTCGAACCGTCTTACAACGTGTTGCTGCTAAGCAAGTCGCTCGACGATCCTATGCTACTGCAGGCAGTAACGTCGCCACTGGTCCAGGTGGCACCAGTGGTGGTCCCGCTGGCGGCCCCAACAAGAACGGTGGTGGTAATGGTGGACTTATTATGGGCGTTGCCCTCGGTGGTGCTGTCGCTGCTTATCTTTACAAAAAGAGTCAAGAAGGAGGAGGTAAGCAACCATCATCACCATCATCATCATCGAAACTTTTGGTTTCGAACGACTGCGGTTCATGCATGCAGCAAGTGATGAAAACTAACAGTAAGTCCTTCTCTAACTATTAGGAAACGCAGAACGAAACTCTGCAAAGCTGAGAGAAGCAGTCGGCGACAAATCTGCAGAAGCCCAAGGCTATGTCGATGCTGTAAAGACCAAGGCCAGTGACGAATACGAAAACGCCAAGGAAGCTGCAGGCGACAAGGCTTCCGAAGCCCAGAAATATGCGGATGAAGCCAAGTCCAAGGCCAGCAATGAGTACTCCAATGCAAAGAAGGCAGCCAATGACAAGGCTTCCGAAGCTGAAGGTTACGTCGACTCTGTAAAGAACAAGGCTAGCGATGAATACGCCAACGCAAAGAAGACTGCGAACGACATGGCTTCTGAGGCTGAATCTGAAGCGCAAGGCTACGTGGACGTCGCAAAAGAAAAATTGAATAGCACTACAGATTCTGCAAAAGAAACAGCAGCCGATACTGCCGCACAAGCACGAGGCTATGTCGATGCAGCAAAGACCAAAGTCAACGACACAGCAGAGGCCGCTAAGGAATATGTAGGAGGAAAGAAATAAATAAATTAAAAGAAGACAGAAAGCAAATGTACATAGACAAACAATATTCCTCTTGGAATCAAGACAATTCTTTTCGCTTTATTATTCTTTGCAGGCGATCTTGGTGTTTTGTGTGTGTGTGTGTGTATAATTATATCATCGTTTGGATAGTGGAGTAGGCACTTTGCATCGCCAAATGACAAAGGGTGGTTCGGATCCTTTGCCCTTATATCCTGCAGTGGTTTGTTTTTGTGGCCGGCACGTGCAAAGCCGTCCGTTACCTAATGAGTTATAGTGCCATTCTGCTGCTTCAATGCCTCCTTGTAGTACCGCTGTTCGAGGGAAATGATGGTTCTGTACGAGTTGTGCAGCAAACTGTCACCGGTTGGAGAGAGAAAGAAATTGTTAATCAAACCATTATAAATTTAGCCGTCATCGCATTGATAAAAACCATCTTACCTCAGGACCTTGCTTTTCACTATCATCCGCTACTATGACGTGGTATTTACGATTCAGTTTCCGTAATATGGAAGCATAGCTGTGCAGCTGGCTAGGCTGGACGTTCATGGACGAAGCAAGATGGCCGTTCACAAATCTATCAGTATATTTAAACACGTTTAATACTAGTTGTTTACATACAAGATCTCTCTTCTTACTCGGCTTTTAAGAACTTACTCATGGTCGGAACGGATATCCAGTACAAGTGTATACGGTGAGATTCTGGGGAAATCGGCAATATCTATCCGAGGAGCGAGCTCTTGCTTTCGAACATCAATTGGAAGCGGTTTCTCCCACCATTGCTAATATAGAGTAACGCTAATAGGTGAATAACACATAAAATTTACGACTACGTGGTTTGCATATAGTTATACCTGTCCCTCTTTATCAGATAATGGTGCAACAGGCCGTAATGATACAACACTTGGTGGGGTCACTTTGCACATTTTCATTGCACTCTGAATACACCCTTCAATATCAATCTTTGGGAAATGTTCAGAAAACAACGAAATGCATCCGTTGAACTCATATTTCAACAACTCGTCTCGGATCTGTCGCAAAATAGCAACACCGACAAACAGTGGAAGTGATGGTGGGCCCACCATAAATTTGTCCCACAAGTGATATACTTTGTCCAATGGAAATACATCTAATACATGAATAAAGATTGGTGTTAAGCAATATTTCTTGCGATGAAAATTCTGAAAGTCCCTCTACTCTCCTCTAATAGTTTGTCCTACTTACGAGTGAACAGTGTCAAAAACCATCGAATCGCGTACAGGTCAGGAACGAAACCAATGGCGTCAATATGTGCAGATAATTCAGGATCATGGAAACTAAGGACATGTCGGAACACTGCAAAGTAATCTTGCAGGACAGCCGAATTGTCTCTGAGAAAAAAGTTATTGAGGAACTTTAGAATAAATTTTTGAAGACAGGCAAAGGCTAAAGCTTCATCGTTAAAGTTGAGTGTAAGAAATGGTGCGCAAAGCGAGTCGAGGCCTATGCGCATCTTTGATAGTTAGTCCTGACGGGCTTTACTTCAAGCATAATCTTCCTGCTTAATATCCCTTTCTCCCTTTGATCTCATTACCTTGCCAATACACCCACTTCTTATTTGATGATACCCAGGACTTTAATAACCGGCGTAGCTTCTCATGGCCAGCAGATGATGCCAGGAGCTGATTGTACTGGTGACATCGCGGTACGTCTATTTCAAGCGTTAGGTTTGTTGATATCAGCGCCTTTTTTAATCCCATAAGTGCATTCCTCATTCGTTCTGTTTGAATACTTACCCACATCAATCTATTAATGATCCAGAACGAAAACAAAATGATATAGTCAGCTTTCCCTTGCCATTTTCAAATTAAGAAGTTTCCCACTTTCTTTTTTACCTGGCGATCGGAAGCTATATCGTTATATTTGTCGATACGCTGATATTCAGTTTCTACATCGCCATGAACATCCAATATGGCGGCCCATATCTTATTCCGTAATAGTGGAGGGATATCCACCTTGGCATGGTGCAGGATCTCCTTTTGCGAAGCAGGGTATTGTCTCAACAGTTCAGCAAACAATCGCTGACGATGGTATTGGTAATTTACGTCTTGTTCACGAAGCGATAAAGGACGTCGAGGAATGGATGACTGTGTGGGTGTCGACGGTGCTGCTGCTGGCGTACCGACCGAAATTGAAGACGATGAACGTGAACGGTTCATGCTACTCAAAGAAAACGTGCGGTTCAAGGACCGACTCGTGGATGGCGTTGTAGGCGTAGTTATTGAAATAAGTGCAGCACTACTGGGTGGTCCATTACCGATTGTTACTGCTGAATGAGGTGATGATATTTCATCGTCAAAAACAAAATCTTCGTTTTCGCCCTCGTTATTGTTTAAATTGTCAAACTTGTCCGTTTCTTTAAGTAAGAAATTTACATCGTTTTCGTCAACGACGTTGAAATAATCCGCATCCCATTCAAAGCGTTCCGAGTGTCGCTGTTCCTGTTGTTCGAGGCGTTGGTATAGTTCCTTGAAACTGAGAATATGCATCGTATCCGAGTATAGCTGTGTCGTGTCCACCATGACAGGCCCGATTTCTTCTGCATCCTCGATAAAGCAAACGCGTGGAAGTCTTTCGATGACTGGTACAGATAAAAACACACCTCGTTTGACAAGGTTGACCTCAACATCGCCACCTGCTAATCGCCAAAGATGGTATATATGGGAGAGTGGAAGGTCTGCTAATGGATCGCTTGGTGGTTGCTTTTTCATCGGTGTTGTTGGCCGATCGATATCCGTTTCGTCGGGCTGCAGATCTTGAGATGCAAGAATCGGTCCTTGAACCCAATCATGGCCTTTCATTTTGTTCTTCTTGCTGCTACTGCTCAAGAATGGTAAGGCAAGGATTTGGTGATAATAGGGTCGCTGAGTATGTGAAACTTGGAGACACATCAGTATGAGTTCTCTAAACGCCTCAATTTCTGCTTTAGCGTTGACGCTGTCGCCACTGTCGCTAACGTTGTTGCCTTGTAAAAAGCTGAGAACGTCCTTGTTGATATCTAGCGACTCAATCCCTTGGTGGTACCACACGCTATTGCTGCTATCTTCTTCGTTTTCCTTTGCCCAATCTGCTAGCGTGCTCAGCGTATCAAAGATCAATCCAACATCCGATGTTGTCCAGAAGGTGTTCCGGCAAAACTGTTCGACCAGAATGATACCCACTGCCCAGCAATCTCGCTGTTCCATAAAAATACAATCATGGCCATACGTCAATCGTCTTAAGCTTTCTCTATGTCCTTTTCGTCTCAACACGTTGATTATAATGGATATATACCTTGTCGTAGCCAGATGACTCAGCACCCTCGTCGTCTAGGACACACTCAGGGGCCAAATAGCCTGGATATCTTGGTTACTCATCCGTTAATATTCACTTTGTTTCGTTCCATATCGCTTTCTGCTCCTGTTTCTTTTCGTACCTACCCAATAGGAAAATCAACATCTACACCATGGCCCGTCATATAATACAGTCCATAGCCCGAAAGTTTTATTCGATCTTGTTCATCCAGCAGCACATTTTGAGGTGATAGTGCAGCATGAACAACATTGTTCTGCTCCAAGTAGGACAGGGCACCGAACATCTCGCAGGCATACCGCTGTAAAAGATTTATACTGACATATGTAAAGAGCGCCAAAGTCAGTATTATATTATGCAAAAGAAAAGCATTTAGTTATCTTAAAGGGGGTAGCAACATTATTAAACCTTCCCCGTTTTTTATGCTTTACCTGACCGATGTCTCTGCTTTAACGCTACGCGTCTTTTGTAGGGAGTTATCATGATATTCGTTGACAACGAACAGTCTATCTAATTGTGCATTAAAAATAAAGTTTATCGCACAACTTAGTATAAGGTACGTTGTGGTGGTTCTCGGTCCCTGTTTTGTTGTGGATTTACTTTTCGGACTAATCAAAAAGCGAAGGGTGGGGGTGAAGTCTATAGAACATACCATGTTTGCCTCGGTGAATTTCTACATACTCGCATAAATTTTCATGACACAGCGATTTCAATAGTTGGAAACGGCCCATGATTTGTGAAGGTGCTGAAACTGCCAAATGGCCTGATTGCGCGAGTGCTTCGGACGACCTTGCCGACGCTACGAAATTACAGGATGCAAGTTTGGGCGTAGGTCGTTCATAATGCACCTTTAAATCACTGGCGTTTGCGAATAGCGCCATGGAAAAATACGTTGAAAAAAAGCGGGGATGTTATTAAAAGCAGAGACGAAAAAGAAGTATACGCCCAGAGTTTATAGAGAGAGGAAAAAGAAAAAAAAGGGAAACAGATATGCCGCATATGTGTACACACCTGTGTTCCAAGAAGCAGGTCGGGCTTTAGCACCAATGTATCTACATACACAGACACATACACAACTAGGTCTCACAAAGGTGATTAGCATTGAGCGTACCATGCATTTTAAACTTAGCGCTATGTCTTATTTCCATTGGCATGACATTCTTTGCATACGGTGAAAAGATTACCTTTGACGCGACTTTTTCATTATCCAGCCCTTTACATCTATTTCAACTTAGCACAGGCCGTGCCTCCTCCACATCTTGCAGTTCGTTCAAAATTGGACCTTTAAGAACGTTGACACGGATAGTGGTAAGCGGCACGGAAGACTTTATATGTCAAAGATTAAAAACCAGTGAGCAATTACTGATTTACATCTCCTTCAATATGATCTATTTAAAAGATTCTAAAAGGAGGTCAAACAAGCTATTTTATGAAAAGGATTGGTATATGAGCTGTGCTAAGGTGATGTTTTTACGCAATACCGGCCTTAGCCTTTGATTGATAAGTCTTTGGATGCAGAAGGGGAAGCACTTATTGATCTGCTGCTTGCAAGTGCTGTAACTTGCGAGAAAAAAAACATGCGAATGTTTCGATAGAGGTGGGAGCTTCAATGTGTCCAATGTGTAACTCCCGGTAAGTGCAATCGCTTGACTTCCTCAGCCCCTTCTCGAGCTGACTGAGCATATTTTCACTGTCAACGGATAACAAGAGCAATCAGTTCTGTTTGCTGTGTCCTTTACAATCTCATAGGATGCTCACCAACAGCTTGAATTCCTAAGTGGGTCGAACTTCATTGCAATTTGAGCGGTTTTCCAAACATCCCAAGACGTTGTGTATCAGTATGTCTGATGTAGAGTTTATTTGCTGCGGTATTAGCCTTCACTTTACCAATTCGAAAGGCTATATATCTTAGCGATCCTCAGTAAGGATCGTGTCACCGTCCGTCCGCTCCTTGAAATCCGTGAGGTGGTAATCTTTGCTCTTGTAGAAATCTCATCAAGAATAGTGCAAGTTGATTATCGCTTGATGCTTTTACAGAGGGCCTTTCATGGCTTTTGTCATAGATCCTCTCCATTCATATCTTATCATCAATTATATGGTGCTTTTATTTCTGCATTTTGTCTCTATTCCTTAGGCTTTGTTGTAGCCGTTGCGAAATATTTGTGCATTTATTATTGGTTGTTGCGTATTATTCCACGTATACCACATTCCCTCATTTTATACCTGTAAACGTAAGTTGAAGTAATTCTCCTTTAACTCATGGGATAACTTATCGAAAGATCTTCGAACTTCTTAGGTAGTTAATTTTTGGAGGCGTGGGTGGTGTGTCCCAATGCACGCTCCTAGTTGACGTCTTTGATGCCTTCAACTAGATAATTGTTTTGGTACTATTTTGCGATTAAATGAGTTGGTTGTATAGATCTGAATTAGAATAGGAAGTTTCTTTTCCAGTTACTGCTTAGGGATGTCAAAGCCGTTTCCATCTCGTCCTCCACCACCAATTATGCCGAATGAATACATAGATCAATCAAGGTCCATGTGGGCCTAGTGTCGACCTTTCGAGTCACTAGAGTGTAAAGTTAGAAGGCCAATGCTCGGTTAAAGAAGAAATTTTATATGATCCATATCACAAAGGTCGATTGATGAAATATCTATGGTTCTTTTAATGAGTGAAAGTGGAATAGAAAGAGTGCACAGGAATCAGAAAAGCAAAACCAATCATATGCGCAATAATTACATGTTGTCACACCTTTGACATCATGGCACCGGAAATTACAGTAGTGTGTGCACCTGGTGATATCCGAGAATAAGGTACAGTAGCAAAAGCGATATGTATTGTTTACACATGCCTTCAATCTTTCTTTGTTAAATCAACGCAGTCATCAAAAATGACGTTCACCTGTGTCAAACTGGGTCGACCTTACCAATAGCGTTGGCCAACAGGTCGATCTGCTAACAGGGATCGACAACCGTCCTCCCAACCTATTTGATAGATCAATGGATTAATGGATCGAGAATGTGGGCAAGATCAAGTCGACCTCTCGAACCTTGACCTCAAAAGTTAACAGGCCCAAAGAAGCTACTCAGCGCCAATCTTTGATTATGAAATACTCTATCACCATATGTAAGCAACTGTATTCGTTCCTATTATATGCTAAATGCATTGAAAGTACCCCAGTACTGTATGATTAATCGCAGTGTGGTATATCCAAAAAAACTGCATGTTATTATAAACCTTTGCAGTGTTTGACCTTTACGATACATAGTTATGCATGCACTCATCAGTATGAAGTGTTATATCAGAATGTCTTCCCTCACATTTATTCGTAACCTTGTATGGATCGCTATTTTTGAGACTTTCACTGGTGGTGCTCCTAGTACAATGTTCTTGATTTCGATAACATACTATAATCCAACGATTGCATGTAACGGAACATTTTCGTTTACATGACAAGTTCCAAAAAAGCGGGTCGTTGTCTTACGGGCCACGTGTTTACATTCAATTAATAACAATGCAATTTCATCATGTTTGCTTGTGCCACCCTTTTATGGTACATAGATAGGAATAAACACACAAATTATTCTCCTTTTCTTTTTCTCTCTTTCTCTTCTTTTTACAACACATATAAAGAAAAAATGTCAGCCTACTCTGGTCGCGATATAGCGCTGTTCGTGGTAGCCTTCTTCTTCCCACCCCTTGCAGTGCTCGTCAAGTGTGGCTGCGGTATTGATTTTTTGATCAACATTTGCTTATGGGCTCTTGGCGCCAGTAAGTTTACCAACCAATATACTCTTGAGCCAAGTAGAAACAAAGCGAAAAGTGAAGACGCCCACACTAATCAATTAAATCGAATTTGAATTGATCAACAACAAAAAAAAGTCCCCGGTATTGTCCATGCGTTTTACATTGTGCATAAGCATAACGACAATTTCGAAGACCTCGAACGAGGTGGTCTTCAGTATCAGCAAGTTCCTTCAGAGGAACCAAGTCGCGTGGTCTACGGATCTACCAATACAGGTAAAAAACAGAACTAGTCTCTTAAAACGCACCCAACACTTCACTTATCAAATCTCTATTCTAACCATTTAGAACAATAACGGCTATGTTTATCACTCTCTCCTTTTATCCACCGTTTTATATCGTTTAAAATATATTACTTCATTATCATCACTCTGAACGACAACTCCACAATAGCATAACATCACTAAGGAACATTGAAATATGGCCCTCCTCTTGGTTTCTTTCTTACCAAACACTACCGCGCACAAACGACACATAGCGACAGTGTACAAAACACACATACACAGAGTTATTTTTCAAAAACAAGCGGCAAAAGATGTTTATTCAAATTAGCCAGATTTAGACGGATTCAAGGACAGGGGGCTCCTTGAAGTCCTTGACCTTAGCGCCAGAGTCTTCAGCGGCAGCGGAACCACCGTGAAGAGCCAACAAAGCCGAGACATCGAACTTGGGGGCCTTCAAGATCTTGACCTTGCGGATGTAGGTGTTCTGCAAGGGGTAGATGCTCTGGCAAGCCTTCTCGATGCGGACAGCAATACCGTCCTGGGCAGAGGCCGAGGCCGAGGAAGTGACCTTGTTGACCAATTCCTTCAAGTCGCAGGCAACAGCTTCCTCAGACATGATGTCGAACATCTTCTTGCGGATCTGACGGACCTGAGCAGACTGGGCGTAGGTGGTCTTCTTGAGCTGATTGCGACGACGAGCGGTGAACGAGATGGCAAACAAGCGGACGAGGTAACCATCGGTGGTCTTGACATCGACGAAAGCCTCAATCAAAGTCTATTTTTTTGTTCGCACCCATTACAGATACATGTATTGTTTAGTCTCTGTGGTGATCTTTCGCTTCCTTTCCTTTCTCGGACCTCTTTCGTATTCGACGTCAAATCATATAAACGCGATTATTTACCTGCCACTTCTTGACCATGGAACGGAGCTTGTCCGAGGTCATGTCCATACCATAAAAGTTGGTGAGGCAGTTCTTGCCCTGGATTTCATCAACCTTAAGCTGGATCTTGCGGAAGGCACGGGACTCATCCTTGCTAAGATCGCCGAGGGAAGCCTCAACGACACGGCCGTTAAGCGAATCGTTGGCGTTACCTATTTTTTTTATTTCATAGCGTTATTACTTCTGGTTTGTTGCTCCTCCCACAATCAGCTTTTGCTAATGTTGCTGTTGTTTGCTCTTCATGAGCTAGAATTTTTCCAAAGTACAGTTAAAGACACTTACGCAAACCCTGGGTGCGGTTGACCAAGGTCTTACCAACCTGGCGAACTTCGAACATGGAAGGAGCCTTGATGTCATACCAGTCCTTACGGGTGAAGGGGTCAACGCTAAAAGTAAAAATAAAAAAGATTTAATTTTCTGGCGCGTTTCCACAAAATGATCACTTATCGTTTGACGTAGTCGTTTCCAATAAGTTCGTAGAGAATGGGAAGAGTAACTTACACCTTCTTCTTCAAACCCTTCTTTCCTTTGCTAAGACGCCTATATGATTATAATAAGGAAAGTACCAAGATCGATTAACATCAAATTATCGTAATGTTACCCAAAGCCAATATATTTTTTCTTCCGTCTGTCAGGTATAAGCTTACTTGTTCTTGCCAACAGCTATATGTATAGAAAAATCAAAAGGTGTTTTGAGTTAGCAGGGATGTTGTTGAATCATGGATTCACGTTGATTGATGAATAGATGGATGGATGGATGGATGGCCCATAGTACATACCCATGATGGATGGATTACTGAAAAGGAAGGCTTTTCGGCTTCAGGACGTGGTTGTCTTCTTGGGCTGCTGCGATCATTTACAAAGTCAGATTTCCTAATTCGACAGGCTCAACGGAGCCTTACATATTTTATTGCTGTGTGCTCTTGCCCCCTTTGTTTCTTCTCATAATACTAAATCATTAGCGTTGTCACCATATTCAATATTGAAATTACTGGGCACATCAATTATCGCACTGCTACCATGTTTAAATATCTAAATGGCGCAGTATGGAACGACTCAAAAAGTAATAAAGAAGATCGTATTTGAGGAAACCCCTGGTTATGAAAGAAATGAACAAGAATATACATAGTTTATTCACTAGCAGTTAATTCATCCAAAAACTTTTGTGCTCCTTCTACAATGATTTCATGTTCCACACTATGTATTCTTTTCTCAAGATCTTCCAAGGTATCGTCTTTTTCGATCGGGATGTTCCGTTGCAAGATAACCTGGCCACGATCGACGTCGGCAATGACCTTGTGAACCATGACACCAGTATGCTGAATATCGCCCTTTTTGAAAGCGTCATAGGCGCGTTCAATCGCATGGGCACCATCAAACTGACCCGGTAAAGCCGGGTGCAAGTTCATGACATTGTTTTGTGGAAAGAAAGACAAGAATTCGGGTGACAGGATATGCATAAATCCAGCCAAGACCACCAAGTCTGGCTTGTATTCTTCTTGTATCGTCTTGGCAACGTAAATGTCAAAGTCGACGCGTGTTTTGCCTTGATCCTTGAATTGTTTGAGTGAGAATGTTCGGGTCGGGATGCCGGCCTTGTTTGCGCGTTCAAGACCGTATGCTGCTTTGCGATTCGAACCCACAACAACAATGTTGGCGCGAAGTTTGCCGGATTGTGTGGCGTCAATGAGAGCTTGCAAATTGGAGCCGGAACCAGAAATGAGAATTGCAATGGTTGGTAATGAGGCCATTTCTTAATTTAGTATGCGTGTGTGTTCGGTGGTAGTAGTGTATGTCGAAAGGATATGGTTTGATGGGTAATAAAGAAAGAGATGGATGTGAAATTCCAGTGGCTTGCTCCGCTGGCGAACAGAGGGCGCCTGTGAAATCTTGGAATCCCTCTCTGTCATTTAGATTATGCTATAGGCATTAAGTGTCCTTCGATATATATAAAAAAGTGCATAGAATCGTTGTTGATTTTTTATTCAAGTATGTGGATACATGTGTGCGGACGAGAGTAAGGATATGCTATGGTTGTCGAGGTCGAAGAAAAGAAACAAATGCGCACGACAGAAAAGGGGAGACAATGTTGCGAGGTAGTTGAGATAGCTTTGGTTGATTCCTTTCAGATACGTTCCATGGCTTCCATAAGATTAATGCTGTTACCACGAATAACCTATACGGCCATAAAAACAGCTTGTTTAGTTCCATTTCTTATAGGCATAATCCGATGAAAAACACAAGAAAACATACAATCATGCCAATATGGTTCTTTTCAGACGCGCTAATCTCTTCGACGGCATCGTCGAGAACAATGTTCATAAAGGGATCGTATCCACGAAGTACACCCGTGACTCGTCGGTTGCCATTCAACTGAAGCATCAGGCGCTTGTCCATGTATCTAGTGATTCATTTCGTAAATGTCTTTAGTCTTTTTGATCAACAAATTTGTGTAGCTAAATTGAATAAAAAAATATAAACTCACCTTCTCAATTCTGGGGTAGGTGCTTTAACCATAGCAAATCTGTGTATTGAGCCCTGTATCAATTAGTAAAAGATTATAGATGTATGCACGATCGATCGTTACGATGAATTTGCTAACCTTTTTTAATGACAAGTGGGTGTGAAAGGTCTTGCCTGATATTCGTGCGTGCGTGGTGTACTTCCGTCCCATTTCAAGTCACGCCCTCTCGCTTTTTTGGCCTGACAGTGCGGCTCTTTTCCCGGTTCGATACCTTCCTTCAATGGCACAAATCAGCAAGTTGTACACCTTCGTTGCATTGTGTGCTGGTATGGCTGCCGGAAGCACTGCTGTTAACAAGGTATGTCTCTGCTCTTGGCAAACTTTGGCACGAAGAAGTATATAACTAATCGAGTCATGTTTTTAATAAAGATTATGAGACCCGACATGGTAACAAAAACAACTGCCTGCTGTGATTATGATAGGGACAGGAAACAGCTAACAGAGAAGATATGATATATAGACTATTCCACAACGTCAAGCACAACATCAACAACAACAAACAAAATAAATATTATATGAACTAATGTAATAGTGTATATATACAACAATCCTCCCAAAGCCACAGGAGTGAAAAGGGGAACATCCCTTTGTAATGACTAGTCTAGACATATCTTCTAAATCCTCTAAAATAAGCATTACCCACACCACCAATACCAAATGCCGGACCAATTCTTCCAATGCGTGCAAACGCACTTTTGAGATACTCTTTGCGGATCAATCCCATGCGCTGTGCAGACGATGCAGTGGGACGATTATACATATCCAGACCAAGCAGATGGATAGGCGTGGAAACAAACTGGATCGAGGCAGGGCAGACAAGCTGCGCAATGACACGTGCATCATGTCGATCCAAACTGACATACTTTTGTTGCAACCACTGGGCAAAGTAAACCGGGGCATTAAAGCTTGCGGCAATGGTGAGTGAGTCGCGTGCGGCAAAGCAGAAATAAGTGAGCATGGGCAAGGCACGTGTGGCAGTGACGCCAAACATACGCGTGAAGGATCGGTCCTTGTATATGCAGATGCCCATGTTGACGACCGAGGTAGCAATAAATTTGTACCACGCCGCGGTCGTGTCCTTCACGCCCATACGTTCGCTCGTCGTGTCCATCACATTGGCCGTAATGTATGTGCTAAAGTAGAGTCCATAGACCAGTCGGAACTGCAACGATCCCGCGAATTGGATCGGTTGCGTAAAGATAGCGCGAAGACCTTGGACGAGGCCTTGACCAAGCGGACGTTTGCCGTTGGCGTTTTCTATGATGGCTCTATACATCTACTTGTCAGACGCACACTCGCTTCTTGCGTACATACGCCAGATCCTTGAGTGTTTACCTGTCAACGACGGCGATTAAAGGAGATACCATGGCCGAGGACGTGGCTGCTGCTGCTACGTCGACACCGTAAAGAGCCCATAAACGCTGTTTCTCGGAATTCGATATCTCCATGGCAACAATTTACTTTAACAAAAACTCGATGGGGAATGTCGGCGCAATCGGACAAGAAAGTGGATTGTTCCCGGTTGTCAATCGAAGAAGAACACCAAAAAAAAAGAGATAAAACGTTCAGGCACTATTGCACTGTCCCCGCGTATGAAAAAAAAAGGAGAGAGCGTGGGGAAATACTGCCAAATCTCCGTTACGCAACGAGAATACGCTTGGGGTGACCAGTCACCTGCGACGTAGCACCCTGCTGTATGAGCAAACTCAATAAAATAAGGATGGTCCGTGCTTTTCTCTTTCTTTATCTCTTAGTGTATATATATATATATATATATATATAGAACAACGATTTGATGGAGGAAGGAAGGAGACACTACCTATGTTGTTACGTTTGATGATATCAGCAACAGCATTACATGGAGAAAAGGGAAAGTAATTAGTCAGGGAAATCATTTCTTACCAGATATTCCTAGTGGACAACGACTATGATAGCGTGCTACATTACATACCAATCACTCGTTGTTGTTTACTAGGAGACATGTGTACATATTGGACCCCGTTAACCATTGCTATGCACGTACATACTACAGTATACATTACAGATCAAACAACCAGCAGAGACCAGCAGTACCACGATTCAGGGTCCGAGTTGTGTGTTTGTTGTTGTTGTTGTTGTTGTTGTTGTTGAAACAAAAGGAGGCCTTTTCGGGATGGGGATGTTGCGCGATAAAAGTGGGTGAGTAGGGCCAGCCAGGGAGAGAAACAATAAAATGAATGAATATATGAATGAATGGGAAAATAAAGGGTCCTCTCTTTGCTACTTTGCACGGGTTTCTGTTTTCTTTACAGCAGCCATGGTTCCCTTTTTTTAATCCATCATGCAAACGTTCTGAACACTAGCGAGTTCGGTTCTTTTCGTGGGTGTGATCAGATTAGATGATCCCTCGGAGAATGTAGAAAGTGTGTGCGCACGGTTCTATCCATATGTGAGCAGCGAAAGAACAAACGAACAAAGAAAGACCCACGGGCTCTTTGTCAAATAGCGAACAAGTGTCTTGTTCATGCTGCTGCTTATAATCTTTTGCTGCTCCGCTTGTCAATCAGTTTTGAATAAAGCTCCTAAAATTAACCAAAACGAGATCGTTTCCCCGGAAGGAAGAACCCAGCACGAGCGGAAAGAAAACTGCCATGCATTCCGCTCTGCTGCATGTTAAAAGGAGTGTGTGGGAGGGAGGGAGAGACGAAGGCCTGGCCATCATCCTATTGAGCTAAGTGCAAATTATATAATGCAGTTAGCAGCAGCAGCAGCAGCAGCAGCATCATCGTCAGCATCCATCCAGCGGTGTTGCATTGAAGTACTGTGTGATGGAACTCAGCATTCAGCTCCGTTTAGGAGCTGATTCATTGTTGCATTCCGGAGACACCTTCAAGCATATATCTTCTTCTTCTACTATTACTACTACAGGAGTATAGTGGAGGAAGACCACCCGGTAAAGATAAAGAAAGATGATAATGATGCTTTGCTGCAGGAACTGCCAAGGTTTCAGTAATAATCTTAGTAAAAGTGGTAGTGTAGTATTAGCCAAGTAATAATGCAGCACGAGGGCACGCGTCAAACAAAATGTGAGTATGAAAAAAGAAAAAGTGCGTGTAGAGTGCTGTGCAATACCCCTTACTCTCTCGCGATCACTGTGGTGTGCGTGTGCTTGTATACGCACTTATTCCTAAAAGTAGTAGGCAGGAGCAGCCATTGGATGAACGTGCAAAGTGACATTCCAGTGCACAAGAGCGAGTACCGTAAAAGAAAAGAAAAAGTGGGGGGAAACAATAGAACATTTAAGCGTGGTGATATATTTTTAGCCGTACTCGCTATACAATGATACCAGATATTGCTCTACTAGGTCGTAAGCTATTTACAAAAGGTCTTTTAAGTAAACTGTATATGCACCTGCCATGTACGCGCTAAATGTTTATTATTACAAACGAAACATGGAGAGAGAATAAAGAATTTCGCAAAATGTCATCGAAATCGGGGGATCGGAATATGAGAGTGGGCTGCATATACATTGCGTAACGCTATGGCCCACACGCACACACATATGTACATACATACACGCACACACAAACTCCACTCACTCTGCCTGTGTTCACAGAGTCTGGACGGAACTTGTAATTTTGACAGATTGCTTGTTTTGGTCAAACAGTCATTATACGTTCAATATGTACACACTATGTAGCCCGGTGATTTACCTATTCCCCTTGAAGAATGGCGAGGGGTGGGAGCGTGGGGTGAATACAATAGGTCATAGGTAAAGATAGTCAAATCAACAGAAGAGCCAGAGGGAAAATGGAGAGCATATGATCCTCCCCATTCTTTAGAGCCCTGTTTAGGACATATTGTGAGGGGTGCCTCTGCAACTTTTTTTCTTACTGCGTGTATGTACAAGTGAGGGTGGATGAGTGAATAAGTGGTAGTAAGTGCGTGTGCTATCGTATATATAGGAGACCCCAGAGAAGCATGGACTGGCCCCTGAATTATATATCGTCAAATCTCCTTTCTGATCTAAATAAGGAGGGTGGGCTGTCTGCGAGAGAGAGAGAGAGAGAGAGATGATAGCCCTTATAGTGATAGGCTCTATCTCTTACTTTCTTTTCGTAGTGTATGGAAAAGAATAAAAAATTGTTTGCTCTCTCTTTTTCACGCCCATGATTCTGTGTGTGCTCCGCCTCCTTTTTTGGGGCTGTTGTCGATCAAGCTTTTTGTTGGAAGTGAGCGTGTCAGATACAAGCATTAAAAAGAGTCCTTTAAATAGGGTTCCAATTCTTGCTTATCCCTTTGAAGGATTCTTCCCTTTTTGCTCTTCTTTCTTTCTTTCTTCCTCTCTCTCCTACTAAACACTTCTTTGAACGCGTAAAACGTTACGTATATAGAGCACTACACCACATAATAAAAAGAGAAAAATAAGAGCATGTCGAGTCAGACCTTTGAGCAGCAACTCTCTACTCCACCCTATCCTGGAAAACTACCGAGTATCACCATGCTACCTCCACTCGACAATGCAAAGGATGAAATGGTTTCGGCTGGAAACGCCAACATGCGATTCACCACTTCAACAACAGCGACCGCCGCGGCGGCAGCAGCAGCAGCAGCAGCAGCACAAGTAGAAACAGGAAGCATGCCTCCACCAAGCTATTCGTATCTTCCAGCAAACAACAACATGATGCATCATCATCATCATCATCATCATCCACTGTACAGCCAAAACGTAGTGTCACCACCATTGACACCCGCTGTTTCGCCGTCCTCGATCTTGCTCGATTCAATGCAATTCAAGCGCAAGTTTTCTGTTGATGTGGGTCCTTTTGGCTTTAATACTAGCAACAATACACAGGTCGACATGGATGAGTATCGTCGAGCTTCTGTCATGTCGATGGACCAACACTATCATCAGCAAGAGCATGAGCACGCGCCTCCACCAGACTATAATCCTCGACCTACGGATTACACTTCATTTTTGAACTCCAGTATACCAGATGCTACAATGTATAGCAGCAACAACAACAACAGTGACTTATTGGAGCAACAGCAACAGTCTAGTACACCAGCGACAGCGACAACAACAACAACGAAAGCGACGACAACGACCAAGTCTGCTGCTGCTGGTACGGGAAGACGCAACTCGTCCAAAAATAATCAGCAACAGAAGGCTCACAAGCATGTGTGCAAATACCCCTTCTGTGGTTGGAGCTTCAAGCGTTACGAGCATCTCAAGCGGCATATGCTGGTGCATACTGGTGAACGCCCCCATGTCTGTCAATTTCCTGCCTGCGGAAAAAGCTTCAGTCGCTCAGATAACTTTCATGCACATTGCCGAACGCACATGAAAAAAGTCAACCAACGCCGTCAATCGTCGTCGGCCAGTTCCACCACCGCCGCTGCTGCTACTGCTGCTGCAAGCAAGAAGCAGAATCGAAAGCTTTCAACATCGTCGTCTTTTTCAAATAGTAGTGCTGATACTGTTGTTTCGACTGCCGTTACAACGACAACACCGACAAGTACCGTACAACCAGCGACAAGTCTGCCAATGTCGTCAGGCTACACTGCTAACAGCGTACCACACTTCTCTTCCTGTGCCATGCCTACCACAGCTCATGAGGTAAAGAAATACAACCACTCTCTATTGAGAATGACATGTTTCCTTGGCATGCAAAGTACGAATAATACTAAAACCTTAAACCCAGCAATATCACTTTAACTCGCAGCATACCATGTTCGGATCCGATGTACCGTCACTTCTTAACCACGAAGCATCGTCCCAACCCCATTCCTTCTTTTTACCATCACCCACCGACCGATCGTCCACTTCTGGCGATACTGCCACTAATGGGATACAATACTATTCTCAACAACAACAACAACAACAACAACAATATGATCATTCGCCCTCTTATGACTCTGTCAGCTATTCGTCGCAATACCCTAGCATGGCCGCTGCTGCTGTTGTAGCTGCATCAGCAGCACCTGCTCCTACACCGCTTACTACTAATACTACCACTGCCGCAGATAGTGACACCAGTAGCACTAGCAATAGCAGTAATCGCCGGTCCAGTACAGCTAGCGCGCAACAACAACCACAACCACAGCAAAAGTCGCACGTATGCCCTATCATGCAATGTCAGCGACGATTCAAGCGTCTCGAGCATCTCAAACGCCATATGCGCATACACACACTCGAACGCCCATTTGCATGCAACTACCCGGGCTGCCACAAGACGTTTTCGCGGTCGGATAATCTGTCTCAACATATGAAGACTCATCAGCGTCACGAAGAAAGACGACATCGTCAACAGCAACAGCACCATCATCACCATCAACAGCAGCAGTCAGACTTTTCATTGTCACCTTCGTCTGTTGACAGCATCAGCTGGAATGGCCCGTGCTAAGCATTTATATTTACAAAATGTGCTTTTCACTACGTGCCCTACGCACATACCTCTTCTTCCATACCCCGCGCTACTTCAATCATACTTTCACCACAAGTACAAAACTCACGCAAACTACCTCCCCCCATGCTTCTTTTACTTCTCTACTTGTTCTTAAACGCACACACACACACACACACACTTCTTCTGATTTAAACTTGTTTGACAATTGTTTTCATCATGCCTTTTTTTCTTTAAATTATTTGTTTTTTGTATAGATCTCTGTTTCTTCTTCTTGCACACATTTCCCCTTTTTCTACTATTTCTTTTTATTTTACATATGCTTTCTTTTTTTAATTTATTTTTTTAGAAAGAGTTCTCCTAAAACTCTTTGAAAAAAAGATCAGAAAAAAAAGGAAGCGAGGCCGTATACTAACTTTTTTTCTCCTCTTCTACATCCCACGCAACTTCTCACACACACATACTCTCACACACACGCTCACACACACATTTTTCTTTTAAGCACACAACAACATACACATATAACTTCTACTCTTTTCTTTTTATGTTTTCTTCATCACCCACCTTTCACATACACTCATACTCACAACAATATATGGCCGGAAAATTAAAAATAAAAACCGTTATATAATTTCTACAAATATCAAACTGAGCGTAGATCTTGCTGAAAGAACGGGTAGCGGATGGCTGTTGTTGGTGGATATGCATGGATTATGACAAGGAACAGGAAGGAAACTAGATGTAGTAAATGACAATATATCAAAAGAGAATATATAATATATGCAAAAATGATGCTGTGGGCGTGGTGACTAATGGCTAAGCGGATGGCTTGTGTTTCTTTATGAATGGAAGGTGCTGTAGGTGTTTCGGTTCTCTTCTTCGTGCACAGGGTTTGTTCCTGATTCTTCTGCTTCTAATAACGCATCTGCTTCAGGATCCACTATAGACAGAAAAAACATTAGCATCACAACCTATCATAGAGAAGCGCGTTTTGTCTGTTGGTTTCCCCACAGGAAAAGTCTTTACCTTCCGTGGATACACGTTGATCTGGCTGCTTCTGACGGCGAATAACCAGACATCGAATGCCCAAGAACCGACAGAATCCATCAATGACCAATGTGGCCCAGACGCCATAGCAAACGCAAGCCACGATAAATGTCAGCCATAGCAAGCCATACTCTGCCTGAGGTGAAAGCAGCCGAGTGCCAAAAAACATGTCTGTATTGACAAGCACGGCCATAAACACCACAGGGCATACCATGGGCGCCAGATTAGGGTAAGGCGATCGCGTTAGATGAGCGAGAATGATACTGGATGCCATCAAGCCAAACAGGGTGCCTGCTGTCAGGGCGAATAAACACAAGTGCTTGTCTTTGAGGATGGACGATGTGGGTGACATGATCCAGCAGTATTCGGCCAGGCAGAACACGACAATCGGGAAGCCGACGTTCATGAATGCGTGAACGCAGTCCAAGTTTTTGTCTCGGCACACTGTGTAAATAGAATAGAAGCTAATAACGTAACGGGTCAGTATCATGTCTAAAGAAGCCCTCTTCCACACTGGCGTCACTTACACTGGTATACATATAGTTACAGCAAAGAACAGCACCAGACTCCAAACAAACACATCTGCTGCCGTGGTGTTCTCGGGGAAGGGCCAAGCAAGAAATGGAACGCCTTCACTGAGGGGCACGTGCCAAGAAGCAGGGCCAAAGCATCCGGACCAAATAAACGCAAAACAGGTCAGCAAGATGCCCTCGGTAGGGCCATTGACATAACCCAAATACAAGACCTTGGTATAATACTCTTCGGCGGTGGATAAATAGAATCCGGCTACGCAGGTGATCAACACGGCCGCTGCTTTCCCAGAATGGCCCAAGCCTAGTGCGGCGCATTGTAATATCGCCACAAACGTCGTATTGAGAGCATCGCAACCGTGATCGAACAGCTCGCCCAGCGGCGAACTCGTGCCCGTTCGTCTTGCTTGTTTGCCGTCGACGTTATCGAATGTGCTGTATAGCCATAAACTGGCTGCAAAGACAAAATATATCCAACTGGGTGCTGTCGTTTCGCTGGAAAAATCTGGCACGTAGTAAGTGACAAGCAGGACGCTGGACATCATAAACCCGAGACCAATGAGTGTAATAAGATTTGGACTAGTAATATATTTGGAGGGAAATGGCGCGGTTGGCAACCGATTAGCTTTCTTTTGTGACACTTTTTGCTCTACCTGTTGCTGCCCACTTCCGGGGATGGGGGGTAACAGGCCTATGACAAAGGAAGGAGGAGGGTGCTTACGCTATCCACATTGGAAACAAGGTGATTGCCCAGTTCCAGTAGTGTGACAAGATGTACTTTGTGACATAGGACTTGTCAACAGCGGCATACTTGTAATAACGTAGATTCTCGAGCTGTTCTTGTGTCGGAAACTCAATGTCAAAGGAATTCTTTAGGAATTGTTGGAGGGGCATGGATTCGAGAAAAGGTTTATTGGGAAAAAGAAAGTAGAAAAAGAAAGTGACAGGCCTTGAAACAGAAAAAAAAGCACCCCTTGCTGCCTCGCTCACTCCTACAAAGTAGCTAGTGTCTCGGGCCTACAAAACATGTCTGGGCTTAGCGAAATTAAAATTACAATGTTCAAGGAAAAAGTCCTTAACTAGCTCCCTACGCACACAGGGTACGTTATCAGAGACATGCTGAGCGTAACCTCGCTGACAGTTAAGGTATCCAAACGAAAGTGTATCTTCATGTCACTTGCCGAATGAGGGCACTGGTGGGCAGTGCAGGGTCCTGCGCATCAAACGGTCGGAGCGACCTACAAAGTACTCGAGGTTTTGCCGTTGAAGATTGTGTATCATACTCCGCTGCTGGTGGGGTGCCTTCCGCGCCGAAGACGCCGATCTGCATCCAAAAAGGCGATGGCTTGTCTCAGTCACTCAAATTTTACCTAAAATGGGTCAAGGTGGTACAAGTGCCAAAGATTTTGACAAGCCGTCATTTTTCATTTCTTTTTGACGTGGGCATTCATGTTACAGGTTTAAAAGTTGGCCATACACACATACTATGCTACCATAGCATTGCACACACTACACTGTTGCAACCACCTATGAAAATTTGCTGTGGCTTCGTGCACGTTGGTATTATGCTACACTACGTTCGGCATCTCAAGTGGTACAGCGAGTGTTTTTGGATATATCCAGCTTTGAAGTAAGCTTCCGCTGGTTCATCCTTGATTGTTGCTTTCAAATATTTGAAAATATGAGTATTATCATATTACAACATCTTATTGGCATCATCATACATAAGAAGCAGCAGTATAGCAGCACGCGTTGGTTACACTGATATACCGTCATACATACAACCACATAGGCACTATAACAAGTAATCTGCACGATTAACAAGCATATGTACGTATCATTATTTATAAGAGTAATTTTATATGTAAGCAATTATATGATTTTGCCATAAGACTTGATATATTGGGAGTTTTGCTGCTTGCTGTCAATACAGTAGCTCAAAGTGCTGATATTACGAGTTACTACAGCAGTGAGTCAAACAGAAGCATTCGGGGTCCCAGAAATGATAGATGAGCTTCTCGTACGTACGTTCTTGACCAGATCAAATAAGTTGTAATCTTGGATAGGGCATACGCTTTTGAGTCAAGATATGTATGAGTCGTAGTAATTCACCTTTTAACTCAGGCTTCGCTGACAACAAGAATTACAGTGCTGTCGTCTGGTGTTGTCGATAACCGTGGTATCAGCTGGTGTTCTTCTGGTAACTAACACTTTGGTACGGTGCTGATAAAGATGAGCTCAATCGTATAATACGTATACATACATAGCTCGACTATCATCGCTACAGTCGACCCCCGTTAACGTCAACCCTCAGGGTACCAGTAAAAGTGTTGACCATATCGAGGGTTGACGACCACCGGGGGTAGAGAATAGGCAAAATCTTTAACTATTAAATTTGAAAGGGTACCAGCGAATCGGTTGACGCTATCGGGGGTTGACGTTATCGGGGTTGACGTTAACGGGGGTTGACTGTACATATCGCGGATCAAGTAGGTTGGTTATGATATAAAAGAATGAGCAAAAGTGCTCATATTTTATTCTGCGTAAACACTAGTGTTACTGTATTCATTAAAAAAATGTCCTTCGTAGCCCTTCCTTTGTCGACCTGTTTTTACTCCGTCATATTTACCCGTTCCTTAATTATTTACTTAGCACAACGCCGCACGCGCTATTGGAGCTCGTTCTCCTAAGGTCATAAGTACCTAATGGCTTTTTGGTTTCAAATTTGGAAATGCGGACGTCAAACTACACTAAAGCAGTTGGAAAACAGAACGCGATAAAAATAAGAACTACTATTCAACTGTGAAATCTTCCAAAAGCTGGAGATATACGACTCTGTGCCAGTCTCTACTCTAATAAGTTACCGTATCCTGGAACAGTTCTCCATCGAATCGTTTTATCAGAATTCCCTACGGGCCCTTCGGTACACTTCGACCCTGTGTTCTTTAGAATCATATAAACGGATCTGTTGTAATTCCTGGGTTGCTTTACTTCTTTCATTCTCAGGGCCTCAGATGGCGTTGCTTGATGGATAGGATTTTTTTTAAAGAAATCTTCAAGTTTGCGCGGTGAAGCTCACGCTGCAAACATAGACAATTTTTATATTCAAAAGGAAGTCAACACAGCTCGCCTTTTTCTCTGCGTTTGAGCGGCAAGCGGTAAATGTAATCTCCGTACTTAAGCACGCTTCAATATGTAGCGCGATGGAGATAGCAAGAGCAGTGCTGTACATCAGACTGTCGCCACCTCTACTTTGCGAAAAGGTAGTTAGCTATAAGTCCATAGCTGACCGGTGCGATAAAAGCACATTGAGTGTTATGGTTAGCACTTTAGTGTTCACGCCAAGTTTGCTGCCATTGCGTTCGTCGCTGCATATACAGTAGGGCGTTTGTACGGTAATAAGCGGGATAGTATATATTTCGGCTATCAGGTGTCACGATTGATGTATTAGTTCGGTCGCAGTAACATCAGTTTTCGCTAATCCGCCATTTTTTGCACCTGTCGCATGGATTAGATTATCAATTCCTTTGTGAACAAGGCTTTTTATTTCTCTTATGTACATGTGTTAGTAATACTCGTTATAACTGCCGATGCATAGGAGAGTTAATCCGAGCGATGTGTCTTCCTTCTATATCAAGCACAAGCACTGACTTATTAATATCTTTCCTTTAGCATTAACATTCTTCATCAGCAATCGACTACAGTCGACCCCCGTTAACGTCAACCCTCAGGGTACCTGCAAAAGTGTTGACCATATCGAGGGTTGACGACTACCGGGAGTAGCGAGATTAGGCAAAATGTTTATCCTTGCAGACACTAAATGAATCACCGCTTCCCGCCATTATAAATAACTTATGAGCGCGATTCGTATCTCTTTTCTCTCACAGATAGTGAGATTGTTCAAACAGTGACGGCAGTTGCTGAAGATGATGACACCCCAGATGTTGACGAAGAGCCAGTTCTGCAAAAAGAAGAGTATTTACTGCTAAAGACAAAGTTACCAACATCAACACATTTCTCGATATTTTAAATGAAGAGCAAGATCTACATGATACCGTTGTGAATGCTTCTAAGCAAGCCTCTTTGACAAATTATTTTGTACCACAGTCCCAATTAATGTAATCTAATTGGACAAGTTTCACCCTCGATAACTAGTCAACCCTCCTGAAGGTGTTGAAGTTGACCTTATGTAGAAGTTGAAGTTTTTTACTGCTAAATTTGAAAGGGTACCAGCGAATCAGTTGACGCTATCGGGGGTTGACGTTATCGGGGTGGACGTTAACGGGGGTCGACTGTACTCGAAAAGCTGCACCATTCGCACGCGTTCATCTGTGTAAACGCTAGGAATTCAGTAGTAATTAGGCGCACAGAAGCACAGAAGACGGTTTTCGTGATTGTGATCAAGCCCACCGTCTCCGCCGCCATGTGCCGTCATTTTCACCTTTGTTAATTTGTTTCAAATTGATCTATCATAGAAAACAGATCAACTGATAGCTCAATTTGCTTTTGATTCCTCTGCAGGAATATGCTGTATGCTATCAACAAGCTCGGTCGCATCGCATATGGCTTACTAATGTTGAATAATAACGTGAATACATACAGTAGGTGCTGTTTTGTTATACGCTTTGCAGGATGAAAGTAAAGTACTTTTATATTAGATTGTTAACAAAAATCAATTTCGATAGGAAGTCTTGGTTTCCTTTTATTTTAGTATATATTCTTGATAGACCTAAGAAACATTGGAGATATTAATAGTTTTTCGTTGACAGCGAGAATGCAATCGCTCAAGTTCGTGGAGCTTTCTGTGATTGCGAACGTTGTTTTGCGCGTGTTGCTATTGACTAAAAATGTGTTTTCGTCTGCGGATACTCCGGAAACACGTCGCACTTCTAAGATTGATGTGTGTGTTTTGTTACGCTGTGGTAAAGAAAAGGAAACAAAGGACATTACGCGTGTTGCGGTCTGAAGAATGTGACTCATCGCCGTGCGATTGTAGCCTTCTTTGTTTTTGTAGCGATTGTAGCCTTCTACTGTGAATTAGAATACTTAGTGAGCTGACTTTCAATCTATATTCATTTTTTTATAATGATTGATCTTTCAAAAATGTTGTTCAGAGTAGCGTGGTGTGCTTAATTTGGACGCAACGTTCAACTTCTTTATTGGTACCAACATGTCGCAGTATATATGGAAGTTCCTGGTTTAGTTCTTTCCTGTCCTCCACAAAAAGGAAGGCTGTTAGTATGGCTAACATGTACAGACGCAGTAACAGATTCGTTATAAAAAAGTCCTTCCCACCCATTAGATTACTTTCTTCTGCGAACATCGTATGAAGGAAATGTTTTCGACTAGAAAAATAATTGGATTAGCTTTCTGAAAGGCTTTATTCAGGGATTTGAAATTTCTTGATCCACGAGCCTGGCTTTTCGCTCGTATACAGAATACAGTCGATTGTGCAGTCGAGGTAAGCTTAGTATTTTTGCTAAGCATCCTTTTGATTCTTCAGTAAAGTGCAATATCCGGCTGGTAATTAGTAAGAAGAGTTTATTTTATGAGAATGTCACAAGGTAAGCACTGGGCAAGAAGAACAAGAAATGTGTGATATCCGCATCTGACACATCGTCACAAACTAGATTACTTTTATTCGATTGAAACTTCTTTAATGAGACCTTGAAGACGCCTTCTTTATTAAGCTACTGAAAATGACGACAAGTGCAGACGACAGAAGTATACGGATCGATCATATTTAATTTTTGGCTGGCATTAATTAATGTAGTAAAGCTGCGTACGGGAGTTATACTTTACAAATGCGTCTACTAAATTAAAGCGCATCAAGCTATGCTCCTGATACTGTGGAGCATAATAGCTGAGATGATAGCAATTCGCAAAAAAAAAAAAAATGACGTAATGAATGGACGTCTGTTGCTGGGATGATATTATCTAAATTAACAATAAGCACTTCTTTGTTGTTTTATAAAACTAACGGCACGAAGATACACCGACGCTTAAAAGGAATAGTACTTGTTTATTAAGGCTCATCACCAGCAAACATCCTCTTTCCAAAAACAAATGCTTCGTCTTCGTCGGCTCAATCTTAATTCTTGTGCATATTCCCGCAGTCAGAAGATGCGCCACTCATCAAGGTATGAGCGATCAGCTTAGCGAGTTCCTATACAGATCCTTGCAAGTTTAATAAGCTGAAAAAAAGGAGGTTGTCAAACACGAAAAATGCTAATCAATTTCAGGATTGACGTACGACGCGGGTGCAAATTTTAATTTATTTTCATTAACAGCAGTAGTAGCAGTCGTAGCAGTAGGTGTGGCGGCAATATCGGCAAAGGATCACCCACCAGCCACCACTTAATAATAAAATAATAATGATGACGTTAGTTTTAGCCATTTCACGTGTTTGCCCCGTTTGGGTCGTTGTAACACAAGAGCCTGCTCGCGAAAACACTCTTCCACGACCTTTCTTCATTTTGAGCTGTATTGCCACTAGATTTAAGTGTTTCAAGGGAAACATTTTATCGCTAGTGGTGAAGAGACTAAAAAATATTTTTTCTTGGCAATAATACTGCTAGTAAAAATTATCATAATCATCATCAGCGGCACCTTCATGAACTAAGAATAAGAAGAGGGCACCAGAAAGGCCCAACGAAGGCGTTTTCCACAAGAGGCAATATGGCTTCTGCCGTGAGTTCAAAACAAGCGTAGCCAAACCGGGAAACGATTGTCGGTCGTCCAAGTTGCTCACTCCTCCCATTTCACTCTAACAACAATAGCGCTTTTCATCTCCCTTCTCTCTCTTTCTCTCTTACTTTTTCCTTTTCGTTTTTGCTCAGAATGTCGAGTGTTCCACCATCACCAACCGTGGTCATGGGCGACGAACGCGGCAACAATCCATATCAGCACCAGGGTGCTTATGCCATCCGACCACGACAACCATCACTACAGCAGCAACATCCGCAACCACAGCCTCCGTCACCTGTCCCTATCACCATACCCGAAAACATCAAGAAAAGCTACATGCGACAGCAGCTGCCTGTCCGCAAACAGAGTCTAGCTGCAGCCGCAACAGCAGCCAAGGCCGTGAACGCGTTCTATACACACAGCAAAACAACCAGACATCCCAGTAACGCTAGCGACGAGTCAAACAACGATCCCACCACGCCACCGCCCATGTACTCCCCGCCATCCTTTTTTGCAGGCAAAAATAACAAGCGAAGAGACGAAAAGCACGTTTCGTTTGGTCCGGCGCCAATAGTAGTGCATTCATCAAGTGAATCCTTGCCACCTTTCTCTGAGGAAGAAGAGGAAGAAGTTGACGATGAGCTCGTGTTACACGCTAAAGCAGGTAAGGTTCTAATTTCTTACGCTCATTTTGTCATTTCACACACACACACAAGTTTTATTAAAATTTGAATAATTCTCTGTCTTTTCCTTATTTCTGATACAGATACCTCAGGCTATGATGGCCTTCATAATGCCGACGAGGACGACGATGACGATGAGGACAACGAGGAAGAGGAAGAGGAAACAGAAGCGCTGGTCGCTCAACAACTCGACCCACCTCAACAGCAACATCAACTGGCTGTGGTTTCACCTATGGCCTACGACACCGAAGATCAACAAAACGCCTTCTTTTCGCACTATGTCCAGCCGGGCAGCAAGGGTAGACGAGGCAACCACAGTAACAACAACACAGCGCTACTTTCATACGTCGCCTTGGAGATGTACAAACGAATAGTACCGGACGATGTCCTCAGAGACGGAGTTGAATACCACTATCTCTTTACGGGAAAAGAAGCTGTGGTACTGATTTAATGCCCTCTCTCGCTTTGGCGTTGCACAACGTATAAAAAAACCTAATTTCCAAGTCATGTTATTGTATAGGACCAAATTGTAGACATCTCTCAAGGAGCTGATCGGAACCGTGCATTGATGATCGGCCGTACGCTTGAATCGTTGGATGTGTTTCACGGAATTGACGGTGAACGACGATTTATGGATGCGTCCAGTGAGCTGTATCGGTTCACTGCCTTTACGATTGACCGTGCCAAAGGTAAAATAGAAAGGCTGAATTCAAGGATTTACCAAATAGCTGGTGCGTATCTGGAAATTTTATTAAAAAGGATTTGAAATTTAGATGGTAGCACCAACTTGGCCACAGGCGTCTTTACTCCACAGACGCCGTGCTACTCTCCTACATGCACCACTGACCGACCTTGTTACTCAAACTGCTGTCCCAAAGTGAAGAGGGTAAAGCACTTCTTATCTTGTACAAGCGGAGGGATTGCTTAGCTCACACATGCAATTTATCTTTTACTAGAGGATCAAACGAACACGGAGTCAGTATGCTCGCCCCGACAAGGTAGATTAATGGAAAAATAGAGAGAGACTTTTCTTGTATAGCTCACACAGACAATAGAGAACTTCACGTGCATTATGGGTCCACTCGGTACCAAAGGCGGTAATTGCGGCCACACCTCCCGAGGAACAAAAGCGTCAAGAGTGTATATACGAGCTGATCTACACCGAAGAAGAATTTGCCCGTGACCTCGAATATATAAACAACGTATGCACAGTGATCGTTTTTTAGAAACAGTGGCAAAAAATCAATCCATTTGACTTACGTATGACGACGGTCATTGTTCTTTATAGCACTGGATCAAACCGCTGTCAGCCAGCGACATTATTTCAGGATCAGATAAACGCAACCAGCTCGTGCAACAAATATTCTGGAACATTGCAGAAATTGAAAAGGTCAGCGCCGCCCTGTCATCCGCCCTGGTCCAACGACGAAAAGAGCAAGAAGTGATTGACATGATTGGCGACGTCATGATGGCCTTTGTCTATCAATTCGAGCCCTACGTCGCCTACGGCTCCCACCAAGTCATTGGCAAACATCACTTTGAGCTCGAGAAACGACGCAACCCGAAATTCGCCCAGTTTGTAAGGACCACCGAACGTAAGAAGGAGTCTCGTCGTCTGGAGCTGAACGGATACCTGACCAAGCCCACGACACGACTGGGGCGTTACAACTTGTTGTTGCGCGAAATTTTGAAACGGACCCCGCAGGGCAATCCAGATCGTGAAATTATACCTCAGGCCACGGATGCGATTGCTAAACTTTTGGAACGTGTGAATGAGGAGACGGGTCGTATTGAGCAACTCTTTACGCTTCAGCAGATTGAGGAACGAATGGCATTTAAGTCGACCAGCATTTATGTGGTAAGTACTGAGATAATCATTCAAGGAAAGTGGTGCGGGGTCTCGGTAGCTAACGGACCGAACCGGATGCAGGATCTGAAATTGCGGGACGCTGAACGGGAATTGGTCATGCAAGGCAAATTGAAGCGGAAGGGACACGGCTCGTCGGAGGACCTGCAGGTGTTTTTGTTTGATCATTACCTTGTTTTTGGCAAGATCAAGAACCACAATCATGTCGAGCACTTTAAGATCTCAAGAAAGGTATGTAAAAGCAGAAAGTCCTGGACGTGCAAACAAAAATTATAAACAGAAGTGGACTGAACACATCTTTGTACTATATCTTAGCCCATTCCACTAGATGTACTTTCCTTATCCATCGTCGATATCCCCTCCAATGGCAAAAGCCGACCAACCACGCCATCTTCTCTCACTACGCCATCACCGAGCATCAACTCCAATAGCTGCAGCAGCAACAGCAGTAACAGTATCGCTTCACCAAGACCATCCACATCATCCGAAACGTCAACGCCGTTGTCATTGAAACCCGTTCTCTCTTCCTCGTCTTCTTCCTCAACCGCTTCTAACAACGGTGTTGTCGGAATCATATTCTATCACCACGGCCGCAATGGGTCACCGCCCATGACCTTGTACACCAATTCGATGGCAACGCGGGACCTGTGGGTCGAAAAGATCCTTACACAAAAGGAAAAACTGATGCAAAAGCAACAGGAAGCAGTTATGCCTCTTACCAAACAGGCGTCAAATAGCAGCAGCAGCAGCAGTACTACTACTGGCAGTAGTGGTAATAGTAGTACCAATAATACCAATACCACATCTACGACTACCACTACCACCACGATTACCCCTGCCCCTACACTAGTAATTAACACAACCTAATTGAAAAACAAAAGAAAATAAATTATAATGCAATTTGCGGCATTTTCAGGTCGTTGTACTACCGGTTGTCAAGAAAACTTGCCATATACGAACACAAATGACGACGACCCGCACACACGGAAAAACATTCTTAATTGGAGTTTTCCTTTGGTGAACTATAATGAACCAGAGTGTTGTTGTAAATTTTATATAGATGACAAGAGAGATGCATACAAAGATAATAAATCAAGAGAGAGAGAAATCATAAAAATGCTGGGAATAATCTTTTTTTTTCTAAACAAAATGATGGGAAGACGATGCAGGGTTGTTACAAAAAAGAGTAATAGTGGTAGTAGTTTTTGGGGTATATGACGACGAGGTTAACAAGAAGAGAAGAATGAATGGAGTGCATAGTATGTAGTAAGAGTACACAGTGACGTGGAGTAGTAAGGAGGGTATGATGATGATGTTGATGATAATGTTATGATGATGATAGTGCTTCTAGTTGTTCCTGCTCAAGTAGAGCCATAAGAACAATGACAGCTGATCAATGTCTGGCATCCGGGCAGTGGTCTTCATGAGAGAACCTTGTGATGTCCACACCGCACTTTGGACAGAAATCAAAGTGCTCGTTATCATGAGTATGGCACACCAATGGCTGGAAGAAAAAGCCGATGTTATTGTTGCCAGTTGCCTTGATGATGTTCTTGTTTATGTTGTTCATCGTAAAGTTGGTTCTTAGAAAAGTTTGCAGTATGAGTCTTATATTAGAGAGAGAGAGAGAAAAAAAAGTAGAATTCAAAAAGAGGACAAAGAAAGCTTCTCGCTGCCCTCTCCGCGCTTTGTTTATATAGCCAAGAGAAGTACCGGAAATGGGAGAACCAGCGTTTAAATTTCCCGCTAATAACGCGTTGCACACGCATACACAGCACGACAAATCTAAAAAGACTATCGGCGACGATTGCCCGACGGATGCCAATTTAGCAAACAAACAAAGAAAGAAGCATCTTTAATACTTTAATCACGGGCGAGCGATATACAAAAGGCACCTCCTTAATCATCATAGCACCCTCCTTTTTCGCTTAAAGCCGAAAGTATGGATCTGGTGTGAAGGTGATGACACGGATGAATGAGATACAAGGTTTTAAGCTTTTTTCTTGTGTATTACTATGGGTAAACCCCACCTTCCCCCCCTTTGTTTCGTCCACCCGTAGGAAAGAGGGTGCTTAGAGATGGGGGGCATATGCAATTTGTCAAACTGTGGCACAAAAATGGCTTGAAAGGTTAATTGAGCGCCACATCCGGTTTGATTGGTCCAGTCATTATTGGGCTTCTATGAGCTGGTAACAAACCAGCCCTATACAAACGTTTCCATGTGTTCAGATATGCCGGTTTATTGGAGCGTGTAACCATGAACAAATACGATATGACGAAAATGACTGTATTACCATCCTAAACTATACCTTTCTCACTCAAGGCAGGAGTGGACCACCGAAGGGATTATATTTTAGTGTTAGATCAATCCTCCTTGTCGGCTGCTACAAATGTGTCACTAAGCCTTGTTTGATGGGATGAAAATAAAAAAAGCGAAAGTGCATGCCCTTTTTCTTGCAATCCACCCTTTCTTTCTACATGAACTCCGGCAATTCAGAGAGCTATTATTACGGAAAATGACATTTGGATTTGGTGAGACTGAAGGATACACAGGGCTAAATAAACCCATTATTAGTGCATATATACTTTGATAGTAAACCACGCGATATCTTTGACAATTTAGCTATCATTTAATACCACTATGCATCCGCGCGCGCTGCTGCTTTTATTGCTCGGTAACTATATAATGCGTTTTATTGTATGACACACGCGCGCGGAATAACTTTCACTGGCGGAGAGAAGAAGTGATCGAGAAATGATCGGAGAACATACTCCGTCATAGCGTGGTTTCTGCTAATTACCAAAGGGTGGCGCATGCTTTCCTTTTGGAGCATACATGCACTGAATCAAGCGGAACCCACTCTACTGACTGCAGTGACGGAATATATAGTCAAGAAGAGAGAAAAAGCCAATGATAAAGTCAGAGACCCTAATGCAATTTGTATATGTCCATAAATTTGGTTTCGACGACATTTGGTGGAATACTTAGCGGCTGCTCCTAGATAGTTACCAGCTACCATGCCGGCCGGTTAAAGTCGCGGGTAATTTCGCATTTAACCGGTCAATGAAGTATGTCACGGTTATAATGGACGAGTCTCCACTCAATTATGCCTGAATAAAGAAATGATGCGTTCTTTGTCGTGAGCTGCTGCTACTGTTTTCTATTCTCCTACAGTACATAACTTTTCTTATGTTTTCTGGTGCTACAAAGAGATGATATGAGAAACGTTCATATGTAATATTGGAGCATAATCTCAGCTAATATGTATTATACCCGAGCTGCTTTTGTATACATCAAGTAGCAGTAGGTATGTCTGGACATCAGTTTATTTGAATCGAACCTATACCTCGTTGATTACACTTCTTTTTATCACTAATCGTATCGTTTCCAGTGCCATCAATGTGGGCACTTACATACATACGACTCTGGTATACCGTGGTTCCCCTTTCAATTTCAACCTCAAAGGGGGTCTATGAAGTGCTGAAACTACCGAGGGTTGATACAAAACGAGGGTGATTCAATCAGTGTTATATGCTTAAAGGGGGGTATAGAAAAAAGTTCAAAATAACTGAGGGTTTATCTTATCGAGAGTGAAATTCAACGGGGAATCACTGTGATATCGCTTTAATGATATATTCAAGGATCTACCGTCACAATCAATACGGATCTGCTGTTGTTATTTATGTCCATCATCTCGGACGGGTCGCTCGACATGTCCGATATGCGTACCATAGGTTATAGAACACTGCAATATTCACACAGCAGCTAGTAGGATCTCATCGATGCTTTTGCGGCCATCGCTAGCTTTACACATTTGTCGATCAAGAACAATGTCTTAAGAAGGAGAGCAGAGCAAATTGATAGCAAGGAGAGAATAATGCTCGAGAAACTGATTGATAAGTGGCACGGCCATCGGCTTATCTGTATCAGCATCCAACCTCGAGGCTTTTCTTCAGTTGTCGTTGCATATACAAAAATACAGACATCCGCATAACGAATAGCTATTTTTCAATCAAATGCTTGTAATGTTTCTAGGAAACTAATCAATACCGTCCATTCAAATGTCTATAAAGGATAAGCTGTAGTCACACCAAAAATGCGGTTTTATGTACCGATTTGATGGGCTCGGTGCTAACGACGCGAAGAACCGCATTTCTGTTCTGTGCCCTTTTTTTTCTTCCGCAGACGCGCAACGCGACGTATTTTCTAAAATCACCCACAACCATGTCCACTTCTGAAAGTAATTCCACACAAAAGGCTCAAACACTTTATGAAGAAGGCACTCGTGCACTCTCTTTGAAGGATTACGAAACTAGTGTCGACAAACTCGGCAAAGCATGTCAGTTGTTGTAAGTGCAATGGATTCATTCCTTGCTTTTTTTCGAGAACGATCGCACGATCTTACTTATATTCTATCTGTAATGGTTAAAAGAGACTCGGCTCACGGTGAGTTGGCTCCTGCAAGCGGCGATGCTTACTTTGCTTATGGTCGAGCTTTGTTGCAAAGTGCCATTCAACAAAACACAGTACTGGGTGAATCGGGTCAGGACAACAAGGTTGACGTTGTCCCTCCTACAGCTCAAGAAGAAAATGCTGGTATGATACGAAATAGTACATTGTAATTTCGATAGTAAACGGGTAGTGACTCTGTTACGCTCTCTATCTCAATGTAGCTATTAAGAGTGGCAAGTTCCATTTTGAGGATGATGAAGTTCCCGAAGGAGATAATGATGACGAGGACGAAGAAGGCGAAGAAAACCGACAAGACGATGACTTTGAGACTGCATGGGATATTTTGGATATTGCGCGCGTCATCTACGAAAAATCTAAAGACAAAGAAACGCGACTTAAACTGTCGGATGTGCACTTGTGTCTTGGTGATGTCTCGATCGAAACAGGTAAAAGGAATCTAGGGGAAGCAAAGCAAAAGAAAAGAGAAAACTGAATTGTTTGCACCAACAAACGTTAGAGAAATTCGACAGTGCTTTGCCAGACTACCAAAAGGCACTGGATATCAAAAAGGAATATCTGGCAGAAGATGATCGCCAGTTGGCTGAAGCACATTACAAGTACGCATTGGCATTGGAGTTTTCGACAACGGAAGCAGACAAAGCTGGATCACAAATCAAGGCCGCCGTTGACGTTTTCAAGAAGCGTATCACTACACTAGAAGAAAAGGAACAAGGCAAAGGCAAAGGAAAGGCGTCTGCTGCAAATGCTGGAGATGCCACTATTGACAATAAGGAAATTCGTGAGATTGAAGGGTTAATTCAAGACCTGGAAGAAAAGGTAAATGACTCACTGATTGTTTTGATAGCTTATAAGAAAATGCTGCATGTCTGCTGAAGACTTCTGATTTATTTATTAGCTCGAGGAGTTGACCAACCGACAAAAAACAGAAAAGGAGGCTGAGGCACTGCTAAAGAGTTTCTTGGGTGCTCCATCGGCAAACAATAATGGTGGACAGCAGGCAGCGGCAGCATCTCTGGAAAATGTTACGGTGAACGATTTATCCACTATGATCAAGCGTAAAAAGCGTGCAAACGAAGATGAAAAGGCCGATGAAAGCGATAGAAAGCATAAGCGATAAATGATTCTGTATTCTCATCATGTAATTTTCCCCTGGTATATGTGCTCGCTCTTGTATTGTGGGCCTAAAACATAGAACGTCTTCTTATGCATTTATGGTTGCACAACAATGGGTATATAATCGGTCAAGCTCAAACTGATGATTTTCCAAGCTCTTCGCTGGCAGGGTTCTATAGAATCACTCACCCCGTTGAATGTATGACAAGTGAATTACATTGGTAGTGCCAGTGGGATGACGACATAGATTACGGCTCTATTGCCAAGGAGTATCAATTTCTGTATGCATATATAATGCTTACTTATAAAGGACAGCAACGACGATTCATTAGTAATCAGTTACAAATCTGCGCTTGTTCTCAAATATTTGCTATCTTATATTCAAGAAACAGTAAATGATAATGATAAACTGCTTGAAAGTCTATAAAGTGCTCGAGCACAACAGAAATGATCTGGCGAGGGATACATGTTCGATGGGATTATGTTATGCTAGATCTTTGGCTATAGTCATGGCGTTGCATGTTTGTCATCAAGAAAAAAGATCCGCAACTATTTAGCGTGATTTTCCCCGACCGACCGATGTCCCGACGAACCCTTTCTCTCTCTCTCCAGCACCTTCTCTCGCGCTTCCTTACCAAAAGAATAACTCGAAAATGTCTAACGAGCTTAATCCCGATCGCCCTCTTATTGTTGGCCCCGAGAAACCAGAAAGCCCTTATCCTCATTCCGTCGCTGGCAAGGTTGTTAGTGGGTTCGGTAGAGGTTCCAAAGAGTTGGGCATTCCTACTGGTAGGTTCTTAATAAGCGTTTGCCCACCCCCGCAGCTTTTGACATTAGGTTTAAACCCTCTATTTTTTTACCCACGTACACACACACTAAAAACAAATGTGACAATTATAGCCAATTTGTCAGAGGAAGCACTTGAAGCAATGTGTACAGAGTTTACCACGGGTGTTTATTATGGTTGGGTACAAATTGCTGAGAAAGGATCTGAAGTATACCCCATGGTGATGAGCTTGGGTTGGAACCCTTACTACAAGAACGAAAAGCGATCGGCTGTATGTATTACCCTGAATGCTATGCGACAACCACGACAACGACACTTGACTCTTTTATGCAGTATGGCTGACAACGGATTTGATATCATTGGATTATGTAGGAGGTACACATCATTCACGAATTCAAAGATGACTTTTATGGAATTGATATCCGCGTAATTGTGCTCGGATACGTCCGACCAGAACAAAACTATCCATCACTAGGTAATATACGTTTGCTTCTATGTCACCACATAATATTAAGAAAGTATATGACTAAATTTAAGCTTTTTTTGCGGAATCGATTCATAGATGCCCTAATTCGAGATATCCGGACTGATGTTGAGGTGGCCAAGACATCTCTTCAACGTCCAGCTTACCTAGATTTCAAGCAACACGAACTTTTTACGAAGCAGTAGATATGTTGGAAGAAAAGGGACGGGGCACAATATTTTTTATATATATAGATTGTACATAATATGATTAAATTATGTTCCGTTGTTTATACGTGAGGCTCGAAAAAAAGGCTTTGTAAAACAGTAAGTTTAGGCTTGGAAAAGAGTTTAAGTGTGGGATTGTTTTAATTCGTTCAACAGTAGGAGAATTGCGGTAGAGTAGGACTACATTACAACTATTAGCGCTTTACCGGGTTATACTGGCAGGGTTTATTGAAAGAAAAGCTGGGTTGAAATGGAATTATTAGTTGTAGCATTGGTGGATCAACTTTAATAATGGGGGTAGTGAGACTTCCTTATACAAGTCGAAAGTACTATGTAGTTCCTATTTTGACAAACACATAAGCTGATGGTTGACACGATTGTCTAACTACAGTACAGCGTAAGCCATGTTCATAGTAAGATGGTGGCTTCGCTATTGGTAAACACACATCGGTCATTTTATAAGATATCAAAAAGCATACCTGAATCTGCAAACACACGTATTAATGTATGACTCTACAGTAAACTCTCGTTAAGGTCACATCGATGGCTATGATTCATGTATTGGATACTGTAGACTCAATTGTATCGTGGAACTAAGCTATGACAGTTAAGTCAGATGAACAGCAAGAACCAGGAACCACCGCGTAGCACGTTACTCAAAAAGAAAAATAAAGACTGAGGATGAATAAGTGGAGCAAGACGATGGTGAGGGCGAGGAGAAGGAGGAGCCGATATAGTGAGTGCGTTCGTTTTGTGGTCTTTTAGCGTATTTCTGTATGAATGCTCAGCAAATGGATCGTTTCAACAACATTTAAAAATAAACAAGCATTATATAGACACTTTATTCCATTTTTGTCATTTTCTGCTTTTCCGAGACAATTGAATCGGCATGTACACCGCCCACCATCTTTGCCAAAAAAATAACCAAATCATTCATTTTACGAACGCCGAAAAATAATGGGATCTTGTTGGGAGCAGACAATTCAGGATGAACGGTTTTGCCGGATGCCAAAGGCTGACCGTAAGGAGTGGCTGGCTTGGGTGTTGCCATGGTAGCCATGATCACATACTGTAAAAAATTAGTTAGTTAAGAGTCAAATAAGTCTCATAGTGCGAAGAAACACATACGCTCGGGTACAAGATGGCAAACACAGCACCGGAGTGTAAGGTTGACAGGAAGAACGTCAACACAGTGATTGGCGTGCCTATTTTTCGTTGTTATCTTTTACGTGCATAAAATATAAAACTAACCGAGATTCCTGTTCTTGAACAACAGCGCATATTCATCCTTTCTCTTCTCTTACCGAAACCCAAAAAGTAAGCCCAGTGTTCCTCCATAAACGTCATGCGTTGTTCCAATGTCCATCCCATGTACAGCCACTTGTATCTGGAAATAATAAAAGAGCAAGGGTCGTTAAAGACTGGGCCATGACGTACTTTCTGGAAGAGGACGCGTTAAAGAAACTTACTCAAAGCAGTAATAAGACATGATGGCACAGTTCATAAGAAATGCAAGCAAAGTACCGACATGCGGGATCATACTGCGCAAGAGACCAGCAAAGACGCCACAGTTCATATAGAAAATAACAGTGTAGATCATGGATGCCATGCTTTGTACGATGTTTGTAGAACCAGGCGTTGTGCGTGGATTGTTCTTGGCTTGGAGTTGGAAAGCCTTTTCAGCTATAGGTGTAAAAAACTTGCCGTTTATGCCAAGTGTTCCAAAATACAGTGGAAATCCTGTGATAGTCTGTTGTTGTTGAAAAAGAAGTTGTATCAGTTTATACCGCCCATCATCTTAGTTAGCTTGCCAACTCGGTGTACGCCATAAAAAATCATTACTGCTTTTTTTTCTTACCGCATAAGAGCAGCCGAATATACGATGTTCTGGTGCATTGTAGAAGATTTCTAGGAACAGGACGCCACCTAAAAATATAATGCCGTTTATGAATAAGGCTTTAAACATTGACTTTTGAACGGTCGAAGACCTATGTAATGTAGTAATACGAGTATTATTTAAATGTCAAAAAAAAATACCCTGACCTATATACCACGCAAACAAGTGAAGTATGCTGGCGAGTCAACTTACGAGTAAAAGAGAATAAAGGTCTTTGGCCAGTTGAACGCTTGCTCGGCGCCATTGAGAAAGTAATTCCAATGCTGAGAGAGTGGAGATTGCGTAGATGTGGCCATTGCTTTCTGGATATCAAGACTTGAAAGGCGCGTGGGCTGGACTGAATTCTTCACGACCGGGAGAGAGGGAGAGCGGCGTCGGGGTTGCTGCATGATTCGGGAGTCGTGCATATTTGTATCGTGCCCATCATCATCCCCTTGCGCGTTTCAATGGAACTCTGTACTTAGCGATCATGTATATTGCCGAGTAGCAAGGATTAAATGTAAGTAATGATTATGCTGTTTATTGATATATACAGGGGTTACAAACTAATGGTATTGTGCGTATTGATTGTAGTTGCTGTACTGGTAATGACCGTGAGCATCGGCGGTTTGGTTGCTGTGAGTTACTGAAACGTAATACCGGTTTATATATTGCTGCGCTTCCTCTGTGAATGGCATATGTAAGAATGAGTTAGAGGCCGTAACTCAAGCGGTAGAGAAACACTTACCTAGATTCTGATTAAGCATTTTCGCTTGCTTTCGCGCCCTGGTTAGTTCTTCTTCCATTTTCTTTGTCTCCTCTTCTGCCGCTGCTAGTTCTGTTTTCATAATGACGTGTTCCATGCTAATTTTACTATGCTCCAATTCGAGACTTGCATACTAAACAAAATCCAAATGTGCAATAAGAGCAAATGAGCCAACGCATAGTAGCCAGTTTCATCCAAAGTTTCTACACTACGCTAAGAATGCTAACCTTCCTTCCGAGATCTGAGATTTCATCTCGCATAACTTGGACTTCTCGTTGTTTCACAATCAGTTCCTGTTCTTGGTTTTGTCGAAGACCATCCGCTTGTGCCTTTTGAACATTAAATGAGATTTTCAGCTCGTCAAGTGCTTTACATAACTCTTGATTTTCGGACTTCAAAGCTGCTGCAGTACCGGCGCTTCCATTGCTTTGTTGCAGCTGTTGTCTCATTGTGTTATTCTCTTCTGTCGCGTGGTGTAGGTGATTTTTCAAACCCTCAACCTCCCGCATTAGTGAAACGTTACTATTCAAGCACCCTGTCAACCTTTGCTCAGCCGCCGACAGCTGCGATCGAGTTTCGGCGAGGTCCGATTGAGTTTTTTCGTTTTTGTGCTGCTGTGTCTTGAGCTGACGCTCAATGTCTTCGATATCGATAGGGGGGGACCCTTCCTGAGTAGCAGTAGTAGTACGCACCGATTCCAACATCGGGGTGGCGGTGCTCTTTGACAGGTTAACGGCCTTCATGACCAGTTCATAAAGTCGGAGAAAATCTTTGTTCGGACCGTTGTTGTTGCTGTCCTTGTCAGAACCTGTGCTCATGGCTCGTTGCGATTGTTCTTTTGCTTGTAGTTCCAACAATGCTGAATTTTCAGCCTGTAAAAGTTTGACCTGGTATTGGAGCTCCTCATTTTGAATAGTTTTCTGAGCAATGACTTTTCGACCCTTGGTAATAAGGCGTTGAAAGGCGTCGCGTTGGTCGTTTATGACACAGTGGCAGTCGTCCAGGGCATGGGTGACTTGGTCGAGTGTAAGTGAGTCGCTATTGCTGCTTCTACTACTGCTGGTTTGGCGTTGAAATTGATCATATGGAGCAAGGGGAGCACTGGTGGTGTTTGCAAAGCCGTTAAACATCTTTTTGACAGTTTGACGCGGAAGAAGTAAGAGAGGAGTGTCGTCAAAGAAAAAAGGGCGCTGCGTTTTTTTTTAAAACGCGTTACTCGATTACAGGTTATGTACCCTCAAGTGAATTCATTGTTTATGCTTTGTTGATGGACCCGCATATTGCATCAATAGGTGTAATAGTATGTTATTTTGCTTCCTACTGTGGAGGCTTTTGATCGGGAGTACATACTATCCTTACGAAATCCAGACTGCATGATGATTTAATGACCAACGAAGAACAGTGTTTGCTAGGTGATAGACCATAGCGCGAATCAATCATTGTGTTTTTCTAGTTGATTGACAATGTATAAAGTGAATGGATCACAAATTGAGGCCACATAGAATGGCACGGTCCACTGCAAATTGAAGGCTTGTGTCTGTCGTTTTTCTGTGTCGATCGGTTGCCTTTCTTGAACGGTGGTACAAGGTACAAAATCGGATTTGCGGAAGCGACATTTTGAAGCGACATGAAGCTTTTTACAGCTCGTAGGAACATTGACCGTCGACCAACATGGGATATTCGTCTACCGATGCCTGTAAATCAAAGGTAGTCAAAAGGAATGTTTCGAATATTGATCCCTTTGGAACACACATGCAATATGTCTAATTGTAGTTCAAGTGAAAAAGAAAGCGAGCTCGTCGTCCTCTGTCCACTGCAATAGGTCAGGGAAATGCTTACTATGCACTATACTTGGAAAATCTTTAGCTGGTCCATAGAGTACCTTCAGGCGCTATTCATAACCCATCACTCTTCCGGATCCTACACAACGAAGATGCAAATGTTTCCTCCTAAAGTGTTGCGTCATGCTTTCAAGCTGTGTGACGTGAACTCTTGAGACGAGCTGTGGATACGATGTGATATCCTATGCTGGTCAGCAGACCAGACTATATGAGTTTCCGACGAATTACCACAAAAAAGACCATTTTATTATTTTAATAATAAAGATACTGTGTAACAAATATTTCTTATAAAGTACCATAAAAATTGTGGCGAGGCAAAAAAAAAGACCCCACACAATGATATTGTATATCAGCATGGGTGTCGCAACGAGAACTCACGTCTTCCTTTTATAGTTAACCTACTTTTCGGTACGCGCGTTCTTACCAAGATTTTAAAGTATGCAAGCAAGGAACCCTTTGTTTGTTCTCTCGTACCAAATTTAACTGAATTCACTTTCTTCTTCCACAAAGAACTCCCGGAACAGGTTCGAGGTAAGAGTTACTTGGATGAGGGGCGCCTCTTTGCGATTGTCAGTATATGATTCTAGCTTTGCCTTAGTAGCCGCATGGACACGTTCGCGACAGTACGGCTGTGGGGGCGGGGGAAGAGGTGGCGACGGAGCGGATGAGAAAGCGGCAGCAGGTGGTTGCTGTTGTTCTTGGTGAATAGAAGATGACGCTGCAACTTCATTTGTTTTCGTACGCTTTGGCAATGACTGCTGCGGCATCGACCCTAGTAATGGCCGCAAAGCGAAAGCTGTTGTTAGTACGCATGCATCTGTATAGCAGTTAAGAGAGTTAAGAGACACTTTATTGCCTAGTACTACCTGTGTTTAATTGTTCAGTTTCGCCACTGTCATTCTCGCGAGGACGCTTTCTGACCAGTGGCAGAGATGCTGATGCTAATGCTTGTTCGTTTAGCGTTCCTCGCATACTTGGTTGATTTCCCGAGGTATCGACTGTAGTAGGGCGCGTTTCTCGTGACGCTGATAATGAATCGATGGAAGAAGTGCCTGTGGCAATACACTCTATATCAGAATGAGCATTACATAACAACTGTTCTTTATCGACCCTAATGAACCCCTTCCAGACTAACGTTCAGAAGCGTTTTCAGCGCGCTCCTCGGTCACCACAGGTGCACCCGTTGTTTCTTCAGCTGCTAGTTGTGGTCCACCAAGTTGGCTCGAAGAAAACGTCGATGATTTTCCTGTTTTCAATCGTTTAGAACTTTTTTCTTCTAATGAAGACGCTGAGGATTCCGAGAAGATATGCAACAAATGTTAGTATGTGTTTAGAACGAGAAAAGTGATCACATTTGCTGCAGTGACATACATGTGCTTTGGTTTTGCGAGTGGCCCGTGTTGGCGCCACTGTCATTAACATTGAATGTATGTTCCAGAAGTTCGGGCTGACGACCGCGCTTCCGGCCTAAATAATACGATGTTATTGTTATTGTCTCTGTTGTTGGTTCTTCTTGCTCTCGAGCCTCTGAAGCAATAGTAGTAGTAGTAGTAGTAGTAGTAGCAGGAGCAACTTCAACCGGAAGCGAGGACGACGGGTTGTCTATTATATCATTACTAATATAAGCATCGTAGTCTGTTTATATGATACCTTTTTGTTCGATTAACAGCTTTACCTTGAATCTTATTCGATGTGGTGGGTTCAACTTTGGCAGTGGAATCAATATTCAGTTGCTCAGTTCTTTCTGGCATAAGACAATCAATGTCTTCTCGAGCCTTTGAAGCAATAGTAGTAGTAGTAGCAGGAGCAACTTCAACCGGAAGCGAGGACGACGGGTTGTCTATTATATCATTACTAATATAAGCATCGTAGTCTGTTTATATGATACCTTTTTGTTCGATTAACAGCTTTACCTTGAATCTTATTCGATGTGGTGGGTTCAACTTTGGCAGTGGAATCAATATTCAGTTGCTCAGTTCTTTCTGGCATAAGACAATCAATGTCTTCTCGAGCCTTTGAAGCAATAGTAGTAGTAGTAGCAGGAGCAACTTCAACCGGAAGCGAGGACGACGGGTTGTCTATTATATCATTACTAATATAAGCATCGTAGTCTGTTTATATGATACCTTTTTGTTCGATTAACAGCTTTACCTTGAATCTTATTCGATGTGGTGGGTTCAACTTTGGCAGTGGAATCAATATTCAGTTGCTCAGTTCTTTCTGGCATAAGACAATCAATGTCTTCTCGAGCCTTTGAAGCAATAGTAGTAGTAGTAGCAGGAGCAACTTCAACCGGAAGAGAGAACGACGGTTTGTCTATTATTATATCATTACTAATATAAGCATCGTAGTCTGTTTATACCTTTTTGTTCGATTAACAGCTTTACCTTGAATCTTATTCGATGTGGTGGGTTCAACTTTGGCAGTGGAATCAATATTCAGTTGCTCAGTTCTTTCTGGCATAAGACAATCAATGTCTTCTCGAGCCTTTGAAGCAATAGTAGTAGTAGTAGCAGGAGCAACTTCAACCGGAAGCGAGGACGACGGGTTGTCTATTATATCATTACTAATATAAGCATCGTAGTCTGTTTATATGATACCTTTTTGTTCGATTAACAGCTTTACCTTGAATCTTATTCGATGTGGTGGGTTCAACTTTGGCAGTGGAATCAATATTCAGTTGCTCAGTTCTTTCTGGCATAAGACAATCAATGTCTTCTCGAGCCTTTGAAGCAATAGTAGTAGTAGTAGCAGGAGCAACTTCAACCGGAAGCGAGGACGACGGGTTGTCTATTATATCATTACTAATATGATCATCGTAGTCTGTTTATACCTTTTTGTTCGATTAACAGCTTTACCTTGAATCTTATTCGATGTGGTGGGTTCAACTTTGGCAGTGGAATCAATATTCAGTTGCTCAGTTCTTTCTGGCATAAGACAATCAATGTCTTCTCGAGCCTTTGAAGCAATAGTAGTAGTAGTAGTAGCAGGAGCAACTTCAACCGGAAGCGAGGACGACGGTTTGTCTATTATTATATCATTACTAATATAAGCATCGTAGTCTGTGTATACCTTTTTGTTCGATTAACAGCTTTACCTTGAATCTTATTCGATGTGGTGGGTTCAACTTTGGCAGTGGAATCAATATTCAGTTGCTCAGTTCTTTCTGGCATAAGACATTCAATGTCTTGTAAGATTGATGCGAAAAATGGGTTTGTAAAAGACGAATGAATATAAATGTCAACGGTCGTCGCACTGCCCAGTTGCGATTGCGTGCATGTACTTTGGGTAATTAAAGAACTTATGGTTGACAATTATTATACCTGTGTCCCTCAACGCGTCGGGAGGTGTGTCGTTTCCAAACACGTTAAGTCCAAGTGCCTTTAAAGTGAGTTGTATTATATTCGACATTGTAGCTTTGTCGGTTGGAGAATGGAAGAAGAGTGACAGCTCAAAGGTTGTTTGACACGAGCGAAGATAAAAGGGCGATGGGTCTTCAAGTTGCTGCGCACCACATGACAACACATGAAAAATACATGCTGTACGAGGAACTAGAACAAAATGCCTGGACTGCGAAAAAACCATGCGTTTGATTATGTAGATCGGCAGGATGGTGGCCTTGTTAGGGTTAGATCCTTACAAGGTGCAATGTCGCTGCCCTGACTTCATCCGACGAGGCTCAACATGCGAATACATGTATTTGTTTAACAGGGTAGAAGATGTTTCCTTGCCACCTGTGCACCGGTCATCCGCTGTCCCCACTTCCACCGCCACAGAAACAGAAGCAAGTCCATCCCAAGAAGCAATCTTTGCAAAGGTATATTATATATATATGATGTGCGCTATCCATATTGTCACTAACTTTGTAATAGATTCCAGGTGACCTTTCAGAAACTATCCAAATAACAAACCGGTTGGCAGGTGTGACAATTCCAACTTGATGAGTTGTTGTCTAGGAGGTAGAGAACGAACAGCCCGATAGTGATGCCCTGCAACATCATCGTTTTTTGCGACTGCTACCTGGCATGTTGTTTCGTCGGTGAATGTCATTTCATAAAGATTGCTTTTTATCACGGTGGTACGCTCTGCCATATCAACTCCGTATAGAACGCCTAAAAATGGGCCGAGTGACCCATAAAGCAAAAGTGTCATCTATGAGGGGCCCCTAATTAAATACCAGCGACAGTACAGTATGCAAGACTTGATAAGAAAAAACGCGAAGTCGGCACATGGAGGGAGAATTATAACGAAGTCCTCAACTTGAAAAAAAAGCGGCCAAGTCATATATTTATAAAATCGTCTTTGGTGATTTCTTTCGTTGGATGTGTTGTGCTCCCAAGTCTTCAATGTTGACCATGAATTCTCAAGAGACTGGGAGACTTGGTTTATGTAACGAGCAGCAATGGGCAAATAGTAATCTGGTGACCTTAAGCTCAAATTGAGAGCGGCTCTGTCTAAATATGGACACGTATTGCACTTAGGCCTGTACCGGTCCGTGGAAGGCGGCTGGTTCAAAGGCAAAAGACTTGCTGTACTCACGATGCCCAGCATGATAACCACCAAGAAGGATACGAAACTTTAACGCGCTGTATCGATTTCGGCGCTCTCCATAATCGCAATCGCGATTTTTATGTTACCTGGCAATCGATGGGTGTTTATTGCAGATATTGCCACGCTCAGGATCACACCCGATCGCCCTGATCCCGAATGCTTCAACTGTTGTTGTAAAGGTCATATTTCCATTGCATGTCCGCAACCACGAAACAGCTACCCTCGCAAAAGCGCCCAAGACGAACCATCCAACTGAACCATCATCTTCACGCAAGAAGTTCAAGGTGGCTCGAACCACTTCGATTCCAAGGCAGCACAAGCTCAAAGCAAGGAGCGAATTGCTAGTGAGCGTGGAAAAGTTGCTACCAAGGTGTAATGTCCAAGGCTGTCAAATGGATTAATCACAAAGATTTTCGGCTGAACACCATTACCACCATAAGATCTCCGTCATGTCATTATCGTGCAGTTTACCGTGGAGAACAGCCGTCAGAATACTACTTTGAACACTCAAACAATGGCGAGCCTTTTGGAACTTTGACCTATCGACAGTCAGAAATGAATGATCTCGCACGTTGCTTGGAAAAACTATCTTGCCGCTTGACACTGGCTACTATACTTCCTCACGAATTCGACAACAGTACCTGCCCAATATGCAAAACGACATTGACGATGCACCAGGAAATGAACGATCTGGGTGTCAGTTCTCTCATAAGTACTGCTGATCAATATATCATGCGAAATACTAACAGAATGGCATCTTCTCTCTACAACTCCCGTCGAAACCGCCGCGTCCATTGTCACACTACTTTATGTATTCACAATTAAATAGCTTATATGCACAGTCATGTAGACCCTTTTAATTTCATATACTCAAGCTTTTATATCCCTTCCTCATACCGCTTAATACGTAGTCTGTACATAAAAAAATCGACGCTTTTTTCAGCGCGCCTAAAAAATTATATACATGTAGGGCTGTTATTGTATAACAGTCCTCTCATCGATTCCTACTAGCGTACTCGTCAAAATACTCAATTCATTATAGCTGAACTAATCTTCTCGCCATGTCGAGAGTTATATAGATGCCTGACTGTGCACGTATCCCACATTAACTTTAAAAAGTGCTCACTGAGTTGTCCTCTCGATACATACTTCACAATGCGCGAAACAAGATGCTTGAAAAAGTGCTGTAAAAGACAAATCAAATATCCTTAGGAGCTATCGATGTAAAACTACGCAAGAGCAAGTGATCCGTAATATCTTCAACCGAATCTTTCTTCTTCTATCTCGAGAAAGCCAATACAGTACCCGCTCGTTAAAGCGATCACCTTTAACCGATATTTCGTTAAACCAATCACTTCCCCAATATACCAGCTTGGTAAGCAGTATGTATGTCATATAGTGGACCCTCAATCTTTAAACCGATCATTCGTTAAACCGATCACTTTCTCGAAAAACAGAGGTGATCGGTTTAACGAGCGGGTAATGTAAAACGAATACAGTATTTTTCTGCTTACATAGGGTTTAAAGGTATTGCACCATCCTACATAGTATCATCGGACATGGTTTTGAAAGGCTGTATCAATATCAATGTCGCGCTTCCTTCGGCTATCATTCTCCCGGCATACGATATACACCTCTTCAGTACCTGAAAGCTCATATTGAGGGTATGAATGCTGCTCTAACCAGCAAGTGTTATAATGCGAAGAGCACTTGGCCTCAGGATGTAAAGAAGGTAAACAGGTGAATTTTTTGCATATCAAATAAAACATGTTGACTTTAGCGTACGTTGCTATGCTTATTGTAAAAACAACGAGAGAGACGCTTAAACATAAACATTCGCCTTGAAATATCTGCTCGCTGTGATCATAGTTTATGAGCGAGGAATATTGTAGTGATGATGGTGCTGCGGTAATGGGATAATCCATCTTGCATGTAGTGCGATTTTAAGCGCGCATCGGAGCTTTTCAGTAACGTAAGCAAACAAAAACGAAACTTTGGCAGCTCCCTGCTTCTCCTCTTTTATATTTTTTTTTGTGACAAACAAAAATGACAGCAGCCGAAAACGCAAAACCACCAACGCGTCAACAACGACAACACTGCTGGAAGTTACGCGACGAATACTTTGCATGCCTCGATAAGTTATCCATTGTCGATCCTGTCATTGTCGAAAAAGAACCAACCAAGGCCAAGGAATGTCTCGAAAAGAAATCACAGTACGAGGATGCATGCATGGCAAGTTGGGTAAGTTCTCAAGGTCATTATCTTCAATCAACCCTTCTTTATAACACAGACATTATGTATATCTTTTTGTATAGGTTGAATATTTCAATAAACGACGAGTACTGGACGTAAAACAGCGCGAATATCTAGAATTCTCAAAGCAGCAATCCGGCAAATAAGCATTTGTACATATATAACAACACCACCAACAACAACAAAATAACATGGTTTATTACTAGTATCCCTATACACTCGAACCACACATTATACATTTTTGACATTCTTGTAATACCAGTTCTGTTAATGATTCGGGAGGATGGGTCCCCTTTGGTATTAAGCTCTTTTCTCCACATAATCCACATACGCGCAAATTGCTAGATGCCAATACACGATGTGTCATGCTGCAACAGCCTATATAATAAAGCCATGACTGATAAGCATATCATCTATCTCGACGACAACGACGACAGCAGCAAGCCTACAACGGACAACACTTACCCCACATGTGTAACGACGGACATACAGCCAAACGGTCGCCTTTGATAGTAAGCAATTGTTGGCAACCTGGACATGTCTCTCTTCCCGGTAATGGTTCTTTTAAATCATTCCCATCCAGCAAATCTATTGCAGTGTCCATCTCTCGTTGTAGCAAAGCCTTTTGTGAAGGATCCGATATATACGACTGGATAAGATCTTTGCAGGTCATTTGAACTTGTTCCAGGGCAAACAGGATGGGCTCTTGTTGTGCAAGAATACGATCACAAAATAGCAAGATGACCATGATATCCTCATCTATATATAAATAGCAGTTATGAGTTAATATATGTACGTATCTTTTTACGCTTCAACCAAAGCTACTGTACACATACCATTCAGTTTTTGAAGTCGGTTTTTGGGTAGATTAAGGATATGATCCAGTGTCGTAACAGCAAATTGTTGTTTGAGAAATGATTTAGCTTTGCTGCAAATACTGGCTAATTTACGTGAAGCTTCTTCTGTTAGATCGTAATTTTTGAGATCCAACTCTGCACGAACGAGAATACGGGCTGCTGTCGTTCGTTCATCAAAGAATAATCTCCTTGCTAATGAATCCGTACTAATACTTGCGTTTCGGAAAGAAAAAAGACAGTTGAGTGATCTATTCTTTTCAATTGTTGCTACTACCACCTAAATGATTTTTCTTCCCGATTTACCTTTTGTTATACTGGCCTTGAGACATGAGTTCATCCAATTTCTCTAACCATCGAAGCACTGCTTTATTATCGTCTTCATCCACGATATATTGTAGTGACTCGTGAAGTAATTGTTGGACAGGCGAAGTAAAGACTATATAATTATACAATATTTTGGTCAAACATTTGCTTTCAGGTTGTTCCTTAAAAAAAGAGAGAGAAAAAAAAACTTACAAAATTCAGGATCCTTGGCATACGTTTCGACCGTATCACATATTCCTTCAATAATTTTGTCATCTTGACGCTCACGATGTAACAAAAAGCCCAGATAAATAAGATCAGTGTAGCCTGAGCCATAATAGTTTATATCCCGGCTTGAACGAAGCCTAAAACATATATATAGAAATGATAAAAAAAGCGTGTGTGTGTGTTAATAAGCGAGAAAAGGAGAGACAAAGATGAGCGATGCATGAGACGAGAAAAACTCACGTAAAAAGCACTGCTGTGAATAAGCCAGTGGTTGTATGTGCCGTAGACCATAGTTTGGGCGTAACAGCATTGGCTGTAGCTAATGTTTCTCGATCCATCTTGTCCTGCTCCAAAATCCATTGATGGTTTGCTTTATTTACGAGTCGTTCGTTGGTCTGTGCTGATACTGGTTTGTTGTACGTGTATTTGGCATGGTCATCGACGTCTAATACTACACATTGTAGATCATATGTATACATTTGTAGCTGTGTTCCATCAGTCGCCCATCTGGCGCCTGGAAATAAAACACGATTATCCATCCATCAGGTTATTCAGTTGCTGCTGGTGGCGGTTGTGCCGAAATCATATGAGGACGAGAAATGCGTCGTTTCTCACCTGATAAACCCATTACTGTGTGCTCGAGATAATATTCTGATTGATGGTCGGCAATATCGTCGTCGTCATCGAGTATCATTGACAAAATATCGACACGTGCGTTTTTACACAATGCTACCCTGATCGTTTTACCGTTTTCGCTTTTCTAATAGAGAAAGTGTGAGATGCGGTAAATACTAGGAAAAGTTTAAGAGCAATGTTTGTTCTATAAAAAAAAATGTCTTTTCTTCACCAGATTATCCCAAATGGATAGAACGCTGATAGTAGCAGGATCAGACTCGAACCAAGTCTTGGCGACAGTTGCCACTACAGACTGAATGACAGTTTTACCAGCATCATCCGCTGATACAACTACTTCCACAGTAGATAGTGCAGCTGTTCCATCCGTACACGTCGAAATTAAATATGCCGTGTCTATAATGAGCCCCACAAGTTCAAGTGTGCATGTGTTAGCGCCTTCCTTTTTCTCTCAAGTATACACATCACACATCATAAAATCATGAGCAAAATAGACACATACGTTTGCTACCGTGAATTCGCCAGTGACTCCATTCGACCAAGTTGACAAAGGATTGGTGCGGTTGAACAGTGGTGCAAAACTGTGCTCCTGATGCAGAATGATAACTAAGAACAATCAAGTCAATACATGATACCAATATGAGCGATATAATTCACGTCATTATGCAGTAGCCATCGAGACGAAAAAAGGAGTGGTTACCTCCAAAGTGTAATTTCGCCAGCCTTATTACCCAATGCAATCAGAGCAGGTTTCTCGTTGAAAGCATCAGGAATGATACGCGGCGACCATGCACAACCTATATTAAGCCCGTTTCCGAAAAGATAGTTAGTATGTAGTCATATACGAGTGTTTTCTTTTCTAACGCCTCAACACATAGACGCAAATGAATAAGAAAGATTATTTACAAAGGGTATGAAAACGGTCGAGTTCTTCCAGCGTATCGAATCTGTCTTTCGATCCCAAGACATGGTCTTTTATTAAGGGGGTCATATCGAGGCACTATGTACATGCATATTGTAGTTAATAAAGGAAACAGATAAGGTTTTTTAGTAGACGTATCAATTGCCATTTTCAAATTTGCCATGACTAAAGTCGCTCTCATTCTTCTTACGGTTTCAAAATATTCTCTTGGATTGGGCGCACTGTATAATGTTACTTGATGTTGTGTTGTTATGACCGCTAATATGCACCTATAATATGTGCGCGTTAGAAGAAAACAATGATGCATGTGTTCTGAACTAGGCGACAAGTTACCTTTTCATCTGGGATAATCCAGTCGGTGACCATCGTGCACAACGATATGCTTCTGCTATCAGAAAACTGGATTGTACAGGTTTGTCTTTGACTATACAGAAAGAGGGATAAGAAAGCATGGATTAGAAAGAAACAAAAGAATACGCGCTTTCGTTTTCTGTGGTGCGCGGATGTGCGACACGGGTATTCGCGCTTATGTTCGGTTGGGCTGTAGCGTTGTACTAGAGCGATCGACCGGTATCAGGATTGTGTAATGACTTACGAACCTGTAGTTTCTGCAGGCGCGTCCGGATTTCCTTTACGTAACTCGATTAATCCGGTATGAACATGAGCTTCCTCTTCAGATCGTAAATCGACAAATGTAGGTGTCTGTTTTTTAACACGTTAACGCGTGGTTTTAAGAGGCGTGTTCTTGGTTATATAGATCTAATCGAGGCGAGACAGAAAGAGGAGAAAGGAGATCAAGTATAAAGAATAGTCGATATAGAGTGCATACCACAATATGAATTCCGGTTCTTAAGCAAATGGCGATCTGATCGTCTTCACTCCACTGAAGTGCGTCATGGAAATAGGGTTGGCCGAGTAAACTGATAGCAGGGCGAAATTCCATTATGGATAGTGTGAGAAAGGGCTGTCTCCTCCCCTCCCCTCTCTCCAGCTGACTGGCTGACAACAAAAAATAATCAGACAGTAGATATGCAAACACAGCAAATAAGTTTAACAAGCAAGAGCAGCACACACTTACACACATATCTGCTGTCGAGAGTTACATACTGGAGTCATGTAATTCAAGTTAATCAAAGAAAGAAGATTACAGACGATATATGCTTACAAGCTAATTGAGGTAAGGGAGAAAGGAAACTATGTAATATTATGTAGATTTTTTGGTCCAATTGTATTTGCCGACCCACAACTTTTCTTTTTGTTCTTCTAAGATGGCGGCCAAGCCGGAATAGTACGCGCCAAGGCCAGCAAAGAATGCACTGACACCTGTTTTACAAGTGCGTTAGCATGTAGTATACATACTTAGCGAGTATAAAGTAGTACTTACCACTGACGCGTAACACTGCTTGTGTATCGGTGATGTAGTAGATGGCAGTAAGGAATAGCGTGATGAACACCCAAAAGAGACACCTGAGGCATATTACACACGAGGTATTAGGTATTACATAGTATGCGTGCACACAAAGAAGATTGAAAAGGAACTTACCAAGTCAAGACAAAAGAACCAGAGCGGATTTTGAGGGAGAGACCGACCAGCATGAGAGTATAGAACGCCCAAAAGAAATGGTAGATAGCATTGCCTTGTGCAACATCCCAATCTGTTGCATAAGCGTTCAAGGTGGCTGATACAGACGGTAACATCATCATGCCTGAACCGGCCCAGAACGCACCGTATGATACAAGGATAGTGCCAGAGAACGTGCCACCGTAGAACAAATCCAGAAATCTGTGTGTTATCACGGAATGTTAGCACAGTGCGACGTTTTCTTACAGCCGTTAAGATAAGAGAGTTAAGTCTAGTAGTAGTTGTTGTTGTTACCCAGCAATGTACTGTGCAATACCGCCAAAGAGCAATGCGGTAGGAAGGAGGATGTGGTTGGGCTTGTGTGGCAAGAATAAATTATAGGCTGCCAAAAGCAAGGTAACTGTAGCGAAGGACCAGAGGCCAAGGACGGCTGGGTTGCCCATTGTCAGTGGACGACGATCGGACTGGCCGTTGACCAAGGGAGAGGCGCTTCGGGTCAGCCATTCCCAGTCTGTCATGCCTGGTTGGCCTCCTCGTTGGCCTCCTCCGCCGATAAATGGAGGTGGTGTGAGCGGTGGTGTGCTCGAGCCTCCTGCGTTGGTGACGGTCAGCTTTCCGTGGGAGTCTTCCATGGGTCGAACTGGCATAGGGCTCCGTATGTCAGTATTACCGTTAGCTTGGGTATTGAAGCGTTGTCGTTGACCGCCGCCCCGTTCCAAGTCTTCTGGGTGCTCTGCCCCAAAGGTCCAATCTGTTGTGCCCGGTGCTGGTGGTGCAGACATTCCGTATGCTATGCTTGCGTGTGGACAGAAGTAATAAAAGTGAAAGAGGAAAGCGGGAAGAGTGAGAGGGTAAAGAAGAGAACGAGGGAACAAGTGCTTATTGTTTTGGTGAGAGGTTGCTTTGCTGGCTTTTGTTTGGTCTTTCCGCGGGTTGTGGTTTATATACAAACTTTAGTACCCGATGTCTTGCCAGTGCTTGCTCGTCTGCCTTGCATCCAAATATCATGCCATAAGTCCGGGGGTGTGAGCCAGCCAAACAAACAAGCAACCCAAATGTGACAATTGGGGAATTATCCGGTCTGTGTGCGAGAGGAGATCACCGGAAAAAACAGGCCAGAGTGCGCGAGTGTCTGTGCGCCAACCAAATTCCTCAGCCTCTCAAAAAAGCGCAAGCAAAAAAATATTATTTCGGGCGGGAACATCCGATCCGAAGAATACCCAACTTTTTTTAACAACTACAAAATAAGGACAATGCCTGCCAATAAAGCAAAAGCTGCTGCCGCCGCGGCAATCGCCGTGCCGCCCATGCCCGAAGGCACAAAGGTCGTCGCTCAATTTAAATCAGCTGACGGTGAAGCCACCACTGGCCCTCCCTTGAATCTGCCCGGCGATGTCACCCCAGAACAACTCGAACTCTTGTTGAATCAGTTACTCGAACAGGTATATCGATCGCGCACTCTTGTTTATAAATGTTAGATCGCAACGTGTACTCATGAATCCCTCTGGTCATATATATATATACGCAGTCAGAAGATCCTATACCCTATTCGTTTTATGTTGGCGAAGACGAGATCGTAAAGTCATTATGGACTGATCGTAAAGATAAATCAACAGAAGACACAATCACGATCGTGTATCAACCACAAGCAGTTTTTCGCGTACGCGCAGTATCTCGATGCTCTTCAACGCTTTCGGGTATATAGTCTTCTGGTTTGATTGGTTCATGAAGAAGTTGGTATGAAAATAGACAGCCAGGTCTAATGCTGCTATCATTCATATTTTTAGGGCACACGGAAGCGGTATTGTCGGTTGCATTTAGCCCAGATGGATCCCAGCTGGCTACTGGATCTGGTAAGTGAGCCGATGGGAATTTTGCACAAAAAAAAAAAAAGCTCACCACTCGAGGAATAACCCACTCAACTCCACGGACTTTTCTATTTCCCTACATTGATGATAACGAAAATGATAGGTGACGCCACGGTTCGGATATGGGATTTAAATACGGAAACACCACGTCATACACTAAAGGGACATCGGGGATGGGTATTATCGATTGCATGGTCTCCCGATGGCAAGACGCTTGCTTCAGGAAGTATGGATAACACCGTCCGATTATGGGATCCGAAAACGGGCAAGTCGCTTGGCGATGGACTGAAGGGACATACCAAATGGATTACCAGCCTGTCATGGGAACCTTATCACTTGTAAGCTCTTTCTCTCTTTGCGATAAGTGGGAGGAGAAAGCAGTGTTTCTTCCTAGAGGTGCGAGTGTCACTTACACATACAAATTTATTGTAGAAACTCAAAAGCAAATCGGTTGGCCAGTTCATCCAAAGACGCAACGGTGCGCGTATGGGACACAACACTGAGGAGACTTGCCATGACCATTTCACAGCATACGGCAGCAGTGACATGTGTCAAGTGGGGTGGTGAAGGACTGATCTACACTGCTTCCCAAGACAAGACTATCAAAGTCTGGAACTCGAGTGTATGTTCTTTTTTACTGTGATTGTGCTACGGAACTGGAGGGAACAAAAGCACTCATATTTCAGGCTGCGTATTTTCCATATAGGGTGTACTAGTGAAAACCTTACAAGGTCATGGCCATTGGGTAAGCTTGGATGCATACGCTCGTAAATGTGCCAATATAACTAACCCTGTGCGCATAGGTCAATACACTTGCACTCAGCACTGATTTTGTTCTTCGCACTGGTCCGTTTGACCACACTGGTAAAAAGTATGCCACCGAGGAAGAGGGTAAAGCAGCCGCTTTGGCGCGTTACAAGGCATTTAAAGGAAACAACCATGAGCGTCTGGTCAGTGGATCAGATGATTTCACCATGTTCTTTTGGGAACCCGAGACAAGCAAGAAGCCGCTCACTCGGATGACAGGTAAAGAAAAGGACCATGCGTGTGTATGTGGAACCCACGCCTTCGCTTTTTCTTTGCTATTAAAACTTCCACCATGTAGGCCACCAGAAGCTGGTGAACCACGTGAGCTTTTCACCCGACGGACGATACATTGCCAGCGCGTCGTTTGATACCTCGGTCAAGTTATGGGATGGCATGACGGGCAAGTTCTTGGGCAATCTGCGTGGCCACGTTGGAGCGGTCTATCAAGTGTGCTGGTCAAGCGACTCGCGCATGCTGTTGAGCGGCAGCAAGGATAGTACCTTGAAGTTGTGGGATATCAAAAAGATGAAAATCAAAATGGATCTTCCAGGCCATCTCGACGAGGTAAATTGAGCAAACCAGGGGTTAGGAGAAAAGAACATCCAAATTGCTAACTCTCACACTCGCTCTTTCCCCTTTGTAGGTCTTTGCGGTCGACTGGAGCCCTGGCGGTGACAAAGTTGCCAGTGGTGGCAAAGATAAGCAGTTGAAGATCTGGAGACATTAAACAAAAATAAAAAGAATCAAGTGATTAATTGTATAACAGCCAAAGGAAAAGGGAAAAGCATGGAGTGTTTGTGCGCTTGCGTGGAAAAGAGCGTGGGCTGTTTAAGAGAGAGAGAGAGAGGACACTGTCGATCGGTCTGTCTCTTGTGCACTCCACGCTCTAGAGTAATCATCATGAAGTATCATGCAACACACACACACAAACAATTGCTGTAAGTATGGCTTGCTGATCGACATTTGGGGGTCGCACAGATCGATCGAAAGCGGCAAGTGGTCTACTAGAAAAGACAACTGGATGCTCTGCACGGTCGTTTCGTGACGCGTTGCACAAGCAACAGGCTCGTTTGTACCTTGCAAAGTCGTTTTTTCTTACGACGGGACTGTCAAGGTGAAAAGCGATAGATCGGAGAGAGACGGTTTGGGATGTGTGTGTGTGTGTGTGTGTGGGGAGGGGGGGGGCTTCCTGGCGAACGTGATGCAGAGTATAAAAAGCACATCACTTTTAATATTTGTTTCCTTTCTTTCTTCTCCCTTCTCTCCACTACATTCTTCCTATACCCATTCAATCTCTCTCTCTTTCATTCGTCATCGCATAGCCACACACACACACACACACACATACATTATACTTACTCTAAGCATGTTCTCCAATCATTCGGTACTCGACCTGCCTACGTGTGGCTATTCTGATGCATTTGTCAAGCGGTTCATCAAAAAGAAGCCCATCGACGACATGCTCGAGAACGACTTTCCAGATCCATGGTACATTTCCTCGCACATTGTTATTGCATCTGAGCATTTGCCATGGTTACAGTCTCCACCGCCACCGGTGCCCAACAACAAGCCATCATCATCCGTGTTGCCACGACGCCGTCGTTCCTCCAGCATTAAGAAGCGAACTGTGCCTGTCAGGACAAGCAGTAAACATCTTCAGCAGCAGCCATTATCACCACTACCTACTACGCCCACAACGCCTGCCACCATCTCCTCTGAAACATCAACACTTCCCACACTTCCTTCACCTTCCTCCTCCTCATCAAACCGTCCTTCCTCCACGATCCGTGGCAAGCAACAAAGCACCGAAACAATCATGCAATGGATGGATCAGCGACTCTCACAACGCCCATTGTCCCGCTCACCACCCAACAACAAGATGATCCAAGAGCAGCAGCAGCAGCAGCAGCAGCAGTCTTACAAACCTTCCACTGCACCATCGAGAGCACCCTCCATTGCAAAAACAACAACCCGACGACGACGTTCGTCGAGCTTGTCTAGCGAAGTTTCACGAGTGCTTGCCTCTCTTCCTATCTCTTCTTCCACCACACTGCCTGACCAGCAACAACAACAACAAAATGGCCGTCGTTGTAGCCACAGCAGTCTAGCCTTGAACAACAAGAAACTAAACAAGTTTGATGCAGCCGAATGGCCCCATGTGCTATCGCAAACCACAGACGAGCAAGACCGAATGGTGGCACAGCACTACATTCTACGAACAGCCTTTGATGGTGATTTCGCAGCCCCCATCCGTACCAATCTCGACAAGGGCTCCGTAGTACTAGACATTGGATGTGGGCCTGGCACCTGGTGCATGGAAATGGCGACCGAGTTTCCCCGTTCCACATTCATCGGTATCGACCGTGTGTCCAACTACCCGCGTGATATCAAGCCCAAGAATTGCATCTTTCGTACGTGCAGCGTGCAGAATCTGCCGTTGCCGTTCCCTGATAATAGCGTTGATTACATCTTCCAACGCGATTTGAATTGGGATTTGCAAGCGCATCAGTGGAGTCCGCTTGTCCGTGAGTTCTTGCGTGTCTTGAAACCTGGTGGATGGATTGAACTGGTTGAACCAGTAAGTACTACTGTTCTCCTTGTCTCTTTTGACATAGTAAAAGTCACTAAACCTTTTTTTTCTGTGACAGGATCTTGAAACTCAAAGCAGTAAAAGCCAAGAATGTGCCATGAACGATAAACGTAGGTTCCCATTTCTAATACACTACCTTGAAGATCAACAAGGAAACTGATCTCTATAATGACAATAATAGTGATCTATGGCATCTCTCTGCGTCACCAAGACCCCTATGTATCACGCCACTTGTCATCGATTCTTGCAGCCAATGGATTCCGACGTGTCGAGAGCCATTTCCAGTCACTGCCACTTGGCTGGACCAGCGACGAAGATGACAACAAGTCCACCACGAACAACGCACGGCTAGCAAAAGCCGCAGCAAGCCATCACATGTTTACGTTACAATCATTACAGTCCTGGCTCTCTGCAGTGATGGGCAACATGAGCGCTGAACGATACAACAACTATATCGCAGAACTACCGGCTGAATGGAAACGTGGACAAACATACATCAACTGGCACCGTGCCGTTGCACAGAAGCCCCCATCCAAACTTCAATAAGGCCTTGTCTTGCTTTCATTCAATTTAGTACTCTGACATTTTTGACTTTCTTGCCACATGCATCTATCCAGCCATCCATCTGGTTTTTCCTAAATCACCCGATGCAAACACTGTCACTCGCTACCCGATCCCCTCTTTACGTGTTACTCAATTCCGTTCATTTGCACCATTTCTTGTCCGATCTTCTCGCCACATATCACTTACTCACCCACCCACTCATTGTACAAAAACAGTCCCATCCTTTATATGTATATTATCCCTTTCTCCTAGTTATTATTTTTGCTCTTATGGTTGCTAACCTATATTAAAAGACCATGTGGACAGAAGGAAAAGAAGATGGAAGAACGCAGAACGTTTGACATGTTTTGCTCTTTTCTACTCTTTTTTCTTCACTTCACATTCCCGTAACGTCGACAAAAACGTTGATTCGGTTCAAACAAGTTTTAGGGTTGGACAAGAATTTAAAGTTGACAGTGTGGCCTGTAAAAGGAAATTGGGGGCCTGTACTACACACATGCACAGTTGCGTATTACCTTAAGGCTGAGGAGAGATGACCGAATTACACACAGACGTTATCAATGACGTTGAAGCGGCAGCAACGTACGCTATATGATATCAACAGTGGATACATTATAGGAAAAGAGAGGGGATATATTTATTACTACATATCTACTACTGCGATTACTACCTTGGCTTGGTATAGTTCAGTTGGACCCATAACGTTCTGCCAATGATTGTTTCTCTTCATCAGCAGTGGGATATCTCTGATGGGAACTCGTAGTCGTAGAAGAAGTATTAGTTGGTATACGGAATCCGCCGGCATCTACACGCTGCTGCTGTTGCCGCTGCTGCTGGTTGACATTATATTGCTGTTGGAACTGAGAATACGGAATCTGCTGTGGAGCCTGTCGTTGGTTTCGCGAGATTTGACGGTACAACTGGCTGTAGTTGGTATGATAAAAGTCGGCTGGTTGTTGCTGCGTTGACTGCGACCACGTCGAGGACATGGATCCTGGATGCACCCATGGACTTTGAGCTGGGTATTGTTGGTGTTGATATTGCGGCTGCTGATACTGTTGGTGCGGGTATTGTTGCTGCTGTTGCTGTTGCTGCTGCTGTTGCTGCTGAAGCAATAGTTGCTCCTGATGCATGGGTTGAGGTGATTGTGAAAAGCCGCCAGGTTGAGATGAGGATGACAATAGGCGTTGATGAGCTGGATTCATAGGGCTAACGACACCCTGCTGAGGTTGTTGCTCTGGCTCACCCTCGTCAAGATATTTGTCTTGGCTTGTGCGCATCTCCATCGGTGGGGCACTGGGCTGTGTGGCTGGTTCCAGGGATTGATGCTCATGATGATGCTGAGCAATAGGTGTGCTACTAGTATCATCGGGCTGCGTGGGCTCAGGAGCAGGGGCGTCAGTCAGTTGTACAGGTTCGTATGAGTTGCGAGGCGAATGCGACGCGTCGTCTTGAGTGGCAGAGTAAGCTGGCGGCGGACCATAAAGATCCAGCGCTTCCAAGTTGGGCTCGTTCTGTTCATCCTCGTTCGTTTTCACATCGCCAGTCGTGTGTGCAACCCTGTTGTTGTTGTTTGTAGCTTCTTCCGCGGCAGCCTCAGCAGCCTTTTCCACAGATGGTCTTGGCGGCAACGCCGGAGGTGGCTGCTTACTGCTATCCGAAGAAGCTCCACTTTCTGTCGATCCAGTTGTTTCCATTGCAGCGGTAGCCATGCCACCTGCTTCTACTGCTGCTCTTGCTTTACCCTTGCCGCTACTGCCGCCAACATCAAATTCATCATCCCCCATAGTCGTGCTTGCATCGTCGTCGACGACAACAGCACTATTCCCAGCCAGCGTAGGTCGTTCTTCACCTTCTCCAGGTTGCCATCCTTCCAACGCCAACAAAGCATCCGCCAAAATCTGAGCTGCCTCGGGTCCCTTATCATACGTCTTTCGATTGGCTTGGCCGTGGGGCGTAGGCTCGATATCGATCAAGTCCACAATATACTTGCCAAACCCAGCAATAATGGACATCTTTTCTGCCATCTCATGCATGGCGTTGAAGCGGAGGTAGAATGCTTCACGCAGCGCAAACCGTTTGAAATCGCTCATCTCCATCTCGGTGTCGTGTGTGTCGCGTTCCAACGATTCGAGTTCCTTGGTGAATTCTTTCACTTTTGGTGACTTGGCGCTGGAGCGTTTCAAGGTGCCAATACGGCCTTGGAGTGCGCGTTTCTTTTCGCGGATATCAGACAGACGTTCCTCGCGTTCTCGGATAGCTTTGATCGCGCGCCGGTATTGCTGGTATTTGTCTATTCATTTGCATATATGTATACTGTCAGTGTTTGCTTTTGTTACGAAGATGACGTTTTTTGAAGAGAGAATAGGTGTGTGGATACGTACTTGCGTAAGCTTGCTCTATTTCGTTCTGCTTGTCCATCAACCGAAGCAACTTGTCACCGATATCTTCCAAGTCCTTGTTGCCTGTGTTATTTTCCTGAACTTCGTCCTTGATCCACTGTTCAAAGGCACGATCGGTTTCGTTGCGATGGTGACCGAGCATGCGCATCATGTAAAGTGCATTGCGCTCTTCAAAGATCCATGATGACAATGCCCGGGTGTCTTGCTTTAACAGCGGGTTTTTCTTGGCCAGGTGCGAGTAGGCGCCTGTTGTCAACTTGCCGATCGAGAATTGTAAGTCTTTGAAATTCATGACGGTAAAGAAAAAGAAAAAGAGTAAAGAATAAAGGGAAACGGCTTATAAACACTGGTTTTTCTGTGTGTCTATAAATAAATACCAAACAGCAAGCAGCTCAATTGGGTTTTGCGCGACGTAGAGCTGTGCTGTGCGTTTCGGGTGCTTGGCCTTAAAAGGATTACGGCTTCTTTCACTTTTTGTACTACCAGCAAATGCCAAGGAACCTCTTGTCATCTTTGGCGTGTTTTTCTTTTATTATGAATCAGATCAATTAACATACACTAAGTAAATACAAAGATTGGAAAGTAAAAGCGCGTAGTAGTAGAATAATTTTAAAGGAGTGGAATAGAATACGTCATCCACCGGTGTTCACTATAATCTTCTAATCTTCTAAGCAACAACGTTCTCCTCTTCTTCCTGCTTCTTTTCTTGTTGTTGCTGCTCGTTATCGTGCTCCTCAGCAGTATCAGCAGCAACGGCAGGTACGTTTTTGCTCTTTTCGTTATCATCGCTGCTGTTGGGCGATGCAGCAGCAGAGTAGATACGACTAGGAGACTCTCCAGGAACAAATGCACCGTTGACGCCACCGGCATAGTATTTCTTGTATGGACTCTGGATGATCATGAATGGTATTGACTCATAGACACAGTGGGTGTTTGTGCCCTAAAACATAACGAAAGCATTTCTGTGTTACTATGATCTGTACATAATACCCGTCAATGATATAGAGAGTACTTACTGGATAATTGACCATGATACGGTAATGGTAAGCACCAGTGATATCTTCGATATTGAGCGGGAAAGTCACTTCGCCGCTATTACCATCCGTATACAATGCTATTTTCCTATAGTTTAATGAAAGTGTACGCCTCCTCATGATATATCACTTTTTTAATAGAACTTACTGATGTTTTCTCCAATGGTATATTCGTTATGTTGAGTGCTGTTAAGCACACGGATACGCGTGATAATATCAGGCGAATGAGGAATCTCAGAGTCTAGCTCCCAGCGCAACTGTTGGATCGAGTTGGCTTCAAAAGCTTGACCAGGGAAACTAGGGTAAGTGATACGGAAACCAACGCAATAGTCTGGGTTCACGCGTGGAGGGTTGTAGCCATATTTCATAAGGGCTTCACCCGTTTCAGCTCTTGGTTGAACAACGCCTGCAGAAGCAATAGAGGCCCAGAACGTGGCAAGTAAAACGAAGCCTTGAATGATATATTTCATCATGGAAAAAAAAGGTTGGGACGACGACTGTTCTGTTTTGTTGTCTTTGATGCTTGTATTTATATCGGAAATACTTGTTCATGATGATTCCAGTTAGAACCAAACTGAACATTTTTCGTGAGCGGTGTTGCTCTTGCTTTGCTATCTCATTTATTTGAGGAAAGGTGGCGGTTGGTGCTGAAACAGACAATGATAACAATCTCGGACCCTGCCTGTGTTGTTTTATTGTAAAGGAAAGGTGCAGCTACGGTGAAACGCGTGTATTGCATCCACACATACTGCTGACGATGATATTGTATCGCTGCACACAATTTGACAGACCTGCGTCTCTATTTTTTTCCCACGTGTGCATGTGCTATGCTATGATCGGGCCCGTTGTCATGGTTGGTAAGTTTGAATCGAGCTGGTACTGCATACATATGGCGATCTTCTTTAATGGAAGTAATTAGCAATACGTAGCTCGCCTCCCTTTCTTCTAGGCGGTTCGGTTTAGGGAAAATATTTACAGAGATGATATTAGATGAGCTGTATTATTTAGAAAACATTAGAATGGGGTCCAAGGAGTTTGTGTGGGTTGTGTGTAAATAAAATAATAATCATTCTTGGGTAAAGACGGACTTCATTCTTTCTTTTCTGCTGTCGCTGCTGTTGTTGGCATTGGCGTCCCTATCCCCTCCTCAGTTGTCATTGGAACAGCTTTTCTTTTCTCTTCTATTTTAGTAGTGGTGATAGCGGTCGTAGTAGCTTCTCTAATGGTATCGCCACCAGCATTGTTGTTCTTGTCGTTGCTTCTTTCTTCTTCTCCATCCAAAATCAAGAACGGGTGGTCGAGTGCTTCTTTGGCCGTAATCCGCTCACTGCTGTCGATCATCAGGCACTTTTTCAGCAGACACAATGCATTGTTGAGATTGCGCTCGTCCCAGGATTCGAGCCCTTCCTCATTTAGCCGTTTACATAATTCATCCACGGGTCGTGTTCGCCGAGGTATTGGCAAATTCGTCACCATATTCAGTTCTAATTTTATTTAGTAAACATACATCCATCGTGAGGAAAGTTTCGTTCAGTATACTTACTCTTTTCACGCGCCAGATTTTTAATATTGTCAAACCCGAAAATGGTTGCTAGCTCAACCAGTGCATCTGCGTCGTCACTGGCAAGGAAAAATGGGTATCGTCCTGTGATCACACATAGCAAAATGACACCTGCAGACCACACATCAATAGCTAATCAATCAGAAAATTAGTTTTTCTCTATGGTTGCAATTTAATTTTATCCTTCTATTATGGTCTATAGTGATAGAAAGGTACCTCCAGTTTGGTATCGTTCTCGTAATAAGATCTCAGGAGCACGGAAGCCTTTTGTGCCTGCACGGTTGGCTTGTATGGATCGTCTATGAGCCAAGAAAAAAACCACCATATTACAGTGATGATGAGTAGGCTGAAATCCATTTTTTGACAAGCACTTTGAATGTTCATCCCTTCTTACCTGGTATCGTGTTTGTAATAACCGGGCCTTTTAGTTGTTGCGCAATTAATGTTTTCTTTATCGCCGCTCTGTGGCGATGTTGCGGGTGTCTTTCCTGTAGTAGTTCCAGTTATTGCAGGTGCTGCGGTCGTTGTAGCTGTGGCTGTAGTTGTGGCTGTTGCAGCTAGTTTGGCTGCTGGAGATGAAGATGGTAGTGATGACGGCAGTAATGATAAAATTGAAGATGACGAGGGCGAAGGTCGTTTTGCAGGCATTAATTGCTGCGGAAGCTGCTGCTGTTGCTGTTGTTTATGATACTGCTGACGCTGAGGCTGTTGCCTTGTCGGCTGTTGTCTTGTTGGTTGCTGTCTTGTCGGCGGTGGAGGAGGGTGGCGGGATGATGAAGACTGTTGTTGCGCTGATGATGATGGAGTATCCGTTTGAGAAGGTGAACGTGGCGTAGCGATCCGCTAATATGCACAAGGCAATGTGTCAAAGCCAGAGAGACGCAACGATGTATTTCAAGCGCTATCATTTATTTTCCTTCCTCATTTTAACGATTCATCAGACAAACATACCTCGGCAAGGCCAAAATCGATAAGCACGCCCGAAAGTGATTCGCGACTAAACAGAAAATTGTTTGGCTTGACATCTCGATGGATATAGTTGTGTGAGTGCAGGTGACTCAATCCAGTGAACAGACTGCGGAAATAGCACTTGATTTCGAAGATTGAGAGTTTTCGATATATTTGCTGCGCAAGAGTGAAAAGACATTAAGCTTCTTCTTCTCTTGCTTATTGACAACTTTCGGTGTATGTATAAGGAGGAAAATGTCCTCATACCTTGAAGTCGTCGCTTTGGATATAGGGCATGACAACAAAAAATTCGTCTTGGTATCGAAACGCAGTAATCAACGGTGCAACACAAGGACATCCTCGAAGTTGTTGGAGAATCTGGACTTCGCTGGCTAGTCGTGCTGGACTACTTGTACTGTACACCCGCTTGAGTGCCACCCGGTTACTTGCGACGTACTTTGAATTGGGTTTCGTGATCTGTTGTCCCGCCAACAGTTGTTGTTGCCATGGCTCGTTGTTGTATACATCGTGGCGTAGATCTGTCGCTTCGTAAACAGTACTAAATGTGCCTTTTTTTTGTGTCCAAAGCGCTTTTTTAGACACTTGCTGGTGGACGTGTGTAGAATAGACAGAGGGGCATAGCAAGCGCAATGTTACCTTCACCAATCTTTCGTGTTATCTGGTAAGTTTTGGCCAGGTTCTTGACCTTGTCATTGAGTTCTTCAATATCGGCCTTGACTTTCTCCTCTTCAATACGCTTTTTTTCTTCATACTCTCGTTTCTTCTTCTCCTCAATGCGCTTCTTTTCCTCCTCCGTAAGTTCCTTTTCTTCTTCTTCTTTTTTGGGTTGTTGCAGTTTATTCCCTTCAGTATTTCCATCTGCAGCATTTTCGTTGTCGTTGTAGTCGTAGTCAAGATCGTCTGCATGCTTCTTGTTTTCATCATCCGCTAGTGCTTTCTCTTCTTGCGCGGTGCATATACCGCCATTATCATCATGCTGAGCAGATTGCTCTTGTTTTTCGCTGTTAGCATACTTGAATTTTCGGCCGTCCTCATCCATGTGTTGCTCATCTTTGTCAAAGTCTGTGGATTTCGTCCGATCAAGTTCATGTTTCAATTCGTCTTTTGGCTTCGTCGCGTTCTCCTCAGCGACCACGGGTCGGTTCTCTTCATCATCTACGCGTTTCTTCGTGGTGTCTAGACTGTTATCATGTTGTTTGACTGAAGATTTCTTTACTTCATCAGCTAGCATATATTGCTTTTGATCGTCTACATCTGTATGTGCCTTTTCGTTTGTAACTATGTGCTGCTGCTGTTCCGTTTCTATTGCATCCTTGCTGATGTCCTCTGTCTCAACCTTCACAGCATCCATGGATTCTGTAGGATGTTGTGGTGATCCTGGTGCAATACAATCAGTCTGCTGACGTTGATGCGATATAAAGTCATCAGGCTCTGCGGGTTGTTGTGTTTTCGAAATCGTTGGTGTTTCTGAAGAAGAAGCCATGGGTGGTGGTGGCTCCTTGAGCTGCTGTAAGGATTGCCATGATGATCTCCTTAAACGATTAATTGCTTCTTTGGGTCTTGTTGTGCGGGACTTTGTAGCATTACTCGGCTGCTGCTTTTCTTCTTCGTGGAGCATGGGCGTATCCTGCACCATCTCTTCTGGTACATCAAGATGCATTCGTCTAGATTCTGCGTCCTCTTTACTGTCTTCCTCTATCTGTTCGACATACAGTAGGGTAGGATCTTTTTCTTTTTGTTTTGGTCTTGGGTCTTTGTGTTCGGTTATCATCACCGGTGACTTCTTTAGCGATGGTAGTTCTTCTTGGCTGGCACATAGCGTTTTTTGAGAATCTTCGTCGATTTTCTTGATGCTATGAGGTCGTTGTGGTGATGCTGGTGATAATAAGGATGGCGATGGAGATGGTGTTTGTGCGGCAGGAGTGGGGGTTGCCAATGCAGCTTCTTTTTGTTGCTGCTGCTGCTGGCGGGATGAAGATGAGGACGATACACTGTTAGAGTCGCTAGGACGTCGTTTTCGCTCTCTATTGTCTACTGCATCGATACGTTTCCGTCGTTTTTTCGGTACTGCAGGTAAAGCACTTGAACTCGAAGAATGCGATCCTCCTCCTCCACTAGCACTACCGCTTCCTCCCCCTCCTCCGCCTAAAGCCGATTTTGTTGAATCAGATGAACCACGATAAAACAATCGCGTCATATTGTCCCGCTTGTGTTGTGTTGAATCGTAAACGTTTAAGAGCGAATGCTTCTCTGTACCCGTTGTCGTCGTGCTGTTGGAGGTTGTTCGACATACACGAACTTCATCGTTGTATATACCGGTGTTAATGATGTTGCTACTGCTACTGCTACTGCTGCTATGACCGATCTTGATCGAGCGGAATCGATTGGCAGATTTGGGCGATGGAGCAGTTGCTTGCACAACAGGAATGCCACGCCCATCAACCAAAGATCTTTTGTTGCTACTGCTGTTGTTGCTGTTATTTCTGTTGTTGCCGCTTAGTTCTCGTCCACGGCCGTGGTCTCGAGGCATAATGAGGTGGTGCAAAGCGTGTGCAGGGGAGGATAGCCGTTAATATACAATGGTATGACGGGCAAAAAAAAAGGAGGGTGAGAAATTGGCGGGGGCGACATCAATGGGGCCCAACGCTTGTTCTGATTGGGTCGTTTAAAAGAATAGAAACAGGATTTATGCTTTAATACCTGACGATTCATGTCGTACATTCGTCGTTTCTTTTAAGATTCATATTAAGGATTCCTATACAACTAATATCGTTATTAAAGGAAAAGAATTTCCAGGTACCGTCCGTGCAATGATATAAAGTAATAAAAAGTTTAAGAACGGTCAATTTGTTACAACGATCATAGTCTTTTCGGCGATGCTAGTAAACTTTATGTACTCCATCAATATCAGAGGGCTCTTAAAACAAGCGGTCAGACGTCTTATCTCATTGCGTACAGTTTGAAAAGCGTAAAGGTCGGTATGCCTAAACCGGAGCCGAAAGGAAAGCAAACGATATCGCTAGGAGAAACAGTTACGTACTGAAGCTAATAATTCTTCTTGATCATCAAACAAAATCTGCGCCCGAAGCCTATCTATGAACTTATTATTATGTGTAAGTCATGGTCGTCAGTCGTAATGACACCTACAGTATTGACCTATCATACCATTCTAATAAACCTATTTCTACTGGGGGAGGAGGTTTGCAGCTCCATGAATTCTCAGCGACATAATTTCAAACAAAATTCATTTAAGAACAATCTCTCCCATGCGAAATCATTATTTTATATCATTAAGTGATGAGTATGTTAAATAATCTAATTACCTATCTATGAGGATATGGCCTCTCGCAGCTTTTGACCGTATCTCTATTGCTTGAGAGAAGCTGTCGATGCAATAGCTGTAATAATCGCGTACCCCTTCCATCTTCTCCAGCGCAGCCTAACAGCATGATAGGCGAAGATTCGTTTCCCCAATATATATATATATATATATATATATTTCCTTTGTCTTAAACTTACTTAATCCTTTCTTCAAAGATTGTACAAGTGATGGGACCTCAATGCCCCGATACTCAAAGACTATGGAAGAACAAAATCGGCAGTGTTAGCAAAATGCAAGCCAGCAGAATGGTTGCACCAGCTATGACATTTATAATTGCTTCTCCTGCTTCCCAGATCTGTCAGGTCTTAATCGAACAAGGATGCACGTGCTCAGTATTCTCTTGGCCTGCTCAGTAGTGGATATTATTATCAAGGAGCCGAACTTGATAATCGAGCTGATCGCCAAAGATCATTTCGATAGTAGCGTCAAGTCGGCGGTACTAACTAATACGTCCAGTTTATCCTTTTTTATCCTCAGCGACGGCATAATCGACAACAGGCTCTAATAAACGTCATTGATTTAAAAAGAGATTCGCAATCCCATAGCCGTCCTTAGACAGCTCCTAACGCCACCGATAACCGTATAAAAGTTTTTGCTCTGTTCGCTCGTAGTCGGCGTGTACTTGTAAGCTTGCGCCTAAACCAGGCATCCTACTGCTCCAGATCTGAGATGCTGTCGATGCAAGGAATGGGATAGATACTTCGGCCATCATAGGCAATGCGAACCATGGTTAGCTGCGCGGAGTCACTCGTGTGCATGATATAAGCATGTGTGTTGTAACCATCGTTGCGGTCGGCATAAAGCTTAGCAACGTCATTCTTGGAAGTGTGAGTGGTAGTATTAATATTGTTGCGATTCAGCAATGAAGAAATGTGTTGTATCCAGAGGATCGGGACATCAATTAAGTTCCATATGAATAGAATATTTGGAACCTCTCTTTCTCTCGTAATAAAAACTTGACCGTTAAGAGTCTCACGAATTATCTCGTCTCAATTCCGATCCTCGAACAAAACAGAATGGAAGACGTGATGGGCGTTGCTGGTGCTGTTTTTGTCAACCCAGTCCTCAGAATGCAAGCGTCAAAGTCAGTTTGTCATGACTTTTGAAGAAGGGTCCTTTTTAAACAATAGCGGAACGAACATCCCACTTAACTATCTGACACAAGGTAAAACTAGAACAATACTGGACTGCTAAGGTCATTTTAGAGATATCCCAGTTATAATCAATGTCCTGATCTGGTACTGCAACAAGATTTCCTCACCTTTTCTTTTAAATGATGCAGCGAATTCTTCAAGTTCTCTGGAGGTAGAGATGGCACCTTTGGAGCACGAAATCCGCGGATTTCATTGAGCTCATCGTCGTCAAAATATTCTTTCTACGTGAGGTCGGATGGGTCAAAGATCACCGAGTGAACAGGATTTTTAAAGGGCATATAAGACAGAGATTAGTAATAATCCAATGTACAGTTATTGATTGTGGTGTAGACTTACTGTTCAAATTCGGCTTTCGTAACCAACTTCGCCATTTGCTCTTCAACAAACTTTCCACTCTTTAAATTCCACATCTTGTTCTTCTCGAAAGACGCCTTGAGAACTGCGACTTTATTCTTATCCTCTATGCTCAGCTACTTGGGACGTTCTGTGGAGGAGATGTGAGTAGTGGAGAGTGAGATAAACGGATCTTGAGATACTCACAACCGGTTGCATACGCTCTTCTCACTCACTAACATAAGCATACACTCTTCGATCCTCTAATCCGTTCCAATGATACTCACGTTGAATAGCTTTGGTTTAGAAAAGTTGACGAGGAGGCAGAAGAGCCTCATGATTGCTGCGGCCACACGGTTACATAGATTAATGAACACACGCAGCATTTGAGCCGGTCGTTGGTTGCATGCGTTCTGTGTGCGTTAAGGATGATTGCCATCTTTGAAGACAGACTTGCTTCTCTATAATCAGCCTAGACTCTGGTCTTAGTGTACTTATGGATTGATTAGTTCTGTACTAACAATTTGTATTGTGTAAGCAAGTTAAAACTAAAGCACGAGCTTTTACTCATAAACTCTATCTATTTAATTTCACAGATATATCGATAGCAATTGCTCCATTTGCTTTATACATTTAAAAGAAACAAAATTGAATTTATTTCTATCAATAAAAACACTATAATAAGCTCTATTGAAAACCTTGTGGAAAAAGTTATAGAAGAATATTTTGAAAATGAATCACTTACAAAATTAAAAAAATTGGCAGAAAATATAATAAAATTAAATATAGATAAAACTAAAGATAAATTTTTTTAATATTTAAATTCTAGTGAGAATACTTGTTGTACATACACATATTATAAAAGAGGTAAAATGAAGGTTTTATATGTCGGAAAAAAGTAAAAACAAATTTAGAAGGAAGGTTAATCCTTAACCATAGTTTAATCAAAGTATCAAAGTTCATTGATTTATCTATGATAGGATACACATAGGGATCCGTATCAGAACCGTAGAACCGGAACCGAACCGTTTCTGTATACGTAGAACCGAAGAACCGAGAGGCAGAAGATTGCATTTAGCGATTTTGGTAAGAAGTATAGAATAGGCTATAACAGAAGTTACGAACAATGTTATTCCGAAAAGACAAAGAAGTAGTGTATTTGCAAGCCATACTTCATTTAAAAAATTAAAAAAACCTGCAAAAGCAGAAGGGAGGGAAAAATAGTAAAGAAGAGAAGAGAAAAATAAATAAAAAAACACTTCTTCTGACAGCAGCTTGCTTTCTCCGCCCATGACGCACATCATTACTTGTTCCTCTACTTTGCTACCCACAACGCATTTTCTCCATGACGTACTACTTTACTAGATTAAGCATGGATTCTCAATCAGTTTTATCAAGTTTATGCTTTCTGTCTGAGATTGCACATCCTAGGGCCCATAACAGAATTATCTTACCCATTCACTCTTTGCCTTTTATGAGACACTATACACACGTAGAGACACAGTAGCTGTGTGTACTGCTGGTTGTGGTTTGATTCCTCCAATGTTACGATAACATATTGTACTAATAATACTACATCGCTCTAAGTACTATAAGCTCCACTTTTTTTTGTAAAAACTGTGCTTTAATCTTTTAACTATGCAATGACCCACATCGTATTCTCTTATTCATTTTGAGATCGCTGTTCAATGTACAATAATAAACTATTCTTTTTTACTGCAGTATTCAAGTATACTGCAATATTTAACACACACACACACATCAGCTTTCATTCAAAGATACCAGATTTTGCCTTTTTTATACACATGACAGGTTCGGTTCTTCGGTTCGATTCTTTGGTTCTACGGTTCTCGTCGGTTCTAGTCAGTTCGGTTCTTGCTTTAGACGGTTCGGTTCGGTTCCCTTCAAGAACCGAACCGAACCGAACCGTGCGGAACCCTAGTGGCAGTAAGAGACGAGATTTAACACAAGACAGAAAGAGAATTGAGAAAAGAAAAACAAGGAAGAAGGAAGAAGTGAAAAGAAAAGGGAAAAAGAAAAGGATTAGGGGCATATAGGGAAGTCAATTTTCAACCACACTTTACCATTATGCTTTCTTTAATACATGTGAGCCCAAGTGATTTCTTCTGTGATGGCACAAAACCCTTTATCTTTAAGAATAATCACACAAAACGTAGATGTTGCTAGCACTGCTAGGAATTTGTGTGCCATCATCTTAGGGAGCTGTGTATATATAGAGTTTTGAACTTCCAGTGCTCAAGTACAGGTTGATTGACACTACTTCCTTCGTCACTAAATCAAAATCAGTATTGACCTATCCAATTGCAACACCTAATTGACACTTCCTTCATTACTACATCGAAATCAGTCTTAACCTATCAACCTAAGTTTTGACCCGCCCAATTGCAACCCCTAGCATCAACTTTAATATTTGATTGAATAAAAGTTGCAGCAAGTCTTGCCTGTTCCCAAAAAGGAGAACTGAGGGTTATAAATCCTCCCAAAAAGGAAAACCTCGCAGTGATAATTGATTTATAGGCACTTATTTTACTTAGGAAAACTCTTCTTACTATATGATAAACTTTTTTATAAATAACAAATATCATGATGTTCTTCTATTCTAGTCAAGCTTAAAAAATTTACATTTTTTAAGGTTTTGTCCTTTATCCTAGCTAGCTACTAATAAGCATATTAGTGGTAAATATTAAATTTACACACTAATTCAAATAATTAAAAGGAGACTTATGGAATCTTTCAGATTCTCATTTAAGTCTAAATAACAACCTACTGGTTGTTTAGGATTAATAAATTAAAGTCGAGACCTCTTCAAAAAAATCAAAGATTTTTTATCAGACACCCCCTACCACATTAGGAATTAAACTATCGATTCGATTTTAACAAATCGAATAAAATAAAAAAAAATAAGATTTATTTTTTTATATTTTAATATCTTAATGATTAATAGATTTCTTAATTTCATTAGAAATCTTATTATCATAAGATATTCGATTAGTTTCCAAAAGTTATACTTTTTTACAGACTCTAATTAAAAGTTGTTTTTAAAAACTTAATAATTTTTAATATAAACAGTTATTATTGAATCACCTACAATAACTGTACATTGGATTGATACTAATCTCTGTCTATATGCCCTTTGAAAGTCCTATTCAATTAAATGGATAAAAAATAATAATAGAATATCCAAATAAATTGTATATATAATTTAATATTTATAATGAATATACTATATATTAATAGTTTAATACTAATACTAATAATAAGAAAAATAATATGAAAGAATATTTCAATTTACTCCGTATTTTAATTTGTTTTCTTAATTTTATTTTATATTGAAAAACAGTATTTTTCATTCAATAATTGTAATTTTGTTTCATAAAAATTTTGAAGTAGTAGGAAATAAAACATTTTATAATATTTAGTGGCGGTGGAATAGTAATGAGCACTCCCTCCTTTACATAAGGATGAAGGACGATATGTAACATAATTTTGAAATAAAAAGAAGGTGAAAGGTTACTGGGGTGTGTAAGCCTTTTACGAGTAAGTTAACAATAACAATCATTTCCTTTAAATTATATATAATATATATTTAATAATTACGAATTATTTATCTTAGTGATCTTTGACTCATGTGACCTCATATAGAAAGAGTACTTTGATGAGGATGAGCTCAATGAAATCTGCGAATATCAAGCTCCCAAGATACCATCTCTACCTATAGAACTTGAAGAATTTGCTGCATCATTTGGAGAAAAGGTGAGTAGAATATTCCATAGCACCCCAAATCAGAATATTGAATTAACCTTTTTTCTTTTCTCTTGTTTTTACTGGAACAACTTATGTGATATATACGATCATGCTAGCTCATATAAAGTTGAGTTACAGTAAGCAGACCTTTGTTGGATGCGGTTGTCAACAATGTTATCCATGCATTTGCTGTTCTATAAGTATTTTGACAAAGAGCATTCAGAGTCCGATCTCCTCAAGTATGCATGGGAGTTTTTGGACAGCTGCTTTGACGAATCTGAGTATATCACTGCTATCAGGTATATATAAAAACATCTGGACTCTAAATAACCAGGAAGACGTGTTCAAAACAATCAATAGCAGGGAAAAGGCCAGCAAAGCAACATCAGAAGCTCAGAACCAAGAGCACTCAATTGGTTCCATGGAAGCCACTTTACATAAAAAAAGTTGGCACAAAAGTTGACCTTTTGTATACAGCACTATTAATGGCGTTGGGCGCTATCGAAGCTGGTGCATTCAACAATCGAAGCAGCACCAAATCAATGATGGAGTTGGGCATGAAATGCCCAAAAGCATTGAAGGATATACTAGTTGAACTTGAGTGTGCCAACTTCATTTAGCTTCGTAACATAGGGATTCAATCATAAACAATTAATATTAGTGTAAACACTAAATTAATTTAAGTTAATAGTTTCACATCAAGTATTTACTAATTTTTGGATTTGATCAAAGATTATATAACTAATAAGGGGTCGATCCAGTTAGTCTACCTTTACTTATTATTAGAAAACATAACAATATTTATAAATTAAATATGTTTATAAGAACTAAAAAACTGTTTTATAGTTTTAAACTGTTTTTGAAAAAAAAAATAACAATTGTTTCAAAATAAACAAATTATCATCTAATTTTTTTAATGGCTCCCATATAATTTAAAGTCATTAAACTTATTTTATTAATAAAACCTTTTACATAATATAATTACGGATTAATTCTAGTAAAGACTTATAGCTACATCGTTTCTAATAGGTACAATCTAGTAGTGTAGCAAAATTTGAATAAGGTGGTTAAGGTCTGTTGCCTAGTTTGTTGGATAATATGCTTATATACCTATCTTTAGAAACAGAATTAATAGGCCTTTATATACAGTTTGTCATTATCAATTGTCCAGAAGGATATGTATGCAGATTGACTAAGCTTGAGGCTGGGCACTATACCCCACTTGTGGTGAGAATTTCCTTTGCAACTTCTTTTACTTGCTGGAATTAGTGTAGGCTGGTAAAAGTATTGTGGAAAAAACTAGAGTTGCTGCAGTTACAAAGATGAATAGAAAGTATGCCACATTTTAACAATCAACCATCCAACCATTTCCACTTCTAACCATTCATTCTACCATACCAAAAAGAATGACATTCTCTATATATATTGAAATATCATACTTTCACCAAAAGTACCTTCTCAAATGAACTGTGTATATACAAATTAAGCATCACAATACCTGCAACTACTACAACTTTCTGACACATTCGATAAAGTTAAGGTCCTTGACTTCCAACCAATTATATGGTCATACTACAGTAATTAAAAATAAACAAAGATAAATAAGTCGTTTAAGAATAGATTATATCCAAAAGATTGAACAAAGTATAATATCAGCTTTGAGCGTTATTATAAAATAAAAAGTTTTAAAATTAATTTTATAAAAAGTTATATCATTATTTCTATATAATTATTAATTACTTTGAAATTATATTTATTTCTAGAAAGTTAAATTCTTTTTAATGTTTTATCTATAAAAGATTTAATCTAAAAAAAATATCATTGTAAATTTTGCCAAGATAAAAACTAAAGTTTTTTATGGAAAATCTAGAACCTTTTCTCTGGAGAAAAAAAACCATAAAGAGTCACTTCATTAGAAACTTACAATTTTTTAGGGTATTCAACAATGCTCTATAGAAACTATTTTCTTTTATATCTAACTTTCAAACATTGTTTAAGAACTCGGTCTTAACAGATAAACAGATCTGAAGGTAGAAAGGTTATCAACTCTTTGTCAGCAAGGACCCTATTAGTGTTTACTGTTAGAACAAATTAAAAGCTTTCATAATGGTGTGAGATGTGTTCTTAGACAGTTGTTTCATACTTGGTTTCTTTACTGAGTTATATGAAGGATTCACATTTTAATCCTGCTGGGTGTATGTATGCAACTATATTCCTTATTAGTTCCCAGTACAGTAAAGAGAAACTTTCTATCAAGACATCTGTCTGTACTGGATCTTAGTTCACCACACATACTATTGAATGTGTATTCTGTTCACAACTTCTTCAGGCTTAATTTAGAATAGAAACACTGATTGATTTAAATAGGTTGATCTAGAAGATATGTTGTAGAAATCAAAAACCATAATTTTTAGATACATTTTCTATTTCTTTTAATATTTCTATTATATTCCAATTATTTTTAATATCTTTGATTTTATATTTTCTTAATAAATAGTATAATATGGTTATATAATTTTTACAATAATAATCATTTTTGAAACTAGTATTAATATTTTGCTCTATAATTTGTTTTTTATCTTCAAATTTATCATTTTTAATATAATCATTTTTATCTTTTTTTTTTCTTTTCTAGTTCTTTAATATCATTATGCTCTTTATTTTTTTTAGTTTTGATTCTTTAATACAGCTTGATATATTTTAACCATTTTGATCATTATCATTGTAATTATAAGTATCCTTTTCTTAAAAAATATAATAAGAAGAATTTACTCTATTTATAAAATCACATTTTAATAAATTGTCATTTTTTTTGGGTTTTGTTATCATCATTACTTTTAATTTTAACTTTTTTTATTTTTCTTCTATTCTCATTATCTTTTTTGTATTTTGTTTCATTTTATATTCATATTTAAACATATCTTTTTCATCTTTTATTATTTCAAACATAAATATTTATATCTTGATACTGTTATCATATGTAATATTAAATTTTTTTATATTTAGCATTTCTACCTGCTTCATTATACTGTAAACATCTGTTTTATATCTTTAAAAAATGCATCATTGTTTATTGTATTCTCAAAGTCTATTTTATTAAAATCTATCTCACTTATCATTTTTAATTTAATATAAGAAATTCAATTTTAGAACTTTTAAAAATATAATTCAATTTTCTATTCTTTTTATACAACCTATCCTCCTATTACTCTATTTGAACATGCATATAAACACATTGAAATTACCTCCCACTTCACTACATACTTTGAACTGTAAGAGCAAGTCCAGTGGACTCCTCACTATATTACTAATTTCACTAAGGGAGTTAATTATTAGTAATTAAATGTTCAATTAATAATATTAATGGTGAATTATAAAATGTAAAAAAATATAAAAATCTTTATTTTTTAGACTTTTTAAGTTTTATAAATCAAATTTACCAAAACGTCGGCTTAGCTGTTATAAATGTGCTGATAGCATCGCCATATACTGATCTCTCTCAGCATGTATAGAATAGAATTTTTGTATCAATAATTGTTCAGTTCATTTATACTCTATTGTTCTTTAATATACGATTTCTCGGTCAAAAAGTACAAAACTATTGGCTATGATATCCATACTGAAATCCAGCTTCTAGGAGAAGCTATAGCATACATATTTAACTTAAGAGTTGCTGATAATGATACTACTATCTAGCGAGGGCTATACACATTACAGTAGACCCCCTTTAATGTCAACCCCTTTAATGTCAACCCCGATATGGTCAACCTTTTTCTGAGAACCTCACATTTTAGCAGAGATAAATTTCAACTTTTACATAAGGTCAATGTCAACACCTTGGCCAGGGTTGACTTCTTATTGAGGTCAAACATATCTAATCAAAAGAGGTTATTTCGTTGTTGGTTGAAAATACATTGTTAGGAACGACTCTGTTGCATACATACATTGTGTCAGGGTGCGCTGGTTTAATATTTTTATTATACGGTTAAACTTTGTGCCACCCCCTTTAACGTCAACCCCCGTTAGCGTCAACACTGTCAGGTGTACTTGAGGGTTGACATTAAAGGGCGTCAACTGTACCACTGTTAGTTGCATCGTAAATGCGAGACTGACAGAATAAAACTCAACACAATGTACATATACTATGTCTATATCGCAGGACTATGCTGTTATAAAATCATTTAGGCACACCTTAGGTATCAAAATATATGTCATCTCATCACACGTCCTAACTTACTCTGTTTTACTGCCTTTCCTGCCCTCAGTTATTATATAAGCATCTCAGTGGTCTTGGTTGAATCCCTCAATCCATTTGATGGAGCATGTGACATCATGCGTAGTTGAAAGGTTATGATAACCACGTTACACTAACACCTTTATTCCACAAGTATGTATGTACCAAAAAACCAATTTTAAAGCGAATTTTGGTATTGAGGTGCATGCAAATTATTCACGAGATAAAAAATTGGAGTAGCCCTGGCTGATAACTCTTTTTAACAGTACTGATAGTGATTAAGAATCATTTTTTACCTTATGGTATACATTCTTCAAACTATGGCTATTCGAGTACTCTGTGAACAGGCCCTTCTTCTTTCCTTCTTCCCAACAGGCAGACCAATTCATTCGACGACCCTTGTTATTCTGTTCCCAAGTATTGACAAATGCAACCAACTTTTAATTTTAAGAATTTGTAGAACAAGAAGCACTATCAAAGTCTTCAGGGAAGTATAAACAATTTCTATAATATTGTTATAAATAACAATATTATGATATTTTATTATACTGTCAAGCTAGCCTGCGTCCAAGTATTCCTTAGCTAGAGGAGGGATTTGCTCACTACCGTTGTGCCTTCTAGACTGTTTTTTCTCAAACATAATAGTTAAGATTAACACTAATGGTTGAGAATCTTATAGTGTTTGAGAAATTATTTTTTTGATTAAAAAATTAATTTCATCACTTATTATAATCACTATAAAGTTATATTACCTATATTTTTTACCTATTTATTATTTCACTAAAATCATAACACTAAGGGTTACCCCCCTTATGACATAATAGGGGCATAAATATTAATGTCAGAATTAATAATGACATAAAAAATTCTTTATGTATTAATGGCTCATTCCATTCGCCACTATATATAAAGTTACCCTTTCAGGGTTAAAAGCTTGCGTAGCGAGCTAACTTTATATATTATTAATATGAACAAGTGTGTGTGTGTGTGTGACACACCACATCACACTAGAAGTATAAACAATATCTATAATATTGTTATAAATAACAATATTATGATATTTTATTATACTGTCAAGCTAGCCTGCGTCCAAGTATTCCTTGGCTAGAGGAGGGATTTGCTCACTACTGTTGCGCCTCCTAGACTGTTTTTTCTCAAACATAATAGTTAAGATTAACACTAATGGTTGAGAATCTTATAGTGTTTGAGAAATTATTTTTTTGATTAAAAAATTAATTTCATCACTTATTATAATCACTTTAAAGTTATATTACCTATAGTTTTTTACCTATTTATTATTTCACTAAAATCATAACACTAAGGGTTACCCCCCAGGAAGCTCCATTGGTGTTGTTGCTTCTGGTGGTATGTTGCTTGATCCCTGTTTCATTGTGTCATACTTCCTTTTGAGACTCGCGCTATAGTGTCGCCCTGCATCTGCATATCTTTGCTCTTAGCTGGGGTTGTTGAGAACGGTCGATAGTAATTTTTCAAATTGACTTTGTGTTGCTTGACAAATCGTTCATAAGGCTTCCACTTTGTCATTCTCTGCCTCCCTGTCATTTTTAACCATTTCCATAGCGACCAAGTACAGTTTTGTGACGGTTGGGTCGTCCCATCAGTCAACGCTGATGATGCTTTGCTAACCAGACATCACGAAATGGGCAAAGGCAACCAAAGGGTCCAATTCATTGAAATCACGATTGTCGATAAAAGGATCGATACTCTGTTTGGTCAGCATGAAGCAACTAGTTGCAAAGTGGTAGCAAGGCGTTTGCAGGAGGTTAGACTTGTTTTGGATAGGTTTGAAGAGGTCCCCGAGGGCTTTGGATTCCGTTTTTGAGATACAGACGATGAGTAGGATTGGGAAGATGTGGAAATGCTTATACACATTCAAGCAGTACTGGACGGCTTGGCACATAAACTCATGTGTCATTGTGTGCTGTATTTCCACTACTACAGGGGATAACTTGCTAAGATCTGCTAAACGAGGCAGATAGAGAATGTCACACTCTGTACCATCGATAAATATGTTGTCGCCGGTCGTGTAGGTGCCTGTAGGAATGCTCAGAAGCGAGGTGGTAATCAAGTCAATAGTAAACTGATTCTTAGCCACGATTTTGCTAATTCGATCAGTACCTGGTATATAGTTGCGTGGCAGTTTGTATTGTAACTGCTCTTCTGATACTAGAAAAAAAAGAAGGCATTGTTAATAAGTTTCAACTTGGGTTTTTGTATTCTATTTGCCATACTCGTTGTCATGGCAATTTGGGGAAAGAGGTACGCAGAGTGTCTCTAAGGATTTGCCAGGTGAAAAAACACTTCTATTCAGGTAGCGTCTGAATAAAGATCATGATGTTGGCATGCGGGATGTGTAGTACCAAATTGGCTATAAATTTACAATAGTTTTTGATAAATCTAGTAAATTGCTTGCTGCCATATTAAACCATATCATCCATTTTGATATTTTATCAATTTTATGACATCATTTGACCAAAATCATGTATTCAATGATTATAAAAATTAAAAATCCATAATATAAATAAAGAACGACCCAATGGATACAACAAACTATACACTACTGATTACAAATGAAGTAAACTCAATTATTACAAATTATTGGCAATTCCTAGAACATAGAACTGATTTGAGACATATTAAATTCATAGATAAAATTAACAATGAATTGTTATGTAAATTAGGTTATGTTGCTGTATTTTATTTTCTAGTAGTTTTATATACAAACAAGGAATATCCCGGACCTTACTTTGAAATTAAAAAAGGATTGTTTTTATTATATCATTTAGTCTCTGGAGTATGTGGTGAAAAATTTGAAAAATACTTACCACATAGCACATTTCATACATTTTATAAAAAGTTTTGGATGGATGAGGACAACTACAAACGAATCAACAAAATAGTAAATGATTCAATGAATAACATGTTTTCATCTATCAAATTACGTATTCTATCTACTAGAAACCATAATCCCGACTTATTTAAACATGTAACACTTGTATTGGATGGCCATGATTTAAGAATTAACTATGTAGATACTGAAATAGACCACTTTCAAAGAATGTATTCTTATAAATTTAAGAAGAATGGAATACGTACCCAATTTGTTAGTAATATGAATGATATGATTATTTATACTTCTAAAAGTGACTTTTGTTCTGATAGCTCAGATGGTAGCATGTTTTTAATCATGAAATTATTTAAATAAAGGCATGAAAATGACATAATGGCAGTTGATAGTGGATATACTTTATTTATCACGCAATTTACAGAGCTTGCTAATGAAAAAGGATATAACTTTAGCTATGATAATTTTGTATACCCTATATGTAAAAATGTAAATGAGCCCTTAACGATTACTGAAGATATTTTAATAAGACATTTGGAAGTTTTAGGACAGGAGTTGAGAATCAATTTTCAGAAATTGGGAATAAATACTGCCGATTCAATAATAACAAGTCAGTTGTTAAAATAGATAACATAAAATACTATAATCTGCAATTTCGTATAGCTTATTTATTAAAAAATATTACAAAATTTGTAGAAATGTTCAATATTCCTATTTTACCATACCATAAACTATGGCACAGTAATGATTTTGATTTTCCAGTAGAGCATAAACTAATTGATATAGTGGTCAGCAATGATAAACAAAATAAAGATAAACTGGATAAAATGATCAGATTACAAAATGACCTGCTTAATATGGCTATATCAAATGAAGAAATGATTGTTGATAATGAATCTGATACTAATTCAAATCAGAGTAATAGTAATAATGATGATGTTCCAAGATTTAATGAGCGTAGTAAAAAAAAGAAAGCGAAATAAAGGGAAACAACGAGCAATGGCATCATACACCGCGCGAAAAGTCCAATATCAAGGGCTTTTAAAAGACCTTGATATTTATATATAAAGAGGCAAGGTGGGCCTCCACAGAAATAGGGGGTTTTTAGAGATTGGATGCGGTAGTTATGCATGAAGTATTCTGTTTGTGTATGTAAATTTACTATATTGGTACAAAAAGTTCCCAGTATATGCAATAGCTGCAAGAACAGAACTTCATGTTAGTTACTCAACTACTACATCGGATGAAGCACTCTGAGTGTATGCTTTGGCTACAAAGAGAAGTCTTTTATGAGTTTTCTTTCACATACACCAGTATGCACCATTCGATGTATCTAAAAAATGACAGGTCTCGCACTACCACTGTTCTGCATCATCTTCATAATCCCCTACAAACCCTTGCATCAAAAGATCATATGTACTTTCTATAGTGCTGTCTTACAAACATATACAGAGTAGCCAAAAATGCCGCTCTTGTATCCATAATTGATATCATGCTGGAACCAATTGGATCTAAAAAAGGATGTTATGATGCATTTTATATATACAAACATTCTCATCGCGTATTACAAGGCAGCACATGTTTTACGATGCTGATTGAATGTGTTTATCTTTCATACTGTTGTAATTGACGATTGCAATCAAGATGAGGTTCATAAAAGTAAAAGTATGGTAATAAAGTTGTACAATATAGAATGCGTTGAGGGAGTAATCAATGGTCTCAGTTGATCCTCTTTTCTGCATATATACTTAGACTGCTTCCATGCATTATTTCTTACACTTCCTTTTTTTCTGCATGGCCTGTTACTTTTCACTATGGTCATGGCTTTTGCGCAGGCCACTACTTTCTACAACGCTTTAATATTCAGTACTAAGGGAACGCCAAGTGGATACAGCTTCGTCATGCCTTCATAACCTCAGGTGTAAGGTGGTAGGTAAAGTTGGTGTACAGAAAGATGGATGAAGTATCAGTCGGTGGAATTGACGTGCTACTTGCATAATCTGTTACAAATGTTTGTATCGGATTTTGTGAGTATGCATGTGATGAGTACTTTTTGAAAGTTTTTTTCTTTGGTTCACTCCCTTTCTCTTCCTCCTCCTTCGATTTTTATTTACGGTCTTGTTGGAAGGTGATCCTCTTAGCTCTTATCCTTTCCTTACATTTCCTACGACCTATATTGCTGATACTAGTACACGCCTTCACTATACCATTTCCTACAACAAAGTTCGTACTTTATGCCTTTTGAAGCTGCCGTCGCTGCCAAATGTTATATACTAGCTAGAAGAGTGTAAGTTTCTCTTTTTTTTATTATAACTATATATACCATTTATCCATAACCCTGACTAAATACAATGTACCATTCCTCTCACCGTGCCATATGTACACTACGAACTTATTCATGCTTTGCTAATGTTTCCTAACGTGATGAAATGGAGTACTACTATTATGGTTGACTCATATGGATGGTAAGGATCAAGGCCACATAGGTATGTATATCTTAGTTAGTACTTTTTTCTTATGATATATAACGAGCTTCGTTATCTCCGCACTATTGGTATATATCAAACTTCTCCTTTCGTGGCCGGTCTTAACTCCTTCATCCTGTGAATAATGCATTCTGGATTCTTCACTAACAATCTTCAAGGTATCTTTTAGGTATGTCATCTTCAAAATCGTCTATGAACATCTCCTTCTGCGCTGTTTCTGTTTTCACTTATAAATTGACTCAACATGCATCTTTCCATAGTAGGATCGCTGTCCTTTGCACTAGCTCTTTTCAACTACAGCCTTCCTTTTAAAATCATTACATAACGTAGACTTACATTTGATGACGTTCTTTAATGTTCTATAAAGCATAATCTTGTACTCGATTTTTTATACAAATATAATAATAAAGACAGTTGTGAACACCCATAATAATATATATATTAGACTATGAATATAAAAACCAATAGCATCTTTGTCCGTTTACTATATGTGTAATATAAAGAATAAAAATATGGAATGTGTAATCCTTCTTTTTACGAACCTACTACAGAAGGCACCTGGTCCATATGCAATGTATGGTAAGACCGTTATAGACATCTACATGTATGATGTAATCAAATCATAAGCTTGGGGGACTATATGCACATAAAAATATCAAGGTGTAAAAAAACCTTGATATTTACTCGAAAAGCTGAATATCAAGGTGTTTGAAAACATCTTAATATTTTATAGTAAAGCTGTATATCAAGATAATATCAAGCTTTTTTCTACCCCTTGATATTCCCCTGCAAGCCCAGTAATATGAAATAGAAGAGATTATTAGGCATAACACTAAAAATGGTACATATTTGTTTGAAGTAAAATGGGTTGGATATAGTGCTGATGATAACAGTTGGTTATCAATTGATAAATTTAATCAAAAGGTTTTATTGAAGGAATATATCAATAAGCATAATCTTGGTATATTATAAAATTGCATACTCTAGGTAATATATCATTGATACCATATTATTTATAAATATTGATTGTATTTAAGGAATGATTGAATTGAAACATAAATAAAATGGGTTTCCTATAATAACTTTAATAGGTTTAGTTTTTTTCTTTTTCTTGTTTTCTTTTTTTTCAATTTTCTCATCTTCAGTGTTATTAGATTTATAAACAACAAGTTTTTTATTTTTAGGAATATGAAGCTTACTATGTTGACAGCAAAGGTAATCATTTTTACTATCAGGTAAATTTGTTCTAATTTTTCTACTACAAAACTGACTATCACATTTTCCTTTTTTAAATTTATGGGTACAAAAATCATTATTCATACTCAAGTATAAAAAGTAGTCTGTTGAAAACAATGACTTTATTTTATTTTGTAATTTCATTTTTAATTTTACTCCAATATTTTTATTAATGTAAGAATCCAATTCATTTTCCATAAATACATCTAATTCTTTGTTAAGATTATTACGTAATTGGATATGGTTGATTGGGAGGAATTCATTTAATGCAACCATTTTGATTGAATCTTTGAAACAATTTCTTTTTTTAAATACAAAAATTCAATTTTTGTCAAAAAAGTAATTGAGTTTGAAATTTATTTCTTGGCATAAATTAATAGTTTTCTGATAACATTTCTATTAAATGCTCTCAAAACCTATATTCATTACCATTTACAATATACAATTCATCATCATTTCTGAAAAATCCTTCAGTATCTTGCTCATCAATTTCAATATATTCTTTTTCATTAAATATCTTTTTAATTATATTTATAAATAAAATTGGATCTACTATTTTAAATAAATTCTTATAATAATTAAATTTAATTAGCTTGTATGCAATAAATATAGGATCATATATAATATTTCTAATTTTTAACTTATAAATTTTAATATGCTTCTTTACAATATAATGCTCACCATTATAAATTTTATCACTTTTATGTACTAAATACTTTTTTTGATGAACATATTCTAATAATAAATATCTTGCTATAAATGCAGTACTGTAATATTTACAATATTTTCTTCAACTGGTATATAAAATAATGTGAATTCATACCTAGCATTCCTTTCTTACCAATTATTTTTATATATACACAAAATTCAATTTTTTGTACAATTTGGATTTTTACAGCCAATAGATTTCTTATAGCCAATAGTATTATCTAATATCTAATTGGAGTTGGATGTCCCCCACAACCTATCCTCCTATTACTCTATTTGAACATGCATATAAACACATTGAAATTACCTCCCACTTCACTACATACTTTGAACTGTAAGAGCAAGTCCAGCGGACTCCTCACTATATTACTAATTTCACTAAGGGAGTTAATTATTAGTAATTAAATGTTCAATTAATAATATTAATGGTGAATTATAAAATGTAAAAAAATATAAAAATCTTTATTTTTTAGACTTTTTAAGTTTTATAAATCAAATTTACCAAAACGTCGGCTTAGCTGTTATAAATATGCTGATAGCATCGCCATATACTGATCTCTCTCAGCATGTATAGAATAGAATTTTTGTATCAATAATTGTTCAGTTCATTTATACTCTATTGTTCTTTAATACACGATTTCTCGGTCAAAAAGTACAAAACTATTGGCTATGATATCCATACTGAAATCCAGCTTCTAGGAGAAGCTATAGCATACATATTTAACTTAAGAGTTGCTGATAATGATACTACTATCTAGCGAGGGCTATACACATTACAGTAGACCCCCTTTAATGTCAACCCCTTTAATGTCAACCCCGATATGGTCAACCTTTTTCTGAGAACCTCACATTTTAGCAGAGATAAATTTCAACTTTTACATAAGGTCAATGTCAACACCTTGGCCAGGGTTGACTTCTTATTGAGGTCAAACATATCTAATCAAAAGAGGTTATTTCGTTGTTGGTTGAAAATACATTGTTAGGAACGACTCTGTTGCATACATACATTGTGTCAGGGTGCGCTGGTTTAATATTTTTATTATACGGTTAAACTTTGTGCCACCCCCTTTAACGTCAACCCCCGTTAGCGTCAACACTGTCAGGTGTACTTGAGGGTTGACATTAAAGGGGGTCAACTGTACCACTGTTAGTTGCATCGTAAATGCGAGACTGACAGAATAAAACTCAACACAATGTACATATACTATGTCTATATCGCAGGACTATGCTGTTATAAAATCATTTAGGCACACCTTAGGTATCAAAATATATGTCATCTCATCACACGTCCTAACTTACTCTGTTTTACTGCCTTTCCTGCCCTCAGTTATTATATAAGCATCTCAGTGGTCTTGGTTGAATCCCTCAATCCATTTGATGGAGCATGTGACATCATGTGTAGTTGAAAGGTTATGATAACCACGTTACACTAACACCTTTATTCCACAAGTATGTATGTACCAAAAAACCAATTTTAAAGCGAATTTTGGTATTGAGGTGCATGCAAATTATTCACGAGATAAAAAATTGGAGTAGCCCTGGCTGATAACTCTTTTTAACAGTACTGATAGTGATTAAGAATCATTTTTTACCTTATGGTATACATTCTTCAAACTATGGCTATTCGAGTACTCTGTGAACAGGCCCTTCTTCTTTCCTTCTTCCCAACAGGCAGACCAATTCATTCGACGACCCTTGTTATTCTGTTCCCAAGTATTGACAAATGCAACCAACTTTTAATTTTAAGAATTTGTAGAACAAGAAGCACTATCAAAGTCTTCAGGGAAGTATAAACAATTTCTATAATATTGTTATAAATAACAATATTATGATATTTTATTATACTGTCAAGCTAGCCTGCGTCCAAGTATTCCTTAGCTAGAGGAGGGATTTGCTCACTACCGTTGTGCCTTCTAGACTGTTTTTTCTCAAACATAATAGTTAAGATTAACACTAATGGTTGAGAATCTTATAGTGTTTGAGAAATTATTTTTTTGATTAAAAAATTAATTTCATCACTTATTATAATCACTATAAAGTTATATTACCTATATTTTTTACCTATTTATTATTTCACTAAAATCATAACACTAAGGGTTACCCCCCTTATGACATAATAGGGGCATAAATATTAATGTCAGAATTAATAATGACATAAAAAATTCTTTATGTATTAATGGCTCATTCCATTCGCCACTATATATAAAGTTACCCTTTCAGGGTTAAAAGCTTGCGTAGCGAGCTAACTTTATATATTATTAATATGAACAAGTGTGTGTGTGTGTGTGACACACCACATCACACTAGAAGTATAAACAATATCTATAATATTGTTATAAATAACAATATTATGATATTTTATTATACTGTCAAGCTAGCCTGCGTCCAAGTATTCCTTGGCTAGAGGAGGGATTTGCTCACTACTGTTGCGCCTCCTAGACTGTTTTTTCTCAAACATAATAGTTAAGATTAACACTAATGGTTGAGAATCTTATAGTGTTTGAGAAATTATTTTTTTGATTAAAAAATTAATTTCATCACTTATTATAATCACTTTAAAGTTATATTACCTATAGTTTTTTACCTATTTATTATTTCACTAAAATCATAACACTAAGGGTTTCCCCCCGGGAGGCAGCAATAAGAGAGCGAAGTGAAAGGTAGATGGAAGAGTGGCGGCGGCGGTAATGACGAGGAGCGCGAGGATAAGGGCAGAAAAGCATGGAATGGGTGCGGCGGCGGAAGTGAGGATGACGGCGGGAGGCAGTAATGGTGAAAGGAACAGTAGTAGTGGGCGGATCATGAGAAGGTTGGTGACGGCAAAGTTGGTGGTGGTGAACTGTGGTGATGGCGGTGGTAGGCGTAATGAACGCGACTTCAACGTCCTCTTCTTTCTCGTCGTCTTGTACCTCATCCATTTCTACATCCTTTTCTTCTTCCTCCTCTTTGTCTTCCTCTTGCTCGTGCATGGGGGCAGCAGAGACAGCGACAACAACTTCTTCTTCGGCTTCTTGCGTGTATACAGGGGTGACGGCGGCGGCGACAACGACTTCTTGCACGTGCACTTTAGCAACAACTTCTTTTTGTGTGTGTTCTCTAGCAATGGCGACAGCGGCAACAACTACTTCTTTTTGCATGTGCTCTTTAGCAACGGCGACAGCGGCAACAACTTCTTTTTGTGCATGCTCTCTGGCAACAGCGACAGCGGCAACAACTTCTTCTTTTTGCGCATGCTCTTTAGCAACGGCGACAGTGGCAACAACTTCTTTTTGTGCGTGCTCTCTGGCAACGGCGACAGCAGCAACAACTTCTTCTTTTTGCACGTGCTCTTTAGCAACGGTGACAGTGGCAACAACTTCTTTTTGCACGTGCTCTCTGGCAACGGCGACAGCGGCAGCAACTTCTTCTTTTTGCGTGCGCTCTTTAGCAACAGCGACAGTGGCAACAACTTCAACATCGGCATGTGGCATTCTCTCCAATGCTTCAGCAGCATCATGCTCTTCGTCATTGCTGGAGCAAATGACGGCATGGCACAAACCTGGAGAGGAATGGAAGCGAGGATGAGAGGTAGAGGCATGAGATAGGGGCGACAGTTGCAAGCCCACAAGGCAGTACTCTGCAGGTGGGGGCGGGAAGAAAAATTGAACAATTACCATGATAACAAGTATGGATAGGGCGAACAGGAACTTGATCAATGCGGTAGTAATCAGACGAGCCAGCCAGCAGAAGGGAATGTAATCGATACACACCAAAATGGCGGGGGAGGTAATGGGTTTAACACGAAACAGTTATTTACCTATCCTCCTTTAAAAGGAAAGAAAACAAACATACTTCTTTCCTTCTAGATAGGATCTTATTCAGACATACCTTTTTGAGGTGGATTCTATAAGTATCATTATTTTATGAGAAACTAAATGTCTTTATTTTTTAAAAAAATAGTATTTTTTGATTGATGCTATCTAATTTTATTAATTTATTAGAAAAAATGTTTACAAAAATGTCTTTTAAAATTTTAGCGATCGCCCTATTCCCCCTTCGTATCCTGCGATTAACTTTAAACTTAGTTTGGGTTATTTCTAGTTATTGGTTTAAAATACTTATTTATGGATGTAATAGATTATTACAAACTTATTATTCTTTATTACAGAATAATATTCTATCCATTATTAAGTTTATTAAACATAAGTATTACTATTCTACAGATAAAAATCATTTTAGATTTACATCTATATTTTTAATTCCTAATATTCTAGTTGATTCTATTCATCTTTATTTTATAGAATTTATTCACCTCTTAAATGATAATCTTTCTAACATTTTTACAGGCTCTTTAGGTTTAGTATTACTAAGTTTATTAATTTATATAAGTTCTGCCCCTGATTCATCTAATACAAATCCTTCAAAAAATACTTTTAATGTTAATTTTGGAGATGGAGGTGTAGGGTCAAATAATCATCCATCAAATAGTAATTTTAAAAATGATAAACTAATTACTTCTCCTGGAGTTGCTGCGGGAATTATTTCTGGAACAACAATAACTGCTGCAGTTAAAATTGCAAAAACAAATCCTAGAAATGGATTGTTTTTAGGTGTTGTTGGTACTATTGGTGGTTTTGCTACTTATAGATTAGGTGAAGTGATGAATCATAACTATGAAGAAAGAAAAAAATTGAGAGAAATGTATGAAAGAATGTATTATCACTCTATTGAAAGATCTGGTAGTCCTCCACCAGATAGAAACTTTAGAATTAATTCTCCAAATGAAAATAGTAATATTTTTGTAGAATTAATTTCAAAATTCATTGAAAATCCACAAGATGTATTTAATTTATTAAATGAATATTTTAGAGGTAGTGATGGAAATCCTACTCCTATTTTAATTTTATGTATTTGTCTATTTACATTTATTGGAATTCTTGGTTGTTTCTTTTTAATTTTAGGTATATTAAGTAAACTAATTAAAATTGAAGAACAAGAATTTATTAAGAATAGACCTTTATTACATAAATTAGTTTACCTTATTATTTCATTAAGAGATTGGAATAATTTTGTATTATTAATAATTATGTTATTATGTCATATTGGAATTTTAGTTATTTGCTATTACTTAAACGAATCATTCTGGGTTGATGATTCATATAAAAGATTATTATTATTATTTTATAATAATAATAAATAATCTCCTATGATATCAATATTTATTATTATTATTTTATAAAATTCCCCCCCGGTACCTTAATTTATGCCTTCTTGTGGCGGTACTGTAAGTAGAGATTATCAATCTTGAAACTAAATAAATTATTACTAAAAATTAGATGCTATCTAATTACTTACTTACTTTAAAAATATGATGTTTACAAACTTATTCTATATTTTTAGCGATTGCCCTATTTTCCCTTCGAATACCTGTGATTTAAACTCTTTTACAGAGCTTATTTCAAGTTACATTAGGATTAAAACACCTGATGGTTTAATTACTAGTAATATCTGGATTAATACTCCGGATAATTTACTTTTAGCTTTATTACCTTCAGTGGTATGTATAAATAAAAACCCTTCAGAAAATAATATTTTAAATTCAACTTTTAATGATTTAAAAGATTTTTTATCTTATAATTCTAGTGGTTATATTACTATTAAAGAAATTTTATCAAACGATACTTTATCTCTTAAAGAAAAACAATTAAATTTAGAAGAAAAATTACATTCTTTATGGTTGAGAAAACTAGAAAAAATAAGTAAGTCTAAGGATTTCTTAAATACAAATCCTGGGTTTAGAATATTTTTAAATAACTATAAGTTGTTAGAAGATGACTTAAAAATGTATTTTGAAAATGAAAAATATATTAGAAACAAAAAATATCTTTTTATGTTTAAAGAAATAGATAAATCCTTGATGCTGTTCTTGATTTTAAGTTTGTTAATCCCCTTTATTATGAAATATGAAGATAATAAAGAACAATCAGTTACTACTTTATTTCATAGATTAGGAGAAACTTTATATAAAGAATGTTTATATCAAAAATATATTAAAGAAGTTGATGATAAATCTAAGGATATTGTAACTTTTAATTTATATATGAAAAATTTTACAATGAATGAAGAGAATTTTATTAATATTGGTGGTACTGTTATTAGTTATTTGGATATGAAAAGTGATCTTTTTAATATCTTAGAACGATATGATGTTAAAAGTAAAAAAACTCATAGAGAAATTATTCCTAGTTACCAATTGAAAAACTATATTAAATATTTAGGTATGATTGATGGTCATGAATTACCTATAGTACAGGATTTTTCATCTCCTAGCAGACGTTTGAACTTTTATTTAGGCAGAAGGGATTTAATTTTAGGCAGAGTGGACATGAATATTAATCTGAGTGGACATGAATAAAAGTTAATCTGGACATGAATAATAATTGATCTGGACATGAATGAAAATCAAGCTGGACATGAATGAAAATTGAGCTGGACATGAATGAAAATCGATCTAGACATGAATGAAAATCGAGCTGGACATGAATATAAATTGACCTGGACATGAATGAAAATCGATCTAGACATGAATGAAAATCGAGCTGGACATGAATATAAATTGACCTGGACATAAATAAAGATCGATCTGGACATGAATATAAAACGATCTAGACATGAATATAAATTGACCTGGACATGAATATAAATCGATCTGGACATGAGTAAAATCAATCTGGACAAAATAAAAATCGATCTGTACATGAATGAAAATCGTTCTGGACAAGAATAATAATCAATCTAAACATGAATAATAGACAACCTGAATATAATAACAGTCAACTTGGACATTGTTTTAGTCAACTAAGACATAATAAAAGTTGAAGTAGATAATTGTTATGAACATTCCTCGACCTCTACTAAGTGATCACCCTCAACCTCGATGATCACTTATTAAATCCCCAAGTAACAATATCATCCATCACCATCGTCCGAATTAACAACCCTAATACCAATCTTTCCGTTTATTCGCATTATTAAATTCCATAGTAAAAGATATATAAACACCATAGTCTTTGAATAATAAAACATCAGTCAGATATCTTGTTTCCATCCTATATCTTGTTCCTTATATCTCTCTCATCATCTGCTCTCCTACCTCCAGGTTTCCTTCTTGTCTTGTCCTGTTCTTGCTGAAAGCACCTAGCACATTCTCGTCCGGTCTTTCTGTCCTTGTCTTGTCTTGTTCCTGTCCGCACCTTACATCATATCTGACTCATTCAGTGTTACCTGCTTTCTTCCTTCTCTGACTCTAATACTTCATTCCAGTAAATCCACTTTACCTTTTTCTGATTCATTACTGCCCCTTGATCTCTATACCACTTTTACCATTTCTATCTATTTATTGTCACCCTACATTCCCTCTCATTCTTCGATATTTCCTTTTTAAGATACTCCGTTTCCCCACTGACTCTCTTGTACTTCCTGTCTCCTATTTTTCCCCTTGTCAATCCATATGCCCAAATACGTCCGTGCTCAAACTCCGGAGTCCTCGATCAATGCTGCCAGCATCGCAGAGGGTCTCCAAAACCTCTCCCTGGACTCACAAGCACCCGCGTACCGCCGTGCCATCCGTGTAAATGACCCACCAATTTTTAAGGGCAACACTGAGGACATCCGCTCGTTCATCACCCACGTCAAGATGGCCATACACATGAATCAGGACAGGTTTGCTGACGACCTTTCAAAAATTTGTTTCATGTGTTCTTTCATGGCTGGACCTGCGTTCGATTGGGCTCAGCCTTATCTCGATGACATCGGTACGGACGAGGTTGATCCGTGCATGCTTTCGTTTTCGCTCTTCCTTGATGAATTTCGTTCGGCTTTTGGACAGGTCAACGAACTACTGGAAATCGAAAACAGCTTGCTAAACCTACGTCAGGGTTCGACTGCAGCTTCTGAGCACGCCGCCACCTTCCGCTGCTTCGCCTTACGCACTCAGTTCAATGATGCTGCCCTCCTTGCCATCTTTCGCAAAAGCCTCCGCGATCGCCTTAAGGATGAGCTCGCCACTCGCGACATGCCAGTTGAGCTGTGGTCGTATGTAACGAAGGTAATCGAACTCGACAACAGAATGCGCGAAAGAGAAGGGCAACGACGCAATCAGCCGTTCCGCCCTCGTCAAAGATTTTCGGCACCGGTCACAGTTCCCCCCACCAACACCACAAGCGCTGTGCAGCCCATGGACCTGGATGCAGCTAAAACCAAGTTCATCCCATTGTCGGCAGAGGAAAAGGCTCGTCGACGTCAGCTTGGTCTCTGCTTATACTGTGGTGGTGAAGGTCATGAGGCCCGCACTTGCCCTAAGAAGTCGGGAAAAGGCACCTCCCATGGCCTGTAAGAGAGTATACCATGGGCTCCCTATCATCAGAAGTAACTTCAAATAAAACAACTGTTGAAACCAAACCTCTCTGCTCTTCTGTTATTCCACCTCTGCCTGCTTCATCTTCTCCGAAATCCTCACCTTCCTTGCACCATCCTCTCAAAATGTCGGTATCCATCGATATTTCGGGTCGTATAGTAAAAACACATGCCATGATCGATTCGGGTGCCATGGAGAATTTTGTCGATGAATCCTTCGCACGCCATCATAACTTGCCGTCCATCAAAAGTAATAACCCAC